AATTTTGATATCAACATTTAACCCCATTTATACCTTTTTAACTAAAAAAGGATATTTTACCCCACGCCTTTCCTGGCTTTTATAAAATTTATTGAAAACGAAAAAGAAAAACCCCCCCCCCCCCCCCCCCCCTTCTGTAAGCAGACGGCGTATGCAGCATTCCTTAAAAACGTAGGTCGCGGTTCCCACGTCGTTTATCCTGGGGAGCTAGGTCGGAGTTGGCACCCACCCATTGTGCTTTCATTGGCCGTTGAATTGATCCTCCATCTGCGCAACATTGACTTCGACGTTGTGGTAGTCAAGAATCTCGGAGTACCTGAATTGATTGTTAGCGCATCTGTTGCGTGTGTCCCAATACTGCCGACATATGAGGGTGGGAACCTACATCATGATCTTCCATGTGTCGACGGGCAAGTCAGCGTCATTGAAGCTCCAGTCGAACTTCTCCTCGGCGATAGGTTCGTCGGTAGGATCGTGGTACGGGGCTAGATATTCATGTGAGAGACCCTCGGTGGCAGTTACCCGCTTCTTGGGATCGAAGACAAGCATCCGTTCGAGGAGATCGATGGCTACGGCATGTCAGTTATGAGGCTACACGCTTTCAGAATTTCTCGCTGGAGGGGGAGCCCATACCGGTGGGATCTGCATTCTTGAACTTGATCTTAAGTGGCAGCCGCTCCCGCCTGGGCAGAGACTTGACGAATCGCAGCGTCTTTTGAGCTTCCGGTTAGTATGCCTCGCTTCGTAGATGATTTGGGGGAAGGTGGGGGAGCGCTCACGTTCTCACTAGCGATTGTGTTAATCACGTCGTCTGGAGGAGTGCCCAGGAGCTCCGTAATAATGGAAAACTGGTTGACGTGGTCCTTGCCGGGGAACAGCGGCTTGCCGTCCAGCATCTCGGCGAAGATGCATCCAGCGCTCCAGATGTCCACCTCCACATCGTATTTTTGCCATGTGAGCATGATCTCGGGCGCGCGGTAGTATCGTGTCGACACATATCCCGTCATCTGAGGATCCTGGATTCGTGCCAGTCCGAAGTCGCAAATCTTCAAGTCGCAGTTCTCGTTGACCAAGATGTTGCTTGGCTTGAGGTCGCGGTGCACAACTCCTGCGGAATGCACGTATTTGAGGCCGCGCTGCAGAGATAGTTAGCGAGATGTCGCCCAAGAGAGAACAGGGGAGGGCTGGGGCTATGGGTGAAGCGCAGACCATGATCTGATAGAGGAAATACTGGATGAACTGCTTCTCGAGCGGCCGTGAGGTGAGAAGCCTGTGGAGGTCGGTACCCAGAAGTTCGGTGACAAAGTAACTTGGGGCAATACTGTTAGCCACAAATTCGCATGATTTGAGAGTAGCGGTTTGCCTACATATCCTCAAGCGGTGAGATGAAGATATCGCTAAGAGAAATGATCTTCCAAGGTCGTCAGCAAAGCAGGTTGAAGGCGGGATAGTTGGATGACCTACATTCTCGTGCTTCAAGTGTTTGAGAAGCTTCAGCTCTCTGTAGGTACGCTTGGCCAAGACAGGAGTGCTAAAGGGCTTCATGATCTTCTTGATGGCGACATTTTGGTTGGTGAGCTGGTCGCGGGCAGAGCTGGTTCGCAGGCGCAAAGACAGGGTCAGCGCATAGGCCCAGAGGGCACGATGGAAGGCAGCGGCTCATACCAAACCAGGCCGAAGGCGCCCATGCCAACAGGCTGCAGGTCGGAGTACCTCGAGGTGATCTCGAAGGTCGTGCCGAAGATCTGCGCTCGTACGAACTCGGCCATCGTGGAGGAGCTTCTTTAGCAGGTGGAGAACGCGGTTTGCGAGGTTCAGCGGATCTACGTCGTCCAGACAGAGGTCGGCGAAGTTTCAAGGGCCCGGGTTGAGATTTCTCCCAGATAGATGCCCAATTCGACAAATGCGCCCGTGCGGATGGATTAAGAATGTCGGGGTCGAAGACAGGTCCGATGGTGGCGACTTGTGAAAACGGTGCGAATGCCGACACAACTCAAAGAGTCAAAACTGGCTTCGGGTGGGGCACAGGACCAAAGTTGATCAACCTTCAAACCGGAACTTATACTTGGATCAAGGCACCGCGCAGGAGAAGGAAGAAGGACAGCACTGCACACAGAAACAACGTTTGGTCAGTCTGGCTGTCAATTCAATTGATACAATGAATGGGTGCAAAGTTGCAAACAACGAGGGGACATCCGTTCAGGAGGGCACACAACAGAATCGGCAGAATGCTAGGTATGCTTGATAGGAGCGCAACTCACGGGCAATACAGAGAGTGGAGCGGGTAGGTAGACCGTAGAGAGAGGCCTTCCCAGCGCTTTGGCCAACAAAGGACGGGAGCGAAGGGAGAAAGAAGCTTTTCGCCACACGTGAAAAAGACGCGCAGGAGGGTGGCCTGTCGATCTTTGGCTCTTTTTTCTCTCTTTTTCTTTTCCCCTTAAGAGACGCCGATTCTAGGACTGTCTGGGTTCCACTGCGATGCGGGAGAGATAGTTCCGTTCTCAGAAATCACTCGCGATGGTGGCCGATTAGTTTTGCGGGAGTAATCAAGCTATAGCGATCGCGTCAGGGGTGCGCAACGAAGGGCCGCTGGTCTCAGCTGGATTCACGACTGATAGTTTGTTGATTGATGTTTGTTGACAAAAGGAGGAGGAGGGAAGAGGAGGAGATGGAGGAAGGAGGTGATGTCCATCAAATGCGATCGCAAGTGGTGCGATGCGAAGCAAGGCCAGCAGGGTAAATGCTCGGCTCAAAAGCTAGAGAGGTACCTAACTAGGGGCTAACAGGTTATCCAGAGAATCAGATTCTTACAATTCCATGCTTCCCTGCGCCCACTTCCCGCCCCTCCATGCAGTACCAACTGCTAATAAGGTCGCAGAGAACGACCTGCTATAGAGCCGGGTGTTTGCCTGCCTAGACGGACCAGACGCTCCTTAACACCCCTCACGCAGCGCGCTTCCATTTGCTGCGGGGTCCCATTTCCATGACGTCATAGCCAACGCAGAATTGAGACCAGCCAACCCTGGTCTGCATGGGAAGTGTCTCAAGGGATTGACTCGCTCCAAGCATGGAATCCCTGATCGGTGTACGGATGTACGTGTAGCTTTAAGCATCTTCCGAAGTACCACCACGATCGAGATCTAAGATTGACTTTCGCGATGTCTTGATAGAAACCTGCTAATACGATGGAAGCTACCTATATAGATAGGAAGGTATTATATGTACTATAGGTACCACCTCGAGAGAGACGAGGGTGAAAGACGAAAGCGATGTGCGCTTGTTCTCCGTAAGACGCGCCGATTAGTGATCTACCTACCCCGATCTTAAACCCCATTGTTTCGTTGTCTGAGCTTCCAAGTACTACTACCTCCTGGCATGTAGCAGTCAAGCCGTCAGTCAATGTGCATGTACCCTAATTCGTGTTCTCAACCAACCCAAACTTTAAGGCCCTCAACCTACCCAGGTAGTTACCTTATGGACCTATCTATCGACAGGCTCCACGTCTACACTCAAGGCCCCCCTGGGTTATGTTTTTCAAAAGACTGGGGACGGGACCCCTTTGATCATCAGGGACACTCCCTACACGTAGGTGTTCGTCAAATCTCCTGAATGCCACACCGGCCGTCCTTGGAACTAGAAATCCGCATGGACATCTCCCCTAGGTAGGTACCTCCCTAGCTCTGTATGTATGCATCTACATAGGACCCCGCAGTTGACCTACCAATTTCCGTGGCGGGGGGAAATGGCCCAGAGCTGGGATGCAAGCGCACAATGACGTCACTGAAGCTTCCACGATGCCCTACCCCCGTAAAAGCCCGCCCCGAGGGGGAAAAACAGGTCAACGGTGGTTAAGGGGCTGATTCGGATGGACCAAGCGTTATGTCCCGCAAGCTCTTGTCTCGGCTACTTTGAGTTTGGTTTTTTGGATCTTTTTTTTTGACCGCTCTTCCGCGCGGCTCGTTTTCTTGTTAGGACTGGTCTAGTGACCAAGGGCGGGGTCCGTCCAAGGCCTAGACAAGATGGCCCTGATGACGATCCGATGCACCTAGGATAGCACCGGGCCCTCCAGATTTAGAACCAACCCCAGCCACCCTAGAAGATCAAGGAAACTAGGGGAGCTTACAGAGTAGTTAGGCGGGTAGACAGTCAAAATGTTGTGTATAATTTACAGTGGGTATTTGGATATGCGGTGGATATGATTTACAGTCCTAGCTCCTCTCCCGTCTTTGTGGAATCAACAGTAAGAGGAGCAATTAGGGTGAACGCATAGATAGATATACACCCAACTATCTAAATATGTGCTGTGTTACCTACAGTCTACGAGTCATGATCGAGGGCCCGTTAAGATCGGGCTATTAACATGGATTGGAAATGAGACTGCATGCATTTTAGGTTGCAGATGACTTCCATGACGGTTTCTAGATTATAGATAAGTGGTCCCGTTAAATGGTCTCGTTTCGGGGTGTATATGTATAGATAAGCTGCCGAACCAACCGGTCTTCATAATCATTCTACAGTCCCCGTTGATAACCAAACTCTTCACATCTGAGATAACCCCCTATAGCTCACCCGCTTCAAGCCCGCCGGGCCCCTCGCCACGGAGCGGCTCGATGTTCCAGATCCCCTCGGCGTACTCGTTGATGCAGCGGTCCGAGCTGAAGAAGCCCATGCGCGCCACGCTGGTGATGCACTTGCTGACCCACTCCTCCTGGTCGCGGTACGCCTCGTCGACGAGCGCGTGCGTCTCGACGTAGCTGTGGAAGTCGTCCGACACCAGGTAGTAGTCGCCGTGGTCGCGCACCGCCGTGACCAGGCTGGCGAAGTTCTCGGGCTCGCCGAACGTGCCCTGCTCGATCGCCTCGAACACCTTGGCCAGGTCCGGGTCGATGGTGTGCGTCCCGTACGTGTGCGCATGCCGGAGGTCCTCGACGTCCTCGGCGAGGGTGCCGAAGAGGAAGATGTTGTGCTCGCCGATCTCGCGAGTGATTTCGATCTATTTTGTTGTGTCTAGTTTAGCACGGAGAGCTCCCGGTGTGGATATAAGGGGGGAAAGGGGCTGTACTAACGTTTGCACCATCGCAGGTTCCGATGATCAGACCCCCGCTGAGCACGAACTTCATGTTACTGGTGCCAGAAGCCCTGAAATAAAAATGTTTAGCCGGCTTTTTCCAGAGACAGGATGGATTGCAGGGCTAGTTCGACTTACTCTGTGCCCGCAGTCGAAATATGCTCGCTGATGTCCGAGGCTGGAACGATGATTTCCGCCTTGCTGACATTGTAGTCCTCCAGGAACACAACCTTAAGCAGGTCGCCGATGTCCTCGTCCTGGTTGACAACATTGCCCACCTGGTTGATGAGATGGATGATCTGCTTCGCCATCCAATATCCCGGGGCAGCCTTGCCTCCGAAGATGGACACACGGGGGAGCGCCTTCTTCCTCTCCTCGGGCGTCTGGGCCTTCAGCGTCAGGTACCGGTGGATTACCCCGAAAATGTTCAGCTGCTGGCGCTTGTACTCGTGAATGCGTTTGACTTGGACGTCGAACAGGGCAGCGGGATTGACAGTAATTCCCTTGGTGGACTTGATGTAGTCGGCAAGGCGGACCTTGTTGGCATACTTGATATCAGCCCACTCCTTGCGGAAGGCCTTGTCGTTGACATAAAGCTCCACCTTGTTGAGCAAGGTCAGGTCCTTCAGGAAACCGAGGCCTCCAGTCTTGGCCGCGATCAATGCGGACAGTCGAGGGTTGGCCTGATGGAGCCATCGGCGCGGGGTGATGCCGTTGGTCACGTTTGTGAACTTGTCAGGGCCGAAGATGGAGACAAAGTCCTTGAAGATGGTGGTCTTGATGAGGTCAGAGTGCAGCTCGGCTACACCATTGACCTTGTGAGACCCAACAATGGCCAGGAACGCCATGCGGACCATCTTTGGCTGAGACTCCTCAATAATGGAGACCCGGGGAAGAAGGTCGCGGTCCTTGGGGAAAGCACGCTCGACGGTCTGAAGGAAGAACAGGTTGATGTCGTAGATGATCTGCAGGTGCCGGGGGAGAAGGTGTTGGACCAGCCCGACCGGCCACTTCTCGAGGGCCTCGGGAAGGACCGTGTGGTTGGTATAGCCGAACGTCTGGACGACAATGTTCCAGGCGTCATCCCAGTCAAGGCCCTCGAGGTCTACGAGAATGCGCTGGAGCTCAACGATGGCCAAGGTTGGGTGGGTGTCGTTGAGCTGGATGGCAACCTGGTCGGGGAACTCCCTCCAGGGGCGCTTCGCCTTTTTGAAACGGCGAACGATGTCATAGAGTGAGGCAGCAACCCAGAAGTACTGCTGCTTGAGACGAAGCTCCTTTCCTCTATCGAGGTTGTCATTGGGATAGAGCACGGCACTGATGGTCTCGGCCCGCTGCTGCTCGGCCACGGCGCTCTCGTACTCCCCACTGTTGAACTTCTGGAAGTCGAACTCGCCGCTGGCAGCCTTGCTAGACCACAGCCGCAGGTTATTAGTCGTCGGCGTGGCATAACCAGGAATCGGCACGTCATAGGCGACAGCTTTCACGGTCTCGCCACATTCCCAGTGGGAGACGGCCCTCCCAGAGGCGTCGGTGGACTTGTGGACATGGCCGTAGAATTGGATCTGGTGCAAAGTAAGCAGGCGAGATTCAAAAGGTGATTCTCGGTCACAAACCGGCCTAAGCGGCCTCACTTACATCAACTGTGACATCGTGCCGCGGGAACTCCCACGGGTTGAAATCGAGCCAGTAGTCTGGAACCTCCATCTGGTATCCATCTATGATCTCCTGCTTGAAGATGCCGTAACGGTACCTCAAACCATAGCCCCAGGCTGGGTAGTTCAGAGACGCAAGACTGTCGAGGAAGCACGCAGCGAGGCGTCCCAGACCGCCGTTGCCGAGGGCAGCATCGTGTTCTTGCTGGATGACATCCTCGATCCGGAACCCCAACTCGGTGAGACCAGCTTGGGGACGGCAGGTTTAGTTTATGCTCTCTTCTCTTTTCCATATCCTCCACTTAACACGAATGTCCGCAAGCCGGGCAGATCACCTACCTTTAGCTATATCCTTGGAACCGATATTGAGCATCGCGTTGTCGAGCGCCCTCCCCATGAGGAACTCCAGGCTGAGGTAGTAGACGCGCTTGCTGTCGGCGTAGGTCTGGCGCTGCTGGGTCCGGTTCCACTCCAGGATCAGCCGGTCGCGGAAGGCCAGGCTCGTGGCGGAGTAGGCAGCCGACTCGTCGCAGTTGAACATGCTCCGGGCCAGGGTGGTTTCGACGTGGCGGACGACCTCCTTCTCGAAGCCATCCTTGTCCTTGAACCCGCCGGCCTGGTGCTTGAGCCATGCCTCACGCTGTGGTTCAGGGATCGAGGCTGTTTGGATATGGGACGAGTCGTTAGCAAGTAGCGAGAGTTCGCAGCGAGAGTTGGCCCAATCACGACAGATTTTGCCATTGTCTCATAGGTAGGTAGGGAGGTATAGGCAATTGGGGGGTCCCTTTTATGAGGGGGTGTTTATTGGGGGGGTACATTAGACACAGGTTGGGTAGGGATCGGCTCCTTATCAGTATTGAAACCCCGCCATGGTCCTGGATGAGGGGAAGAGAACCAGGGACCCAACACCCAACCCCCCCCCGAGATATCACGACACCGGGGGCCCAATTGAACAAATGAAGCTTTTCACATACCTTCGACGCTCTTAATCTCGCCAGCCCCGAAGCCAGTGAAGGTTCTCTTGTGTTTGGGCCGGGTGATGCCAGCAGGGCCGACAGATCCCTGAATGTTGACAATCGGGGCGCCAACAGAGTGCCGCCGCTCCCTGATGGGGATGCGCTCCGTTGTCATGTTGCTGGAGGCTCGGGGGCGAAAACGTGCAGACGAGGGAGTTGGAAATGACAAGAACGGAGAGGGGAAATAGGTAAGAGAGTGCGAAAAGAGGAAAAGGAGGGTGTTTACCTGTTGAAGACAAGACAGCAGCAGGCTTTAATAGTTATCGACCTCCCTTGTTGGAGAAGGTGGGCAATTAACCTTGTATACGTCAGAAGGGACAATGAGGAGTGGGGTAACAAGCATAGCTCTCACAGCTAGGCACATAACCATTTCTTGGTTCTGCAGAAGCTCCCGACCAACTCGATCTAGACCCGAGTCTAATACAGCAAGCTGTCTATACTGCATGGGTAGGTAAGACACCATCTACAATGGCGTGATACTACTGGTCAGAATGAACACATCCTTCAACTATTCGAGGCACACAATATGCGTACATGCGTACATGCGACCATGCGATGATGTGAGGCTGCGACTCGAAAGAGAGATAATAAGAGATTCTTAGCCTGCACAACGAACGGCTGAGGAGTGGCAACATCCATCCATCCCGCAAAAGCGCGCAACGATGTAAGTAAGTAAATAAAGAAGAATAAAATAATAATATCCCTCAAATTTATGTAGTGTGATTATCGTCTATTTGCCCACCCAGGGTGGGCAACCCTACCTAACTCAGTCCTCCTCTCCGCCATCGACGGCCGACAGCCCGACATCGTCGTCCGCCTCGGCCTGGTCGTCCGAGTTGGGGAGGATGCCGTCGCGGCCCTCGCCCTCGATCTTCTTCCCGCCGTCATACGTGATGCGCCGCCAGCCGCACGGGTCCGACGCGTCCTTGATCCACTCCATCGTCGGGAAGTAGTGCTCGTTCTTCTTCATCGTCACCACCCACGGCACGCTGTCAAAGGTCACGGCTTTCATGCGGAAGTCTAGGAAGGAGTTCAGGTCAGTAAACCATGAGGGACGAGGGTTGGCGTTGGGGGGGTTATGTGGATAAGAGACGGATGGGGGGGAAAACGTACAGGTGTTATCGGGAATCTCGATCGCCGCCGCAAGGAACGACTCAATGTCGGGCGTGGGCTTGCCATTAACATGGGTGATGAAGTTGGTCGGCGCGAGACCGTACTGGTACGCCGGCGAGCCGCGGGTCCTGGCCGACACGTACACGTCGCTGAACAGCTTGCTGATCTGCTGCCGCACGGCGTGGTGCGGCCGGTGCAGCACGGCGCCGCAGAACGACACCCCGCGGTGCGTCTCGACGCCCTCCGCCGCCACCGTGCCCAGCTTCAGGTTGATATCCTTGCAGTCGCGGACGATGGTGGCATCGAGCAGCTCGTTCGAGTACATGACATCCAGCTCCGAGATCTTTGTGATCATCTTGCCGTTCAAGGTCAGCAGGATGTCGCCCTCCAGTAGTGCCTCGTTTTGCTCCTCGCGCTCAAATGTCCGCTTCGTCACCATAAATAGCTGGTGGTGAGAGGTGTTCGCCAGCGACACCTTGTGGATCCATTCCTCGGAGACTCCCATAAGTCTGGCCTGGGACATCTGGATGGAGCGGAATTCTACCGAGAGCATCCTGAGGTCCGGCACTATTCCCTTCTGGATCTGAGAGACAACAGGCAAGAGGGTCGGCGTCGCCAGGCCCAGGTGGTATTCCTCGTCTCGGTGGGTCGACGGGGACCGCTCCCCAAGATAGGTCAACCAGAGAGCCTGCACGGTACCGTCTGTCGCGACCAGTACGCCGCTGCCGCACTGCCCGCTGAGGTTGGTATCAACGGTGATGGCGTCGACATTCATGGCGCGATACCGCGGGGCTCCCGAGTTGGCCGGTATGGACACGGCAAAGATCTCAGTCACCGTTGTAGCCGTGTGGACAATGCGCCCAATCCGGTTATAGCCGATAAAATACGTCGAGGCTCCCTGCGTGATCTCCTCAGAGCTCAACCTTGCGCTCAGCACCGGCGCATCGACGAGCTTGGGGTCGTATTGGATGATGGCGTAATTTTGCAACGGGTGGAGGAAGACGACCTTGCCCTCGACGACGATAGATTCTGCAATGGTGATGGAGATGTCGCAGAGGTCGTACGGCACGATCGCTCGCGATATCACCACAAGTCCCTTCTCTGCATCGATGACTAGGCCCATTCCCCACTTACGGTTCTTCGGGAAGCCATCGAGCTTGACCGGCATCGTGCAGTTGACGTGGACGAAACTCCGCACAAGGTCTGCCACAGCCGGGTGCGACGTGTGCTCGAGCTGGATGAAGGAAGCAGCCCGCGTGACAGGGGGGACTTGGGGTAACGGGTCCGCAAGGTCGCTAAAGTCCCACAGGCCCGTGTCGTCGTTGCGGACGGCAAGCTTCATCTTCTTGGCCCAATGCCTGTCAATGTATATTATGGTCGTATTCAGTGTGTGAAGGTCGCGGAGGTGCTTATATGTCACCACAACGCGCGCCTTGTCTGGGATGCCCTTCATCACCTCGACAAAGGTGTCGAGATCAGGTGTCTTCTTCTGATCGATGCTCTGGATGATCCAGCCACTGTCGCTACCGTCGAACCGGAATGAACCGGTCGCCTCGCACACAAACACGCCCTTGCATGCCACACCGTACAGCCGCGCTTGTTGGTAGGACAGATCATGGAAGCTTGCCCCGGCAACAGAGACGAAGCGGTCTGGGGTGATCTTGTGCAGGTTCCCTACTTCGATGTCGACCTCGACCTCCTCACCTCCACGCAGAAGTAGCAGGTGGACTGAGTTTCCCACATTGGAGTCGAGGATCTCGTCTAGGCGGATAAACTGCGTGATGAGATCTCCGTTGACCTTGATCAGGACATCTCCTTCCTCGACTTTCTTGTGGGATGGCCCATCGGGGAGCACTATTTCGGCAACCAGAAGGTTTGTTTCCTTTGGGAACGCCTTGCGCATCTGCGCCTCCCAATCCGGACTGAGTCCTAGTCTTCGACACTCGTCAAAGGGCTTGAGGAGGAACTGGCACTGGATATCGCCTCTCGTAATCGGCTTGCCTTCCTGTAGGCATTTCAGAGCTCGGTAGGGGCGGTCCAGCGGCAGGAAGTAGTCGGTCGAGGCGCCGTCCGCTCGTCCGCCGGCCTGGAGCGCGACGGCGAACCCGTCAATGTTCACGACAGGACTGCCGGAACTTCCGCCGCTGGCCGCGGCACTGGCCTGGTAGTAGCACGTGTTGAAGTCGCTATAGCCCTCGCCATACTCGGGGGCATTCCTGTCGAGCCGGCTGATGACGCCCGGGAGGATGCTCAGCTTTTCGCCTGCGTCGTTGCCAACCACACGAATCTCGACGCCGACGCGGGCAAGGTCCGGGCGCAGCTGCAGGGCGGCGACGGGCATGTATTTGATGGCCTTGGGGTCGAACTTGAGGATGCCGAAGTCGTGCACAGGGTCGCGGTAGACAGGGTACGTGTCGACCTCCTCGTGGTTGTCGAAGATGCAGTAGCCCCAGAAGGGACCCGAGCCCACGACGTGGCGGTTCGTCAAGATGTAGCTTGCGAGGTTGTCAGCATGAACAATAACAAGATAAAAAGCCGGAAAACTGGCTCACCCTCGCTCTGCATCGACGACAAAACCAGTAGCCTCGCTCGTCAAGGCCGGCTCGGTGTCAAACGACGCGGTAAGACAGAATCTAATAGAGACCACGTTCCGCACCACGTTCTCGATTGTCGCCTGCCACTCGGCCGTATCAGCCCCGACCGGAAGGAGTGCTGGAGCACGGCTGTCTTCCATTTCGTAGTCGTCGATCTGTTCAAACTCATCCTCGACGTCCGGGGTGTTGTCTCCAGCCGAGTCCTTCCCGCTCAGTGCGCCCAGGGCTCGGTGGTGCTTTGTATGCCGGCCCTCCAGAGTCTGAGGCGGGTCTTTCCGCTTCGAGCGGCTGGTTGGAGTTGCGCCATTCATGATGGAGACGGGATTCGGAGGCGATGAGGTGGTCGTGCTGGGAGGAGGATCGATTCCCTTGCTTCTTCCCTTGCCGGCAGCGGAAGTTGTGGTGGATGCAAAGCGAGGTCGCAAGATGGAATTGGCGGTTGGGAGTAACGGTCGAGCTGCCTTGCTACCAGCTGAACTCCTTATTAGTCGGTCCCCTGCGCTGAATCTAGTCGTTGACAAAAATCCGGTCAGGCTTCCCACGGAGATGCGCAAACTCAAAGGAAGCGCTCTCCTCATCCACAGCTTCACTGAATCACAGATTCGAAGGGTCCAGAGGTCCGTGTTGGCGGCGCGTAGAGGTATTCAATGAGCATGTGATGTCCCCAAAAATAATGGACCTTGGAATTCCGGTGTTGTTGTGTCTGGAATTCACAGTATCTCACCAATTCGCCAAGCCTTGGAAAATCTATTCTTGATCACCAACTACAGAGTACGTGCCTACACAGTACGAGTTTGGGCCAGCAAGGTAATTACACACTGGATACAGCGGGCGGCCCCTGGACTACTCGACTCGATAAAGGAATATCTGATATTGAATAAAGCCGAAATCAGAACATCTCTAAGGGCTTTGGACCCGTTCTCATTCCTTCTCAATTCCCAGTGAAGGACCGTCTATGTGGATTCTCCCTATATCCCTCCCTTGTCAAAAGACGGAGACTATCCATCAGCTACTAGAAGACTCCCCCGGTTTGTTGTCCCCCAAGATAATGTGGGCCTTCCATACTTGCCAACCTAGTCAGTAGACCACAAAGCAGTGGCCCGCCCAGACTCGGCCAGCTCGGCGACCGCCTAGCTCTCTCTCCCTTGAGAAAGCAACCAAATATACCACATCATGCCGCGCTCCATATGCAGTGAGGATGAATCATGACTCCAGTTCGCTTGCAGTGACCAATGGGCCAGATCAGAAATGGTAACTCGTAAAAAAAAACCACAGCGCCGCTAACCACTTGATGTACATCTGGCGCATTTTGCCATCCCTGTGTTGCATCCCATAGACCCCTTCTCTGGGTCCGATCGTGAGTATACCGCCGTCCAGGTCCAGACGTGGCTACGTGTTGAGCAATCCTAGCCGAGAGATATCTTCCAACTCCCGACAAGGCCCATGTATGTCAATCGCAGCCTTCAGTCTTCGACGAAGCGTGGTTCGCTGTTTCGTTTGCTCGAGAAACAGGGTAATCCAGTTTTATTATGCCGGAACTTGTGGGCCCTGTGGCGAGCAAAAGGGAAGTGGAGGACAAGTTTAAAAAAAGGAGAAACGTCCACGCCCAGGTACAGGCTCTACTGCATCATCTTGTCCCGGCATTTGACGAATTCTCGGACGCGCAGCTCGTGGACGTCGCAGACAGCCATCCACTTCTGCCTGACGAGCTTGTCCTCCTCGATCCCGCGCAGGTACTCCCGGATGCCGGTGTCGCCCCGGGACTCGATCCAGTTGAAGCCCGTATCCCTCCGGTTCTGGTCGATGACCCTTCGCCGGGCCGCGAAGTGATCGACATAGCGTGCGCTGAAATCCGCAAACTCGCTCATGTACTTGTGGAAGGCCTCGGAGTATGTCTTCCACGCAACCGCACTTGGCTTGAGGCCCGGGACCGCCAGCGCCGGGGGAGGATGGGGCGACTTTGGCGGCGCCGGGAACGCAATCGGCTTCGGAGCCTCCTTGGCGAGTGGGATCTTTGCCGATGGCCTGCTTTCGAAGGGAAGGTCCGACTTCAGATCATTCAGAGATCCGAGCCCGCCGGGTTGTGGGGCGAACGGTGCGACATTCTGGAACTCTGCAAACTTGAACCCTGCAAAATTTGCATCTGCAAACTTGGCATCTGGTACCTTGGGGTCTGTAAACTGATCAAAACTGTCGCTGTCCTCGGATCCCCGTGCGTTGTCCTTCAAAGGAGTACGAGGAGTGGGCTTGATCCCGTTTACAGAACCGGCTCGCCATTCCGGCTTCGATGGCTCGACAGGAATACCCCGAGCGCCGCCCGGCTGCGGGACGGTTGGGGCTGATGGGACGGTTGGCGTGGCTGTTTCAGGGGGAGGGGAGTCGATGTCCATGGCACTGGGGCTATCAGTCCCAAACGGAGGCACACCCCCGACTTCCCCAGTTGATGTCCCAGGCTGAGTCCTTTCTTCGCTGCTGCTGTCATCCTCGTCGACCAAGCCAGCCGTGCCGGCAGTCATCCGTACCGGTTTCGGCTTCTTCGCTGTCCGGGGAGGCCTCGTGGGCGAGGCTGCAGGGCGCTGAGGAGGTTGAGGGACAAAGTTCTGCGGCCCGAACTTTGTGCTCCATTGGTCGGGGTCGAAACCGCTTTGCTTCTGGCCAGCCTCATTCAGAGACGGCTCTGAAGAAGTGCCATGCTTAAAGCGCAGGTCGGTCTTGGCAGGCGACTGACGGCCGCCGGGGCGAGTCCTCGACCTGGCCTGTCGTTTGGCTGCCACGAAAGAGTCTTCGCTTGGCCCGCCCGCCTGGAATTGCCAATCGTTATTTGCGAATTCTTCCGCAACAAACCTAGTGTTGATGTTATCGGCACTGTTCCGCATAAATCGGTCCGGCGTCGTCGGGGTGAAGGTATCGTCGTTCACTGGGAAGGTGAAGCTGCAGGGTTGAGTTGTGTCAGTACGCTGGTTGGCACTGCAGCTACGCTGCCCACGACCAGGCCTCTCCGTCTGAAATTTGGGTCTCTTCTCGGCACTCCCCTCTCTGCTGTTGATGAGGTCGTGCAATATCTCGTGCTGCTTGCTCTCAAAAGCGTTGAGCTGCTTACGAGCCCCTTTCTGACTATCCCCACTTGGAGAGACTCTTACGCGCAAGTTGGCCATCAATGCCGCAATGTTTGGCTTCTCAACCCGCGGCACGCCCTCACCTGCACGACGATTCGAGTGCAGTGGGTGGGCGCTCTGCTGGGCCGAGGTCGCAGAAGACGCAGAAGAAAAGAATGGTGGAGCATACACTGTTGGGCCATCCTTCGCTTTCGACGAGGTCTCGCCATTTGCGGTTGCTGTTAGGATGTAAGTACGTTTCTGGAGTCGCTATCAACGCAATCACTGACCGTGGGTGGAATTAACGGAAGAAGTCGAGTTCTTCGGGTTGCTGGCAGGGGCGCTTGCCGGGGCAGGCTTGGTGTCACTTTCCCGAGGCTGATATCGCTTACCCGCCCGAGAGAATGCGAACCTCGAGTCCCCCCCGAAGGGCTTGGCTCCAGCGCTATCCCTCGTCGCCTGTTTGAAGTTCTCGGACTCGTCCGGGACACTAGAACTCCGCCGCCTCCGGGACGAACTTGAAGAACGTGTATCACCTCCAGTGTTTTGCGTGTCACGGCCGCCGCCCCTTACGCTCCCTGACCGACCAAGATCCGCCCCATCAAACGGATTTGTCTTCTCGCCACTATGCGAAGAGTACGGGGTGCTCTGCCGCCCATCAAGGAAGGTATCCCGGAAATGCCGACTCAGCGGATCAAGATTATCTGATTGCGGCCTCGGTTTTGCACCCTCGCTACCACCAGAAGGGGTGTCGTTGAACAAGCTTGTGCGCTGCTTGGTTGTGAAGTAGTTCTTGTTTGTAACCGGAGGTTCGTCTCCGACTTGGACAAACGGGGATCTTCTTGCCCCAAAAGCCGCTTCTGCCTTCCTTCTCTGAGATTCAGTCCGCGGGGTTGGCGGGGGGTCCCGGGGTTTCTGATCGGCAGGCTTTGGATTTGGAGGGTTCGGTCTCCTGGTCCTTGATTGTGGGGTAGTGGATGGGGTGGTGCCGGAACTCTGGGTCGGCTTGCTGCTAGTGGGAGGCCTCATGCGGTCCCAGGCCCGCATGTTATCGCTGGCGCTCTCGCGGGCTGACTTCTGTGAAGGCGGCACCCAGCCGGAGTACCGCGACGCGCCAGAGTTTGAGGCGGGACGAGCTGACGTCGGCGCCCGTTTCGGTGGGCTGGGGAACTGACTGGAAACATTCTGCCACGGGTTTCCTCTTACACCAGACGCGCCGGGATACCGATTGCGGGATCGGTGAGCATCGTATTTCGACTTTTGCTCTGCGTTTGTAAGAACCTCATGTGCAGACTGGATCGTCTGAAATTTTGCGTTCACTTCGGCTTCCTTCCCGGGATTACGGTCGGGATGGTACATGAGAGCTTGAAATACTCCGTTAGTACAAATAGACACGGACGGTTTGGATGGGACGCAGAGATATACCAAGCTTCCTGAACTGCTTCTTGACTTCCGTGACATCAGCCACCGCTGGTAGCTCTAGGTCGGCATAGTAGTCTCGGCTAAGGTCTAGCTTCACCATCGTGATACCTTGACCGCGATATTGTACTTGTATGGGGGAGGGGTGAGATTTGTGGTCCGAGGGTAGCAAGAGCCGTCATCACCCGTCGCTAAGAAGTACGGTGTTTCGTAGGTGGTGCAGTTAAATGGAGAGGTTGAGAGCCGAGATCTCTAGTGTGGGAACCAAAGGTATTAAAACACCGCAGAACTCTCTGGTCGCCGGGGAGAAGAGGTATCCGAGGGTCAACCTAAGAGCGTCGGCAAAAGGATTATTAGCACTTGTAAACGACGATCGGTAGGAGGACAAGTTAGAGGTGAGGGCCAATAAAAGTGGTGAACATACTGTAACAGCGAGAGTGAAGAGGAGGTAGGCTACCGGCAAGATATTGTGCGCAGGCTTCTTCAGCGTGCCTTTGCTGTTTGGGCCAAGTCGGAAGAAGTTCCTTCCTCCGGTCAACAAAGTCTAACCAGAAGCACAAAGAGGTCCTAGGTTTGTGTGGCATGCGGCAGCTGGAAGAAGCAGGACAAGGAAGAACAGGATGGAGTGGTGAAGTTGTGCGGCCAAAGAGGTGAGACGAATTCGAATGCGACCACGGGAAACGAGCTTGTTCCTTCCCGTTGGTCACTCACCTTCTTGGAACCTTCAGTTGGTGAGAAAACAAAGTGATTGGACCCGCACCAGCTGCCAAGGGCAACCTTCTGATAAGGCAGATATGACGTACAGCCGGGGTTTACTCGATACCTGCCTATATGTAAGTACGCGAGAAGGATCAGATTAGGGGTCTTTATTGTTATTTAGTAGTCATTTCTTCACCTTCAACTTTGTTGCTTCCTGCCGTCACCCAAGTGGTTACCTACTAATCCGTACTCTCTACTTTATTTTACCAAGGAGCTGCAATTGTATTATGCTGCTGGTTCCTCCCTCGCTTACCCCGATATGATGAAAAGAGTGTATACCTAACTAAAGTGGGGCAACCTCCCGTTACCTGCCCACTTTCCCAGGGACCTGTATAGCGGCACACAACCTCAGCCTAAGCCCAAGGCAGAGAGCACTACATGTACCTGAGTATGACAGAAACATAACTCGTCCTGGTGGCATGTCGGCCTGGGACCTCTGTGCTCCCGTCCCATCAGTGTCGTCGGGACTTTTCCCCCGAGGGGGACCTGCTTGGCAACAGTTGCCAACTTTTTGGTAAGACGCCAACGTCGAGGAGGCGCATGTGACGACGCCAAACACCATCCAACTTGCCAACCTACCTAATTTGGCATGCATTACACCATGACTGAACAATCCAGTCAGGCCGACTCTCACGAGACGCAGTTGTGCCACTACCTCTCAGCCGGTGGGGGGTAAGTCATGGCCTACTGGAAAGCTGCAGGCTCCAGCTGCCTCCCACCCCCTCGGAACATAATCTCGCCCCATTCACCGCGCAATGCAGACCTGGTGAAAAAAACGAGAGTTGCCCACTCGAGACGTGATATATATTCATAGACCTGGCATAGGATGCTGAGCAGGGAAACAACTCCAACCCCATGCAGAAAGTATACCTACTGCATCTCATCCAATCTAAAAGTTTCATTGTAGCCATCAGACAAGATTAAAAAAACCCCCACCCCTGCCTCGTTCCAAAAATGAAAAAGGTTGTAAGAAAACGCCAGAACCAGAACCAGAACCAGAACCAGAACCCAGGAGCTAACGCAACACAGTAACACACCCAACAGCAACCCCCCCCCCCCCCCCAAATGTCCTCTCCTACGCCAGACCATCACGATTCAGCTCGTACGTCCAGCCGCCCTCGCGCCTCATCCGGTCGCGCGCCTGCAGGTCCTTCCGAATGTCCTCCTCCGTCAGCCTGTCCGACCCGCTCCAGTTGGCGCTGCTGGTGCGCGCCCGGAACTTGTGGAACCGGTCCTTGCTCTTGCTGAACACCTCCTCCATGTTGAGCGCCGCCGGCGCCCCGAATATCTGCATCGGGTCCACCGTCTCCTGCCGCATCAGCGCCCGCCGCAGGTCCGGCGAGTCCGCCCACGCCGCCACCCCGATGTGGCTCTCGTCCTCGTCTTCCTCGTCCGTCTCGATCTCCGGCAGCTCGATCGCGTCGCCGTTCTGGAACCGCGGCGACGACTTGGCCGCCGACTTGGCCGCCGATTTAGCTCCCTGGCCGCCGGCTGGTCGCGCCGGCGTCTTGTGGGGCGCCCCGGCGCCGTTCGGGTTGGGTGCGAAGGGGATGGCGCCCTTGGAGAGCTGTGCCATCTCCAGCGGGTGGGCTACCTTGGCGTGACTAGCATGCTGCGCCGTGACGGTGGACTTGAAGAGGTCCCTCGACACGCCTTGAGGAGCAGGCGTGTAGCCGTTGCCAAACATTGACTTGGTAGGTAATTCCTGCCGCCATGTGTTAGGGCCTTGCACATGTGAACGAGATCGCGCCGCACTTACTTTCTTAAAGCCGCCAGACGGACGCACAGGCGGGCCTTTGATGACATGAGGCTGACTATCTGCCATATCGATGTCATCGTCGAACTCCTCGCTCATCCGCATCCGCTTCACATCCTTGGGCTGGTAGGACGGGCCAGTCCGTTGTGCTGGAGGGCGGGCACCATCCTCGTTGGCCTCCTGCTGCAATGGACGCTTGGCGCCCATCTTCGACGAGTTCGATAGGACTGCATTGACCGGCCGACTGCCGTCCTGTGGTATCATAGACCCCAGGCGAGACGGGGGCCGAGAGGGGGGTCGAGACGGCCCCTTGTCTGCTAAGCTGTACTCGGGCGCCGCGTTTCCTTGCGGCCGGGCTGCTGGCGGCGGAGCTCTGGTCTGCTTCGCCCTCTCAATTGCGGCCTGCCTCTGGGCGTCCTTCTTCGCCTTCATGGCTGCTGCTGCCTGCTTCCGCTCCTCTTCCTTCTGCGCCTCCATCTCGTGTCGGCGCTGCTGCTCCTGCCTCCTCTCTTCTTCTTGCGCGGCAGCCCGCTTCCGCTCCATCTCTAGCTTTGCCTCGCGCTTCCGCTGGGTCTCGCGCTCCTCCTGTTCCTTCCTCTTCGCGGCTAGGTCCAAAGCTTTTGGCCTGCCAGACGAAGAGCCCTTCAGGCTCTGAAGGGATGGCTTTGTCTGCAGGGACCCATGGCTTGCCTTGCTCGCCAGTTGACGTTGAGGGCCGTGGTTCTGAGGTCCTAGTGTCTCCTGGAGAGTGGCTGCCAGTACGCTATTCGATGGATGATGGTACTGCGACTGCTGCGCGCTCGTGGTGTTGACGCGGATGACGGTCGGGGCTTGCCTCGTCTTAGTTGGGATCTCTTTGGTAGGCTTGGTTGGTCGTTTAAGTCCCTGCGCGCGAGGCACCGAAGATGCTGCCGAACGGGGCGCTTGAGGCGGCCCCATGGTTGAGGGGCCATCCATCATGTCAACGTCACCGTCTCCAGTCTTGGACTCCGGCGCTGCAGCAGTGCTCCTCCCCTCCACCTCGGGTTGAGCCTTGGCCTTCCTGGGGCTCGATCGGGTCGCCTTGGGCGGGCTCCTGGGAGCTGGTCCTGGTGTCTCCACAGCCTGTGGTGTCTTGCCTTGGTCCTTGTGCTCGGCAATCTGTTTCTCCATATCGGCAATTCTCTCCCGTTCCTTGCTGAAAACGCGTGCCTTCTCCCGCTCCTTCTCACGAGCCTTTTCGAGCTTCCCCATCTGATCAGCAAGGCGCTTAGCCTCCTTGAGCTCCTTGTCCTTTTCCTTTGCTTCCTTCTCCTTCTCTTTTGCCTCCCGCTTCTCCCGCTCCGCAGAAGCTCTAGTCCTGCGGAAAGTGCTCCCAGATGCTGTTTGCGGCCGCGAAGGTCCAGCTTGGTGTTGGGAGAGATCGGGATACAGTTGCTCGGGCCCCCTCAGCGATTCGGTGGACTGGCCCCCGTGGAAACCTAGTCTAGTCATGGAGGGGGAGATCAACGATTTCCCCTCGGCGCTAAGAGCTGCACTACTAGCAAGCAGGCCCTTGGAGCTCTTCAGGATTGAGGAAAGTTTGTTCTTAACTTGCTTCAGAGGGCTGTCGCGGAGATTCCGCGACGGGGATTTGGACGGTGTCCTCAACACATCATCCTCCGACACCGTGTTGAGACTTGGATTCGAAACGGATATACCCTTCTTGGGGGTTGCCTCTTCACCACCAGACGGCAGATACGGGACGGACGCGGACTTGGCGTGACCGTGACCCAGGGCGCTGGTTGTCCGATCTGGGATCTCGGGCTCCTTCAGGGGGGAAGCTGGTCTGCTTCTCGGGAGGACAAACTCGGATCCACCGACAGTCTCTTTCCCATGGAGACCCTCCATCACATCAGCAGAGTGATGTTTTGGTACGGTGGGGCGAGGGGTTGGCATAGCTTGGTGCGTGGGTGACGGTGGTGAGATCCAGTCATCGTCATCATCCTCAGGGAACGCCCCTGGGGCAACTGCATGCTGCCTGTGTTTGGGGGATGGAGATAGCACAGGCTCCTCGACAGGTCGAGCTTGTGACTGCCCTGCTGGTTGTACAGGCCCAGGTTGTTGCGCGGGTAGAACATTTGCCAGCGACTTAGATGGCCTCGGACCGCTCGGCTGGGACTTTCCAAGCATGCTGATCTGGTCCTGGAGTCGCTGAGTGTAGGTCTTGTTGTGTGCGGCAACATCGTCTTTCGGGGTGGTGAGGTCGTCGTCAATGTCCATAACATCATGGTCATCCGCGTCCTCGTCCTCGTCGTCGTCCTCATCCCTGTCTAGCTGCGCGTTTACACCCAGGCTCTTACCCCCAGTATGCCTCTGGTAATAGCTTGTGCGTGTCTGATCAAGATGGCTGATCCTAGATGCACGGGGCCCAAGACTCTTAGTCGAGGTCAGCGGCTCCCGTGCTGGCAGTGAGGCGAAGTTCAAGCTGCTCTTCCGAACAATGGGTCGGATGGGACTAGACCCATCAGATGATCGAATATCGTCCATTCCCCCATCCGCTTTGCCGCCGGCATCCTCGGATGTCCCACTGACGGTCTTCTGTGGTCTCGGGCTGAAAATCGCCTTCCCAGGAGAGGACTTGGAAGGTGAGGACTCGACTGGGGACAGCTTCTTTGGTGAGATGGGCCGTGTATGTCTAGTTGGAGACTGCGTCTGGGGAGCAGCAGGACTCGTGATCGACTCTGGTGGGGCTGTGGGTTGAGTTGTTGTTGGCTTCATGGTCATATTAGCGGTGACATAACGCGTCTGCTCTTCCTTCGCGGACTCGAAAGTGTCTTCCATTGACCCTTGAGTCGGGCTCATATACTCAGCTTGCACAGCTGCTGCCGGGTTGCTGGCAAAGTCCGTAACCTCGACACTGCCAAGAGTTTCTGGCTTGTTCTGGTGGTCGCCCATTTCTTGCCCATAGTAATTCATATCCTGGGTTTGGCTTCCGTGATATCCAGAGTCTATAATCGATACAGGGGCGGGAGCATGTTGCTGTGGAGGAGCGGGGGCCGCCTTTACCGGGCTGTGCGGTCTGGATTTCGCAGGTCTGGTTCTGTCCTCGGCGACCTTGATTCTGGGAGTTTGTGCCTTGTTTACATTGGGCATGGAAAACGGATTCGGGGTTCCCTTTGGAGTTGCTGCAAAGATGCTCGACAAGGGCTATACAAGACATGTTAGTTGGCAATTCAGCACACCCAAGACTCGAGACTTCGGCTTCTGGACTTACAACGCGGTCTTCTCCGGGATTGGCTTTCCGTGCTGTTCGCGGTGTCTTCCCTCGTAGCTTTCCCGGCGTCTTGAACAGCTCGGCAACGTTCCTGAGAAGCCAAATGTCAGCCACTCGTCTCTGCTCACGGTTCATTCATGTACGGACATTTGGTTCTCCGAGAAGATCTCGGCCATATGCTCGTTCAGCCACTCCATCTCGTTACGCGCAGCGAACGAGAACTCCTCTACTTCAGACTGGGATATATGCAGAGCAGATGACCGCTCCTCCGCAATCCAGGCCGAAGACCCGACCGCTATCCGCGGCCCTCCTCTCATGGCTGCCATGGCGCCAGGTACTCGACGGGGATCGAGAGACGCGAGTGGGATGGATGAGGGGCGGGGTTTCGGGTGTAAAGTAGGCGTCAGAAGATGTGGTTTTAGCCAAGCATGTCGTGAATGAAGGCAATTGCTAGAAGGTCCAGATTGGACGTCGTTAGTATTGTGGTGGGAGGGCGTATATTTCGACTCAATTGCAGAGGGCAGTTCAGTGGGCAGTAAAGCTGTGTTGACCCAGGCCTAAGCTTTGTTTTGATTGACCAAAACAGGATAGCATGCCAGGGGAGCTCCCACACGCGGCTCAAATGTGGGGCATAAGCTCCTCTGATGGTTCATCACGTGTTGAGTCAGGTTGGTTGACGCAATAGGATGTACCTTGTGCATGAATAAGGTACATCCTCTATAAGTAAATACATTCATGCGGGTTGTCAACCTGGAAATGCTTCCTTCGCCTTCGCATCAATCACACGCTTCCTTAAAGTAACCTAATCATCATACAGCATCATACAGGTGTATCCATCAGACTACACATGTCTATAACCCTCGCTGCGAACACTAACAACCCCCTTGGCTAGGTCCCTAACCTAGAGGCATATCCAAGTTAATCCCACTCGTCTCACCATTGATGCCGAAGAATTGAAACCTGCGAGTTTCGCAGTGTCAGTTTGAGATGCCAGGGAAATACAGAGACCATAAAAACATTTGCCAGGAACTACTCACCAGTCTTCCACGTTCAAAGTAGACGGCACAGGCTGCCCCGGCGCAGAAGAGCTCGTGCTCCAGCTGTCGCCGGGGCTGTGGCCCTCGGGGAGGTCATACCCCGTCTGCCACATATTGTTGGCCTGGCCCGAGAACCCCGCGAGCTCCGGCTGGAGCATGCCGTGGTTCTGCAGCGGGCTGCCGGCCAGGCCGCGCTTGTCGGACATACCCTGCCCGCCGAACTGGCCGTCCCCCTGGGACTGCATCCCCTGCGGCGGCATCTGGGCCATGAGGCTGGGGTCGAGCGTCTGCTGTGTCTGCGAGGGCGAGAGCTGGGGTACGGAGAGGATGTTGGCGCCCTCTGGGAAGAGCTGGTCCGGCTGGAAGTTCTCCCAGATGGCCTGCGACAGGTTTGGCGAATTCCTTGTGAATAAGTACAGGTCTGGTGGTGTCGTGGGTACCGAGAAGGATGGGTTGAATGGCGTCGTTGGCCGGGTATTGTGGCGGGATGAGGTGGTGCCCCCCATGACCGTATCGGTGTTGTGCCTCGCATTGGGCGACGTAACCGGAGGGGCCATCATCCCCGAGGCCATCTCCGTCTTCATAGCTAGACTCGGCGTCTGCGGTCTTGAGCGCTCGTACGATTCCTGCGGCTGAGGGGTGTTGACGCTGAAATCAATGGCCATGTCGTCGTATTTCCTTTTCGGGTCCTGAGAGCCCCGTTGGGCATTCTGCTGCTGATACTGCTCCAACCGCGCAAGGCTCTGCTGAGCTTTCCTATGCCTCTTACCAGCCGCTTTCTGGAGCCTCTCTTCCAGAACCTTATTTCCGAGAATCGACTCGAAGAGAGTGTAGACCATCTTCCCGACCAGCCACACCCGCGACACGTCTTTCAGGGCCGCCATGCAGATTCTTATCCTCTCCTGCGCACCCTGGTGTATGGTGGGCACCGGCGACCGCAACTGGTACACATGCATGATGAGCGCCGAAAAGAGACTGTACACCACGAAGGCAGGGCAGCATCTCAGTTCTCCGTGCGCGGAGAGATTCTCGATAATGGACGTGATCATGACAGCCGCTTGAAAGGCAATGTTCCTCGACGGGTAGACGGAATCATCTTGAAATCGCGACGACCCGCTCGGCGGCATGTGGGCTCGGTGCAGCAGGCACAGGGTGGTGTAGTAGTTAGCATGGAGCAGGGCCGACCAGAAATGGTGCCGCGGCACCTCCCAGTATACCAGCTTGGGACAATTCTGGAGCCAATCCGCGAGTGCCATGTCGCTGTGGGCGAGATCTATCGGGCTCTGCCTGCGCCCTTTCGACGCGACAGAGTACTGCTGCGAGAGGACCAGGCCCATGATCTCGCAGAGCTTGACATACTGCAAGAAGAAGTGGACGTGTACCGGGTCGGGAGGGTATTCGCTAGGTTGGTCGGCCTCGTCCTCGATGAAGTCGTCCTCGGTAACCATCTCCACGTCCGAGTCGTCCAGGTTGATGTGGACGGGCCGGCCCAGCGCAACGGCGACGGATCTGTCCCTGGTGAACAAAGACCACCAAATGCGCTTCCACAGCCTCTTGTCGGCTTTGCTGAGCTGTGAGCCCTCGACACTCCGATGCATGCCAGAGCCCTGGGCGACGATGGTTGCCACTCGGCTCCAGTAGAAGACGTTCTTAGTGACATCCTCTGGGCCTTCCCAATACCATCCCATCAGCAGCAGTGCCTGGACAATGGTCACCCTGTCGTCCTCGTAGTTGGCATCGTAGAGGGCCTTGGCTCTCTTGTAAAAGGTCAGAGCGGCGGGCGTGGTCGAGCCATTGGCGTCCATGAGCTGTTGGTTGTTGCAGACCCGGGATCCGGCCAGCAGGACGGCTTGCAAGAGGAGCAGTGATGGTGGATTCTTCGGGTCGCGGTATTGCCTCATGAACCTGGTACGGTTGATGACCGGGACGATGGGGTGGACCCATTTGAAGTAGGCGTCGATGAGCTCGTCGCAGAGCGCCCTGGGGGGTAGGAGGAAGGCGCCTCGCTGGTGCAGGATATCGATCTCGACATTGTCCAGCTCCGTCAGCCTCGCCCTAGAACCCCTTATGTTCTCAGGCAGGGGATAGTGGACCACGTCGGCAGACCCCTGGCGGTCGTGGACTAGTAGCGTCAAGTTGGACGACTCGCCCAGATATGCAACCCGTCCGGCGTCGGTGATGGGGGCTCTTGTGAAGCTGGGTTTCATGACCATGTTAATGTAGGTGGCCTGGTCTACCTCGTCTTTCTTCGCCTGCGCTTCTGAAACAGCAGTCGACGGCGTTCCCTCCGATGTGTGATAGACGGCGGGGGGTCGCGTCGTAAGGGAGGCGTGGTTGGGTGGTTGAGAAGACCGTTCTTGGGAGGCATCTCCTCGCTCGCTTGCACTCGAAACAGTTAGCGACGCCTCATCACCGGCTCTCGATCGAACAAGGAGAACATACCTGTCTGAATCCTTCGACTGCATCCCAGCCTGTGCCTTCTTTCTCTTTGGAGACGGGATGCGACATTCGATATTGAAGGCGACGCAGTTTGTGCACGGTACACCAAGGCTGGCAGCATCGCATCGGACCTGGGATCAATCGCCATGGTGAGTAAAGGCGACGAGGAGAGATGGGGTGGGCGGGAGGGGGCAGATGGCGGAGGCCATTCATACCTTGCGGGCATGACATGTCTGTACGGCGAGCCAGTGGTTAGCAAAAGATAGGATGCAGTAAGGTAAATGCGCGCGCATATGTGCCGAGGCAGCTGAATGGATGGAGAAGGCTCAATCCCCAGCAGCCCTACGTAGGTAGGCGGCGGCGGCCCGAGGTCACGGAGGAAGTGGAACTTACTTCACAGGCTCGGGAAGCTCGTTGTCTTTTTATCCCCCCACCCTCGCAGGTTAGCAACATGGTCGCGCGGCGCTGTGGCAGATGGGAATTTCCAGCTCCTACCTCCTGAAGCTCAACTGTCCGGCCGTCGTGGCCGCGGTCGTCGCGGCGGTGGGCCCCGTCGAGGGGTCTCGGTTGGACGAGGCGGACACGGACGGCTGCGACGGCGACATGGAGTCTTGCTTCTGCGACGCAGACTCGGCCGCCGAAGTCATGTCGGCATCCATACCGTCTTGTTTCTGGGGAACCTTGGAAACCTGGAACCTGCAAACGGGCGCAAATTGACCGGCGTTTGCGGAAGGACGCGACGGCGAAGAGTCGAAGAAAGTGTTGGTGTACGGCGGCGGGCAGTGTAACTTTGGTTTGTCGCACGCAGCCCCGCCACTCGGATGACGCCGGTCTCTCTCCTATTTCCTTCTCCAACCAAATGTCGAATGGGGTAGGTACGCGGGATGCTTGATTCTGCCCCCGGTTGCGCTCGCCTTGCTGTCGTCCGCTTCTTCAAGCTTGTAATACGTTGGTGAGAGAGCGGGACCAAAACCCCCCTGCCTGGATGCCTCTCAAGTTAAGCCAAGACACGCAGTTTAGTGTTTGCGACGCCGCTGCGCCGAGAAACTTTCCACTAAATTTTGGGTTATTAATTAATTCTCGCCTGACAACATTTGGCTGGTGGTAGTCAGGATCGATGCAATGAGGGATGAAGCACGTTTCTTTCGCAGCAAAAGACGAGGCATGTCATGTCCTCCCACAAGATACGATGAAAGGCAAGCCTACGAAGCCTCTCGTTCATTATTTGCATGTGAGCCGGCCAAGTTGTGTGGAGGCCCTGGGCCTGCACTAATAATTAATGAGTCTAATCAGAGCATTGCGACGAAACACCCCATCTCCTGTGCCCACCCATGACCAATTACCACCCGGAGCTAACAGCCAGAACCGGTACTTGGTCCGTCCCATCTGATCAAATCTGGGGAAGCCGGGAATCCTCCATTGCTTGGCCCTACCCTGCGCCCGGAGACGCACAAATGCAGGCGGAGTCGCGTGGGATACTTGTTACTTACCGTTATAACTTACTCCGGCCCGCATAATTATCGTCCTCCGCATACTCGCTTGCATCTCTCGGAAGTGAGTATTCTCAGGGGAGGGGGAGGGTGAAGGCGAGAAGATCGATCGGACAAGGCTGATCAGCCCGCTGAAGCGATGGTACCTGAATGGACGAATTCTTTCTTCCCCCCCTGCCTAACCGCTTCCGAGCATTTGGCCCGCCGATGGCTAAGCAGACCTCCGGCTCTTCCCATTGACTCGCAGGAGCATTAGGAGCCCCGTAGTGACGCATTGAGAAGCCACCTAAAACCCAACTACTGCTGTAGGCGGTCTGAATGTGCCGAGGCCTCCGTATATAGTAGAGATAGAAATTTTGGGGTTTCTCAAAGTGAAGAGCCCCTGACCAAGAGCCCCTGACCAGGAGCTCCTTGACCCCTATGATGGTCGTTGACGAGTTTTTAGACAAACGTCATGATCCATACACTAAACCAGATCCTGAACCCCTGAATATATACACTACGTAGCACATACGTACCTAGTGTTCCAGAAATCTCACAATGATAATTATTAGTAAAAAGCCAAGCTGAAAACCAGATCTCGAGTGGGGCAGATCAGTTTAGGGGATCGTATCCGTAGACTAGGTAGGTAGGTACCGAGCAGGCAGAGCTGAAGAGGGCTGTCGAGAGGCCCCCGCCATGCTCCAACAAAGTGGAGAGCACGAAAGTAGGTAGGTATTGTACTGTACCCTGTGTATTGTACATACATACATACTACATAAGTATGCTACACTGACAAACGAAAAGGTTATAGACTGAACGTGTCATGTTTTACTCCTGAGATGCCTTCGTGTCCTTGTCAACAATCGACTCCAGCACCCTCAGTTTCTCCTCCGTCACCCTGATGGCCTCTCTTATCTCCCTCTCCGACATCCTCTCCTCCCGGACCCTCTGTTCCACCGCCCTCGGATCCGCCGTCCTCTTCCCCGTCTGCGTATTCCCACCACCGCCCACGCCGCCGCCGCCGAGCTGGTTCAGCCCGACCCGCTCCTCCATCCACTCCCACAGCTCGCCCTCCTCCCTCCTCCAGATCTCCTCGTAGGCGGCGACTCTGTCGGCGTAACCCACGTATCCGAGGTCGTGGCCGTAGTGCCTCGACGCCTTGGCGTTGGAGCCAAATCCGAACCACGCGGCGACGAGCAGCCCGACGAGCAGCCCGTAGACGACGTTGCCGGTCAGAATGGGCTTGATGGCGTCGACGAAGGGGCTGAGGAACGGGCGTGCGGGCTCGAGTAGGCCCCAGTCTTGCTGGACGGCAGCCTTTGATCTGCCTCCCTCGCCGTCGCTCGCCGGGCTGGACGTCAGGGCCGACTTGCCCTTGCGGCCCCTCTTCCTCAGCTTGGTCAGGCCTAACTTGGGCCGAGACACGACCTCCGATTTCAGGCTCGCGAAGAGGTCTTTGCAGAATTGTGTCTGCCCGTCGTTCGCACCCTTCTCGATCGGACCTGTTGCCACGGTTGTTAGCGGGAGTGTATTACGGGGATAGCGCCCGGATCATATCATCATCCATACTTTTGAGCCAGCTCTTGCTGGTCCATTCTATGGTGCAATTCACCTGGACTCGGGTTGCATTGTTCTCGGCCCAAGACAGGCAGTACTTGGTCTTGACGGCGAAGAGGTTCCCACTCGGCACGTCGGGGTTCTGCGTGGTGACGAGCACGTTGACGGATTTGTCGAGGCTCATGTGTTCGAGCTGTTCTGTCACCATGCACTTGGTTTGCCTCGGCCCAATCGAGGCATTTAGGGGCTTGATGTAAGAGTACGACCTCGACTTGACCTCGTCGCCCAGTCCTCTCTTGTCCTCAATCTGCAGGTCCGTACATTTCTGGTCCACCGTGAGGAACCTGCCCATCCACACTGCTGATGGCGCTCCGAAGAGGAGGTTATAGACCTTGCCAAGTGGCGCAGGAATGACATCGTCCCCTATGACTTTGTCGTAATGGGTCGCTGTGTCTCCGCAGTCTGTTGGCGGATGGGTTACAGGTCCGGGGAAGTCCACGGCAGCGCCCGAACCACCACTCTCGTCCGACTTTTCGCATACACCGTTGGTGGCGACAGCCCCTGACGGCTTGCGGGTAACCGCCTTCTCGGCCGGCATTTCCGACGCCGAGGGGGCGTCGAGCGCCTGGCTCAGCTCTAGGACGTCGTCGTTTTCCTCATCTTCGTCATAGATATCGTCGCCCTCGTCGCTCTCGTCCTCGGATCCGGACGCAGTCTGGCTTCCCCCGACAGACTCGGCATCCACCTTCTCGGTCCGGTCGCCGCCCGTCTCTTGTAACCTGACGCCGTTGAGCGAGCTCTTCAGGCTTGGATGTCCCAGTTTCCAGATCTTGACGATGAGATCATACGTCGAGTCTCGACTTGTGAACGATGCGAAAACATGCTTCGCGTGAAGGGTGGAGATCTCCAGCCCGTTCTTAAACACCAGGGCGGTGCTCCTCTTCTCGACAGACACTATCTCGTCAAAACTCATCACTAATGTCGTCACCCAGCCGAAAATGTTGCTGCTGAAGCACAGATGTCCTTCCGACACATATAGCCGCCCGTGGGCCAAGATCTCGCGCTGCAGGGCGCAGCTGTAGTCCTCGATCAGATAGTCGTCGTCCGGGACACTCTTGAACTGGCTGTGGAAATCGCGATTCCGCTTCTTGCTTGCGACCGCAAACCCCGTGAGTTTTGGAGCCACGTGGGGATACACGACAGACGCATTCGCGGCAGCAATGGCCGCACCGATCGTCATGCCGGTCCCCGTGGTGCCACCTGTCGCCGCACTGCTGCCGCGTTTTCTCCGCCTTCCCGTGACACTACGGATGCTCCCGCTGCGCTGAATGCCGCTTTTCCCCTCGTATACACTGCCTTGGGGGGGCGTCCGGTCGCCGAGCGGGGTGTGTTCGTAAAGGGAGTGGGGCCGATTCGGTTCATACACTGGAGGCTCAATGTTCACCTGGCTCGAGTCCACCGGGGCAGAGTCAGACCGCGCCCGAGAATCAACCATGTCCGGGAACTTGGCGGACATGGGGGTTGCGGCAGCACTGTTTGGCTCCATGATTCCAAGTTGGCTCAAGCTGAGGTCCCCCATTCCGAGCGTCCTGACGGCGAGCTCCTTTGCTTCCGTCGACTGGCCCGGCGTGGCTACCGTCGCAGGCTCAACCTCAACGTTATCTTCTTCCACCTCGCCCTGTTCCTTGCGGATTGGGAGCTTGCTACTACTGCCTCCTTGCCCAAGATTGGTGGTGGATATGGTATTGCTCAGTGTGTGTGCAGTATTCTGGACAGCTGATATCATCGACGAGAAGAAGCCGGACGCAGGGTTTCCCGGCGAAGGTAGACCGCTCTCTGGGGTTGGGGTCAGGGGCGCGGGGGTAATGTTGGAGAGCTTGCTGGGGCCTAAACCGGTAGAGCTAGCTCTGCCTCTTCGCTGTTGGATCATATTTCTCGAAGGGGAGGCATCGGACGGGGATGGCGAGCTCGGCAGCGCTTCCCTGGCCGAAGTCGTCGATTTGAAGGTCGGATAATTAGGGTCTGTCGGTGTGGGTGGGGTGTTGACGATGACCGGGGTCGCTTTCTCGTCCGGGGGAGTTTGAGGTGGCCGAGTAGTGTCGATCTTCTGGCCCCGGGAAAGCCGCCGTATACGCTCAGAGGGGGTTATCTTTGCGGCATCGGGTCCTTGTTTCGGCGTATCGCCTGCTTCGACCTGGGGCTTGGCCAGATTCGCCAGAGACTTGGAAGAGTCGGGAGCCCTATCGAGATCAGCAGAGCGGGATTTGCGCTCTGGGCTTGAACTGGCGTTGCTTGCCGAGCCCTTGCTGCTCGCCGTACTCTTCTTCGTGAATACCTCTTTCAGACGACCAGCAGGTGACGGAGACCGCTTGGCCTGAGACAGCGGAGGCACGAGCCCGGTCTTGCTTGTGACGAGGGGAGGTGTAGATTCGAGGCCTTCGATGGCCGGAACGGGGAATGTAGAAGAATGCCGAGGGGATGGGTCAGATGACAGCAGCGTGTCCGGCGGCTGAGATTCTAGCTGGTGAGTTGCCTGCACAACCGGAGAGGATGTCGTCAGGTAACCGATTTGCGATGGATGTGTGGAGATGGTTTGAGGTCGACTTGGAGATCTAGCGTCTGGTCAGTGCTGGAGACTGGGGCCAACGAAATAGAAAGACAAAAGGGGCCGGGTCAAAACAATTGAAAACAACAAGTTGCAGCCACAAGAAGGCTATTGGAAACACAAACAGCCATGAGGTTTGGCCAGGCTGTTTTCCGGCGTATCTAAAGCGGCACAGCCTGGGCCTATGTAATACCCGAGTGGCCATGAATCCTCGAGATCCACCGCCAAAACTAATTGGAGCCGGAGCTCCCGCCATCCCGGACGCCGAGGTGCAGGAACAAGACAAGGAAATGGTAATTGCTTACGATTCCGGATCCGATTCATATGAGGCCAGGCTGCTTTCCTCCGCGTCGGCGGCGTTGCCGCTGAAGCTGTCGGTAGTCTGTTTGCTAAAGGAGCTCCTTCCCCTCGCCGGCGCAATCTCTTCGTTGCTGCTCGCAGTTTCAGCAATGGATGATTCCTTCTTGCGGCGTCGCTTCGCGCTGATGGATTTTGGGAGGAGCTTCCCGAAGCCGTTGCCTTCCATTCCTACAGGCGTCGCCTTGGTGCTTTTCTCTCTGGGCTGTTTGTTGGTAGTTTTTGTTTGAGGTGCGAAGGGGCAACTCGAACGACGAGCGTTTTCTGTTTCTGAGGCGAAGCATTACCCCGTGTCGACGCATGTATATCCGTACATTCCAAGTACGGACAACTGCAAAGGCCATCCTCTCAGTTATGTTATACAACTAGGGGTGTAGGTCTAGTACGCCCGGTGGTTGGAGAGATAAAAGGCCGACTGCGGGGTTTATCCCATTCCCCCGGTCAGTGTAACGGACAATTAAGTGGAAAAACTCTATGGCTTAATTATACGAACATACCGTTCACGCTTAACCATTTCACACCCACAACGTCCTTGAACAGCCGAGATGAATGGGAAATCATAGGGTATTTTAATTATAGGGGCCTGGCAGTCTCTAAACGCCTTTAGGACTGCGTCACAGCAACAATCACTGCCCATAGGAACCACCCAGGTATAGGACGCCTACCAATCTTGCCAAAAAAACACTCTAGACCTACCAGACGGCAACAAGGAGAGTATGACGGGTTGCACTGTACAGGGCTGGGGGACAAACAGAAAAACATTCGCGCCTTCTTCCTTGCACGAAAAGGGGCCGCACAGGAACGCCTATGCAACACTGCCGTCGACGTAACTGGGAATCATCTGCAGGCCAAGGGTGCGTCCCTTGGCCAGCCACACCATGGTAGAGAATATCTTGACCGAGCCGAGCCGGCCGGCACCCCCGCCCCGGCCGACCGCGCAGGAGAAGATGTCAAAGGGTAGACCCTTGACCACGGCCGGCTCTTTACCCCTCAACACGGCGCCAATGTTTTTTGCCACGCCGACAGCCTGTTGGTGAAGGTTCTGGTGTCAGTAATCCTGACTATATCATGCGGGAGTAAAAGGGTGGAAGATGAAATGCCCGCGAGAGGTTTTGGTCTAGTTTGTCGTCTGCACATACCTGCTTCTGCGTGATCAAGAACCCCGCCCTCGGCTTCGAAACGAGGTCTCCAAGAGCCCACACGCCATCAACGCCCTTGACTTTGCAGTACTGGTCGACGGGCACATGCTGCTCGTCGTCCAGATACTTCGTGTCGACGTACTCCGAGTTGGGGACCATGCCCGTGGTGGGCAGGTACAGATCCGTCGTGATGACCTCCCCGTTCCGCAGCACCACCTCCGTCTTCCCGTCCGCCGCGGCGGCAGGCCTCACGCTCTCGACCGTCGCATCCGTCCTGACTGTGACGCCCAGGCCTGTCAGCTGGGAGCGCGCGTTGCCGGCGATGGCGTCGCCGCCCAGGATCTCGGGCCCGCCAGCGAGAAGCACAATCTCCTTTGCCTTCTTCCGGCCGTACTCGAAGCCCAGCTCGCCGGCGAGCTCGACGCCCGTGGCGCCCGCGCCGCCGACGACGATGTGGCGCGCCGCGTCGACACGTGACGTCGTCTCGCGGATCAGCGTGACCGCCTCCTCGTACGAACCCGCCGCCTTCCAGGGCACCTCGGGCCCGCCCGCGGTGACGGCGGAGCGCGCGCCCGTGGCGAGCACGAGCTCGTCGTACGGGAGAGTCCTGATGCCGCTGCCGTCAAGCGGGGAGACGGTCACCGTTTTGGTGGCGAAGTCGGCGGCGTCGGCAGTCCCGATGATCAGCTCGTAGCTGGACGACGGGTACCGCGAGAGAGCCGTTGACAGCGGGTGGAAGAGCTCCTCGTCCTTGAGAACGCCCGGGATGACGGCGCGGACCGAGGCCATGTTCCAGTACAAGTGGCTGTTCTTGGGGGTAGAGTTAGCGGGAGGGGCTCATGGGAGGCAAATCTGGAGAAAAAAAGGGGGCTGTGTCTCTTCGCCCAAGAAGCGGCTCCTCACCTTCGAAACGAGAACCACCTTCACATCCTGGATCTTTTGCTTCAGGAGGTAGTGGGCAACGTGAAGGCCGGCGTAGGAACCTCCTAGGATCACGACAGTCTTAGTCATGATTGGCAATTCGAGGAAGCGGGGGTTGATATATAACACTGTCTTGTAAATTCCACTTTGGCGAGCTGCAGCAGACAGCAAAGTAATAGTACTGCTGGATTAGGACCCGACAATGAGGGCATAGACCATTGAGGTGTTACGAAGTTTAAGACTCGAAGCTAAAATCTATCGGGGAATGAGATGGGGGAGCTTCTTCTTATATGTGCCCGGGCACCCCGGGTAGGGGCGTTTCGGGACAGTCCATGCAAGCACGCAAAATAAAATAATGTAGACGGGAAGTCGGGGTGACATGGCAGGAATGTGCGACATAAGTGGATGGGACACCTACCAGGTGGTATGGAACCTACCTTCACAAATGTCAAAGAGGCTGTACAGTACAAGAGCTATCAGGGTTACGATGGAAGGTTCCTGCCTGCCACCAGGTAGGTATGTAGGTAGGTACCTGCCTACGTACGCCTCCTGATCGGTATCGGTGTCCGGCCGGACGGCGTTCCCCCAAGAAGTGGCGCTGGTAGGTATTATTTGGTGTGCTTGGTCATGCAATTAGTCATCTACCTTACGGCAAGGCTGGTGCCCAGAGTGGTGCGCAGTCTGTGCTGAGGACGGGAAAGAATGGTTCCATTGGCGCATGTTTGTGGTTGAGATGGTATCTCGTCCGAGTTTGGCCCGATGTTTACAGTTTACCATGTGGGAGATTTCTGGCCAACCTAAATTGCTTGCGAATCAAGACATGCATTCCCAGGTTCCAGGTTTTGTCCCAACGAGGAAACAGTCTGAGAGGATCCGCCTCGAACGAACCTAGAGACATTCATTGGTTCATATTCGACGAGGGTGAATTAAGATATAATGGCTAACAGGGACGGATGGCCATGTTTTTGACTTGCACGCCCCTGGAGCTAATCATGTGTTTATTTTCCAGGTTGGTAGTGGAGCTGCAAGCGGTGACGCTGGGCCTCTCCCCCTCTCTCCTCCAAACCGGGCTAGGTCTCGTGGCCCCGCCAAACCTGCTCAACAAGGCCAAGGGCCCTCTCAACCTTTTGCCCTCGAAATCCAACTACCACACCGCAGCACCGTCGTCCCAAGCTGTAACAGCTCCCCTTTCGCCAGATTAGCACCGATTACTTTCGAGCCCCAGCAGCAAACATGTCCCCACCACAAAGCGACGCCTTCAAGAAGGCCATTGCCGACTCCAAGAAGCTGACCGCGAAGCCTAGCAACGAGCAGCTCCTCCAGCTGTATGGTAAGTCTCCTCCTCCTCCTCCCGATTCTAGCCATACTCCGCGGCGGCACAAGCGCTGATTTATTGCAGCCTTGTTCAAGACCGGTACCGGCGAAGACTTTGCCAAGGCCCCTGCCCCAAGCATGTTCGATATTAAGGTGAGAGCTGCCCCCGACGCCCATGCCGATGCCCGACGCCCGACGCCTAGGCACTGGAGCTGCAGATCGCTGATAGTGGTGACTCCCCCAGGCAAAAGCCAAGAAGAATGCCTGGAAGGCGATCGTCGACGAGGGCATAAGTGCTGAGGAGGCCCAGGAGAGATATGTCGAGCTAGTCGAGGCGCTGAAGGAGGAGCATGGCTACGACGAGAACAAGCAGCCCGAGGCTGTGGGCAGTTAATGATCTATCTTAGCTATCATATGCCGAGAGTAAGATGGAAGCGACTAGGAGAGATGCCGCAGTGACAAACGTCGCGCGGATTGAGTCTACATGAGCACTCGTGGTTGGTCATTCCCACAACTATTGGCAGCACGGCACAGCAACGCAAATCCCCCATCATGCCGTGGCCCTGTGATCCTCTGCGATCCCCTGCGATCCACTCCCATCCCCTCCAATCCCTTGTGTTGCCCATCACTCATATTCATCCACTTTCCCACGTGCGGCCCTTCCAGTCCGGCTCCTCGTAGCTTGCGGTAGCGACCCAGGGTATCTCGTCTTTCCCATATGGTTGCAGAGGCAGATTGTAGGGCATCCGAACCCCAATCACAGTCTGAGCTCCTTCAATACTGTCCGCAGCCGGCTTGTCCGCCAGAACGGTGGGCACCATCTTCGCATCTTGCGCGTAAAGTGAAGGCCAGACCAAGACCCCGATCTCGTACGAGCATACCCGCATCTCGCCAGATTTGTTTGTTGCTTCACCCCAGGCCTGCTTCGAGAGATTCGCCGACGTTAGGAGAGCCCAGTCAATGGACTTATCCCCATAACGAATATAGGTCTTAATGTGAGGGGCTCCTCGGTTTCGACCCGCGTCTAGTATGGCCACATCGTCTGGGATCTCTGGAAAGCGCGCTGTCAGCTGGATATCTCGGTGACATGCCACAGTAACTTACTTGAGCCGTCCCGGGCATCGTTGGCCCAATGACAAAACATAGGCTTGAGATACTGGAGCTGCTTCGCCTGCTGGGATGACTGGATCTTTGTGTGGATTGATCCGCCAGACTGATATCCATCCAACGAGCGCCGGATTTCGTCAGGGGTCGGGAAAACAATCTTGAAATCCGGCTTCTGACCAGCTGGGCCTTGGTGGGACTCAAGGGCACTGAACAGAGTGTTTCGCAACCAGTTGTCGGTTGGGCCTAGAGTAGCAATAGACGAGACCTGTACTACGATCTCGGATTTCCCCTCTTGAACGGGGACCGATCGTAGAGCGTACTTTATCGCATCCCATCCCCACGAGGTGGCTGACTCCTGGGTCTTGTGCCTTCCGGGCACGCTTGCTATCAGTCTCGCCTTGATGGATGAGAAATCGTGCCTGGACAACGCATCGATAATCGGCCTGCATACAGTCCATCGGCAATCATAAGCTTCGAGATAATTCGTGAGATCGACCTTGAATTTTTCGCCGATTGCAATCTCCCACATACGACCACCCTCGAGCCGACGCTCCTGATATAGGGGCAAAAGGGGGGAACGCCATACAGCTTGCGTCATGTTTGCCCAATCTCGCGAGATCATATTTGCAGTATGAATGATGATCTGGGCAGTGTCATCGTGGCGCAGGAGAATCATCATCTTAGAATGATGAGTCCCGAACATCTCGGGCAGGAAGGCATTGTGGAGAGAGACATTCTTGTACTGAGCGGCTTGAAGCTGAGTAGGAGTCAGTCTCGGATCTCAGCCTTCCCCACCACCACAAATGATCGAAACATATGTGCGGTGTAGGGTATGAAGCAGGGTATGATGGGGTTAATGAGCGCAAGGAAGAAAATGAAATGAACTGAGCCATCGCACGAAGAGGTGCGCCCGGACAGGGCTATAGCCGTTGACAACGAGGAAATGTGACCAAACAGGGCTACTCGAAAAAAAAGTAGCGCTATAGTGGAAGAGGACAGGAGCAAAAACCTACCTGCAACTGCTGACGGCTTGGGTCATCCTGCTTCCAGAATCCATGGATGACATGAACTTTGACAAGACTTCTGACGTCCTCGTCAAAAGCATTCATCAAGAAGTCAATGTCGTGAAGGTAATTGAACTCCCAGCACTCCGAGATGAGAGGGTCCCCAAGAATGTCCGTCAAGGTAACAGCATCCACATTCAACGACGGCGGAAGATCCCGAATCGCAGTCAGTTGAAAAGGCGACTCGACCAGCTTCGGTCCTGTAGAGGCCACGGGCGCTTCTGCTGTCTCCGTGAGCTGGGCCCTCTTGCCCACAGGACTGATGGGACGTGTCAGAGAAAGAGGCAGGGAACCACGACTCGGCTCGGGCACGGTCTCGTCATTATCGACGCGAGCTCGTTTACTTGGTCGTTCCATGATGTCTCTCTGATGTCGCCTTGAACCTCAATAGGCGTATTATTAGATGTTAGTGTACGCCAGTACACATACACCACCGCAATTCGTGGTTCGTGATTCGACACTGGTTCAGGCTACCTAGGCGCATGGGTGGCTAGCTGCAGGTCTAGGCCATGGAAATAAATTATCGGGGTGCACGAGCCATATCGCCTTGGATTTCAGGCCAAAATGCTGCGGGCAAATCAATTTACCTCCTGAGTCCAGATTATCCATGCAACCAACAAAAACAGCCTCCTGCCGATAGATGAGCATCAATCTTGGGAGCCCTAGAACACCAAACGATTTGCTGCCTCGACGATCGATCAAATAGCAGCTACGAACTAACGAGCCATCTTTGAAGTCTACGAGAGTCCGGCTTTGGCTCGATCGACTGGTTGGCGGCGCTGCGTGGGCTTGTCGCTTGTCCGGGAGTCGATGACTCTGCCCTGAAGCTTTCTCCCTCAGCGTTGACAACGTATTGACTTCTGCGGGCTCAGTGCCACGCGTGGTCAGCGCCCTTCACTATGCGGCTCTTTCCATTTTCCCTCCTGTTTGGCGCAGCCACCTTGGCCGCAACAGCCTTCGCGGTTGACCTATACCCCGAAGATGCGACACGAGAGAACACATATTTCAATGGGCACAAGGTCCCCCCAATGCTAGAGCTTACTGAAGCCAACTGGGAGACACAATTAAAGGTGACGAAGTGGCTGTTCGTGAAACACTACAGGTAAGCTACTTGATAACAAATATGTACCGTCTTCTAGCATACTAACCACTCTGTAGCCCTTGGTGTGGGCACTGCATAGACTTCGCACCGACCTTGCAGACTCTCTACGAGTTCTATTACACCTCCCATCCGAGCGGGAGTGGAAACGAAGATGCCGATTTCACGAAATTCTACGACTTCCGGTTCGGAATGATTAACTGTATCGCATTTTCCGACTTTTGTGCTGCCCAGGGGGTAAAAGCGTACCCTTCGATGCTGCTATATAAGGATGGAGAGCTGGTCGAGAACTTCAAGGGATCGAAGAACATGTCATTCCTGAGCAACGCCATCGAGGACGCCCTGGAGAAGACGAAGCCAGGAACAAGGCCCGCGAAGCTGTCCCTTCCCAACCCCGGCGACACATCCTTTGGAGAGCCAGCCGCCGTGGAGTCGGCATCAGCCAAGCAAGAAACGCAGCCGGCCGATGTCTCTAAGAGCGCCCGGGTCGCCCCGTCCCCGACTACCGCTACGCAATACCGCGCCGCCCCCGCCAAGGTAGCAAAGCCGGTCGCCACCCCGAATGTCGAAGGTGCGTCGGTTTCTCTAAGTGCCGAGACTTTCCAGACATTGGTGACAACGACACACGAGCCTTGGTTTATCAAATTCTACGCCCCGTGGTGCCACCACTGCCAGGCCATGGCGTCGAGTTGGGAACAGTTGGCGAAAACGATGAAGGGGAAACTGAATATTGGCGAGGTCAACTGCGATGCCGAGCCACGCCTGTGCAAGGATGTCCGACTCAAGGGTTATCCCACAATCCTCTTCTTCAAGGGTGGCGAACGTGTCGAGTATGACGGTCTCCGCGGGCTTGGCGATTTCGTACAGTATGCCGAGAAGGCGGTCGAGATCGCCGGCGGTGTCCAGGACGTCGATGCTGCTTCTTTCAGCGCTCTCGAAGAGCAAGAGGACGTCATCTTCGTCTACTTCTACGACCATGCCACCACGAGTGAGGATTTCTTGGCCCTAGAGAGGCTGCCGTTGAGCCTCATCGGGCGTGCCAAGATAGTCAAGACCCAGGACCCGGACTTGTACGAGCGCTTCAAGATCAGCACCTGGCCCAGGCTACTCGTCGCACGGGAGGGACGGCCGACATACTACACACCTCTCACGCCCAAGGACATGCGTGACACTCGCAAGGTTTTAGGCTGGATGAAATCGGTGTGGCTGCCGATTGTTCCGGAGCTGACAGCGTCCAACGCCCGCGAGGTTATGGATGGCAAGCTTGTTGTTTTGGGGATTCTTAACAGGGAAGACCAGGACTCGTTCCAGAGCGCAACGCGCGAGATGAAGAGTGCCGCCAACGAGTGGATGGACAAGCAGATCCAGCTATTCCAGCTCGAGCGCCAAGAGCTCCGCAATGCCAAACAGTTGCGCATCGACGAGGCCGAGGACCGCGGCGATCAGAGGGCTCTGCGGGCCGCCAAGAGCATCCGAATCAACATGGACAAGTCTGACCGGAGGGAGGTGGCATTCGCCTGGGTCGACGGTGTCTTCTGGCAGAGGTGGATCCGCACCACCTACGGAATAGACGTGAAGGATGGTGAGAGGGTAATCATCAATGACGAAGACGTAAGTCGCATTCTCCAAATTATCTGGTCTTGAACACGTTTGTTAACATATCACAGAACCGACGGTACTGGGACCAAACAATCACGGGCAACTATATCATCCCCTCGCGGACGTCGATTCTCGAGACGCTCAACAAAGTCACCGCCTCGCCGTCGAAGATCAAGCCGAAGCTCACCATCTCCAGCCTCGAGAAGATGTTCTTTGATACGCGCATCACCTTTATCGAACACCCCTACCTCACAGTTGGCTGCATTCTCGGACTCGGGCTCGGCTGCGCCTCCTGGTTCAGGGGCAGGCTCAGGAGGAACCGTGGTGGACATTTCTCGTTGGACGACGGCGCGGGAACAAAGGAGTTCAAGGCGCCGCTTCTTGGCGCCAACTCTAACGGGAAAGTTGATTAGGATACGACTGACTGTTTTTTTGGATCATCCACTCGACGCTCGGGGAGGCCGGGGAAGTAGAGCATGAAGATAAATCGAGTCTATGAGGAGTTAGCCTTCAGGCGGGACTAGTTGGTTTTGCTGCCCTTTTTTTCGCGGTATAAAGTTGGTCTGTATAATATTGGACAGTACCCCGTGCGCAAAGTCGTCAAGACTCTTCTGGTTTTTTTTACTTCATTTTTTCCTCCTTTTTCTTTTCTTTTCTCGGTCTGTCATGTCGATGGCTGGATGGCTCGGCGTGCAAGCAAAGACCTCTTGTCAGTACCTAGGGGTGATAGAAATGGAATGACCGGGATGCGTCGTTGGCAATGGCGGGTGTTGCATAACTAATACTTAACTGTTTCTTGGCCGTCTGTTTACTTCCCTTTTGTTTCCGAATTGTACTTCCCACGGCTGGACTGGCACTGCGGATTATAGGAGTTCTGTACGGGTTCGACTCTACGCATATAAATACACACAGACTTGGATCAGACTGCTTTGAATACTCATAACCTCCTAGGGGAAGAGCGTATGTCTCTAATTCTTGAAGAACTGGAACAATGTATTTGCGATCACTACATATATTGGCCCGTCACACTTGGCTACTGATGAAACACCATCACCCGGATCACGAACCACACACTCGTTACAAGTAGTAATTAGTCATCTCGTCGATGACCCATCTGCAACGCAGAGAGAGAGAAAGCTGCAACACAAGCCTCGCCCGGGCGCAGCTCCCTCAAGTGTATAGCTCGTCAGTCAGCGAGTTTAGCGACAAGCCCTCCTTAGCCAAGTCATCGACGTCGGCGAGGAACTCGAGCGGCATTTCGACCAACGTCCCGCGCACGCGGCTGAGCCAATCCTTGACCTCGCGAACCCCCGCGGGGAACTCATCGCGGACGATGTGGCCGTAGTCGACCCTTCCCGGCTGGGGCTGGGACCCGGGCTGGACGAAGCGGCGCGAGAAGAAGTCGTCGTAGTCGGCCCAGGAGCGCACGCGGTCGCTGGGCACGGCGTGGAAGGCCCTGTCGTACACCTCGGTGTTGCGCCGCGCCGTGGCCCGCCACAGGTCCAGGAACCCCGGCGACAGCGGGTCGCGGACCAGGGCGTCGGCGGCGGAGCCCCAGTCGTAGCGGTTGGGGTGGTCGCGGTCGACGGGGGTCCAGTTGGGGTCCGGGCGGTCGGGCGGCTGGTGCGGCAGCAGGCCGAGGTGCTTGCGGAAGAGCTGGCGGCGCAGCGAGGCGGCGAAGGCGGACGCCGTGTAGGGCCGGCCGGCCATGGTCGACTCGACCGGCGTGGGGTCCTCGATCACGACGGCGATCTCAGAGTCGTGGTCGCCCAGCTGGCTGCGGTCGTTGAGGTTGGCGCTGCCGCAGATGACGACGTGGTCGTCGGCCACGAGCACCTTGCTGTGGATGTACAGCTCCTCCGACACGAACGCGTCCATCTCCGACTCAGGCGTCCCCGTCCACGGCACCGAGTGCAGGTCCGGCCCCGCGGCCATGTAGCAGGCCGCCACGCTGTCCCAGCTCTTGTCCTCGGTCTGGGCCGCCGCCTCCTGGTACCGCCGGTACTGGCTGTCGCCGCGCCCGAGGTCGCCGTAGGGCTCGTACCCGTCGCCCCCGCGCTCGACCCGGTTGTCGAACTCGCGGCGCGCCGCCTCGTAGCTGACGCCGCTCTCGCGCTCGGCCTCGCCCAGCGTCGACGACACGTTGATGCGGTCGAAGTTGCGCAGGTTGTAGAAGCTGAGGTACCGGCTCGGGTCGTCGACTCCTTCCTGCCGCAGCGCCTCCATGATGCTGTGCCCGCCGCGGTTGATGCTGTTGTACTGGAACTCCATGATGGCGCGCGTGCCGAGCGCCCCGTCGGACTTGAGATCTCCGGCGAAGGCGGGCACCGCCGGCATGAGGACGAAGATGTGGAACGTCTCGCCAGCCTGGTGGGCGCGCACAATCCGGTCGACGATGGCGCGACCGATCTTATTGGCTACTGGGCGCTGCTTGTCGGACGTGGCGGTGATGAAGAACTGGTTCTCGATGTAGACGAAATGCTTCGCATTGGTGATGGCCGCGATGTAGGCATTGGCGATGGAGTGCTCCTTGGGATGGCCAGCAGACCAGGGACAGGCGCTTGGACAAGTGAATACATACGTCCGTTTGGGATAAAAGAAAAAGGGGGAAGATGGGGGGGATGGGGTTGGAAGGCAGTCTGGCCAACATACCTTCGTGTAAGCTGAATATGGGCCTCGCCTCCTTGTCGATCGTGTCCACCCCTAGACCCATCCCGCTGCATCATCCGGTGGATGCCATGATGGAAGTGCTGGTGTAAGCCGCCAAAGAACCGCTCACCTTCAGGAAGCAATCCTTCACGTGGCGGGGAGTGGGCTACTCTTGGCTGGATTAGCTGGTACTTTTTGGGGTCTTTTGCCAGGTATTTCTGGTTAAAGATGTAGTTCCTAGACGAGGTCAGAGTCTGTTATGGAGAATCATATCGCGTTGGGCCGCAGTAATACCATCTATCCGTAAAATGCAGGATCAGGCTGTCGACGATGGGACCTGACAAGCTGATGCTGATGTCTGACCATCCCATTCTCGAACTCTTGGTGCGGTCAACTGTCACTGTTTAAGCCTTATTTCCGAATCACGCGCACATGGACATGCTTGCCGTCTTACGCTTATTAATCTCCCACTTCGTGACATCCTCAAAGTCGTAGATTCGGGCATTGTTGTAGTCCTGTCCCGGGAAGATGATGGCGTCCAGGTTTCCGGGATGAACATCGGCAATAGGGTGGCCTAGGGTGTCAGCAATCAACGACTTCTCATAACTGGCTCCGTGGAGCTTTACTATTTGTATCCCATCGGCCGAAGCCTAGTCGATGTTAGTACTAAGCACACCCGCCAATGCCGCTGCTCTGTAGTTTGGGAACAACATACACATGTCAAGGCCACCCATGAAAGCGATCTTGTCATCAATGATACAGAGCTTCTCGTGGTGGGCCCAGAAAAGGACCATGTCGTCGCTGGTCCCGTACAGCGCCTTCAGGGCGTCTCCAGAGAACTTGGCGAGGTCAAAGGTTCTCAAGGAGAGGTTTTGGAAGCTAGACTCGAGCTCCGCTTTCACATCATATCCGCTTGGATGATGGTCGGGGTGTCTGAAGACCTTGACGTTGGGATGTAGGCCTTCTAGAGCATGTTTAGTATGCTTCAAGCAGGAGCCTTGTTAGCCCCTTGAGTCTTCGACGGGGCTAAATACCCTCACCTCGGAGTTCACTGCGGGTAGACATCAGCATCGCCGGCGGTAATAAGATACAGAACAGTCAACTACGGCACTTACAGGTCAAAGCCTGCGGCACCTCCTTATAGACGATGACATTAACCTTCACCCCCCGCTCGGCGGCCGCCCGAAGCATGTTGTCAAGGCGGTATTGCTCATTGTGAGCAGCCGGACGGCGGAGGTGGAGCTCGGGGCTCAGCCACCAGTCCAGGATGTAGATGCTTTCCCGGGCCTCTGTTTAGGGCGTGAGCTAAAGAGGCCTTGCTTGGAAAGGGGGTTGGAGATGCATCACCCTCGAGGGCCATGGAAACGGCCCAGAAATACGAGGCCCCGTCGACATACCACTTGGCATGGCCTGATGACTGAGGAGCAAAGGAAGAATAGCGATTCCCGCTGTCTACTTTCACTTGCTGCCCCTGGTCGTGATGGGATTCCCCCAGACCATCAAATAGCTCCTCGACACCTTCCTTCACCTTTTCTTTGACCTTGTCAAAGAGCTTCTCCATAGCGATGATGTCCTGAGTCTTCAACAATGTAGGTTTAAACACAAGAACGAAATTTTAAGTCAGATTACAAGTCAAGCAGCGGCGGGATGTTTGATATACGTCATGAGCTCAGTTGGTATGACTGAATGTGTCAGAGGAGCTGAAACGGGAATTGTGGTTGTTAAGGTTTGGTGGCTAGCATAATCCTCCCAATGCACGCTCATTGGCCTTCTCGATCATTCGCTGCATGTTGTTTGGGTCCGCCATCCAAAAGAAGACCCCGGCTTACCACCGGGGTCAATGACTTTCAGCCCGGCTATGGCGAGAGTGAACTTATGTGGCAAGCGGTGCGAGGTGTTCCAAGTGGACCACCTCAGATGTGTGCTGCACATACAAGCGCGTTCAGAGAGGCTCAAAAGGGCAATTAGATGAGCCTCTTGTGGCTGGCTGGTCAACGATGGCCAAGGTATTACGGAACACAGTCCGTTGCACTAGAGATAGATTTAATCTGGACACAAGCATGAGCCACACCCTGTGCGAGGTTTCACGACCCTCTCGATATGTACCACATATCACTTATATGTAGGTACGGCATCGGCTTCGATGGGACTGCGAGACGATGAGGGACGCTCATAACCGACATGCAGAAGCATCGAAGAATATCGAGCGTCACCAACGACCACCCTGGGACGGAGATTGCCCCTCACTTCGGTACTGGTAACTGAAATCACGCGGGAAGCGACTTACGTTATTAGCGTGCCTACATATCATTGACCCACCTGGGCCACCCCCCCAGGCCAAGCTCCAGCAGCAAGATCGAATCGAGGGAATCAGCTCCATCACACCATTGACTCCGCCAATTCACGTCCAGATCCTGACTGCTGAGCCCTAACAGGTCCTGATTGACGCCGTCCCGTTCAATTGGCTCTCCCGGAGCTCAGCATCCCCAGAAAACCAACTATCAACCTATGATAGTCACGGAAGGAAGGTATGACAATATTGGGCTATGACGAGGGCTATTGGTCTAGCGGTCTTCTTCCAGTTGCGCTTTGCTCATTACAGGCATTGAGCTGATATCTGTTGTCCAGTCTCATCCATATTCTTCAGTAAACACCGCTCTTACGCTACACTCCCGCGGCGCTGAGCAGTGAGCAGTGAGCAGTGAGCACTCGAGCAACATCTTTTGTTCTATTCTCAAGTGCCAGCAACCCAAGAGATATAGCTTCGTCTCTGGATGGGTCACACCGGCCGCCGGATCAAACCCCTCGGCCTCCTCCCCGGAGCGACTCACCAGCACAGTCAGGATCCGGGACCCAACGACGACCCGGCGTGATCCTTTCCCCCCCACCCCCCCCCTTCACCCCTAGCCCAAGATGGCATCCGCCTCCTCCTACGTCTTCTCCTCCGCCGAGCACGCCCACCTAACCCCCTACCTAGCGGCCCTACACGCTTCATGCGTGACCCACGACCACATGATGGGCACCTTCCTCCCGCCGCTCAACCACGAGAAGCTCCTCGCCTGGTGGAAGGACCGGATCGCCGAGGCCAACGCGGGCACGCGCCTGATCCTGCTGCTGCTGTCCGAGTCGGCGCCGGGGACGCGCGCCAAGGGCCCCGAGCTCGTCGGCGTCGTCATGCTCGGCATGCCCGCCTCCGAGACGGGGCCGTTCCGCGCGCACGTCGAGGACCTGCTCGTCAGCCCCCGCTACCGCCGCCGCGGTGGCGCGAGGTCCCTCATGGCCGCCGTCGAGGCGGAGGCCGCTGCGAGGGGGAGGACATTGCTTGTGAGTCACATCCCCCCAGACATCCCCCCTTCCCCCCCCTCCTCCCACCCCCCCCAAACCACTTCCGAATTTCACTCTTCTGTCTAGACCCTTTTGCTAATCAGTTACTCCGCAGATGCTGGACGCGGAGACTGAGAGCTCGGCTGAGGAGGTGTTTAGGAAACTCGGATACGTTGAGGTTGGCAAGATCCCGAGGTATGGGCAGAGCCCGTCGGGAGAAGTCAGGGGTCGGACTTTCTTCTATAAAGATCTTGCGTCCTAGTAGGGCCAGGGCAGCATTGGTCGCAAGTTCATGCCTGACAATCTCGACATAGAAGAGGTTGGTATTTTGTATTATAGGCACATGGCGATACCCCCGATGTAGGTGTCATTTTGGAGTCTCATGAAATTCCTTGCCTTTTGACGACGGGGAGGTGCGCTACGCCGTCATACATCACTCGCTCCAAGCGACGCAGCTGGCCGGGTGAATAAACTGCATCCCATACGCCCGAGACTGGCATTGCGCAGTCAGAAATGCATACACATACAGATAATGACAGCGATGGGGCTGTGCCTCTCTCCAGTGCCCGCCCATATTTTACCCAACTGCCAGGCAAATGCCAGTCGCCGGGGGGCAGACGGAGTTTCGCAGCGCCCACCTTTCATGGTAGAATCTCGGCCGCCTAGCTTCCCGAGAGGAATAAACCCCAAGTTCAGGTGCTTTATTTCATCGGCTCGGCTTGGACGTCTCCCCATTGTCTACAGCCCCCTGGGCCCGACTCCGAGCCTTGGCACCGGCCTTCAGTTTCTCCCACCGGTCACGGTACTTGTCCACCGTTTGTTGCACCTTGGTATACTCCCACTCGAGCTCATCCATCCGCTTCATCGTCGCGGCTAGCTGCTCCTCTAGCTCGCGGTTTCTCTTCCTCAGGGCATCCTCGGCCGCGTCCGGTTTACTACTACTACCACTACCATTGCCGCTGCCACTGCCCCCTCCTCCTCCTCCGCCGCTAGAGGACATAGGCGACCCGGGTCTCTGGAGGCGGAGGCTTTGCGCCAGCGCTAGGTGGGAGCTCTGCGAGTTGAGCTCGAAGGCGTGGAGGCGCTTGCTGAGCTTGTCCAGCATCTCCTTCAGGCTCGTGTTTTCTAGGTACAGCTCCTCGACGGCGTTCTGCATCTCCTTGCCCGACTGGTTCTTGCCGACGCGCTTCCTCAGCCCCGGCGAGATGGGAGCAGGCGACTCCGCCGCGTCGACAAAGTCGTCTTCGTCGACGTCGTCAAAGTCCTGGGCATCGTCTCGGTAACTGGAGGCAGCCATGCGCCGCTTTTCCTTGTGGTCGAAGCTGAGAATGTTGGCGTACGACACCGTGTGCCCGCTGGTCGGAACGACGTAGAACGAGTCGTTTGTCGAGTGGCCCTCTCCTTTCAATGCCCGAAGAGTAGCCTTGGAGTATATCTTGGTCAGGTCTGGTTCTGTGCCCGTTGTGTGGGAAGTCCTCGACCGGTGCCTCCTGGCAGCCGGTTGCTCGGGGGCGGGCGGTGGGTCTGGCTTGGGTGCCGGTTCCTCCGCAATCAGGGGGAGCCCCGCAAACGCTAGAGGTGCAGAGAGACGGTTAATGATACTGCCAAACGTGCTGTAGAATCGCGAGAAGCCCTCATCGCTCTGGCCGGCCTCGGCTACTTCTGCTTTCGAAACATTGGTAGCTGCTTGTGCTCCGACATTCTGGGCTGCGGCAGAATTTGGAGGGACCCAGCTCGGCTTGCCCGACTGATCAAGCCTACTCTGAGTCTTGTTTCTCGACTTCGACTTGGTGGGGCTATCTGCTCGCGGGTGAACCTCCAAGCTACCCGGCGCCTGGTCGCTTGAGACACTTGGTATCAACGGATGGCCCCGATACCTAGACTTTATTCCCCTGGCCGTGGCAAGGTTGCTAGCGATGGAGGAAGAGAGTTCCCGTGCTGGATGTCTGGGCGGGTGGGATAAGGTTGGCAAAGGCTTCGGTGTGGAGGCAGGAGGGCCGCCGGAAGCCAAGTCGGACTTCGCTGACTCCTCTGGACTGGACGAGCTGTCTGTAGGCGTGGTTTCCTTTTCCTCACCGTCGGCCGCCTCTTGTTCGCCCGAGGATTGCTGGCTTCCGTGCTCGGCAGGGAATTTGAGAAGCTCGGACAGCTTTCTGTGGTGCTGTTCCAGTAGTTGTAGCGTCCTCAAGGCCTCGACGCTGCTGGTGCTCCTCGCAGCATTCGAGAACTCGCCGGCAGCCTGGGCGTGCTCGCTGATGGCGACAGTGCTCTCTGCACCACGAGTAGCCTCTGCGGCAGCCCGAGCATGATCGTGTGCCTGTGACAGCTGTTAGCGAATAACGAAACAGAGGGATCCACGGGCAGGGGATATACATACTTTGATCAAGGGTGAAGCATCCATAGTCGGCCAGTGAGGCCAGATATTGGTACGCGATGGTGGTTTGGTCTGTCTTGACTCCAGAGCCGCTCGAGTCGAAGTTCAAATTGGCCGAATTGGAGAGCTGTTGCGCCACCAATCAAGCGTACGCTAGTGCATTAAATTAAGGTGGGGGTGGGGCTTAGACTTACGGCTCCCGTAGGTACCTAGGTGCCCCCAAAAAATACCTAGGTACAGGCCTGTACCGAAGAAGAGAAAAATAATGTTTAAAAAAAAAGGGTCATGGAAAATGGCAAAAACATACAACACCAGGGATTCGCTGGTCGTCACCGACGCAACTACTAGTCTGGCCCTCACTGGCTGGGTTGATCTAAGGGAGAGCGGACGGCATCCCGAGTTTTTCTATGAGTCTGTGTCTTTGGTGCAAAGTATGCCGGACATGAAAGCTCAGAAGCTCAGGAGCCCGGAAAATGGGATGCAACTGAGGCCAGAAATAGTAACCCCCAGCTTCAAGTCTGCACCTTCTTAACTCAGCACCATAGTCATCAAAAACTTTATTAAGACCACCTTGATAGCTGTGAGGTCATAAAAGACCAGCTGCTCCAGTCCCAGCACTCTCACCCTGCCGTACGCCACCGTCTACCTACCGACCCTCTTTCCTATCATCATTCATGTCGTTAATGACAGCCGACAAGACATCTTGGCACTGCTTGCCTGCAGAGATCCGGATTTTGGTCCTGGAAGCCTTACTGCAGGATGGTTGTAGCTTGGCTGGCTTCGTCACAGTGTCGCGAGAGTGGCAGACGATCATCGAGCGGCACAACTTCGCCCGAATCAAACTGACATCGTCACGCCTCCCCGATTTTGGTTCGATTATTCATCGTAATCGATCTCTCGTGCGCTACGTATGGCTTTGCTTGGAACTCGGAGAATATGATTGCGCCCAGTGTGCGCCTCAAGATCTGGAGATGTGGGGGGTCAGCAACGCGGACAATATCCTGATTACCACAGCATTCCTGGATCTGTTCTCAACTCTCAGCGCATGGGAACCAAACGGCAACTTGCTGCTCGATATCAGCGTTCACTCTCCCAGCGACTCAGAACACTGGTTCAAATATCTGACTTTTGAGCCTGATATTCCTTCCGACGAGTGCGACCGGGGTCGATGCGCAGAGCAGTCGATGCTGGTCAAACTTGACGATCACCGGCACGGTTGGATTGCTGGCAGTCGAAATTCCGCTCCGCTCGATAATGCTGCTATCCACAAAGTTTTTGATGAAATCATGGGCGAAGGACCGTTCGATGATGACGAACAGGAAAACCAGTGGTGGCAGCAACTGCCATTAGTCCCGGCAATAACAGGTGTGCTTCTTCGTCAACAGAACCGCCGACGATGGAAGCCGACAATGGAAGCCGACCGCGTTGGCACAGATGTTTGCCCGTCTTCCCAGACTCCAGAAAATTCACTACGAGCCTTGGAGGGAATGGTGTGATTCTCAGCAGGGGTGGACGGATCAATGTGAGTGCTGCTGCGTCAGTTCGTCGTTCTCTGCCATGTGTTCGTTGCTTTATTGCTGACCGCTGACAACCTACCAATCCTAGTCTTTGATGTAGCTTTCCAATCGCTTTTTGAATCGCTCGCTTCTAGCCAACTACGGAGACTCGTACTGTTCGAGAATTTCAATCAACAGTACCCGCTTAGTTTTACGGGTTGCGACCCTATTCGAATCCCGACCTCTGATGTCAGCCGGGCGGTCGCCAACGCCAGTCTCAAGCTTGAGCACCTCTCAGCGTCGTTTATTGTGGACGCCAGCTATTTCTTCCATACTCGCGAACCTTCCTGGAAGTGGCCTAGCTTGACTTCGCTTGCGCTGACTTCACAACTGCTCGCGCCCGATGAGAGCCCGATCGATATCGACAACATGCTCCGGGCAGCGGCAGCAGCGGCCATGAAAATGCCAAATCTTGAAACAATGGAGATATGGAACGGACGAGAGGGATTGGCGATGCTCTTCAGATACCAGCTAGCTGGGGGAGGGCGGCCTGCTGTGATAACCTGGAGAGGAACATGGGAATTCGCCCTCCGACCTCCTGTGATCCAGGCTTGGGAAGCTGTCGCACTGAAGCATCGTGGTCACGGATCGGTTATTGTCAAGGAGTTGCTGGATGTTGGTGCTGTTGTCAAGTCTCATGTTGATGCAATCCACCATTTGAAGCTTTTAAACCCGGTAATTCGGCCCGTTTCGTTATGGCAGATTCGGATGGAGCACAGAATTCGCGAGGGAGTGCATAACTGGTAGCTCAATTTCTGTTGTCAGTCTATGAAGATAGCTTGGTCTGAGACATTCTTCCACCACAACGTCAACCTCAGCCACAGATGACTAGGGGAAAGAATCTGTCTATACGACATGCTGTCTGAACTGTACCGAGAAATTGTTCCTTGTATACCTACTCATGACAAGGGAATTTTGCACATTGATCGGCAGGTACTAAAGCCAAATCACCTCAACAAGTTTGCTCCGGATATCCTCGCGCAGAATCGACAATGTGACTAAGTATAAAGTGTCTGGTCAGAAGACTTTGGCTCACATTTTCAAGTTCACTGGTTCGCTATGCGACAATATAAGCAGCGTTGATAGGATGGCTGACATAAAATGACCGTGTCCCTATCTCACAGCTTGACCAAGCCAAGATCGCACTGCTGGATCGCCATGACCACATGACCAGGCGCTGTGAAACAGGGTACCTGCTGGCAACCGCCCAGGCAATACCTACAATGGACAAGCAGAGTAATATAGCGATATTCTACATACCGAAAAAGTCGGACACCTAGCGGATGTAGGTAGATAGGCATGAGATCCGTAGTAAGGCGCAGCCGAAGTTCTACCATTTACGTTACGGAATTTCTCGCACGGGCCATAGGGCTGTCCAGAGAAAGCCAACCTTTTCCACCTTTCATCCCTCAACTTAAGGTACTCGTAGATCCACTCAATTTAGTCGCGAACCTCCGTTTTGCCCCGAATCGAAGGGCACTCAATTGCAAGACAACCTGCATGCCATCAATTCTTCGCCTTGGACAGGTACTTCGCGGTAAACTTGGGACATATACTGTCTCTAAGCAACTTCAAGACACTGTGTGGTTTGCAAAGTTTGTGCCCCTGACTTGCCCCTGACTTACCCCTGACTTGCCCCTAACTGCTGCTGCATTGAAACATTGGGCTTACACAATTGTAGGAACCATACTGGTAAGACCTTTGTAGTCAAGAGTATCTGTGATCATCCACGGGTTGAGAATGACAGGGATATCTTGAGACGCTTTCAGGATCAGACTCCCTATATACGGCCGATAATTGATGAGATCGAAGACCCGGCTGAACCAACAACTATTGTCCTCAGGCATCTTGACGATCACCTTTTGCAGGCGTCGATTAAACAGACGCTGAATCGAAAGGAGATCAAATATGTTTCAAAACGGGTCCTCCAAGCCTTAAGTGTGCTTCACAAAGATGGTTATGTCCACTCAGGTACATAACACTTCCTCCCAAGATTATTAAGTCACCTGTGTATCTAACTTGTCAGGAAAGACATTAAACTAAACAACATCTTTGTCAACTACAGAGATAGTAAGAATGAGATACGCTTTTCTAATGTCCAATTGGGAGACTTTGGCAGCACCTACCCTCAAGATAGCGAGTGGGCCAAAACTGGCACAGTCATTGGTGCACCACTCTGGAATAGCCCAGAGGTCCTAATGGAGACACCATGGAATACTGCGACAGATATATGGTCATTTGGGACAGTGGTAAGCTTTGCCTAATGTTGCTATAAACTAATTGATGTCTAACTTTAAGCAGTCGATAAGTCTGATCTATGGTGGTGATTTCAACATCTTCCGTCCCAAGACAGCCTGCCATGGCGATGAGGACTAGAGGTAGTCATGTCTCAATATCGCTATTTTGGCTCTTTCCCCCCAAAATACGGAGAGATTATCAATGATGAGACTCGCCAGTCCATCTTAAGTCTCATAGACCTGGTCAAACCAGAAATGATGACGCCATTCCGCTTCGTTACAGAGCGGGAAGTCAACAAGGAAGACAAGGAATTCATCCTAAAAATCATGAAGATGGACTGACGTGACCGGCCGACCGCTAAGGAGCTGCTGCAAGACGAGTGGTTTGGGGAAGGGGAAGGGGAAGGGGGATGAAACCCAGTGGCAGTAATATAGCGATATTCTTCTCCATTGCATACATGGGTGACGTTCCCGGCAAACGGCACCCATCTTGCCAATATAGGTACCTAGGTAGTTGACTTAATTCACCGGCCCGCCTTCTCGTCCTCAATCTCCCTCCGCAGCTTCTCCAGGACCTGCTGCCGCGACAGCAAATGTGACTCCAGGCCCTCGACCTGCTCCTTGACAGTCTGCAAGTCCTCCACCACTCCCTTCAACCCGCCGCCGGCCCTGCCCTTGCCGCCACCACTCCCCTCCTCCAGGTCCCTCAGCCGCTTCCTCTTGTAGTCCAGCAGCTGCTCCAGCTCCCTCTTCACCAGCGCCGGCTTGCTATCCCTCTTTGCCCCGCCCCTCCTCGCCTCCCCGGCGGCCTCGACCTTGGCCATCCTCTCCTCCAGGTCCGCCAGCTCCTTCTTGAGCCGCACCTCCTCCCAGTCCGCGTCGGTCCTGCCGGCGGCGAAGTCCGTGCCCGCCGCCTTGAAGCCGCTGCGCCCCAGCCGCGTCAGGTACTGGTCGCCGAACTTGGCCTTGCGGCCCGTGCTGGTCTCGTCGTCGGCGCGCGTCGCCCACCGGGACGCCGCCGCGGCGGCCCCCCCGCCAGACCGCTGCTTGTCCACCTGGTAGTCGATCTGGTTGCGCTCGAAGCTGGCGCGCAGCGACGCCGGCACCGTCCGCGGGATGCGGTAGCCCTCGTGCCGGTTGTTCAGGATGTGCAGGAAGGCCAGGGCCGCGTCCTTGTTGATGCTCGGGCCCGCCGACGGGTTGATCAGGTTCCACGCGCTGCGGATGTCGGTGTCGGGCACGTCGAGGGACTCATAGAGGTCTTCGAGGGCGGAGACTAGAAAAGGGAAGGGGGGGAGGGAATTTAGTCAGTAAACCAGGCGCTTGATTTTGAAACGGTGTAATTCAAGTTCTTGGGGTTCTTTACAGGATACCTCGCCGCGCATGTCCCGGTTCTCTTGGTATATCTGTTCGTACTTGGCCTTGTCCGCCGGGCTCATGTACCAATCGAAGCCGTCCTTCAGGCCCGGGGAATCCGGATCGTCGTCAACCTGCTCGAACTGCACCTGCTTTCCCGTGAGCGCTCGGCTCGCCTGGACGAGGTGCGCCTTCGACTCGGGCACGAGCCAATCCGGCAGGGTCGTGGGGACGTCGGCATATTCCTTTTTTTCTCTCCGGTCAGTACACCACAACAACGACGACAACAATAACAACAAGCTCCATGCCCGGGGCGTCCTCCCGGTCATACCCCGTTCAATATGTCAAAGATGACGCGCATAGCCACGCAAAACTCCTCAAAGTCCAGGTTTCCATCGTTGTCGACGTCGGCAAGGTCCCACACCCTCTCGAGCTGGTCGTCGCGCAGGCCGCTGTTCTTCAGCACCGGCGCCGCCTGCTCGCCCGTAAGAAACTTGCCGCCATTCGTCCTGGTCGCAAAGATGTTCCAGTACGTCTCGATCTCCTGTGGTTCGATGCGCGGTGGCGCCATGGCGAGCTTTGTGGAAATGATCAGGTGGTTGGGGGTCGGAGAAGTCGATCGGAGACGGGTTCAAGCACTTGTGCTCATCCGGTTCCGAATTGGCACTAGCAGGATTTCCCTTGCTGTGTACGTGCGGATGTTTGGGGGGATTTGTCCCTGGAGCAATGCGCCTTGCAAGATCTAACAACCAACGTAGCTCCGTTGTGACGAGGCAGGCGGGCTGACGTTGTTGCACAAACGGTCCTTATGCGGGGCCGCAGTTGAAGGACGCTAGGCAGGTGCGTAGGTACCTACATGGGGCACCCCTGTCTGCATTTAAACGTCGGGGAAAAGGGGAAAAAGGGGATATATGACTTTTGAATAAGAATCCTGCGTCTATGGTTACAAGTTTGCATTGGGTGATAGATAAATCATCCAATGTCTACAGTCAGCATGCTTTTCTTCGGCTCCCTTTCCGTAAAAGAGTCAGAGTCCTGCTGAGCAAAAATGCAAATTGGAAGGAGCTTCGATGTATCCCAAATGGGGCCATCAACCCACCAAACTCCATCCGAGGCAACCAAAAGAAGTTATCCATCGCAGACACGCCATACAAGGCCGTCAAGTGTTCAGCGAATACCACATCTGCCAACTAGGCCGTCTCCGGCTGTTCCCTGGGCAAACTGAGACTATGAGGGCGAGGCTCTCCACCGTGATATCCTGGCGTTGGATGGAATATGGGAGCCGGCGGGGGACCTGCTGATTGCGCCGTCTGCTGTAAATCCCCCCCTGGCACCATTGGCGCCGAGTGGTCCACGTTGTCTTGGAACGTGGAAGCTGGTGCAAACCGACGATGGTCGTGTACCAGCCCTGGAAGTGGCTGAATGATTTGTGGCACCTGGTGGTTCAGCCATTCCTGTATTTGGATTGCATACGGAACTTCCCCATGTCGAGAGACCTGCGATTGAAATGGAGCTTCCATAGGTTGTCCCAATACGTTTTGGGTTTGCAGGATGGCCGTTCCCATCGTCGCCGTCGCCGTGTTGAACTGAGGGAGACTTTGTCCACTAGGGCCTGCTTCACGAGGTTCGCCGATTGCATTGCTCTCTTCTCCGCGTTGCTCGGGGGCTGAGACTATGCCTGCGGTGCCCGTTTCGGTAGCCTGTCCGTTAACCCGGATGTTGGACAGTGGATCTTGGGCTCTTGTAGCATCCCTGGGTGCAAGAGCTTTCCTCGGCCTGCCAAGGGGTCTACTTTGACCGGTAACTCCCTTAGGTCGTCCAGTGCGTGCCTTTTTAAGGAGTCCTGGATCACCTTCTGCCGGTGCTGACGCCTTCTTATTCTTCTTCTTCTTCTTATTGCTCTCAGAATAGTCGTCTTCGCCTTCATCCGCCGGAGGTTCAAACGCGACCTCCCCCCCTTCAGAGTCCTTTCTTCTGCTTGGTCGGCCACGTTTGTTTTTCAGCACGTCATGGTGCCGGTCCAGGATTTCCCTGACCGTCTTCTGAAGCAAAGCATCAGCTGGCACGACGCCCTCCGCCTGCTCCTCAGGCCCACGTGTTGGGGTACTCGCTGCCGCAGGTCCCGGAGCTTGGCCCTGCTGCTGCGGCTGCGAAGCAGGGGCCACCTGTGGCTGTTGCTGGTTGATTTCCTGGACCTGCATTTGCTGCTGCACAGGCAGTGCTTCTGCTTGTCGTTGGTCAACGTTCCGACCCTGTGGTTTCTGTTTCACTACCATCGGCGAATTATGCCATGGTATAGGGGCCGGAGGCAGTAAGCCGCGTTGATGCTGCTGGCTTGGGGAGCTCGAGTGTTCACTCGAGTCATGGCTGACAATGGGGGTTTGCCTATGAGGAGGAGGATACAGAGCACGATGCATGGGGGCGTAGCCCCCCCCAACTCCTTTGCCCTGCCCACCCAGCCTGAATCCAGGGTACTGAGTTTCCAGACCCGCCTTCCGCAGCAACTCATTGACCGTGGCAGTGCTTGCGATTTCTTCTGGATCTGGCATCCTCAGATCGAAGTTGGCAGGGTGAATCCCGTGCCCTACGTGCTCCAGGTTGAGCCCATTGCCCTGTTGTGAGCGGGACTCGAGTCGCTTGGGGTTAATAGACCCCGGGGGCGAATCCAGCCTCACGTGGAGTTCCTCGTCCGACATGGTTCTAGTGCGGCGCTCTCTTTTCTCTTGGAGTACTAACTCCAGAAGCTCTTCCCTATTGCCGTTATTAAAATGAGGGATGAGGCTTCTGTACCCGTCCTCGAGATAGTGGTTCAGGGGTATCTCGTAGTACTCTCCGGTATTCCCGCGGTATTCGCCCAGCTTTACTGCAACATCCTGCAACCCCAGGAAGTTGAGGAACGCTCTCGCCAGTTTTATCTCCCGGGCTGTGATGTTATCCGTGAGGAGGGGCGGGTGGGGAATCTTGATGAAGTCGTCGAGCCAGCCGCGGTTGTACTCCAGGTACGGGCCGTCTCGCATCATATGGTCGTACTCTTGAAGTTTTTCGGTGTACATTTTGTTCTTTCCCATCTCTTGACGGACCATTTCTACCACGTCGAAGGTCTCGCCCCAGCTCAGCCTGAGATGCTTTGATGCGCGTGTGAACGACATTCGGAGAGTCATCTCGTGAAGGATGACATATTTCATGCCATCAGAGAGGTCTGACCACTGGGGTGTAGCCTTCATAGCACGTTAGCATGTTGTGAGGTCGAGTGTTTAGCTGGCAATATCGTGGCGTACCTCCATGGGCATGGATTCTGAGCCACTGCTGTCACTCGTTTGGCGGCTCTGCGCTCCAGCACCGCCATCAGTGGGAGGACGAGGCTGGGACGAATTCTTCCGCGATAAAGAGACACAAGAAGCCCGTCGTCCGCATGATAGCTCTAGCTGATCAGGTTCTGGGGTAGGCGTCTTAGGCCGCCTGATGATGACCGCGACAAGTCCTGCTTTAGTTGCCTGCTCCTCCGAGGCCATGCTCCCATGTCCGCGTCGCAGGTGAGCTTCCGAGGCCGGGCTTGGAAAGGTTGATTGAGCAAGGGCTGAAGTCTTTGCTATCGACAATATCAGGCGCTCATCATGGTCGCTCTCGTCTTCCTCGTCGTCCTCGTCCTCGTCGTCCTCGTCTTCCTCGTCTTCCTCGTCTTCCTCCTCTTTCTTTCTAGCCTTTTCCGCCGCAGCCCACAGCTCCGATGGCCCAGGTCCGGGGTGATCGAACGGCAGAGAAGGGAAGGCGCAATGGCGGGATAGTCCGGGGTTGAATTCAACGTGAGGGTGGGTGAAATTCGGCCTATTCTTGGGGGGGAATGGATCTTCGTCGTCCCCTTGATACCGGCCGGGAAGCCGGAGCATCGCTTCTTCGCGAAGTTTCATAGGCATGTTGAAAGGTGCATTCTGTTGGATGGATGTTGCTAGAAACATTGACTCGAGAGCATGAATGGAAACGAAGTGAAAGAATGTCTCGGGAGAGGTGAAGGCGTTGGTAAAACGGTGGGATAGGGTGTGCTTTGCTCGAGGGGACGACTCAGAATAGCCTTGATTCGAAAACGCCCTGGGGGCCTCGGGAACGTAGACTGTAGTCAATGATGTAAGATCATTGGGCAAGAATCTGTTCCTCGATTCGATTATATCGTCCGACTATCGAGCTGTGCGAGGGAAGAAATTCGAGTGCCCAGAGGCGCGGAGGGTGAGAGTAGAGAGGTATCAACAGGTGAGTTGTTTCTCGAGGAAGACCCGGGTGGCTTTGGTGCGGCCAGAGGGAAACGGTGGGTGGAAACATAAAGTGATATCAAAGGTGCCCCTGGTGTGCCAAATAATCGACTACGGGGTCGATATGATAAATTCACCAGCGGTTGGACGCGTCTGGTAGATTCAAGACGTCAGATACCTAGGTAAGGTACCTACCTACTTGTTGAACTCACTGGGTGATGGTTCGAGGAAGGAGCAAGTGAGAGTCTTCATATTTGCCAAATGGCAAGGAATTCGCACCCCTATCCAAGCGAGAGAGGTAGGTAGGTACCTGATTGACTGACATTTTCAGTTCAATTTTCAGATTTTCTTCATTCAGACAGAAGAGGGCCCGAGTGTGCTGCTGTCCCTTGATATGCATGCTCTGAATCCAAGGCTCGTGCTAACTTTGAACCAAACTTAAGCTATCTACCTGCCTAGCTCTATACTAGACATGGCCTTTCAACAAAGGACTCTAGCCGTCCTGATTAATTGTCATTGATGCCTTTCTCCTGAGACGTGTATCTCACATTGTAGCAACTTTGCGTCCATCATGGGCGCAGTCCGTTGTCTGATCCTGACAACCCCTTCAAGAGACAGAACAAGCTGAAAAGGAATCAAGGGGTATAATGTCCTCTCCAACACCCTAACACCATGATATCACGACAATTTCCTTCAAGTGCTCATCCTCTCCATGCCAGGCCCAGGATAGAATATGCCATCCAGATTGCGTGGCCCAGCCCATCATTGTGATCGATTCCGATTGGCGTTCGGATGCCTCACCAGGTCGGCCATTCGGACAGCCTCCTTCGTCAACGTAGGCGTCCCCCGATACAGGAAACTGTAAGATCCTCGCCAAGTGACTCAAACATCATAATCATAGATCGACACATCCCCATCCACAAACGGCGCGAATGGATCTCGACCGATGTACCTGTCCGTGTCGAACTGAAACCCGCTCTGCTCGGTTCCCTGAGTATCTTCGTCTTCATCCATGCTTTCGGCGATTCTCCTCTTTGCTGTGTGGTTGGTTGTGGCAGCTGGCCCCGTCTGACCCATGCTCCCATTCACCGACCTCTGGGCCGCAATGATATCCTCGTATGATCTGAGGAGGAACTTGGTCTCGTCATCGAAGTTCACGCAAAACCGTTGAAGGTTGATGAACTGCAACGTCCTCACGAGATCCGAGTTGAACATGCTCATCAAGTAGGCAGCAACGACGGTGGCAGAGCGGTCATTACCGGTCTCGCAGAAGACCAGCACTTTCCCAGTACTAAAGTTGGCGCTGTTGATCACCATCCGACTCTCCGGTACAACGGGTACCTGGCCCCCTTCCAGGCCGGGATTTACTGGATCAATGACCTCAGGAACCTGGACAGCCTGGCTTCGGTACCTTTGAATCAGATGGTCGTTGATCTTCTTGACTGCGAGAGGAAATGCTCGGATCAGCTCTTGCCGGCTGGAGACATCAATGTAATCGACGGCTAATCCTAACTCCTGCGCAGTCCTTTCAGCAGACATGAGTCTTGCGCCGGCGAGTCTCGAGTCTCGCGCCGCAAGAAGCATAGTGATCCCTTCTTTCTGGAGGAAGTCCCGATCCCTGGTGATGCTCGACGGTCCAAGATAGAGGAAATCCAAGACTGGCTGGGCCTGGCGCCGTGACTCGTAGCGCCAGATGTAAGTGCTGTCATTGGCCATCTGGGTCTTGCCCTGGGTTATGATTGTGAGGTCCTCATGGGTAAGTTGACTCGAGTCCATGTTCTCAAACGTCGGCACAATGCTGAGTTGAATCTTGCCAGTCTGTGCGACTGACGGGATATGGATATGTGGAGGACTGGGAGGCCGCGAAGCGAATGGCGCAGCGCGCGTCACTCCTCGGGGCCCAAGACCGGATTGCCTTTCGCCATCCATCGCGGTGTCGATAGTTATCGCCTATCTGCGACTTCTGCGTGGGGAGCTAGACGATGGTAGCGAGTGGCCAGTGATTGTCTTGAAGGGGCAAACAGATTTCGAGAGATTTGATGAAAAACAATGTCTAGGTAGATGTCGTCCCAATGTGACTCGGTCGAGATAAACTATTGCGGAGCCACCCAGGAAGCTTGACGGTTCGAGGTCCCGGTGGATTGTTCGAGGCGTGACTGTGGAGACAATGGGTTCACTTGACTGGACAGGATAACTTAGGTCACCCTAGAGACCTAGAAACATGTGTACCTCGATTTGGAGTTTAGGCTGTAGGGCTGGCCACCACAGCTGCAGGGACACCTGCTGCAATTTCCAGCTTTTTGCATGCACCTTGACTTTCCTTGAAGATAAGTAGGTAGGTTCCATGGATGCCTCCGAAGCTATGTAATTGGACCGCCTCCGTGTTACCTATGCTGGGCAATAGTAGGTAGGGAATTATTAGGTACCGATATAACACCACAGCGAGTCTAAGTTACCTCTAGGCCCGACTTGGCTACTTACATCCCCAACCGCTCAGTCTCCTGCTGGCTTCGACGATGGACTCTTCGTTGCCCGCGCCCCTTCCGACGCAGAGCCAGAGTTGCCCGATGATGCAGCACTGCTGAAGCTGTTCTCCTTGGTCAAAGGCGAAGGCGTCTCGGGCGTCAGAGACCGAGGCTCTACGGCTGGCCGCTTGTTGGCCCGAGAGATCGACGGCACCTTCTTCCGCCTCTTCTCCGACGCACTGGATGCCGTGCTGGCTTTCCTACTGACCCCAGACTCTTCCGGCTCGAGAGACGGTGTCGTGCTCCGAGACGGCATCCCCGACATGCTTCCCCTCCTAGTGCTACCGCTCCGGGTGCGCCGATGTTCCCCTACAACGGCGGAATGTCGGGGATGCTGCAGCTTCTCCAGGTCGCCGGCACGGCCGGGATGAGCTTTGTCGACCACCACTCGTCGCCAGGGCAGCCACCAGAACCAGCCGCCGTGCTGCTTTCGTAGCTTCCGCTCACGCTCCTTAAGCCTAGCCCCGATAAGTGCCCTCCGCTCGTTTTCGCGGATCCAGTATTCGGTTCTGTAGATATCCCAGTTCTCTCTGAACGTCGGCGAGAAGGGCTTTGCCAGAAGCAGCAACTTCACGTAATCACCCCCTGGAGACAAGTCCTCCTCGTGGCCGCCCCTCTCCTCGTCCTCGCCAAGCATGGGGAGGTTGGGATGGCCATGGCTGGTGAGGTTCAATTCCTTGTCCACCTCCCGCAGGACCGACGGGTCGACGTAGTGGTAAGAAGAACCGGCCGCTCTGGAGAAGAGCCCGTAGGTGAGAAACCAGGCGGCGGTGGACAGTGTCTCGGCCCACCACGAGTGTTTGATGATGATGAGTTTGCAATTGATGCCCCTCAACCCCCGATTCGATGTACTGAACCACTTCCGTGGCCACCGCACGCCGCGCTCCCAGATGCCGGTGGCCCACACCAGCACCGCCGTTATGACTCCTCCCAGGAAGCAGACTCTTTCCGTGGTCTCCACCACCCAGTATACCGAGCCGCCGACTCCGCTCCCGTCCTCTCGGGGCGCGAAGAACAGCGCATATCCAAAGCCGACCGTCCACAGCGACAGCAGCGTCAGGAAGAAGCTGTGGTGCCGCCGGCGCGCGCGCAGCTCGAGATACTGGGCGCGCAGCGAGGCCTCGAGGATCAGAAGGTTGAGGTAGATCATGGACGGCGAGCTCGGCGTATGGATGAGCGGGTCGCCGGCCTTGCCCGCGGACGAGGCGATCGGGCTGGTGCCGGCAACCGCCTTGGGGATCTCGTGGCCAGGCACGGCCGCCGGGGCGCCCTTCACGATCGAGTCGAGGGGGTCGGCCATGGTTTTGCTGGGAGGGGGATGGGAATGGATGGATCGATAGATGGATGGATGGGCGGGTCCCGCGGGATCCTAGATCTAGACGGAGAGCCGCATAAGCGCTGCGAACGAAACCCTGTATGCGAATGCCAGGATGGAGGTGATTATTTTGCTTGGTTTCTTTGGCACGATCTTGCCTCCCGGAGTTAGCAGAATCTCCGCTAGTCTTTCCCGCGCCGCGTCGCCAGATGATGACGACTCTCTTTTTTTTTCTGGCTAACTTGGTGGAATGACTAAGGGCGTACGTAGTATAAAGGCACACCTAGTGATGAAACGTCATCGAATTTGTGCCTGGGAGGGAAGACTCGGGGAACCCGACTTGCGGCTTTTGCACTGGATTTGGATGGAGACCCGCAGCGGCGCTCGGAAACGCCAAAGCCCAGACCCAGACCCTGGCCGGTCGGCACGGAGGGATGCAAAATCCGAGCATTCAAACACGGCCGGGACGCTAGCTGAATGGATGGAATCACACACATAAAGCAAGACACATCTCCCACACCTGTGGACAGTAATGATCAAGACCTGCTCCCTGAGCCCGTTTGTCTTGCCGTCAAGATTGACGCTGGCATCCGCCTTTGGGAGATCTGACTTGCACACGACTAACACGCACCACACCCACGCATCCTTGAAGATGTCGACTGACAGCACCATCAATGGCCGCACCCAGCAGCCCATGCTTGCATCCCAGCGAGCAAAGCAGCAGGCCCAGGCTGACGAGAAGCCGCGATCGCGCGGAGTATCCGCATACTTCCCTCTGGGATACAAGGACGCCGCATACCAATGGGTTAGTTCTACATGCCACCCCCCAAGGCCCGCCCGAGACAAGCACCAATTGCTGACCGCCTTCCTCCCTCTCTATTCAGTGGACGAGCATAACCCCCACGGCCGCTGAGCGCAGCGTCCTCTCCTTCGTCCCTATTCTCAAAGAAGCTGCCGCCGACGGCTCCGCGCAGACCGGCAGCGTCACCAAGAACGATCCCTTCGGAACCCGGGAATGGCGGTCTACGATGGTGGAGTTGTCCGGGAAGAACCGGGGCCTGAACGAGTTCTCGGTAGAGCGAGTCGGCGAGCAGGTTGACGACACCCTCGTCATGTTGCACGGCTACGGCGCCGGCCTCGGGTTCTTCTACAAGAATTTCGAGCCCCTGAGCCGGATTCCTGGCTGGAAGCTGTACGCGCTGGACATGCTGGGTATGGGAAACTCGAAACGGCCAGACTTCAAGATCCGTGCCAAGGATCCGCAGGCGAAGATTACCGAGGCCGAGAACTTTTTCATAGACGCCCTCGAAGAATGGCGGAAGATTCGCAAGATCGAGAAGTTCACGCTCCTCGGGCACTCCCTAGGCGGCTACCTTGCCGTGTCGTACGCGCTCAAGTACCCGGGTCACCTGAACAAGCTCATTCTCGCGTCTCCGGTCGGCATTCCGGAGGACCCATACGCGGTCAATGCTGCCATGCCGGAGCCGGGAGAGTCGACCATGGAGAACGAGTTCACTCAGGGGCAGGAGAGCATTGTCAACCCGGAAACCAATGGCGACAACAACAACTTCCCAGGCGCCAGGAACAAGAAAGCCGCGGCCGCAAGCAACGGGACGAACAACGCCGGCCCCCGGAAGAAGCCGCTACCGGGCTGGCTCGTGTGGCTCTGGGACGCCAACGTCTCGCCATTCAGCTTTGTCCGCCTGACGGGCCCTCTCGGCCCGAGGTTCGTCTCGGGCTGGTCCTCCCGGCGCTTCAACCACCTCCCGGCCGACGAAGCGCAGGCCCTCCACACCTACGCCTACAGCCTCTTCCGGCAGAAGGGCAGCGGCGAGTACTCGCTGCCCTACATCCTGGCCCCCGGCGCCTACGCCCGCAGCCCCGTCATCAACCGGATCCAGGACGTCGGGCGGCAGATGATCGCACCCACCGCCGCCGGCGCGCCGGCCGTCCGGGAGACGGGCATACCCGTGGTCATGATGTACGGCGACAAGGACTGGATGGACGTGGCGGGCGGGTACGCGGCCGAGGAGAAGCTGAAGCAGCGCATCGTCAAGGCGCTGCTGCACGGCACCGACGAGGAGAAGCGCAGCGAGAACGGCAGCGCAAAGGTCGTCATCATCCGCAAGGCCGGCCACCACCTCTACATCGACAACCCGGACGAGTTCAACGAGGTCGTCGCGAGTGAGATGCGGGAGACGCAGGCTCACGGGGCGAAGCTGAGGGCTTTGCAGTAATTAGGTGGCGGGGGGCATGTTAGAGAGGACGATCGTAAAAGGGGGGCGCTCCTTAGAAGAGGGAGAATATTTAGGGGCATCAGCTTGGAGTTGGGGGTGTTGTTTTATTTTGTGTTGATGTCTATCGAGGCGGTCCAAGCAATCTTCGGTTTGGGTCTTGCATAGACTCACATTTTTTGGCGAGTAGGCAGTACTCGACTGAAATGTTGTTTGGAATTGTATATCTAGAGAGGGTCTCTGAGCAGGGGCGTCACATAGTTGAGCCTATGTTGGCCACTACAGGAACTCATTAACTCGTCGTCCCATTGCCCCCTTTCCACTTACTCTATTCTCTTTTATTCACGTGTCTCTATGCATCAACAGGTAGCGAGTAGATTCGCCATCCGGCGATATTTTATGATTGCCCATGCTGCTCGAGAACTAGACAATTACTTCAGTTACCAAATAAGACCGTCCGAGCCAGTCTCCTTGATTACCCCTGTGTGTCCATGGGAACCCAGCCCATAACGTATCAACCCCGAACGCCGCCGCCCGTATTATATGCCGACAACTACTCAATCCCCTCCCTTCTCATCAGCACGGCCCCCACATCCCCCAGAACTACTGCCCAGAAACTCCAAGACCGCCGATATAAATACTCGAGATACAACAACGTGCCCCTTTCTCCCTTTCCCCATCCTCACAGGGGCATCTACAACACGCCCCCCCGCCCCTACACACAAGCCTCGCAAATCACCCCTCCCTCCCTCCAAGGTCCTCCTCATTCTCAAAGAATATACTCCTCCTCGGCGGAACCCCCGACCCCGCCGCACGACCGGCGCCCGTCCCGGCTCCGCCGCCGCCGCCGCCGCTACCCGCCGGCGACCCGCCGCCCGCCGAGCTGACCGTCGCGTCGCTGACCTGCCTGAGGTGCGCGCGATCGCGCTCGCTGAGCTCCGAGACGCCGGACGCGACGGCGTGGCGCGAGGGCGGGGCCGGCAGTCCGGGGCCGAGGGGCGGTGAGTCGGGCCGGATCGAGGACGGCGAGGGCCCGGCGCCCGAGAAGGTGCTGGAGCGGTCTGTCGCGGAGATGCTGCTGCTGCTGGGGTGATGGTGGGGGTTGTCTGGGGAGGAGGAGTGGAGGAGGGTGCTGCGTGGGGCGAAGTGGGAGTGCTTGTTTATAATCTCGACGGGGGTTAGGCCCGTGTCTTGGAGCTCGGCGCGGGGTGAGGTGTCTGTTTGGGAAGGGGTTAGTGGTTCGTTCTTAGGGAGGGGAGGGACGGAGTATTTAGGGGAAAGGATGCGACCAAGAGAGGAATCGTGATGCATACCCATGAGCTCTGCGATATGTGTGTCTGCCATCTCGTGGTGAGTCACCTGTGTCGCCTGTGAGGGAGATAACTGAGCGTCGGAAGGACTCTCCGTGTCTGGGCTCACCGGCCCGTCCTCTGTGGTCACAGTGGGAGCCTTGGCCTCCATGGGCTGACCCCGTATCCAAGATATGATCCGGTTTCCTCGGCTATCCTCCGTGCCGCTTTCGCTTGTGCCGCGGAGTTTGAAGAGCCTTCGTCTTCGCCAAATCAAGATGGCGAGACCGACGAGCGCGAGAAACATGACGCCCAATATCGTTCCCAGTAGCGGAGGAAGGTATGAGGGGATGCTCGATCCCGACTTGATGGGCTGATACTCTGGGTTTGTCGCGTTGTTGGAACTCGCTGGAGCGTAGGGATAATACGTTGTAATCTTCGCCGCCGGATAGGGGGTGTCGAATACCTTGGACAGCTGTGGCGATGCCCAACCCGCCGGCGAAGGAGCCGACTTCTTGGCTCCTCCAGTTGCGCTTCCGCCAATCTTCTGATATACAACCTCCGGGACACCATATTTGCTCCATTTGGCTGGGTCGTAGCCAGTCATCCACTCTCCGGATGTGAGATTGAACATTTGAATGATGCCATCCTGGACGCACGTCGGAGCTTTCAAGGCTGCGGAGCCTCCAATGATCATCATCTGGTCTGGATAGGGCACGAAACACTTGTGCCCGGCCCGACCGTGACCAGCCTTGCCTGCTGCCACCTTCGTCCAAGTGAAGGAGGGAAGTGAGAGGATCCAGACATCGTCATTGAAGTCCTCGGTCACATGCAACCCGTCGTAGCCACCGTAGTAATATATATTGAAACTGGAGGAATCCTGGGCTGTCGCAACGACAGCACATCCACGCGTAAGCGCTCCCGGGCCGTCGCTAGTAGGCTGCTGATACCAGGTATCCGATGCAACATCATAGATGTCAATGGCCGACATGAAGCTGGGACTCTCCTTCTCGCTCGCGGCCTCATTGCTGGACTGGTGGGCGCTCGAGACGAACTCGGGATAGACGACGCCGCCCAATGCAACGAGAATGCCTTGTGAGCCAACTGGGACCCAGACGAGCTCTGGATTCGCGCGTCCATGAACGGTCGGCGGCAAGGTCTCGTTGTGCCAGCTCTCCTTCTGCTGGATAGCCATGTCCAAGGTTATGAGAGTGCTGGACACGTTGATCGCCGTCTGGGATTCGTTGAGACTGGGAGTATAAATCTCGCCCCAGCTTGGGGAGTGCATCCCGGAGAAGTACCAAGCCTTATTCTCCGAAGGTGCACTCGCTGCTCCTCCGTATGCAAGATACCGAGTCATCCCAGAGGGTAAGCGGTCGCCCACAAACCCGGGATGAAAGCCATCCTTCTGCACACCGTACTGATATGCTTGATAGGAAGTGACATCGTCCAAGTGCGGCGGCGAGAATGCGGCCGTCTGTCTCAGCATACCACCATAGAGGAACCATTCCCCGTCGTTAGCCAGCATGGCGCCATCAAAGTAGTTCGGCGCAAGGTTGTTCGCCGCTCCCCCATTTGGGGCTTTGGACATTGTCCCAAGGATGGCGGTTATGTTCTGGGTGAAGTTGAATGGGACACTAAAGTTGAGCGTGTAGACTATGCCCAGGGGATTGTCTGCAGCCTGATGTAAGTGACTCTGGACTTCGACGCTTGGGCAAGCTACTTACAGTCAGAGGTGATGGATCCGTACGAGCCATCCGACAGACCTGGGAGCCACCAGAGATACCCGCCGTCGAGATATACAGTGTCTCGAACGACCGCCGCTAAAACGAACGTCAGCCCCTGAATTTCCACGCCTGAGGAGTTGAGATCTCACCTCGCAGCTGTTCCCAATAGCACATAGTGGTGTTGACCTGGTTGGCTTGCCATGTTGCCTGTGCGTCGGCAACGAGGGCGTAGGCCAACACCGCCAAAATAGTAGCTATCCTCGCCTCCAACATAGCGTGTGAAATTGTAACGGGAAGATCAAGGCGGCAGAGAAGCGGTGGAATGAACTTGCTTGGGCCGCTTTACAAGGACCGGCAGTTTACGATGCGGTCATCCCAGACAGAGGGAGATTGGCACCAGTCACCGGTACGCACTTTGGCCGAACCAACCAGCTAAGCAGCTATGGACATTGGAAAGATAAAGTAAAACACGCCCAAGCGGCCGAGAACCTCCGAGGTTTGGAGCAAGAACGAAATTGGAAGAGACTGGCAGGCAAACAGCTTTGTCCGGATGGAGGGGCCGTTAGCAAAGGAAACCAGACTCGGCGGGCCCAGCACCCCGGAAACGCAACGGAATGGCGTGCCCTGACAAAGAGAACAACGATGGACTTGACCTGGGGTTCCAGGGTATGCAAATATTGAATATTTTCTCACGAACCCGGCGCAAACAAACAGCGCTTGCTGGAAAGGAAACCCTGCAACTTCTGCAAGGAGTGTAAGCTGGCACGGCTCTGGAAGGCAGCCAAGCATGGCGGCTTGACAGAGGTGGCAGGAGAGATCCTTGCTCCAGAGAGCACTGGAGGGTCGATGCTGTCACGGGCGGGGATGATTGGCTGCATGTGAATGGGGGTTTAACCTGAGCTGACGTGGGGAAATACGGAATCATAGAGGCAAGAGGTCGGACTCTCAGCCTCGTTCATGGGTATGTATGTATGTACTGTACAAAGTCGTGTTGGTGGTGCACCAAATCAAGGTTTGTCAACCATTCGAAGAATGCTAGCTAACACCAACGACAGAGAGATACGAGGGCCGAAGGAATCCTCCGACATTGGCTCTGTTGCCCAACATAGCGCCACTTCGTCATCCGACAGACATACTGCGTATACGCAGAGAGCAAAGTCGAAGGAAGTTGCCATGTTTGCAGATCCCCTGCTGCTTACTTCGATCCTTTGTTGTACCCACGAGGGGGACGGTTGCAACGATCAGGCGACGTGCAAGTAGGCTTTCTAATCTAAACCAAATCCAGTTAGTCTCAAGATGGCTACCCAATCATCTAGCGCCAGCATACGATGTGCCCCTGCACCCTGCTCCGCCCCACCAGCCCAGCCATCCCACCGCCCTCGATCTCGAAGAACCCCACCTCAGGATGCCATTTCAGCCCGCACAGCATCCCACTTCGAGGGACATCCTCCGGCCCTTCTTCAATTGTGCCAGTCTCCGGGATGGATGGATGGATGGATGGTGGACATAGCCTCCGAGCTGAGAGGTCGCTCCCCATGGCCAGTGCGGCTCGGAGGGCATCTTCCCTTCGAATGATGGGAACCAAAACGGCTCAGCGCCGTTCAGGAGTGCCCTCGCCATGCCCTCGCCTGAGTTGAGCTTTCCCCTCTGTCAACCAATTGCATGCAGTGCCACACAGCCCTAGCCTACTACTGCAGTAATAAAAATACCAACACGTTGTGTCCTGCTGGGTTTCAGCCATTTGTGGATTCTCCGATGCCTGACCGGCCGACAGATCCAGGTCCGTAGGCAGCTCAAGACCTGCCAGGCTGCAAGGGTCGCACAGCGTTACTGGGCTGACCATTCCGGTCCTGCACATCTGGGTGGCATGCATTCCCCACCAACAAGTGCGGCCGTCACATCGCCCAGCACGCCTTGTCATGGTTGCATGAGTTAGGTCGGCGTGGGGATCATGACTTCAAGCCTGATGGAAAGCTGTATGATCTCGGGGTAATAGGACAGGACTGGCAGGTAGTCACCCTGTGTCGCACTATCGCTCGCTAACGAGGCTGGAGAAGGTGAAGAAGAAGGGCAAACATAACACGCACTCGTGGAGTCTGTGGGTGACGGGATGTTCCTCGGCACTTCCCAGCTCTTTGTTTTTTTCCAACCTCCTCGGTAGCTCGTTTAACTCGTCTGCCTAGGTCGACCTGGTCGACCTGGTCGACCCTGACCACCTCTTTAAGTAGCACGGCCCACTGCGGGCCATCGGGGTTGAGGTATCGAGTCCTTATTTGTCCAAGGCGCTTACCGACGTAAACTCAGCCTCTGCCCTCTCGCAAGGCCTGCAAATAAATGATTGATAGGTAATGCCATTACCCCATTTCGACCATGGCCTTCTGTTTCTCATCTCTCCCTCCTTCAGGGCCCATCGCTCGTTTACAGGCAGTCGTAACGAAGAGTAATCGACGTCACCAGGTTGACTAGCTTCTACTGTCGGACATATTGGCCCATGGGCTTGACATGCAATGACGGCTCCGAAGCTTCTGTTCGCTCTTACAGCTTTCTCTTTACAGTCGATCGTTTCTGCGCAGACGGTCCCATATTTCAATAACAGCTCCCCCACCGCGACCGACTCAGCACCTCCCGTCGTTATTGAGACTGAATACCCGGTCAGCGCCCAGGTCACCGGGGCAGGCCTGCAAAGGGGTGGAGGGGATGGCTACTGTGGCTGGCCACCTGTGACAGTGGAGATATGTGGGAAGCACTGCCCATGCGAAGGACGATATCGGTATGTTTGGAGTTCTCCTCTCAGAGCTATAGTGCTAACTGTTGCCAGTGTTACCGTAACGTATGACCACCGAGAGGAGAGGAGCAACCCCCCTTTAGAACTAATGATCTAACACGCGTGCAGAGAAACCCAGTCGGTCCCATATCCGGTTTGTACCCTTCTACTCCCTGTCTGTCAGCTTCCTTCATGCTAACGAAAGTAAATAGGTCACGGTCAATCAAACGGTATGTTGTACGGCAACCAGAGATGAGCAGACTTTGTGTGATTCCACTGCCATATGCGGTCCCCTTTCAGGGTTGGGGATGTGCTGGGCTAAGGTGGCCATCCTTATGAGCACTTGGAATCATCAGACCCCCTTCGAGCTAGAGACTCCAAGCTATGCAGCTAACCAAACTGGCACCGTACAGGTCACAGAGACAGAAACAGTCACTGCCACGACGACAACAACGTCAATTTCTGTTTCAACGGATCTGGAAGTGTACGTGTCAATCTGTCAACACCCGAAAGGTTAGATGTGTCTAACTTGGTGTTGTGACAGAACTACGGATTACGTGGAAACGACGGAAACAGAATACATCACAACGGTGAGCCTACTAGAAAGCCGAGTCTGTCGTTCTCTGAGCTAACAAACCGAAGTCTTACCCGCAAATAATTACCGTGAGCCAGTGTCACTTCACAAACGAACCGACCGAGACCCCTGAGCCATACCCAACCGATGGCTATGGTATCATCCGCCGCCGCCGCCTCCGGACGAATCCCGAGTGCGTCATCACCACTGAAACAATATGGACTACAACGGTCCAGACAACGGTGACGACATCAACAATCGTCTCAACAGAAATAGATGTGGAAGTGTCGCCGACTACAGTAACGAATACGGCCACTGATACAACAACTGAGACTACCACCTCAACACTCCTCGGGACGACCAGCACGACCGTCTTCGAACCGACAACTCTGTTCGCAACGGTCACTGTTAACACAAGCTACCCCGTGACCGTAGTCAGTGATCATACCATTTTTACCACCGTTCCGACCACGGTGATTTCGACAATCATAACCTCAGTCCCCGTTCCAACGACGGTCACCGAGACCGAGACGGATATCACGACAAATATTCTCACCGTAACTCAGCCGCCTATAACAACCACGATTAGCGGCAGCTTGACTACAATTACCCCGTCGCCAGTGACAGTAACAACAGTCCTGCCCGGGTCCGTGACGACACTCCCCGGGACGACGTCTTTGGTCACAGTGACCAGTACTATCCCCCCAACCACGACGACTATTATCCAGTCTGGCACAACAGTCACGACGGTCTTGCCTGGAACCACATCGGCCGTGACAATAACCATCACTGGGGCGCCTGTAACGGTGACCCAGCCGCCGACACCCCCTGAGACGATTACTGTCGAGACGACAATCCTTGGTTCGGTTACAACCTGCGCAGCGCCTCAAAATACCGCAGGATCGGCCCCTGCGGCTTTCAACGCATCATCGGACCTCACATGGGGTTGCAAGCCCGGCTTCGTCTGTAGCCCCAAGAAGCCGGATAGCTGTAATATCTGGGCCGATTCTCCAGCAGATGATTTTGCATGCAGTCCGTCGGATTGTATCCCCTCCCCCGCCTTCCCAATCGTGCAGTGGCCGGAGAACAAGACGAGCTACTATCCTCCAACGGACGGGTATTTCAACCTAGCGCCACCCGCGTTTGGCCTGAGTTACGATATCTTTGAGGCTGAGGTGATCGTTGAGAAGGTCGGCGGTTCTTTGACTTCAGTCGTCACTGGAAATTGGGCTTCGCAGTCGACAATTACCCGCTTCCCACCCGCCAGCACCGAGTCTACCTCGCCCCCTTCAGCGAAGTCGAAACCGAAGAGGAGCATACGGGAGGGTGGCCCAGATCATCCCAACTCCCTGTTTAAACGAGATGACTCGATAATTCCCGCCGTGTGCTATGACACTTGCAACAACTGCTATCTCGAGGCTCAAGCTGTTGGGAAGACGCCGGCATTGTGCGCAGCAGGCTCCCCGTTCAAGCAATACTACGACGCCTGCCAGGATTGCATCCTCAAGAATAGCGCCCAGACGAAGCTCACGACCAAGGCGTACCTGGAACCAAAGTTCTCGCAGTTTCTCAAATTCTGCGATGCCCTGGATGCCCAACCCCAGGTCACCACCTCGGGCCCAGAGTCCGAGGCGAGTGCGCCTCCCAATGTCGAGACTAGCTCGCAGGCGCAAGCCAACACGGACACGAGCCCGAGTCCGATCACGGCAAGCTCGCAAGCCGATGCCCTAACCGCCAGCTCTGCCCCCTCACTCCCGACCAGTGCCCTTCCGCCCCCTGAAGCTAGCGACTCTTTTGCGTCCAGCGCCATTGCAGCAACCGCCTCCACAGCCGGTGGTCCGGCTCCAACAAGCCCAACCGAGTCGGCTTCCACGACCTCAGCAGTCACGGTAAACGCCGGTTTCAGATCAACCCAGACGAGCCTCGTACCGCTATTATTTTCCTTCCTTGCTACCCTTCTATTTATCTAGACTGTTTGCCCCGGGCCTTTTGATTCCCGCCATGTCTAATGGGGGTACTCGGCATCTGCCGGCTGTTGCTATATAGACCGAGCGTTCATATTCTTCCGCTCCTTGATGACAGCGTGTTTATTTGTTTTTCATAGAAACCACTATTGTTTTGTTCTTATTAATGTTCGGATCGAAGGTACTAAAAACGGATGGCTAGGCGCAGTTCCTGATACTCGTGGCTGGGCAGCATTGTCGGCAGGACGCTTCTTAGGCTTGGTCATTTTTGGTTGATGATGTGATACCCCCTTTTTCGCTCCTTGGACGACGGTCCGACTGGCTTGCGGAAACAACAATGTCACTCATTTCATTTATCTCTTGCGGGCTTGCGCAGGGGAAAAAGATAAGGGGGATAATCTATCGATAGATAAATAAGATTTGGGTTGAGCATTTGTGCTCCCTCCCAGGTGACAACTCGGGATAGGATTACTTATCCCTAGGGACTGTGGCAAGGATACATGCCGTGCCAGTTACTAACCCATACACCATGGATAATATAGCAGACGTGTACTTCAAACTTGATTCAAACCACTTGAACGTGCGATACGGAACCGTTAACGCCCTCTCAAAGCAAGGCAATGCCAAATCAAACCAAACCCAGCTGCGATCCCCCCTGACTATTTATACACACAAAGACAAGTTCACATCTGCGGGACCCAACCCTCCCGAGTCCCAGACGTGTAGATCTCAGACGACCTCCTATAATAGCTGTTGACGTCGATGACCATAGTCTCGATGCCAGGCAGCAGCCCCTTCCCGAGATTCCTCGGCACGACGACAAACTCCTGGCACGACACGCACGCCCACGCCAGCTTATCAACACCCTCCCCGCCCAGCTGGCCCTCAAAGTTGAACTCATTAACAGCAGGCCTGCCCTTGACGTGGCAAAGCGGACACACCTTGCGCCCATACTTCCCAACGATCCACTCATTCATCAACCTCACCTGCGTCAGCCACAGCTCAGCGTGCATAAGCCGATGCGCCTGGCACATAGTCGACAGCAATTTTGCGCACCCGCACCCCCACACCGGCGTCGGGCTACCCATGAACCCCCCGCGGACCACGCCCTCCCCATCCGGCACCGCGGCCGACAGCTCCCCTGCCTCCTCCTCGTACCCCCATACGCCATGCCCGCACAGCGCGAAGCTCACCCTCTCCGCCGCCCCGGCCGCCAGGCAGACGCAGCACGTGTACGCCCTCGCGGCCAGGACCTCGGCCTCGCGCAGCTGCTCCGCGTCCGCCGACAGCACCATCGACTTGCTCCTGTCGTTGCAGTCCGCGCACACGACCGCGGGGCTGGCGGCCGCGTGGTTCCGGTCCGGGCAGTGCGTCACGGGCGCCTCGACCGCCTGCCCGCACGTCGTCCACTCCGGCCCGGGCCTCGCCAGGTGCTCCTCGCACGCCCGACCCACCAGGTCGGCCCGATGCCCGCCCGCCTCCCCGCCCCGCGTCGGAAGGCTGGCCAGCGCGGGGAGGTTGCCCGGGTACGCGCCGTGGTGCGGCGGGATCTCGGGCTGGGGTTGGGGTGGGGCGGCGGCCTCGCCCGGGTTGGCGGCCTGCTGCTGCTGCTGCTCGTTCCCCTTCCACAGCCGGTCGTGGCCGCCGGGGGAGAGTGGCTGCTCCGGGACCCCCTCGGGCGCGGCGATCTTGCCGCGGATCTTGAAGTACGCGAAGCGGGTGCCCAGCCAGTCGAGGTCCGGCGGGAACTGGTGGCGCAGGGCCTCGTCGTCGGGCCGCGGCGGAGGCGCGAAGGGGTCGTGCCCCAGGCGGGGGTCGTCCTTGACGCCGCCGATCTCGAGGGCCTGCGGGTTGATGTAGCGGTGCGGTTTCAGGTCCTGGGCGCGGCGCTGCATGTACTCGAGGACCTTCCTGGCCAGCTCGGCACCGGTAAGCGGAGCCTGGGCTGGCGGGGGATGTATTTCCACCTGGTCCAGGTTTTGGGCAGGGTCTGGGTGCACGCTGAGGTCAAAATCCGCGTCATTATAAGGGAGAGGGGGGGAATAGTCCCCGAGGAGAGCAGCCAGGTCATCCGCGTCTGCCATTTCTACATCGGCACCCGCCATGCTTTGAAATTGAGGATGGATTGGGGGGAGTTGAGGGTCGGCCTGCAGGTTCTGAGGGGGTTGAGGGCCCATCTGCAAGTTCTGAGGCGGTGGAGGGTAGAACTGTAGGTTCTGAGGGGGTTGAGGGTAGCCGTGGAATTGCAGTATCTGAGGAGGTTGAGGGTCGAACGGCAGGATCGGAGGAAGCTGAAGTCCACCCGGCCCGGGTATAAGGTGCACGTCCGGAGCCTGTCTGTCCCGCAAACAGTTGATCCCTCGCGCGATGCAGTTTTCGCACGCGGCCAACCTCGAGTCCGAATGGGTCAGCCACGAGCACGTCTTTAGCGACCTTTTCTGGCATGAATCGCAGTTGTGCCTGATCAAGGTCATGCGAGGGTCCCCCCTGCGCGGTCGCTGCGCAAGCACCTCTCCGTTGAGCGTGCAGAGAACACGGGGGTTCTTCACCTCGCACCTGACACATCCGACCTTGTGGTCGCCGTCAACATCACAGACGATTCGCCTGGAGGGATCCACTTGGCAATAGTCGCATTCAAGACGTGGCCCTCGGAGTAAACCACTACCTCTCAAGACGGGCGGGATATGGTCAGGTCGTACAGGGAGAGCCTGATCCCCGGCCTGGCAGGGTATGTTAAATTCTTTGCATTTTGTGCAGCCGATTAACCGATCCACGTCGAAGTCGCACCTGCGATGGTTCGCCCTGCAGTTGTTGCAACACGGCAGCGGTTGATAACCCCGAGACATGGACATTTGGACAGATGGGGTGTTGGTCGAGGAGCTTGCCCTGCGATGCTTCGGCGTTGTAGACTCGGAAACCCTTAGTCGCCAAGCGAGTACTGTAGTGTCGTCGGTTGAGAATAGATCTCGATCTCACAGTCTCGGACCTTCTAATCACGATTTTAAGAGAAGAGTGTGTTAAAAGCGGTATATTGGTCTAGGAGGGCCCCGACCCTCGTAGATATCATGTTCTGAAGCGCTAATAATACCTGAAGCAGACAGGCCATGGCCGTTGGTTGTCGAACTTGGCTCTTCCTTAGATGTCCGAGAACGTTGTCGAGGGCGAGGGGATACAAAGGGGGCTTTGTCAACTGTTCCCGACAAAATATGGATAAAGGCCGGATAGGGCTCGAGTTAAAGACGACATTCTGAAAACGGATTGCCGACATCGAGTAAGTAATTCTGGCGAGTCTCTAGACCAGTGAGTAGTGGCTATCGATCACATGCATGAGACAGCTGCCTGGAGGAAGGCTGACCAAGTCTTCGTGACAAAAGGGAGCTTGTTTTGACTGAGAACCACGGCCGCAAAACATAATATCAAAGAAATTACAGGTCGGAGAACACCGATATAGGATGACCGACGTTTTAGTTTGAAAAAAAAGGAGAGAAAAAAAACAGAAAGACGGATAGAGAAACTGGTATCATGGAACCAGAGCATGCACTCCTGCCGTCCGGATCCCTCAACACTTGACAAGCTTCCATCAGGGTTGTCATACCTAATAGGAGCCCGAAGGTCATTTTCCCGACCATGGCGATAGCTGCCATCGTGCTCGATTCGATAGGCGTCCGGACAGAGAGAATTCAAGGTCCGAGCCAATGCGTATATGCATTTCCCCCAAATGTCCCAACATCCGGCAAAACGTCCTTCAGCGCGCGCGTTTTCGATTTTTGGTATCTCGAGTCTCTCCTCTCCGCTCCTCCGCTCCATCCGCTCCACTCACTCCTTCCAACCTAGAAGCTAATCGCCAGCTTCGATGTACTCGCTGGATATCGTTCCTTCACATAATCACGCACTTCGAGCAGCAGCCAGCGTCGGCATCGTTGTCGCTCACTTCCATCTTGTTGGTCGGGCCGCCATTGTTCGAAGTCCCGCTGCCGGTCGAGTAACCCTGCATCTCACGGTTGTACCTCCTGATTTCCCGGACGATATCGTAGAATGCCTTGTCAACATTGATCCGCGACTTCGCCGAGGTTTCAATGAACTTGCAGCCAAAAGATTTCGCAAGTGCCTCACCCTCTGTTATCCCATGTAAGCATTTGAGTAGACCTCCTGGGCTTTGAAATGAGTAGTACCTTGTCTCGTAACCTCGCGCTCGCCCTCCAAATCGCACTTGTTTCCGACGACGACCATTGGGAAGTAGTCCTTGTCCTTAACTCGCAGGATCTGCTGCTGGAAAGTGGTGATTTCCTCGAAGCTCTGCCGTGATGTGATCGAGTAGACTAGGAGGAATCCTTCACCCGTTCGCATGTACTGCTCGCGCATGGCAGAGTACTCCTCCTGGCCGGCAGTATCCAACACGTCGAGCAGGGCGACCTCATCGTCAATGACACACTGCTTGCGGTAGGAATCTGGGTCAAGCCATCAGCGCCAGTCTCTCACGCATGGCTGTGGGAAATAGGAGCGATACGAACCCTCAATTGTTGGATCATATTCGTCGACGAAATGGCTCTGGATAAGTTGGATGGTAAGGCAAGACTTTCCGACGCCACCACCACCGACCACAACTAGTTTATACTCTCTCAGGAACTGTGATCAAGCCAGGGAATTAGTTGCGGGCCGGCAATTTCAAAGTAGAGTACACTGTCGAGGGAGAGGTTACGAACCTTGGAGGCCATCGCAGCGACTCCGTCGGGGAATAGTGGTATTTGATTATCGAACCGAGGCGCGTAGTTGTCGAGCTCACGTCACAGATGGAGAGGATACGGGTTGGTTTGACAGGAGATATGGAACGGCTTGGCAGTTGAAATTGGGCGGTTCTTGCCGAGGAATGGGATCCTACTGACGTCGACGGGGGGGTGGGTGCTGGTCAGAGCAAGGTCGGAGGCGGTGAGTGGCGGACAAAAGGGCAATAAATGATGCTGTCCTGGAATGGCGATGACCACGAACTGTTGATCGCAGAGGCAGACGGAATCAGAGGGGAAGTCGCAAGTGATGGATTGACGAAAAGGTGTGTGCTTGTGGTGGTTTGGGGAAGAGCTGCAGACCAGAGAGGGTGTGAGTGAACGAACTCCCTGAGCAAAGTTGCCGAGCAATCAGAGGAATAGACCAACGAGGGAGGGTTCGTGCACGGTGCACCGACGGGGGGTGGGAGAGAAGGTGGGTCCAACCTTCGACACCGTTTTCTGATTGGACTCAAGCTCTGCAGAAATACATGCACAGGCACATTAAGATCCCGTTCTCATTGAGGTCCCTAGCACCACATCAACAAATCCTGAACCAGCAATGCCTGGCAGTGGAAATGGACCCCTGCAAGCTGGACTGCATAGGACTCCCGCATCAGGATACCCCCCTTCCCATTTTGGAACAGGACTGTTAGGCCAATCCCTGCGAATCATTTTCTCGCCTGGGTGAAGACTCTGAAGAGGAATTTAAACTTGCCGCCTTCTGAGCGGGTAGCACATGTAGTCACGATCCGATCTATTTAATGATATCATTGATGTTGACGACATCATATTCGGCTGCCGGGAGTTGATTTTGGGGTTCTCACCCCCAGTGCCGTTCTCCAGCTCTTTGATTGCTGGGCAACAGCGATCGATGTATGAGCCGACTGCCCGACCTATCTTGTCGCACAAAGAAAGCACTCTCGGCCATCATTGAAAGCAGCCCGTCTGAGTTGGGCTTGAGTAGGGCATGGGTATGGCAGCGCTTCCTTGCTCGTATCCTGGACCACCAACGAATTTGGTGATACATAAATCCCTGCGACAGGCGATAAGGCTATTGAATCGAAGCCTCGATGGATGCCTACCTAGCCTAGGCTTGGCCCTAGAGGCGGCAATCATGGGTTTCCTTTATCAATTCCCACTCGCACCCTGCTTCAAGTTCCAACTGTAGGTTCCACTTGTAGCCATGCGCGTTGACTTCCACTGCGCCATGACGTGTGTAAGTATCGTTGTATCCTCTCTTGACCTTCGACGTTGTGGAATTTAAACCTGCACCATAATAAGGCTCGAGCCATCCACGGAGTTACCAAAACACAGAAGGCATTGATTGACTCAGCCACCTCCGGATTCATGTCTGATGTGCCGGCGCCCGTCTGTGTGAGAGGGGCGTTGCACAGACAAAGACATGGACACCGCTAGTTAAAAGTTGCCTGACGCACGCACAGTTACAAAACGAACGTTCTCTCACGAAGTTGCTAATTATCCTCAATAAACGGGATTTGCCGCCTATTAGCAGTTATCCTACCAGCCTATGTAGTGTGGATTCAGCTACCTACTAATTACATAGGTAAGTATGTACAGATCCGTATCTAGGTAGGTAACTGGTAGGGATGGAGTAGCAAGGAATGGGGAACAAGACGCCATCAATCTTTCCAGAACAACGAGAGATCCACACTCCACAGACTCATTAGCAAATACAGGGATTGGCGTCACATTTGTGGCCGCCCCGCCTGGGTCATCAAGCCAAAAGCCCGAATCGCTTGCAGAACCATGGGATGAATGGTTGAGAGATTGGCTCGTTTCGGGAGAAACAAAAGTAATTTGCGACTTCTCAAAGCTCCAGTCAGTCAGAAATGATAACCACCCACGTTCAGAAGTTCAGCGCCGGAATCTAGTTACTACTTGCTTGCTACTACCTGTTGGCTGCTACTCTGCTCGCCCCCAAAGCGACTTCTATTTCAGTGATCTGGGAGGTCGTCATCTTCGCCTTCGACAATAACGCGGCGGCCCTGGACATTCTTCTCTACCTCTGGAATGATACTTTCCAAGAAGGCGTGGTCTCTGCAAAGGGGGTCAGATAAGTATCTAGCCATGAGGGTTATGGATTATGACGAGCGAATGGAGTCACATACCGTCCGACCAGAGTCACCGTGTTACTTTTCTTCCCCCATCGAGGGTAACTCCCGACCTTGACACCCTTCGGCTCGACTGCGGCTGCTAGCTGAGTCAAATATTCGGCGACTGCGCTCTCGGGCAACGGCGTCGAGATCAGCACCCTGGCAATACCTTTGCCGTCGGGGTCTATCAGCCGGTGGATGATGGATGGCTTCACAGCATCAATGAGTGCCTCAACTGTCGCATCGCAGCTGTGTCAGAATCGTCGCATTTCGCCAGGTCAACGGTGAGGGTCTCGTACAGAGGCTCGGAATGCCCGGGAGGATGTGGACATTCCCATTGACGACGGCCACAGGAACCCATAGCTCCTCCCGTGGAAAGAGAAACTGGGTCTTGGGGTCCCTGGCGCTATCGGTGGGCAATTGGACCATCCGAAGCCGAGCAGTCCTCGCGGGTGATTCCTCGTCCCAATTGAAGTTGGGCTGGGACGGGTGAGGCTTGGACAATCTCTTCATCCGCTCAAAAGCCTCCTGATTGAGGACAAGCGGGAGTCCAAACGCCTTGGCGATAGACGCATAGGTGATATCATCGTGCCTCAAATCCCATCAGCAGAGAGCGAGGAGAGTCAGCCGTATCGCAATTTCTTACGTGGGGCCAATGCCTCCGCTTCAGGTTTGTCCTCGTCAGTACCTATGCCGCCATCGCAAAGAGCCACCAACAGGGCAAGGGCGGAGCATGTCATACCTAGTGACAACAAAGTCGTAGCGGTCGCTCATCCGGCGTACGGCTTCGATGATCTCATTCTCGTCGTCTGATATGACCTCGACCCGCTTCAGTTGCTATGAGGTAGAGCATGATGAGTTGGCCGGTGCTCCCCCGAGTAAATTCAGGGGCGTCGTCAACAACTCACAATACCTAGCGAGAAGCACCACTTGGCCATATAAGCCGAATTCGTCTGTACGAGATCAGAAAACGACACACCGGAGAGTATACCTAGCACAGCATCCTTACATCTACTGTCTGCAACCCGAATATAAGTTCCCCGTCTTTTTGTCAGCTAGCCTCCTCAACTCGTGCGCCCCAGTTTCCGATGTGCAACCTGCCTTTCCTCCGAGCACCTCATCGCCGATGATGAGACATGCTGCCGTGTTAATGGTCCTCGAGTCACGCTGATCTGCGGAGATACCGGAAGCCATGATTGAATTCGCACCGCCTCCCTGCCGCAATGCCGAGGCTGACGCTGGTATACGGGATGAGCAGAGTGCCGGTCTTGACAGATGACGTGCTAGGAGCGCTACGCGAGAGAACATAAAGCCGAGGGTAGAGCCAGGGGCTTCTTCCAATTGACAACCCTCGAGACTTGGGGAATGGGCAGAGTGCGACTGGAAGCTACCTAGGTAAGGTATGCGGTACCAGTTCAATATGCCGGGAACCAACCGATTTTGAGGCACCCATTGGAAGAATGGAGCCCCAAACCTCACCCTTGGAGCCCCGCTAAGGTGGGGGTGGTGTCATTGGGTCATCTACGCCGTCAAGTGCGTCTCAAACTCCCAAAGCAAGAGGCCTTCGATCAGGCTGACTATCATAAAACACGACCTAGGTTTCCGTCGTCTCTTGTCTCTCGTCTAGTCTTTTACCAAGGAGAATTCTATTATATTCGGACACGACGACGTTGAACATCTTGAAACGACGACAATGGTATCCGACCGAATCCGACCATCAGCCGTGGATCGAGGCTTTAGAAGGCTGACAGCTATCTAGAGCTCCGAGGCAAGGCTCTACGCCTTCTCCCAGGAGACCAAAGACCACCTGCGCAAGTTCCGCCTGGGGACTTCCAGGTCCAACGACCCCCAGGCCGTTATTTGTATGTGCGTCTTTCCCTTGGAACCAACTGCTTTTACCCCGCCGCGCTCCTCGCAGACGATAGGTACCTGTGTAGCTGTGACTAACCCCCTGGCGCGGCCGCAGACCTGATCGATAAGACCACGCACGAGATCCGGCAAGACGACGATAAGACGGTGTACAAGACGCTCGAGGAGATCGCAGACGACCTCCCGGACCACTCGCCGCGCTTCGTGCTGCTGAGCTACCCACTGACACTTGTGAGACACACGCGATATCCCAACCTGACCTGACATACATTATGGGGGGAGGGGTAACCACACCCCCTATTATTCATGTCGGAGGAGGGAGGAAATCCTATAAAAAGACCTGGGGACTGCGCTAATACGAGGGTCGGGGGCGTTTGTTCCCCCCTTCCCGGCATATCTGCAGCCGTCCGGCCGACTGTCGGTACCATACGTCCTTCTCTACTACCTGCCCATCACGTGCAACAATGAGATGCGGATGCTGTACGCCGGCGCCAAGGAGCTGATGCGGAACACGAGCGAGGTGGGCAGGGTTATCGATGTCGAGTCCGCGGACGATCTGGAGGAGATACCGAGCAAGTTGGGCGCCGAGTAGTTACGGACTTTCCTTTCCTCGCTATGCGGTAGGTTGGAAGGTGGAAGGCAGTTTTGTTTTTCGCGCGGTCGTTACCGAGGGTTGGGGATGGATGGGGGTTGCCGCCGGATGAGATATGACCTGGGCATGGTATCTAGTTTCACGTTTACCTAGGTTATATCTACAACTCAGCTTCACCGCTGAGTGTCCGTGAAATCATTACTCGTGAATTATATTTACAAATGGGGTATAGATCCCGAGATATCCCCCAATGCGTCTATTGCTCTGGCAGGACGTCTTTTGCGTCCAGGCCGATCTGGCCAGATAGCTCCCTCACCACGTTCTTCAGCGCCTTGCAAGCAGGACTGTCTGGGAACGAGTCGAAGAAGCTCTCCCCATAGTCGCAAGCCATCCCTATGCGAGGATCCAGCGGCACCGCGCCCAGAAACGGGATGCCCATCTCCTCGGCCAGGCCCCTCCCGCCCCCCGTTGTCGCCTCGAATATCTGGCTCTCGTGGGTGCATTTTGGACACACGAAGCCGCTCAGGTTCTCCACCAGGCCGAGGATCCTGATCCCGGCCTTCCTGCAGAAGTCTATCTCCTTGCGCACGTCGAGCAGCGCCACCTCTTGCGGGGTCGTGACCATGACGGCGCCATCGATGTGGCTCTCCTTGAGGAACGAGTTCACGCTCAGGTGCTCGTCGCTGGTGCCCGGCGGGGTATCGACCAGCAGGAAATCGAGGTCGCCCCACTCGACGTCCTTGAGGAACTGCTTTATCAGGCCGTTCTTCTTGGGGCCGCGCCAGATGATGGCGTCGTCCTTACCCGGCAGCATGAACTGTATGCTCATAACGCACAGGTTGTCCGAGGCCCAGACGGGCGACAAGCCCGTGTTGCTGACGTGGATGGTCTCCGACTCGACGCCCAGCATCTTGGGGATGCTGGGCCCGCATATGTCCGTGTCCATGACGCCGACCGTGCTGTCCGGGTTAGCGGCGAACGCGTGCGCCAGCATGCTGGTGAGCGTGCTCTTGCCGACGCCGCCCTTGCCGCTCAGCACCAGGATCTTGTGCCTCACGCCGGCCAGCCGCGCCGAGATGACCTTCACGTCCGGGTCCGGGCCCTTGGGCGCCGACGCGCATATCTCCCGGTTGGGACATCCGGCGCACGAGTCGGCCTGGCCCGCCTGTTCCGACTCAGGGCCGGGGCAGTGCTCCGGCTCGGGGGCGACGAGCTTCGGCTTTTGCTTGAGAGGGTGCGCGATCACGTCTTCGACGGGCTCGGCGGCCTCGAGGGACGGTGCCATCGTATGCCGTGTTGCGCGTGCGCGTGCGCGTGCGCGAAGTGCCGGGTGTCGACGATTAATATGCGGATTCACCCAAAAAGTTCGCGATGTGGGCGGCAGGTTGATTGAGGCGCGGGGTTTACAGAGGGATTGGGGAATACGTAGGGTGCAGTGATAAGATATGGAGCTGAGGATTAGAAATCAAGACCCGCAAATTTCGAATTCGCCGTTGGTGGCAACTCTGAATTTCTAGGTACCGAAAATTAGAACAGAGCTGCCGTAGTCAGTGGTGTAGCAGGAGCACTGGATGTGACTCAGCAAAGGAGTGGCAAGTGTCGATGGAGTCCCAGTACTCGCAAGTAAGTCATTATCACACTGTCGTCTCTGCTTCTACGCTTTAGGCCAGGATCGCGGCAGAAAGGCATAACTGCTCAGTTAGGTGGTAGTCTGGTACGATGCAGATAGGAGAGCGTTTGAGAGGAGGGTATCGTGACTGCTGGGGGTTGATGCTTTGTCCCGAAATAGGAGCAGACCTATGTAAGTGAGGCAAAATGTAGAGCAGCTTACCTACCTCTCAGACAGACTCTGATAGAACTGGCAGAGCTGGAGACGAACTCCCCGAGCTCCCCGAAATCAACAGACGAGACGATTGGAGTTCCTTCTTCGTGCTGGAGCAATATCAAGGCTGTCCTGGGATGCAGATGTCGTCGCTCTCATCCAGAGCTTTCCAGCCCCCTTGTCTTGCGAACCTCAGCGTCCCGGCCCAACCGCGTCCTCAATGCTAGTGAAACTGATGATAATGGAATGCGCTCGGATGTTGATTGGCTAGCCGTCCCTTCCTGCCCTCCCTGCCCTCCCTGCCCCTATCTGGGGTCGCGAGGACTCCCCAGAGTTGTCGGGCTTCGATGGGAGACGGGATGGGGATGGGCTGCGATTGTGGGGGGATACGTTGGGTACTTATGCACTCCTATGCAGCCTCCTGTTGCACTCAACGGTATGACGGGGCAATCCGTGTCGTCAATTCCCAAATGAAGCGGAGGTTATGCAAAAGACTTCATTCGCGACGAGTCTCTGGAACAGAACAGGGCAGCCTCTAAGATGCGGCGATTGACGGCAGAATGCGTGGACCCTGCGTCTCACCTGACACCGTGCGTTGGACCGGCTAGGGAAGCGTTTACTGCGGGTGGTTAGCGCGACCAGCACAAACGCAAGACGGGGTTGCTCCTGCCATTGGAAAGCATCGGGACCTCTTGGAATTATTGGAACCACGCAACGCGCTTGCTTCGATCGTTTCCCCACAATCCCATGCTGCCTCCTGCACCTCTGCATTATCTTCTTGCAGCTAGCATCCCGCCCACCGAGCCCAACACCCGTCTTGTCGAATCGAGGGCGCAAGCCCAACACGTCCTCAAGCATAATAATAGCCTCCGGCGAACCTCGTCAAGTCGCTTCTCACCACACATGTCGCCACCAGACAGCCATACATGCCCTGCCCTACACTAGACACTAGACACGCGTTCCTCTCCGCATTACACGTAAACAAATAAACACATTCTCTGTCAACCCAACTCTCCATCTCTCCACTGTCCACTCAAGCACCTCCAAGTCACCCCGTCAAGAGTTCTGTCCATGCGACTTAGTATGATGCCGACTGCGAAGAAGAAGATGGGGTCAATGGGCATGTTTGTTTCAAGACATGCCGATGGCCCCGTCAGTGCTCCCGCCAATGGCCCAGCCAGCCCCAGAGTTGGGACGACAACAGCAGGCCCCGCAGCAGTCGCGACTCTGCAGCCATCGCCGCAGATTGTTGTGTCCCGCCAGGAGATCGCGGCTGCTGCCAAGATTCCCGTGCCGAGGGGGGGACGATTCGCCAACCAACCAGTCCCAGCTTCCAACATGAGCCCCCCCGCACAACACTACCACCCAATGCAGCGGGGCAGGGGATCGTCAGAGACCGGTCGAGACGCTGGCCACTCCCAGAATGGCGGCGGCATATGGGAGGACTCGACCGTGGCCTCCATGTTCGACGAGACCGACAGCAGAGGGACGTCCGACAGGCACAGGGGTCAACATGGAAGACACTACAGTGAGAACACGTACTCGAGGCCGCCCCAGTTTGAGCGGCAACGAAGCCACGACGACCATCTCCCCTTCGTCATTGGAGAGAACGGCATGCTGAAGGTTGTCCAACAGCCCGCCGCTGTGAATGGGAATGGGCCCAGCGCCACGACCTTAAATACCAGTGTCCAGAGCGGCATAAATGAACAACAGCAACAAACCTCGCGCCCGGAAGCCTCTTATCAAGATGACCGCCACTACGAAAATACCCCCACCAGGAACAACAACACTCTCCGACGCACCAAGCTTCCCCATCGCGACGCCCGCGAGGCAAAGCGCAATTCCTTCGTAGAGCGACCTGAAGGCGGCAATCCCGTTGACGGGGGTCTGAACGGCTCCCCAGGAAGGCGGTCTGATAAGAGCAGCCGCTTTATCGAGGCCAAAGTGGAAGACGCCTTGCGAGAACGCGAACGGCAGCGAGAACGAGAGCTTGCGCACAAACGCTCGACAGTCTTTGAAAATCTCACTCCTGTCGAGGAGCCAACTTGGAACACCCAAGTTGCTGTTGGTATGCAGACTGCGGAGGTTACCACGGACGATATCAGGGAAGCCCTCCACCACACGCCACGCGCTTCACGGCAGCTGCCAGCCATCCAGAACAGCTTGCAGGGAAGCCCTCTTGCAAGAACTCCCAGCCGCCGGCGCGACAAGGCAATCGCAACCAGAAAACGCCGACTTAGCTTGGATTACAACGACGCGGAACTCAACGCCATGAATTACGCCGATCTTCAAGGCCAGGCTTTCGACTTTGATCCGCAAGCGGCCGCCCTGCAGCAGACATCTGGCCCAACTGGGGACAGCATTGAGGATAAACTGGAGCATTATAAGGACAAAGATAGCATCGACCAGCACCGCTTCTTTGCCCAGATCTCCTTGCAAGACTGGGAAGCCTCGGGCGACTGGTTCCTCGAGCAGTTTAGCAGCGTCATGCAGAGAATGAAGACGTCGCGGAAAACCAAGCGAGAGATGATGGTCAAGTTCGAGAGTGAGATCTCAGCACGGGAGGAGGCGGTTCGAGGCAAAATCGAGGGCATAGGTCGCACTCTGCAAGACATGAAGAAGGAGGGCCAGAGCATGATGCAGGGCAAGGACGTCGAAGTCTGAGCACATGGAGTCTGGTCACAATCATCCCAAAAAAGGGAGGGGGGAGGGGGGCTGTACTCTACAGAAAACGAACCACTTTGACGGTGTTATCAGGCGCTTGATTGATTACTGCCTAGGCCAACTCAGGGGCCAACGACGGCACGAGCTACCATTATCGCTACGACTGAACGACAACAGAACTATACGACGTTTATGACGGAACGGATGGGCGGGAGTCAATGCCGCATGCATTTGGTCATGGAGCTACAGTATCTTTGTTTTTCTCTATTCTCTTCTCAACGGTGATAAAACGGGTCTGTTCAATATAGATAACTATGTAGCTGCAACGGGTAGCTATTTCTGCTCAGGGAGCATGTCACAACACGATCTTGTCCTGCACGGTCCGATCTTTCCCGACGACGAGCCGCAATTGACTGCGCGGGCGATGCGGGAATATGCCCGCTCTCACCTTGTCGGAAAAGAGCTCATAGGCCGGGTAATAGGCGTCGACGAACTTGACGACCTGCTCGTCGGTCATGCCCGCGCCGCGCTCACTCCTCAGGGCCTCCTCCTGCTGCAGGCGCCAGCCGTAGACGTATTCGGTGTCGGCGGCGTCGATGTGGATGAAGGCGTCGAGCAGGTCGGTGAGGCCGTCGTAGGCCCTCAGCTGGTCGTTGACGAAGAACAGGTGCTCCAGCTTGTGCCGGTGAAGGGTCCGGCTGGGCGCCCGCCACTTGGCCTCGATGGAGGCGTGGTCCAGCGGCCGGAAGCCGACGCACCAGCCCTCGAGGATGGCAACCTCGACCTTTGGCTGCCCGGGCCCGTTGATGGAGACCCATTCCGACTCCGGCGCCCGGTCGCCTAGGCCCGAGTAGGCGGACTTGTCGTACTGCGGGATGTGCGCCGGGGCGCCAGAGCAGAGGGCGTCGAAGAACCGGCGCGCCAAGGCGATGTCGTGCGTGCCTGGCCGGGGAGGAGAGGGACATGTTAGAAAGGTGGGGTTCCCCCCTTATTTCTCTCCTCTCTCTCTCTATATATATATACATATATCGCCGCCGCGAATGAGAGAGGATTTGGGGGCCCAAGAAATCCAACTCACCTGGTTCTCCCCGATTCTGGACCAGGGCATTGTCCGGGTGGGCGGCGGCCAGGGCGAGCTGGTCGGCGTGCCTCAGGTAGAAGTCGTCGATGCTGACGACGAGGGTCTTGAGGCCCTCGCGGTCCTCGAGGGTCTCGGCTAGGGCCTTGACGAGGGTCGTCTTGCCGACACCCTGCACGCCGTTCAGGCCGATGATGAAGGGCTTCGTCGAGTTGGAGGCGCGGTGGAGCTTGAGGCGCTCGAGGATGAAGGGGATGCAGATGGGCGACTTATCGTCGATTGCCCGCGACTGCAGGGCGACGTCTGGGGTGGCGGCCATGTTTGCTGAACATGACGATGCCGAGAGAGCCCTCGAAATAATTTCGAACCCTTCTTGTGGGGTTAGTACATCTTTTGTTTTCCTTACTCGGGCTGGCGTCGATAAAGCCGGCCGATGGATGGCCTCGTCCTCCGCTTTCGCAGCGGCCCCGTTTTCGCCATGGCTAAGTGTGGGGAAAACTTGGGGAAAATTGGAACCTACGGTTGGAGTACAATACAGTTCGAGGACGAGCGGCGGATAGAGGGCTTTCTAGTGTATATCGAATTATGGTTTGTATGTCGGTGGAGACCAGGGACCTAGCTGCCACCTCGCAGCTTGGAGACACTTGACTCGTTTGGAAATGCGATCCCAAAGTCAGTGTTGCATGTGATCACTCCCATGCAGAAAGGTACCTTTGCTACGACATCGTGCTGCATGACCTCACTACCGACAGCGTAGCATGTGAATTTGTGGCTAAATTAGTATTAGCGCTGTCCTGCCACCCCGCCTCTCGGCAATGCTGGGCGTGCAGTGGAATGTGGCCTTCAGAAAGCCGTGCGGGCCTCGGCTTAATTGGAGCATAACCAAGGCGTAACCTTGCCTACCGAATCGGCCGATCCTACGCATGGTATTTAGATATGCTTAAAGAGCAGTATATGGACTCTGCAACTTCAACCCAACTGCTGATTCTCTAGATCTTTTTTTATCTCTCCTCCTCCCCTTAAGACACCAAGACCAATCTTCACCTGTTGTTGTTCTGCATCTTTCTTATCTCAGACACACCCATTCCCCAATGGCGGACCAATTAAGATTCGACGGCCAGGTGGTTGTCGTAACTGGAGCTGGCGGTGGGCTGGGAAAGGCATATGCCACCTTCTTTGCTTCACGCGGAGCCAGCGTTGTTGTCAACGATCTCGGCGGCTCCTTTAAGGGCGAGGGTAACTCCACAAAGGTGAGCATGACTACCCAGCCCTTCCTGGTCTCCAGGGCTTCGTCTCCTCGTCCTCGTACCGTCTACTAACGGCCCCACTTCACCAGGCTGCGGATGTCGTCGTCAACGAGATCAAGGCTGCAGGCGGCAAGGCCGTGGCCAACTACGACAGCGTCGAGCAAGGCGACAAGATCATCGAAACGGCCATCAAGGCCTTCGGTCGCATAGATATCCTCATCAACAATGCCGGCATCCTCCGAGACATCAGCTTCAAGAACATGAAGGACGACGACTGGGACCTCATCTTCAAGGTCCACGTCAAGGGCTCCTACAAATGCGCTCGCGCCGCCTGGCCACACTTCCGCAAGCAGAAGTACGGCCGCGTCATCAACACGGCCTCGGCAGCAGGCCTGTTCGGAAACTTTGGCCAGACCAACTACTCGGCGGCCAAGCTGGCCATGGTTGGCTTCACCGAGACGCTGGCGAAGGAGGGCGCCAAGTACAACATCATCTCGAACGTCATCGCACCCGTGGCGGCGAGCCGGATGACCCAGACCATCATGCCGCCCGACCTCCTGGAGCTGATGAAGCCCGAGTGGGTTGTGCCACTCGTGGCTGTCCTCGTCCACAAGAGCAACACGGACGAGTCGGGCTCCATATTCGAAGTCGGCGGTGGTCACATCGCCAAGTTGAGGTGGGAGCGCTCGAGCGGGCAGCTCCTGAAATGCGACGACACCTACACCGCGGGCGCCGTCCTGAAGAAATGGGATCAGGTTATCGACTTCTCCAATCCTCAGTACCCGAGCGGCACTAACGACTTCGTGACTCTGCTAGAGGAGTCGCAGAAGTTGGGCCCGAACGATAAGGGGGAGAAGGTCGACTTCACCGGCCGGGTTGCCCTCGTCACGGGAGGTGGTGCTGGCATTGGTCGGGCATACTGTCTGGCCTTTGCCCAGAATGGCGCTTCCGTCGTTGTCAACGATTTGGTCAACCCGGACGACGTCGTAAACGAGATCAAGAAGATGGGCGGCAAGGCGGTTGGTGTCAAGGCCTCCGCCGAGGACGGTGACGCCGTCGTCAAGGCTGCAGTTGATGCCTTTGGCAGGATCGACATCGTCGTCAACAACGCTGGCATCCTCCGGGACAAGGCGTTCACCAACATGGATGATAGCCTGTGGGACCCAGTTATGAACGTGCACGCTCGGGGAACCTACAAGGTCACCAAGGCTGCCTGGCCCTACTTCCTCAAGCAGAAGTATGGTCGCGTGATCAACACCACATCCACCAGTGGTATCTACGGCAACTTTGGCCAGGCCAACTATGCGGCTGCTGTAAGTCACCTTTTCGTCGGAAGCCTTCCAGACAAGGATCACCCGCTAAGAAATAACGTCTAGAAATCTGCCATCCTGGGCTTCTCTCGGGCCCTTGCCCTCGAGGGACAGAAGTACAACATCTACACCAACGCCATCGCCCCCAACGCCGGCACGGCCATGACAAAGACGATCTTGCCCGAGGAGCTTGTCCAAGCATTCAAGCCCGAGTACATCGCGCCGCTTGTCCTCGCCCTCGCCAGCGACAAGGTGCCCAAGAACCCGAACGGCGGGCTGTACGAGGTCGGCAGCGGCTGGGTCGGTCAGACCAGATGGCAGCGGACAGGAGGACATGGCTTCCCCGTCGACGTGCCCCTCACCCCGGAGGCCGTTGTCAAGCACTGGAAGGACATTGTCACCTTCGACGGACGCGCAGACCACCCGGAGAAGACACAAGACAGCCTGGAGAAGATCATGGCGAACATGGATAACAAAAGCTCAAAAGAGGTATGAACTGGTTCCATGATCCATCCCATGATGTCAGGTCAATGTATCTCCGACGAAGAACATGTATCATTGTACCAATATAGTCTAGTATTTCACAGTCGTTAACCATTTGGCGTGTGTAGAGCAAGTCCGGTTCAGTAGGCGGTAATCAATATATCGACGCCATCCAGAAGGCGATGAATGCCGAGCCGATAGGCACCGAGTTCAAGTACGGAGAGCGCGACGTGATGCTCTACAACCTGGGCATTGGCGCCAAGAGGACTGATCTGCGTTACGTCTTGTAAGACCTTCTTCCCCTCACATTCCCATCTTATTTGTTCGGGTAGGCTATTCTGGGGCAATGTGGCTGACGCAGACCAAACAGCGAGGGTGCCGACGACTTCCAGGTGCTCCCCACCTTTGGCGTGATCCCCCAGTTCGACGCGGAGCTGCCGTACAGCATGGAGGACATTGTGCCCAACTTCTCGCCCATGATGCTCCTGCACGGCGAGCAGTACCTCGAGATCCGCAAGTACCCGATCCCGACGGCGGCGCGCCTCGTGTCCAAGGGCCGGCTCCTCGAGGTGGTGGACAAGGGCGCGGCGGCGGTGGCCAAGAACGGCATCACCACGTACAACGCCGAGACGGGCGAGGAGCTCTTCTATAACGAGACCACCGTCTTCCTCCGCGGCTGCGGCGGCTTCGGCGGGCCCCCGAGGCCCCAGGACCGCGGCGCCAGCACCGCCGCGAACAAGCCGCCCGCCCGTCTGGCGGACGTGGTCGTCGAGGAGAAGACGACCGAGGAGCAGGCCGCTGTGTACCGGTTGAGCGGGGACTACAAGTGAGTTTGACAGCGTTCTTATTATGTTGTCCCTTTTCCCCGGCCTGTATAGTCTAGACTGCACAGTATATGGATGTCATGTTTTGCTAACGAGATACCCTCCCTCACATATAGCCCCCTCCATATCGACCCTAGCTTCGCCAAGATGGGCGGATTCAAGCAGCCTATCCTCCACGGTCTCTGCTTCTTCGGTATCTCCGGGAAGGCTGTTTACGAAAAGTACGTTTTCAAACCCCCATCCCTAATTACCTTGGCTCTCCCTCCTTCCTCCCGCCCTGGCAAGGATGGGTGGCTATGAGAGTAACTTGGAGACTGACCGGTGCGGCCAATAAATAGGTTTGGACCCTACAAGAACATCAAGGTCCGCTTCGCCGGCACGGTGCTGCCCGGCCAGACCCTCGTGACGGAGATGTGGAAGGAGGGCAACAGGGTCATCTTCCAGACTAAGGTCAAGGAGACGGGCAAGCTGGCCATCAGCGGCGCTGCCGCGGAGCTGGTCTAGATAAGACTGGAGAAGGAGAAGTATGTGGTGTCAGTGTTCCATATTATACGTCGAGAACTGTCCCCATTAGTCCCCGCGGGGGTGGGAGAGATGATGCTATCTTTGGGGGACGGCCATCCCATCCACCACATTGTAAAAAAGTATATAGCGCTGAATTGGAATTACGTCGTTGTATTCATTCCTGCCTCCCTACTACCTAACGAAGTAGTCTAGTCCTGGGTATAGTTTTTCACATCCCTTCCCATCGCAATGTGCCGTCGCCTGCCGATGCGAGTATTACAAGCCAAACCAGCCAGTCATGATCCGTCATGATCCGAGAAACAAAAAAAAGAGTCTCTCCCATTATTGCTTCCACGATGTCGGTAGATCCGAAGATCATTCCTCCCCTTGGGAATTTCGCATACTTCCTACGCCCAAAAATATGCAGGAAAAGGAAAGCAGAAAAGGGAGAGAGGGAGTAGTTCTACAAGATCAAAACAGTACAACAAGAAAAAGCAAACAACCCAAACCCCCTTCATACAAACAGATTCTCGACCAAGATATCAAACACCTCCGGCACGGAAGGCCACCTCCCAGCGAGTAGGGCGGAACGACGGCCTGCGGCACCTGCGCCGGCGCCGGCGTCGAGCAAGGCCTTCTCCGCGACGGCGTCAAGGCCTTCGGCGCCGCCGGCGCCATCGGCTCCATCGGCGACGCGGGCCTCGCGCCACCTGCGCTCGGCGTCGGCGCGGGCGCGCTCGAGGACGAGGTCCGTGTCCTCGGACTGCCACAGGTTGCACCTGTCGCAGCGGTCGCAGGGGCGCGGGTCGCCGTCGGGGCGGAAGTGGTCGCAGAAGTGGCGGTAGCCGACGTCGGGCCCGTCGGGGTCGGCGGCGCCGCCAATGTCCTTGCGGCAGACGTAGCACATCTTGTAGCCGCACGGGCACGTGAGCTTGTTGCAGCCGGCCGTCTTGACGAAGGACGTGTTGCAGCGAGGGCACACGCGCTTGACCGCCATGCTCATGGCCGTCTCGACCTGCGTGCGCAGCGCCACCAGCGCCGACTCGTGGCACACGTGCACGTCGGCCCATTCCTTGCCGCACGAGAGGCACGACGTGCGCCGGCAGTGCGGCGAGCCGCACGTGAACTTGAGCCCGCGCTGCCGCCGCCGGTGGCGCACCACGGCCTCGCGGAATTGGCCCGCAACGTGGTCGCCGACGGTCCGCCGCGAGCTCAGGAGCACGGCCGCGAGGGAGGAGAGGAATATGACGGGTAGCAAGAAGGGGATCATGCCGATGCAGAGGACGAGGAAGATGAGGTTGTAGACATTGTCGGCGCGGAGGCGCAGCTCCGACTCGCGGAGTGGGAGGTAGATGTCGTCGACCTCGGCGTAGGAGCAGAACGGGCAGCGCACCAGGGGCAGGTCGCTGGCCAGCAGGCTGTGCTCGGCGAGGCGCTGGTCGAGCTTGGCAAGGACCTCGGCCCCGCCCTTGTCCTCGAGCATGGCCCGCTGGATGTGGTCGGCGGCGATGCGGCCCTCGCACTCGCTCGAGTCCACGGCGGGGCAGACGAGGGTGCCGCTCCGCGCGTCGATGTTCCGCCGCCAGCCCTGGCCGAAGACCGCCTCCTTGATGGAGTGCTGCACGCAGCGGTGGCAGATCAGGTGCCCTTCGGCATTGCACGAGGTGAACTCCTCGAATGTGGCGCTGGTGAAGCAACAGGCACAGTCGTGCGTGCTATCCGACGCCTCGGCCTCTGTGTTGTTAAGAGACATGGCCAGCGACCGATCATTCTCCAGCTGGGAAGCCCGCGCTCGTTCCCTCACCGGGGCTATCAGGTAGTCGAAGAGTTCGCGATCTAGCTCGGGATTTCCGGTCGATTTGAGACAGGGGATAATGGAGCCGTGGCCCGAAGATTTCCACACCACCAGAGGGTGGTTCTCGGCTTCGGAAGACGAAACGGGCTTTCTGCGCAGGAAAACCGAGGATATGGCGAACGACCAGGATTTGGCCGAGAGGTCGACTAGGGTTGGGCGGGCGTCGAGGTACGAGTAGTTGAACTCGGCGAGGACCGCGTTGATGGTCGGCCGCGACAGACCCTTGAACTCTTGCCAGGCCAGAGTCTTGGCGGCGTTCTTGTACTCGGGGCTCCGGAAAACTTCGCTGTCCTGGAGAAGAGAGCCCCCTCCTTGCCTCCGGGTGGAAGCACGCTTGGTATTAGAAGATTGTGTTTCCCCAGCGACGCGCCACCTCCCCTTGACCCAGGTAGCCTTGTTCTTTAGCAGGGCGTCTGCGACCAGAGCCAGTCTCGATTCGCCGTCGAAGCTCGATAGCATCTCTCGGAAGACGTCGATCTGGATATCGGGGAATACAGCAGCCAGGGCCTCGAGGCAGTTATTGAGTTCCCGCAAATCTGGAGTGTCGGGATCTAGAGGCTGCAGGTGTGCCTCGTCTGATAGATATTCGGGCCGTGGTGGAGAGTCCCGACCCTGGTTGGAGCTTGACGAGGTCAAGGCTTCAGTGCTTGCAGAGGGGCTCTTCTTCTTCTTCTTGACCGCAGTCGGCCGGGTGGTGCGATCGGTCGAGAGGCCGAGGAGTGCTGAGAACACCATCTTGCTGGCTGTGACCTGTCGAGAGACAGCATGCTTTGCTAATAGGTCGGATGGCTCCCAGGACGGGCTAGCATTTGTATTGTTGATAGTCTGGGTTTAACCAAACTTTGGCCGATTGCACAAGGTTTCAAGTGTGAAAGTAAAATAGTTGATGAAGCAGTCAGTCTAGAAGTGAAACCACCAGGCAATTTGTTGGGGTCCGGTCCCGCACACCTCTACAGCTTGGACGGGTGAACCATGTTGCCGGATAAGCCATGGCACGGTAGGTGCCACGCCAGACCAAGATCGCGATAAGGATAAGGATTGCAATGAGCATCCATGATTGAGACAGCAAGCTACCTAGGTATCTATCTACATTTAAGTAAATAGGTGTTGAATAATCTCTAAGATTTTATGTTCATTCGAGTCTGACCAGCAAGCACAATTGCCTTCTCGAAGCAGGCATAGGCATATACGGAATACATAGGCCAAGGTAGACAGTGCTGCCTGGCCATCACTCACGCCATTGTTGCCACAAGACTCTGGTGCCGAAGGTCGGCCTCTGATTGCCCATTTTCTTTTTTAGCTCGTGCAGCCAGGGACAATGTGCTCGTACAGAAGTCGCGGTGAGACCCCAACCCGAGGAAAGCTTAGGAGTGGGAATACGTAAGCTGGCCATGCTTGGGCCAGAACCCCATTCTTTGGATCTTCAATTATCTGATTGCTGACCTCCAAGGCACGTCCTCATCCTAGCTTGGATCTTGGCCAAGATAGAAGTGGGCAGCTCACAGCACACAGCTGACAGCTGACAGCTGTGGGATTACATGCATCGTATAGGCAGTCAATGGCTGCTGACATTGAAGCCAGCCTTACAGAGTAATCTGTACAGAATACTTGAGGGGAATGGTTGCCATTGCTAGACAGAGACTGGCCAGGATGCATGGATGTTTCCATGTCCATGATCCCTGATCCATGGGGTGTATGGATATACAGAGAGAGGGTGCCCGAACCGTCGGGCACAACCAAGTTAAAAGCTAAGGTACCGCATCGCTGTCCAGGTAACACCCCAGGCGGACAAACCGGAGATTGAATCACCACTCAAGCTAACAAGAAGGTGCATAAGTTAGTAATTCCATTGCTCTGAGCTATCAGACTACCGTCCCACCGTCCCACCATCCCACCATCCCACCGCCCTTCTGAGGTGGCAGTCGGATCCTGGAGACATCATTTGTACCTGCCTTGGCCTGCAGATGGAGTTTCCAGTCACCAGCCCTGCAGCAAGCCGTTCCCTCATTCGACAGCAGATGCCTGCCTTAACCAGGGCTTGGCAGTTGGCCCGCCATGTCTTAAGCTCACCGACTTTATCGAACCCAGGCACAGGCACAGGCACAGGCACAGAATCTGCGTCCATACTTTTTTTCTTTGTTCCTTTCTCTTTTTAGCTGGTTCCAGGAGATGCAACCCAGACCCAAACTAGAGGAGGAGCCAACCAGTCGTAAATGGCTGGGAAAGGGAGCTGAGGAACCACTGCATCCATCCATGGGATCGACGAAGGATATAAAACCCCAGAGACCTGGCATACATCTTGGTGGCCCCTGTTTTTTCTCACCTGCATCTTGGTGTTGATGTGTACCGACCAACCCCATCCTAGGTAGACCTTTTTTTTATACCTCTCTCTCTCTTCTCTTTCTCTTTTCGGCTTTCGTTCTTTTATGTTGCCTCCAAAACGTCCTTCTTCGGTTTACCTCATAAACCCCTTCTTAGCTGGGGTTCTCAGTGTCACCTCGAGTGGTTGAGAGAATGGACTTGTTGCCTGTTGAGCTCCTCCGTCTGATCTTCGAGCACTGTGATCCGCCTGCAGTGCAAAACCTTCGCCTGGTGTCGAGTACTCTGGCCAATGTGGCCTACGACTATCTCATCCCGCCTCACTTTTCCTGCGTTGAGTGGAGAGACGACATCAAGAGGTTGCACTCGATATCGAGCCATGCCCGCCTGCGGGGCAGTATCAAGTCCGCCACCTTGAACTTCGCCAGGGTCGACGAGTACAACACCCGCCACGCCTCCTTCTTCCAGCACTGGCTCACGGAGCCCGAGGAGCGCGATAACATCCTGCGAGATGCCTGGGTCAAATACTATGAGATGGAGGCCCGAGGCCGCGGGCTCCCTTCGTTTGCCAGCCAGTCAGCCCTCGTCGAAAAGTCCTTCAACCAGCTTCCGAACCTCAAACATCTCGAAATCACCTACACCAAATGTCCCTACGACATTCCCATCCTGAGCGAGGCCTTCCAGGTACGGAGCTGCATGCGATGGGACCGGGGCCAGGCTTGCAAGAATATGAACCTCGTCGTCTCGGCGATACAGAATGTGAAGCTGTCCTCACTCACCGTCGACCCCTTACCGCTGGAGATCTTCAAGGCTGCGGGGGACAGGAAACACTGGTTCGACTGCGCCCGCTCGTTCGCCGGACTATCTCGGCTCGATCTTGCCATCGACTCGCCGAGCACTTTGCTCCCCCAGTCCAAGTTCCGGGCCGTCAACGGGCTCGGCCACGTCCTCCAGTTCTCGCCGCACCTGACGCATCTGTCACTCAGGTTCCACAGTTACCACGCGCCCCGCGAAAAGTTCACCCTCTCGTTTCGCGCCATGTTGGGTGACTTGACGTTCCAGAAGCTCACGGACCTCAAGCTCGAAGGCATCAGCTGCGCCGAGGATGACCTGCGCTCGTTCCTCCTCAGGCACGGGCCGACTCTCGAACGGCTCCGGCTGGGAGGAAAAGGCCTCGCAAAGCCGTACGAGGCCAGCATCGGCGGCATCCACCTGTATGACGGCTCCTTCAGGTCCCTCTTCACGTCGCTGCGGGAGAAACTGCCGCGGCTGCAGCGGTTCCACATGGAAGGGGACATCGAGGCCGGGGAGATCATGACCAGCTCTCGCGAGCGATACAAGTTCCACGCCATCACCACCGACGACTGGGAGGAGGCGCGCCTGGAGGGCATGCGCCCGTCGCGCCAGAGCGTCGACTGTCGAGAGCTCGAGAGATATCTTGTGCAGGGCGGGGAATATCCGAAGCTTGTTGTCTCAGGTGAGTGACGCAAGCCATTTCCCCTCCCGGTCGTGGAACTGAGGGAACTCAAGGTGGCATCACCGGCCCCCCAGGCTGCAACCCGTCGTCGTTGAACGGGTCCTGAATGGAGAGATGGAAGTGGGCTGTACGTTGTTTTGTAACAACAATAGAACAACAACGGGATAATTCCTAATGGGGCTTTTCTGTCAGTCAGGGAGGCCAAGGCCCGCTAAGGCCTGGCTGGAATGCTGAAGGGGGTGGGGTGGGGGGAAACGCGTTGTAAGAAGCGAACCGCGTCTATTCGTGACAGAGCTCAGGGGGCTTGGGCTCTGCTGTTAGAAGATATACCCCTTGGTCTGCAAAGGGATACCATTGCAGACCGCAAGTTTGGATTGCAAGACAAGATTGAAATGGGACAGGACCAAATCTAAATAACTTCAACCTCATCTGATATTATTTGACGCCGTTTCCTTGGCGCGCTCACATTTGCAGCCAACATGGACAGCCAACCAGTGGATGCTCGTCTCCGCTGAGACCTGCATCGTCAGGCTATTCATATCATCCCTTTCGCGCGTGTGGCGGTACTTAGGGCACGGCGAGGGGGAAGAGGCTGGCTGGCTGCCCAGCGAGACAGTCAGGGGACTGCGCTGCCTTGGCTGAGTGAAATGGGGAGAGACATGCATGAAGGTCGAGCGCAGGAAAGGAGGCGAGGGCTTCAGTCTGCTAATACGGGCCGCGCCGTTCAAGGACGGACGATGCTTTTTTGCATCGCAGCTCGTGGGCAGCTGGCTGGAGCGTCATAAAGGGGTTGTGCCCGGTGGCGAGGCTATGATGGTTGATATTTAAGTCTTTCCGTGAGAGGGTGAGCTGCGGGTTTGGGGAGATGGGGTGGGAGGGTGAATGGACGGGTGGCTCGGTGGTTCGGTATCTGGGGTCCCCTATTTTCTACTTTTAGACATTCATGTAACCCGTTGATGGAATTCGGGGTCCTCTAGGCTCTGTGCCACCAAGAGGTGTAGACTTGCAGGACGAAGGAATCATAAGGGGTTGATCCAAGTTCCTCGTCGCATGGGGATCGTCGGCTCCATTCGACAATGGAAGAGCCCAAAAGCATGGTCGAGATAATCGTGCTGCAGATGTATCGATTTCAGCCAGCCACACAGCCCAGATTTCGCTGCCTCAGTGAAACGAATGGCGTCGTCCTCCCCGCTGTTCCTACAGTGGGTGTTGATGCCCTAGAATTCCTTGATTAACTGTTGTTTGGGATAGATGCCTCGGTATCTCGATACCCACATCTCAATCGAAGGGCTTAAATTCGTTAAGAAACTTAGGTACTAGATATAGTCCCAACAATAGAACCCCTACATACACCAAGGCGGAGCTTCTCGCCAAAGCCTACATAGTAGAACTTCTCCGGCCCTTCCATCAAAATGTGACACGGACAAAGTGCCCGATAGAACCCGGTGGCGCCCAAGCCATGTACGATGGGCGATCCACGGGTTCGATTCTAGCCCTCCTGGAACCCAAATCGGGACAGGGACAGTGACAGGAACGGGAACGGGAACTTGACAGGAACAGGAGGTACCTGGTAGTATGATACACTAGTGGACGGGGCCTCGAGAACGTAGACTATCCCTTTTCGTGGGGATTAGCAACGAGCTGCTCGAGTCAGCTTGGGATCTTCATGCTTGACCGTGGCAATCGCGCCCTCCCGCCCTTCCGACCTGACTTGGATGCGGCTTTGAAGATGGAAACTCCGTTAGTTAGCCTTTGACTGGAATGGAGCGAATTGATGACAAAATTTTTAAAAAGAGAAAACTCGAGGAACCCCCAATGATGACTATCCTTTTTCTATTCTCTTGCTTTTGTTGACCTTTTCTTCCTTCTTTTGTTTTCTTTTGTTCCCCGATCATTTCCCCATCCGGCCCCCCAAAGCTGTTCTTGCCGCTCCTCCTTTCCGCCGTCACTCTCTATCCAGTTTTAATCGCGATTCCCGCCGCAGTGCTGCATCCGCTGGCGCCACCACTGGACTTTGTTTTGACGCAGGTTTTCAATTAAAGTGTAGGTAAAGAAAGGCACACCCGCACTTCCGCACTTCGGAAGTTGTTAAAACTTTTATTGAGATACTATATTTTCAGGAACCGGACGAGACGCATCTCCCGGCTGCCCACCATCCCCACCTCCCACACTTTCGAGCCCCAAGCATCGGTTGCAGCAGTGCGGATTACGAACCTAGCAATAAACTTAGTTTCCACCTGCATTGCTAACGTGCAACCCAGAAACCGAAAGCGATACCACCTGGGCCACCTCCCCCAAATCGAGCCAAAATCGGCAGCCAACTGCCCATTTCAGCTGCCTTTTGGTGCCTCGGCATACACTACCCGGCCCCTGCTAGCGTCTGAATGATATCGGGGCGGCTTTTGCAGGCAGCCAAGCCCAGCTAGCCTGGGCTGGGATTTTCCCACTCTCATTCTCGCTTCTCGCTTGACAGGCCTGACGTCGTCCCCGCCACACGTCACACCTGGGTTGGGTCCCGGCCTCCCCCGCTGGGCTGGATGTGTTGTGCAGCTTGCTTTTTGCGACCTCCACAACTATCCGTTGCGGGTACCTGCTCTGGTTCCTCCCCTCTTGCTCGCCAAAACCCTCCTCCCATCTTCTTGTTGTCCTGGGCAGGAGAAGGCAGAGAGACTCGAAGCCCACCATGCAGCGGGTTTCGGCTCTGCTCCCGTCGTGGGACAAATCGAAGCCCAATAACAACACCACCGGTCACAAACACAGGCCCAGGCCGTCACTTGCATCCTTGGAGAAGGTGTTTGGATGGGCCGACAAGAGCAACACTCCAGCGAACCGTAACAGCTCTCCAGCAGCGGCTGCCACTGCGACTGGTGCCGTGCGCTTCGGGAGGGAGACATACTGGCCTACCACTCTGGACAAGGAATGTGACAAGGCAGCTCGCATCCTAAAGTCATTCTGCAGTACGTGCAACCACTAATCTATCGTCGTCCGAACTTGGGCAGCAGGAACACCACTAACATCTCCTGATCAGCTGATGGCTTCCTCGCACAAGAAGACCGGGGCTCCCGGCCATCGAGCCTGACAACACCTCCGACTCCAAAGCAAGTAACGAAAAAGATCCCTCCACGGATAATACAGAATGCCGTCGGCCTGGCGATATTCTCTTGCATGCGCTCCGGCCTCTGGATGTCAGGCTCCGGTGGCTCGGGAATTCTGATAGCCAGGAAGGCTGACGGCACATGGTCGCCCCCTTCGGGCATCCTGCTGCATTCGGCCGAGGTGGGATTCGTCATTGGTGTCGACATCTACGACTGTGTCCTCGTCATCAACAGTGTCGCCGCTCTGGAGATGTTTACTCGGCCCAGGACAACCCTCGGCTCCGACGTCAACCTCACTGTTGGGCCCCTCGTCACCACAGGATTGCTGGAAAACGATCTCAAATGGAAAGAACTGAACAACACCGTGCTTACATATCTCAAGGCTAGGGGCAAGCATCAGGACGTCCGACTGGACGGCTCGTTTGTTACCGGACGAGGCAACGAGAATGAGCGGTTCTACGCCGGTAATGTCGACGTGCTGGATATCTTGGCTGGCAACATCAACAAGAGCATACCCGAGACCCGACCGCTGTTTGAGGTCATCAAGGCTGCCGAGGGAAGAACAGACTTCGACGCGGCGCTCATGGACCTTCTCTCGCAGCAGCCAGCCCCCGGCGACGCCATCATTGAGACCCCCAGGCCCTCCCCGTTATCGCCGCCCCGGTCGCCGTTTGGCATTCCCAATTTAGAAGACCCCGACCCATTTGGCGTGATCGCCCTGGAGATGGCCGGCCTTGAGATCAGGGAGGCCGGCACTCGATTACGGCCTCAAAGCAGTCAGTTCGAGTATAGCCCCGCCCCGACGAGCCCCGTGTTCAGCAAATTCAGCCGGCAGAGTACCGACACTTATATTTCCAAGAGTAACAGAGGGAGCTTCATGTCCAACAAAACCCAGGCCACCGCGGTGACGGATGCCTACACCCAGACCGATGATGCAAACACACCGGAAACCACGCTTAGCCATAACAACAGCGATGACGGGCAGGATAGGGGCCCCGAGAAGCTTCCCACAGTCATGGAGCCATTTGAAGTCGATTATACACAGATAGACACCAGCCCGATTCAGCACCTCAATACACCGGACTCGGTGGAAACGGCAGGTGCTGCAAACAGGTTGAGCACTCGGAAGAGCGAGCCTATTGTTGGCCCGACGACCTCATTGGATGGTGCTGCCGACAAGGAATCTAACACGTATCCCGAGGATGAGCATGACCAGGATGCAGATGATGAAGACGAGGAAGATGATGACGAGGAGGCTATTGTATACGAGGTCGTGACTGCGGCGCCAGCAACTCGAACGACGATCGCGTCCACCCAAGTGACCCAGGTCATTCACGCCAAGGGTGCCCTGGTGACCATCCCCAAGCGGATTCCACCGCCGCTACCACCCAGGAGCCCTGCACGGACGTCTCGCGCGAGCAAGAGCGAGTATGGCGATGTCTCGTCACTGAGGAGCCCGCTGCGAAACTCTTTCCAGTCAGCAGACATGGCGTCGGAACGCGCGCCAACTCCGGCGATAGACGAGATTGCCCTTGCTACAACTGCTTCCACTCCGGTCTCCGAAGTTGCCACAAAGGAGTCAGAGGCTGAGCAGACGGATTTCCAGCAGCAGCACCGCAAACAAGCCTCTTCTGTCTACACCAACAGCGAGAAGAGATGGAGCACGGGCAGCAACCACTCTCCCCCCACCCCGGTGACCGGGGAGGCGGCCTCGTCATCAGCCGAGGGGGAGTCGGAACGCGAGCCCAGGACTCCGAAGGCCGAGATTGGCGTTCGTTCGGCAACGAGCCAACCCGAGAAGTTAGACAGCGAAGGCCAGGTGGGCATCCTGTCGCACAATGGCGATTCGAACACCATTCCCGTTGCATGAGAGATGCTATGATACCACATTACACCCGCCTGACCCACCTCGATCATTGGGAAAGGGGGTGTTCCCGGCTACGGGATTTTTCGAATTATACCCGGGCTGACGGTGTTGGATAGCCCCCGTTTAGGATCGGCGTGCATTGGAAGAGTCATGCCCGATCGATTATAATTGTTTTCTTATTTTTCGGAGTTAGATATGGCCACATTTTTGTGCCGAACCGGACCTGGATTGGGCAAGGAAGGTATGGGCGTTTTGATGCGTCTCCATCATGGTGCAGGCACGGGGATCGCTTGCTGTGGCTAGGGGCGTAGGAAGGCCACCTTTCATGGACACATTGTTGATAAAGAGTAACGTTAATGTTTTAGTCGGGGTCGAACCAGGCCGAAGCGGTCGGTCGGTCGGTCGGCTGGGGGCTTATGTGTATGATCTTAGCTCGAACCAGTGCCATTGCACTGGGGAAGCATTACTATAGAGATATGATACTATTTCCAGTAACGGGAACTCTCGGTGCAAATCTTCAAGCCTGCCGCTTTGAGAGGTTGTTAATTATAGCTCTCTATGTTACTCCCAAGTGAGCAGACTCTGAACTGATGCTGAGCTGTAATTGCAATAGATGCTGATATACGGACAGGTAGTACCCACGTAGAGTGATGACCTAGACTTTAGTGATTAATTAGTGACAAGTTCAGGTTGGTTCAGCTTCCGTTGTGCTCTTGCTTACGTAACCGCCTGGAACAAACTAGGATTTTCGCGGTTCTGACAAGCGCGTCTGTCCCCCTGCGCGACTGGAAAGCGATTCCCCCAAGCCAAAAGATAGCAGCCAATTGTGTAGCCATACACTAGCATATCACAATGGCAAGTCAGACGGGGAAATGGCGCGAGGACCAGATCCTCGTCATCTGCCCCGGCAGCCAAACCACCATGGCCCAGCTGGGCTGCGGTGAACTGACGCCGCCGGCGTACCGCATCCCCACCCGAATGTTCAAGGACGAGGAGACAGGGGGCTGGAGACCGTACCACACGGAGAAGCGCAAGAAGCAGCGGCCCTCCAACGGGGTCGCGGAGATCAATGGAGCCCAGGATGCGAAGAAAGCCGATGGTGGTGATGATGAGTGGGAGTACATCGAGGATCAGGACTCGAGCGAGGGCGCAGTCTATCCTCTCCAAGGTACGTGTCGTGACACAGAAGCACGCATTCAATGGGGCATACACGCTGACCTGGCCGCCCACCTTACATAGCCGGCCACATCACCAACATGGAGGCCTTCCTCGCCTTCCTCGACCACGTGCACGGCATGCTCACCAACACCTACCACAGCACCCCCATCATGCTCATGACCTCGCCGCAGTGGACGCGACACGACTGCGAGGCCGTGGCCCAGTACATTTTCGAGAAGACCAAGACGCCGGCTCTATGCATGATACACAGCGGTATTGCGACTCAGTATGGCTTTAAGTGGCCACACCTAACCGTGATCGACGTTGGTTTCGAGAAGGTCGACGTCACATGCATATACGATAGCAGAGTGGTCAACCACAAGAGCGTCGGATGGAGCTCCGACGAGAAGAAGGCCATCAGCGGCGGCGAAGCCTTGACCCAGAAGCTCCTGGGCCTGTTGAAGGACAAGGGCTTTAGCTATGAAATGGCGGAGAAGCTGAAGAAGAGCCCCATCTGCGAGGTCCTTCCGTATACCCCCGACAGCCCAAACCTCATGGACCTGCCGACCGAGGCGGCGGGGGTGTTAGGTCCTTCCCAGGCAGCGTCAGGCAGCGCGGAGGGGCCAAAGACTGCCGAACTGTCGCAGCTCAGCGGTCCTGCCGGGGATGACGACGACGAAGACGATAAGGGCGTCGACGAAGATGGCGTGCTCGACGTGGCCAACATCGTGGCGAGCGGGCAGACGCGAGAGTTCCTGGCGAAGAAGGAGAGGGAGAGGGCGGAAAAGGCCAAGTTGGGGAAGAGGGCCAGGGAAAAGGAGGCCGCCGATGCGGCTGCCGCGAAACCGACGCGGCTGCCCAATTCCAAGAGGACCCGGAACCTGTTCCACTATGAGGAGATCGTGGAGGAGGATGTTCCCCCCAAGCCAGCACCGCCGGCAGAGAAAGAAGCCGGACCCAAGGATGTGGAGATGGCAGACGCAGCCGGCCAACAACCAGCGCCGGACCAGACTAAGGAATCCGAGGGCGATGTGCAGAAGACGGAGGCGAACGGTGAACAGCCGCAGCCCTCCGAGGCAATGGTCTCGAAACCTGAAGAAACCCCAGCCTCGGATCCTACGGCGGCGCCGGCACCACCCGCCGCCGCCGCCGCCCCAGCCCCAGAGCCTCCGGTACCAGAGCGCCAGAACAGACGCGTGCGCCGGGATATCGAGGTCGGGCTGGAGCGATTCCTCTTCGCGGACCGGGTCGAGATCGACCGCATCGTGACGGCCATCTACCGCGCGGTGCAGGGCATCGAGGACATGTACATGCGCCCCGCGTGCTGGGAGAACCTCGTCTTTGTCGGCAACGGGGCGCGGCTCCGCGGGCTGAGGGACAACATCCTGCAGACGCTCAACGCGCGGCACCTGGTGTCGCCCAGCTCGGCGACCATGTTCACGAGCGAGCTGCCCAGCAACCTGGGGACGCCGAGCGGCACGGGGTCGCAGACGCCCACGAGCCAGTTCGCGACGGGCGCGCTGCCGCACCAGCTGCCGACGACGAGCAGCGTCAACCCGCTCCTGCAGGCGGCGACGACGGCCGGCCTCGCGGTGCCGGCGCCGGCGGGGGGCGCTCCCGGGTCGAACGCTGGGGACGCCGGCGCCATGACGAGCCACCACTTCCACAGCCAAACGCCGACAGCGATCAAGCTGGCGCAGCTGCCCACGTACCTCACCGAGTGGGCCAAGCACGGGTTCGAGGAGTCCATGTTCCTCGGCGCGCAGGTGGCGGCGAGGCTGGCGTTCTGTATTCACAACATGGACGCCCAGGGCCAGGAGAGCCAGAGGCTCATGAGCCTGAATAGAGTGGACTATAAGTGAGTTGAACCCCCCCCGGTTGCGGCTGGTAAAGATGTTGTCAAAGAATTACTTGGACTAACCGACCTCATTCGTTTGTAGTGAACTTGGCCCCAAGGGTATCCGGAACCACTCGATGCTCGGCTAAGCTGGGCGGAGGTGCGGTCCGATGTGCTTAGGTTTTGTTTCGACTTGATTTTTTCTGGTAGGGTCTGATACCCTTGTTGGAGTTTGTGAGGCCGAAAAAATGAAATAAATGGCCTTCTTGATACGAGACGGGTCTTTGCTTGGCGTGGTGGTTGGTGGGGAGGGATCTTGCGCCATGCCGGTGGGTATGTCAACTCAAATCCGTGTAACTTGAGGCAACATTATCTAGCTAGCTACCGTGGTGGCTACGTAGGTGTGATGCCGAGGTAGGAAGATAAAAACATCATAAACAGCCATGAAACCGACGTAATGTGAAGCGGAGAGGGACCGAAGCTGGGCAAGCAACCAACTGGTCGTGACAGAAAAAGAACCCGCATCCATAGGGCTGGATATCGGGAGAGCGACCGGGGGGCCACGTGGTACCCACTCCTCACCGGCACCGTCCCGGGATCTTGTTCCCGTCCCAATCTATTGTGATGCAACCTCTTATGCACCTCTTCTGCACCCCTCTGCACCTCCTCTGCACCTCCTCTGCAAGCTCCCACGCCAATCCACGTGATACACTAGACTGAGTCGACGAGCCATCCCTCGATGTGAGTCACTCCTTCCGGGTAGGACCTCGTTGCGCCGGATCCTCTCTCGTAATGCAAACGAGTCCTTCAACTTGGTTAATACCCACACGCACCAAATCCAGACGCCATGTCGGATAGGAAACTAATCAGCTCCGGCTCGCCTTTTGAGGCCCAAATCGGGTACTCCCGAGCCGTCGTCTCCGGCGAATGGGTCTTCGTGTCCGGTTGCACCGGGTACAGCCATGACACCCCCCCTTCCCTTCTCCTCTCCCCCCCAAAAAAAACTCATCTAGCAAGGGCTCACAAAACCCCGAACCAGGTACGACTACAAAACCGGCCTCATCTCCGACGATGTGGCTGAGCAGGCGGAGCAGACGCTGCGCAACGTCGACGAGGCCCTGGTCGCGGCCGGCGCGGGCGTCGGCGACGTCGTCCGCGTGCGCTACATCCTCCCGGACCGGGCCGACTTTCCAAAGACGTGGCCCGTCCTCCGGGCGTGGCTGGGCGGCGCGAGGCCGGCCGCGACGATGATCCAGGCTGGGCTGATGGAGGAGGTCATGAAGTTTGAGATCGAGGTCACTGCGAGGAAGGGCGCGGCTGGCTCTTCGGAGCCGCCGGTGTAGGGCTCTGGTTGTTGAAGGCCGAGAAAGGGGGTTATGAAAACGTGGTTAGGGGTGGTTTAGCATCAACAACGCATCACAAGAGTCCCCGTGATATAGGATGTAAGGAGCAAAGGTCTGAAAAGCATTGCTCGGTCGGCCTCTTTGCCGAAGCCCACCAATACCCGCCAGAACACACTACCGTGGTATGGAGCGAGTATAGAAAGGGGCAGCTAATAAGTTATCCGGGTATCATCAGATCGAAAGTTATTGAAACCTTGCAACAGCTGCTCCCCACCCGAAGGCGGCCCCCATCGTGATAAAGCTGGACACAGAAAGCAGTGACATGCCGCTGATGCCGTGGCCAGAAGTGCAGCCCCCGGCCATCCTCGAGCCCACGACCATAAGAAACCCACCCGTCACAGCAGAAGAAGGCTCCAGGTCCACCTCCACAATGACAGCCAGCGACGGGAACAACCGCGCAACCGACCACGACCCCGCGAGAATCCCAAGCGAGAACAGAATCGACGTATACTTCCGCGGCGCCTCGCCCCTCACAGCCCTCCAGAACCACTCCCCGACCTCCTCATACGACGTCGACACCCCGACAAGCGACCCCCTCGCCGCCAGCGACAGCAGCTGCGTGCCGCCGAGCAGCAGCCCGCCCAACACGGGAGAAATCACCGCCTCGGGCCCGGCGGTCGTCCACGCCGCCGTGCCAGCCACGACGGCGAAGAGGAGGGCCTCGAAGGCGAGCAGCGCCGCGCCGCGGCTCACGCCCAGGACCTGGTGGATGGCGAGCTTCCTGTCCCCGGCCGCCCCGGCGGCCGGCGACGCCGACGCCAGGAAGCCCGTCCACACGATCCCGCCCAGGGTCGCGCCGGCGAGCGCGAGGTAGCCCGACGGCAGGCCCAGCGCGACCTGCGACAGGACGGTGCCCGGGCAGGCGCCCGCCAGGGCCATGCCGTGGCCGAGGAGGAGGCCACCGAAGAGGTTGCCGTCGTAGTGGGCGAACAGGCCCTGCGAGGAGAAGTTGCGCGGCTTGAGCTGGGTGGAGCCCAGTGCTTGGAAGAGGGCGATGAAGAGGCTATGCGGTGGTGGATATGGTTAGCTTGGGGAGGTTCGGGGAAGGGCTGCGGGGTCCCGGGTGGGGGGTTTGGGTCTTTTCCAACGTACGCGCTGCTCGCTGTGGCTGTCAGGAAGGCCTGTGTCATGTGCCAGTTTTCCAGCCTGAATTGGGAGAGGATGACCGAGGGCTGGAAGACACCGGATGCGACCAGCGACGCGCCGAAGGCGGCGCCGGTGAGGACGGTAGCGATGCTCATGCTTGAGTGTGCGTCCGGGGGACAGAGGATGATATGTGCGGATTGGTAGAAGACGACATGGTGCGTCTGCTCCGACGGTATTATATAAAAGGCTGTCTAGCCAGGATCATGGTATCTCTAACGGCCCCGGACGGCGACGAGCTAGGGGACTAATTGGTGTGGCGATATGGATCTCAGGTCGTTTCCCACACCATGGGGGTTCCACCATTGGAACCCAAAATTGCACAATTACCGGCGTGTTGGATTCGTGGGCTCGAGTCAGGTCCAAGGATAGTAGCGCCGGAAACTACTGCTAGTGCGCCAGAAAGGGGAATCTCCGACACAGTCCCTTTGAAACTGAGCATTGAAGGGCAGCTAGTTCAAAGTCAAACATGCGAGCTTTGCGATGAGATCGAGGTTAAATTTGGTTGCCGGGCCATCTCCGTGTCGCCGAATAACCCTCGGCGAGGTCGGGCAACGGGCCATCAAGTTTAGTGGGTCCCGTTCCCTTCCATACCAGCTACAGAAAGGCGGATCCCGGCGTGCCCGGTGCGGCGGCAATATTTGAGTTTGCACAATACTTACTTAGCAAGTACAGTAAAAGTCTCGGGGACCATTGTTCTCGGGGACCTGATGCGGCCTTAGCTACTGGGCCGACATCCCTGAGAAGCACATAATCCCGTTATGGGAGTCAACTCGCCATTCATACCACAGTAATCCGTACACTACTTCGATTACCCCCGATTGGCAACAGGGTTAGCATTGGTTGGAAGCGATTCGTTCAAAATAAGTTTAGGGTTAGGGTCAACCAGGGTTTGACAGAAGCATTGACCACTCGGCTCGAGCCAATGATGAGGCATCCGATTTTTCGCGACATGAAGCTTCAACCCAACAATTGAACAACCATCAAAAAGCTGCCAGTTCACACAATGGCAGCCGCAAGGGGTGTGTCGCCCGGGGGCGCCCTCCTCCGAACATCCAGGTTATTTTCATTGCCAGCGGCGCTTCCTTACGCAGCCGCTGATGTCTCTGCTGCTACAAACGTCAACTCGGACTCGGCCACACTGGCCTTCCCAACCCACCAGGTCATCACGACCCCGAACTCGTCGCGGAAGCGAGGCGATTGGGGCCTCAAAAGGCCATTGCCCCTGAAATCCACCACCAAGACTTCGACTCCGATGCTTCGGATCAAGCAGGTCGACTCGGTCGAGCACATTACCGATTTCTCCTCCGCCGCGGATCACGGCATGTCTCTTCGGAAATGGCAGGATATGAACATCCCGATCACAGTGCCAGTCGCGAACGATACAATGAGGATACCCGGAAAGTCCGTTTTTGAAGAGACCATGGACTTCACGGCGATCAAGGCTGGGCAGGCAGGGGAGCTCGAAGACAGCCGATGGAAGTTCAGCGGGCCGTGGCTGGCAGGAATGACGGATGGCAACTTCAAGAAATACCTCTTGAAGCGTGTCAGGAACCGCCGCGCTGAGTTTCGCCAGTTCCTGAAGGAAAGATTGGCCGCCGACCTGTCGGAGCGAGCGGCAAGCAGAGCCCAAGAGGCTGGAGAGCCGGCTCCTGCTGCGATCGAAGCGGCCGCCATCACCGACGCGCAGCTCACAGAGTTCTTACGAGACCTGCGCAACGACAGGCCAAAGCTTTACAGCATGACTGGCCGCTTCCTCGACCTCGCTCCCGTCCAGCCGCCCAAGGAGCACTGGCAGGTTGGGAAATCCAACGACCTCAAGGCCAGCAATCCGTATGCCCAGGATGGCCCGCCTATCACTCACCCGTCGGCTGGCTTGTCCTACCTACGCACTGCTTCATACTTGGACAACCACTCTCTCTATGGTCCGCAGAAGAGCCATTCTCACGTCAAGGCCAGGATTGTCGCGCCCCGAAGCCAGGTCGCTGGCGGCCGTGGTGCGAAGTTGGGCGTCGGAGGTTTCGTCACCGACACTCCAGCTGGCGACACTGCGTTCAGCATGAGGAACCTGAGCCAGAGGGCCCGTGAACTGATTCCGGGTATCGATAGCATGGACCCGAACATCGAAGGCGGAGCCAAGGTCTACATCGAACCGTTGAGCGCCAAGGTCAACTCACAGGGACGCGTCACGTTGAAGGTTGGCCAGGCGAGGCCGGAGGCCGAGCTGGTAGCGAAGGAGATGGCCGGGGAGGAAGTAATATTCGACGAGCCGGAGCCGGAGCCTGCGAAACCCAGCAACCTCAGGATCAATCAAGCATACCGGAGAATCCCTCAAATCAATCGTTCTGTGACAGGGAGTGCTCAAGCCTACGGCCTGGATTCCCCAACTCCTGGCAGCCGAACCACTTAATTGGTCCGATGAAGCAGAGTGTTAGCTCATGGTAGGCAGATAGGGAGGAACATTTGCGCGCCACCCCACCAGTCAGCTCAATATACTGTACAATATCAAGCAAGTCATGGATTGGCCCTGCAATTTGAGGATAGGCTTGAACTAGGTAGTCGTCGAAGCGTGTCCATATTGTAATACAACCTTCAATGTAGAACTACCTAGAAAATCTAATGACGCAGCATTTTAAGCACGAATCGACTCTTCGCTAGGCAGAGGTACTTAGGGTGTTAAATGACGGGAGCGAATCGTTAAAATCACGTGGAAGATCACATGCCCTTGTCCTAAGACCTAAATTTTGAGCCCCCACATCCACAGAACACCACGGACACGACGAAATTAGAAAAAGTTCCCGCCCGCAGACCCTCGACTTTTCAACCTCCATCACTCCTCCAGATACCGCCAAAAATCCGCCAAAATGGGTCGCGTTCGCACAAAGACAGTCAAGAAGTCCGCCAAGGTCATCATTGAGCGGTACTACCCCAAGTTGACCCTCGACTTCGAGACCAACAAGAGGATCTGTGATGAGATCGCCATCATCGCCTCCAAGCGCCTGCGCAACAAGGTCAGAATTCGCTTCACGCACCTGCGCGATGTTTTGGATGTGTTGAACTGTTTCCCAATTCCTAACGCTCGTTTCTACAGATTGCCGGCTACACCACCCATCTCATGAAGCGTATCCAGCGTGGACCCGTCCGCGGTATCTCCTTCAAGCTCCAGGAGGAGGAACGTGAGCGCAAGGATCAATACGTTCCCGAGATCTCTGCTCTTGACTTCACCCAGAACTCGGAGAGCGGCCAGCTTGATGTTGATACCGAGACCAAGGACCTGCTCAAGCACCTCGGCGTAAGATTCACAGCCAGCTCCGTGAATGATTATATTGCGGGAGGGCTAACTTTGAGACTTGTCACAGTTCGATACCATCCCCGTCAACGTTGTCCCCGTTACCCAGACCCAGGCTCTCGAGCGTGGCGGCCGTCAATTCGGCAACCGCCCCCCTCGCCGGGACTAAAGACTTTTTTGATTTGGCAAGGTTGGCTGCAATGGCAGGTTGGGCACATGGCATCTTCTTTACGGCTATTCGGCGTCTATCTGGAAGGTAGTGAGTGCATACCGGGTCAAAAAAAGAAAAGGTCTTTTGCCCATCCAAGGTGTCGCTGATTCTCTCGGGTAATTCCGGAGATGATGCTTGATTGCCAAATTCCCTCCTCGCATTGCAAGTGATCTCTTGCAAGTGGTGATCCGTGACCTGGGCGATAACCCAGGTCTTACCAAGTACGGTTGTTGTGTCAAGATTACGAAACATGTGCGGATCTCGCCGGTCCTAACGGAGACACGTCCATATATCCTCCTCTCCTCACTATGCTGTATGCCTCTGATGGGATTCCTTTTGATGGGATTCTTTGGTGGGTATCAACCTTGACCGAATATGCCTTACTATACACGTAATATCTTCCCGGAACGCCGTAACTTAGTCCGTGGTCTCTTGGCCGGCTGCGAACCAATGCAGCATGGCACAGTCTATTTTAGTCCTCGATTACTCTTTTAGGGCGTTTCATTGTCCAAATTGCGTCTTATGACCCTCGAGAATCAAGTGGCCGTCCTGGTCTGGCGCGGACGACTGTATCTCTGGCGGTGTTGCCTCCGTGGTCACAGTCTTCTCCCGGATCGTGACCTTCAAGGGCCTGCGCGGGGACGGTTTGGCCGCATCGCCGCGCTCCAGCGCGAGCGCAGCCGAGTCCTCGGCGGCCTTTCGATCCTGCTCCAGCTTCAGCCGGCTCAGATCTCGCGCAAGTTCTGCGTCGGGGTCACTCTCGGCCCGGTCCTCCTCCAGTAGCTCGATGTGTAGGTTGGGCAGGCCTACGCGCTCCCACGCCGGCGTCTCGTTGAGCTGCACCTTGATGTACAGGGCCCTGCGGGCGCACTGATCGGCGCACCACCGCTCCAGCTCGGCGCGGCGGACGATGCCGAAGTCGTCCCTGTTCTTGTTCACGAACCGGAACTCGCCGCCGCCGGGGAGGGCGCGCCGCGGGTTCGGGCACAGCGCGTAGCCGCACCGGCCCAGGATGTTGCGCTCCTCGATCAGGTCGTCGTAGTCGCCCGGCTGGAAGAGGCGGACCAGCTCCACGAACCGCGCCACGTCGGCCGGCGCGGGGCGAGAGGCTGGGAAGACGGCTCCGCCGTTGTGGGCCGGGGGAAACTCGGTTAGCGCGTCGATGGCCTCGAACACGTCCGTCTGGATCTCCTTCCGCTGTTCTATGATCCTCGCGTGCTGCAGGGCGATTCGCTCAAACTCGGCTTTGGTCTTTGGTGGGGTCGAGGATGACGCTGGTGGGGCGGGGTCCCTGCGCTCCTTGAGGATGCCCTTGGGCTTCTTCGGTTCAGATACCATGGCTGATGTGATGCATGGGAAACCAAGGAGAGGCGTTCAGGTTGGGGCAATCATGACCGGGAGAACCTTCTTAGAGGGAGGGAAGTAGGCTGATAAGATCGTGCCCTTAGTTGAGGGCAAAATGGATTTCGTAATCAGTCCCCGTGGGGCAAGGAAGGATTCCATCCAATTCCGACACAGTGTCAATACTAAGCTACACAGGGTGCCACAACTCCAGACTCAACAGCCTGTCAAGCTTGTTGTTTGGGGATTGGAGATCCATCGTGCTGTGCCGCACTGTCCTCCTGCATCATTGTCAGAGGCGAAGCCGATCCACTGAGGGCACAGATCCTGCTTGACCCCGAATGGCTCTCGTTCGCAAGTGACGGTGTTCGTCTTATCGAGAGGCCAGGTTGCCGTGTCTGGACCATATAAACAGCATCCTTGTGCTTAAGACCTATTCTTCGACTCGCTAAAAGTAGCAACCAACGAGGTCTGTTTCCCCATATATCTCACTCGTTCATCCCACCCACCCCATCGAGCTTCCCATTCCGCCGAGGCAGGGTGCGGCTCTCCACCGCGCAATATTGTGCTGCAACTGCAGAAGCCAAAACCTCAGCCACCTCCAATCGAGTTTCCCTGGTTGAATTTCAGTCCTTGGCCCCCTTTGCATTGTGGCGGGACCCAACTCTGCGGCACATCGTGGTGTGTACAGTGCTGCTACTAGTTCATGCGCTGACGTCGACCACCGCCCTTTCCTTAGGTCCCGCAGTGCCCGTCAGCCTCGACGTTTTGCCTACCAGACCTCCTGACCGCGGGGAAAGCCCCGATTGTTTTACCATCAGATATACCGACATCCCGTCATATTTGCTCTTCTACAACAGGGCCCCCCACAAGTGCATCATCCCTACCGAACCCGAAGCTTCTTTCCAACTTTTTACTACCACTCCGTCGATTCCACCCCACATCTCAAATCCGAAGGTTAGACGGCAAGGTGAACCCTAGCCTTCTGGGCCGCGTCATCATGTTCAAGGTTAAAGCCATCTACGAATACGCCTCCGGGCATGAGGATGACCTGGCATTTCCGGTCGGGCAAATCATAACTGTCACGGAGGAGGAAGATGCGGACTGGTATTCAGGGGAGTACCTTGACGATGCCGGCGTGAAGCACGAAGGCATCTTCCCGATGAACTTCGTCGAGAAGTACGAGCCGACTGCCCCGCCCCGGCCAACTCGGACGCGGACAAAGAAGGAAGCAGACCCTGCCGCAGCTCCCGAGGGTGCCGCCGCAGCCACTTCTCCGCTCTCTCCTAAGCTGCCCGAGCCCGAGCGAGAAGCAGAGTTGGAGGCTACGTCGCCGACCCAGACATCTTCCGCACTTCCTCCGGTGCCCCTTCCCGTCCCCGAAGCTGCAGTGACCAGGCCGGAGGAGCCCGTTGCGCTTGAAACGGCACCTCCGCCTGCGCCGATGCCAGTTCAGGCCGCCTCTACATCGTCGGCGCCCGCCCCAAAACCAGCGCCGACCCAGCATAAGCCCATGGCACCTCCACCAGTCTCGGAAAAGCCCAAACCTAGCTCGTTCAAGGATCGCATCGCCGCCTTCAATAAGCCCGCTGCACCCCCTATCACGCCCTTCAAGCCTAGCGGGCTAGGTCCCGGCAGCTCCGGGTTTATCAAGAAGCCCTTCGTTGCGCCTCCTCCAAGCAGAAATGCTTACGTTCCCCCCGCTCGAGACGTACCGGTAGCGAAGGTATATCGTCGCGATGAAGACCCCGAAATCAAGGAGCGGGAAGCGGAGAATATGGAAACCGCCGAGAAGGCTGGCCTGGTCCCTGGAACATCAGCCGAAGGCGAGGATGCCGAAGACCAGCCGAAACCAATGAGTCTAAAGGAACGACTCGCCCTTCTGCAGAAGCAGCAGATGGAGGCCGCGCAAAGGCATGCGGACGCTTCGAGCAAGAAGGAGAAGCCAAAACGCCCTCCCAAGAAGCGAATGGAAAGCCAAGACGTCAAGGACGAAGCCGAAGCTGCCGCTCCCCCGCCAGAGCGCCGCGACACGGAGCAGTCTGCACGCAAGCAGTCTGTTGACGAACAACGTCCGCCACGCCCACCCCATACCCATCGACGAAAGTCTTCAAAGGGCCCCGAGCCACACGACGGTAACGAAGCCGATATGTCGGGGGCTGGTGACACCACTGAAGGCCAGGAAGAAGACGTTACGGAGCGGGAAGATAGCTACGAGAGACCCAGGCATGTCGCGACCGCCGCCAAGCAGGACGACGAGGATATCGATGAAGAGGAGGACGACGACGAGGAAGGCGATGACGATGTTGATCCCGAGGTCCAGCGCAAGGAAGAGCTACGGGCGCGGATGGCTAGAATAGCTGGTGGCATGACGGGCATGGCTGGCATTTTTGGAGGCCCAATGCCTGGATCAGGTGCTCCCGCACCTCCGAGGAAAAAGAAGTCGGTCGCTGAGGCGTCTGAAGAAGCTGGATCTCCTGGAGGCCATGCGCCACCAGTGCCGATGATGATGGCGTTGCCCGGCATGTCTCGACCCAAGAGCCCGGAGGGAAAGCCCCAGGAAGAACCGAGCCAAGGTCCTGAATCCGAGGAGGAGTCTGAAATGGCAACGCCACAACAGGAGAATTCCCCTCCGTCTTGTGAGTAATCCCTTCCCTTGGTTGTCTAGCCCTGGCCATTAACCGGTTGCAGTGCCGTCAAGAGAGCTTACGGGACCACCCCCTATTCCAGGCGGACGCCCCGCGCCGCCTCCGATCCCTACCGAGTGTAAGTTCCTCATCGATACTGACCCTTATTACCCTCCGCTAAAACTCGAGCAGCGCGCCCTCAGCCTCCAACTCCCTCGGCCGTGATATCCCCGAGTGAAGGTTCCGAATCGGACGACGAGCTATCCGAGGTTAAACCCGACGTGACTCAGGCCGCCAGAGCTCCTCCGCCGCCGCCAGTAGCCGTCCCAGCATCCATGGCCTCGCCAAAATCGCCCACACAGAAACGTCTGTCGTACGCTGGTGACGAAGCTCCCCCGATGTCGCCAACTAGCGCTGCTCCTGCGCCCCCTGGTAAAAGAAACAGTCGCCTACCGCCTCCCGTGCCAGGTTCTGCTCCTGGAGCACCACCTGGGCAGACCCGACCACCACCACCGCCTCCACCTGGGGCCGGACCGCGCAGACAATCCACTGCTGACAGCCAGCACTTTTCGCCGACCAAGTCTGCGGTCTACGAGGATGACGGTGACGAGGAAGAGATCACAGAATACGAGGGAGATTATGACACGGATATCGCTTCGTCCGTTCCCCACAAGGATGCCCTCAAGTCACACCAGCGCGAGTCGAGCTTTGAGGAGGGAACGCCGGTTAGGTCTTCTATCTCGGAGGCGCCTCCGTCTTTGCCTCCCCCGGTCCCGTCTGCAACAGCTCCGAGGGCAGGTCCTCCACCGATCCCGAGCCTGCCTCCTCCGGACAAGCGGAAATCCACGGAGATGCCCCGAGCTGCGCCTCCGCCACCGCCTCCCGCCAAGGAGACGCCCAATTACAACGACGATGATTACGACCCATTCAACTATACCGCCTCGCCGGGGGCCATTGTAGCAATTCCTACACCCTCCCAGCCTCCTCCGCCGCCAAGACATTCGGAAGAGGCCTATTCTCCTCGGCCGTCGTATCAAGCGTCGCAGGACCGAAGAGCGCCTCCCTCCGGCCCCCCGCTGTCCAACCGTTCCCACAGAGCGTCATTAGATGTGCAGCGCGCTGGTGCTCCTGGTCGCAGGTCGGTGGACGTGACAAGACCCTCGATGGAGTCGGGCTTTGTGGCGAACGAGATCGACCTCGCCCCCCAGTCCGGCTGGTGGCTCCAACCCAGCAGCCTCCCTCCGCAGCTACAGGGGCGCAAAGACATCTTCTTCGAGTCCGAAGAGTCCACGGCCGCCACGCCGCGCGCCGGCGCCAAAATGACGGTGACGCGCGACATCTACGTGCTGTTCCAGGACTACTCGCAGACGGTGATCACGGTGCGATTCGACCCCCAGGACGCGTCGGACGTGCGGCTCGAGCAGCGGCACGAGCCGCCGCCGCGGGCGCTCCGGCAGGACCAGCTCGAGCAGAGCTACGAGCGGTTCGGCCGCGCGATAGGCGAGGCGGCGCCGGGCAAGAAGGACACGGTCGTCGGGGACGGGACGCCGCAGGCGCTCGTGTACGAGCTCCTCCGGCCGCACGCGGGGGCGCTCCTGCCCGTGGGGACGCGGGCGTACGGGGCGCTCGTGTACAGCAACCTGGCCAACGCGTCGACGTCGCAGAACGACGAGATACGGCCCGGGGACATCATCAGCATCCGCAACGCAAAGTTCCAGGGTAAGCACGGGGCGATGCACGCAAAGTACAGCATGGAGGTGGGCAAGCCGGACCACGTGGCCGTGGTGGCGGAGTGGGACGGCACCAAGCGCAAGGTGCGGGCGTGGGAGCAGGGCCGCGAGAGCAAGAAGGTCAAGGTGGAGAGCTTCAGGCTCGACGACCTGCGCAGCGGCGAGGTCAAGATCTGGAGGGTCATGCCGAGGAGCTGGGTCGGCTGGGAGGGGGGCAATTAGGAGGCCCTCGTGGGGACTGTCGCCCTCGCGGGACCCGGTTACGGACGCGTGGATGCGCTCGTTAGGGTCGTTGGAGGGTGCGCCGTTTGGTGGGGCGTGGGATCTGGAGGAGGAGGAGCGGGGGTGGGTAGCAGGGCTGTAAATGTCGGTAGTTGGAGGTGAGGACACGGCGGTTGTTGATAATCTTAAGGTCCGTGTTGGTTGCCCTGTTTTGCGCGGTTCATGTCGATATGGGTAGTTGTAGTTGTGGATATGCGATGGAAGGGGAATGTGAAATTTCGTCGGTTCCTTGCCAGAAGTTTGCCCAGGCCTAGTTAGCATCAGAACAGAGACAGAGAGAGGAAGCATCATGACGCATGTCGTGGAGGAGTCGAGTTAAACATCATGGTCTTTATTGCTCGTCTCCCAGCTCTATTAGTATCGTTCTTTTCCCCGAAATTCAAGATCTGAGAACTTGTTGGCTGCTCAGTCGCCGTGCCATCGTCACCCATCTCCCCCATGAGCCTTGGTCGAGACTTGAAAGGGTGGTGTGGCGTTACTACCTGTCTCGTCGCGCTGAGAAGGCGATGAGGGGTTTCCAGGCTCATGGCTGCTACCTATCGGTTGTCCACTTGCTTCGTTTCTGTCATGTGCTATTTGGGTAGGGATGTTCGAGCCTGTCTTGGTGCCCTGACCTCTCACAAGACAGTGTCATGTACTCCTTCTACAGATACCAGGACCAAAGTTACAAGCAGATGTGTAGTTTTACTTCATACTCTGTACTCGGTAATGTTAGAAGAGCTTTCACGATCCGAGAACCATGGGTTGCTTGTTGTGAGAGAAACGTGAGGCAGAGGACAAGCACTAGTTGTCAGTCGATATCGTCGCTCACGGCCAGGCGGTTGGTCATCCTTTCCCCGGCAATAGGGGCTGCTTGGATCTGCGGACCGCGAGACCAATCATGGGAAGCAGCATGCGGAGAAGAGCAAGCTCCGTCGCGAGTGCGAAGAACAGAACATCGATTAATGGTGAAACTACTGCTCCTGGAGTGAGTATTGGATGCCAGCCGCAAGAACGTCATCACACCACACAAACTGATTTCACCAATCAGGCCGGACATGAAAAGGGGTTGATGGGTAGGTATATGTCGGATGTAGCCGCAGGAGTGAGGGGATGCCGTGGGAACTCCCTGGATCGACAGAGACGTTATGAAGCAGCGGGATGCCATATTAGGCAACGGAAGCATCGCATTGGGAGCATTCCATCTTCTGGCATGGGTTGATCCTGCGCCTATCATTGTTCTCTCTCTACTTGGCAGAGTGGGAGAGATTCGATGAGCAAACTCCCTCGGTTACATTGTACCCTTTCATCGCCTCCCCCAACTTCGGGTTGAGCTATCAGTCAGCCCTTTCCCAAATCTGCAGTAAACCGCTCAAGGCCAGAGGAGTTATCTTGCCGGAATCTGAGGGCCGAATGGGGGTTGGCTGACAGGAAAGGTTTCCCCATTTTCAAGACACGCACACGGCCCCGAATACGAAAGAAAGGCAGACGTTTCTAGCACCGAGAAACCGAGGATTCCGAGGCTTGTGTAGGCAGACGCGGTATTTTCACTTTCCTTGGGAGACTCCCCGCAGGCGGACAGGAGTGATAGGGGCAGCGATCCTTCGCGAACAGTAGGCACACGTGGCCCATAACAAGAAGTTCATCCTACAGCAAGGGAAGAAGAAAGAAGAGTGACGCATACCGCCGGCTTGGCAGTGCGCAGAGGACGAAGGGACGGCGCCATTTTTTCTTTCTTTCTCATTTCGACGGCCAGTGGCTTAGCACCAGGTTCGTCATCGTCCCTAATCTGGGAGGGGTTTAGCAGCAAAAGTGAGAAACGAAATATCATAAGATGTTGTAGCACCTCGGAGTGACCGCAAAGCCGAATCCGGTCTCCGGAGACAACCGAGCATCTATCTCACCACCCTATCTTCAGACATATCATGAGGGGGATGTCATATGGTGGGGGACATCAAAGCACTATGTAAGCAGCGACATGGCGGCTGGCAACCTTTCGATCCAGCCTCGATCAACCTCGGGGACCAAAATTTCCGATTAACTGACTGGATGAGGAGAAGCCAATGGCAGACGGACATCCGTTGACTACTGGGGAATTATGCCCAATAAGAGAATTGGCGCATGCGGAAGATCGGATTTGTATGTGTTTGCCACATATTATCCCCAACTACAACCCTGGAGGTTTGGAGGGGAGGGAAGAATGCAAGTTTTTGCCAAAGCATCCGACCGGCGTGGGGGAAGGTAACCATGACCAGGCGCTGAATAGCAAGCAGCCCAGGTTACTATTCCGTGAGGCATAGATGAAGGAAATATCCCGAGTGTGCTTTCTTCAGCGACTCGGGGCTGCATCTGCGAATGACGTGACGCCAGCTGGCGAAAAAACCACGGAGCAATTAACGAACCCGAGAGCCTCCAACCTCAAAATGAAGACGCTATAAGCGCGTTGCGATTGTCCTTCCAAATATCGCAAGACCTTTCTAGGACCAATCGAAAAGCATTGGGTTCCATTGCGCTTGCCCCCTTTTGCTGCTTGACCACCCATCGAGGTAGAGACGTGGACGATAAGCGCACTTCATCCGCATCTGACACTTGTTCAAGGTTGCGATAGGTGAAGAATGCTATCCACATATTTCGCAAGAGGAGCCCGTCGATCGGGTATGAAGACAAACCCACGATCTGCAGGTTGATATTCATAGTCGCCTTTCAGGCACTCCTCAAATGCCTCTCAACCGCGGTCGTGCAGGGAGAGGCTGATGGAGGCTGATGGCATGTAACTCCTAGGTCACCACTGCAGGCAGGCCGGAATTGTAAAAAGACAGTTGATTTGCTAAACAATGTCAGCCGGGCTTCTCCCACGCGGCGCTAGATGCATCGGAACCCGGCCCAGCAAAAGGAACGGCAAGGTATCTGCGTCTTCCTGTCTGTCCCGGTTCGGCAGGTTGCATGTGGGGTACGTCCTTGTTAAACGGGGGTGAAGAACGGGGGTGAAGTGCTCCCCATTTGCTGCTCAGTCAGGCCCAGTCTCGGCCTCCTGTATCCTTGAATTGACCAGATAGAGGTGATGAGATAGACGAGAACCTTCGATTCGGGGAGTTTGTGGTAAGATTTTCGTGGCCAAGCTGGTCGTTGCTAACATCACCTGAGATGGCCCCCGGCCACTGACCTGTCTCGGACAGATGGCAGAATACTTCAAAGTCTCGCTGACCAAAATCCCATTGGGGAGGATGAGTTGGCCAAGAGCGGCCCCATTAGCTGCAATTGACACTTAATTTGGGCCTTGGAAAATTCGACCCAACTCCCGTAGCCTTTAACCTGTGATTATGAGGTAGAGGATACACCTTCGACCAATGCGCTTGGACAGGGCCCACGACTTTGGCCAGGAACTGCTGCAACTGAGACATTGTGGAGGGGGTTCCCCACGGCGGCACCAGGCCTGCCTTCCTAGATGTGCTCGGCAAGCGATGTCGGCGCCAACTCGTTTGGAATTTTGGGAGAGAACGGGGCGACGATGCGTTCATCTACCTGAGCTTCACGGAGAGCCAACCATTGATAGGGATATTGCATGGCAGCCCTGGCAACAGGCGACGCAGAGGCCAGTTCCAGCCCACGTGCAAGTGCCAGAGGGGGAATCTTGAGGCCCGACATGCCAACGAATGGGAGGCTGACACAAGTCAGCGAGAGTTATGGTCCGATGCGGAGCGACCTGCAAAGCCAGGGGTTGGTTTGCAGCGGGCACATCGATGCTCGCTTGCAAACATGGGTAAAAAACGGTCTTGCTGGCAATTAGGTTCTGATGCTGCATCAGTTGGGATAGGAATTGATGATGACCTGGCAGCGGGAGGGTCGACCCGGGCGCGGGAGCTAATTCCGTCCATCAATGAATGAACTAACGCCTGGTGGGCAAAGCGCAACTTGGTCCAAGCAAGTGTGGACCTGTTTTGTATGTACGTACGGATAGGTACAATACAAGAGCGATTGCCAGATCTGAATACGGCATCTTAGAGCAATTGGCGAGCTTTAGCTTAAGTTGAAGACGTCAGAGTAATGCCTCTTGAGGGAGGATCGGATGCCATGATCGGACAATAAGTGGGTCAAGCTTGGCCTCGCGTGCTTCCTCGCGGCGCAGTTGCTGCGGGGATTCGCGATGCGGCCTATTGGCCCGGCCGGGCGGTACCTTATTGGGTTGGGGGTTCGGCGAATCGCAAGGCCGGTGCATCGCCGGCATTGACCAGTTGTGTGGGAGAGCAAACTGGACTCGTGTTACCAGAAGAGGCTTATTCCCCACGATCGCTGGCGACCAATAACTTTTGGAAGGCGAGCAAAGCCTCAGAAAACGGTTCGTGTTCCAAGACGTTTGATGGTGTAGTTGGGCACCGACTTTGAGAGAAACGGCTAGACGATTCAGTTCGCAGAAGATGAATGCCACGTTTACATACCATAGAGAGGCAGGTAGTTCGACCTCTCTGGAACAGGCTATTTTCCTGCAGATATGATCATCTTGCCTGGACAAAAGCTGGGGTGGAAGGTAGTTGCAAATCACGAAGAGTCATACCCGCCTCGGGGGCTGCGTCAGCTGAGTCGCAGCAGGATTTAGGTACCTATCTAAGTTATTCAACTTTGAAGTATTGAGGAATAGCAGGCGGCTGGCTGGGGCTGACTGCTCACGTCATGCCCTGCATTTCTCACAAGCAGAGGGCGATCCAGGTAGAAAAAGGAAAGGCATACTCGTCTACATCCAACATTAGCTGAGAATGAGACGATGAGTTCGACCATCGAGAGAAGGTTCCAAGATGCGTCTGGGAAAAACCGGAATATTCAAGATCTGAGGAAGCAAGTTGCCGAACGGAATGAATGGCCAGGCACCTGGATCCCGGTTTCCGTTCTAGCGGGATTTGGCAACAGCTCACTGGGATTTCCCAGTGGGGTGCTTTTTTCGCTCATGGCGTCTGACCATCCATGCTCACCACGGGCTTGGAGTGCGAAAATTCATGGATGTTGTACTCGGTACTGTACCTTAGGTACCTTTGTACACATGTACTTCTCTCAACACCAATGGAATCGACTTCGGTCGATCGCAACTGCCTCGCCTAATCGCCAGATACGTTACTCCAGGCCATCCCGGTCGCTTACCACCCCCCAAAGTGTACCTTAAAACAGCTTTCAGGCCAATCCCCATTGAGAGTTCTCCAGGATGGGCGTGTTGCCATCCAACGAAAATACTTCGCTCTGCTTAGCCATCCCCAGCAAGGCGAACCCCGGTGCACTTTCCAAATGCTCGGCCTCGACATCGTTTCTCTCCCTCCTCTGCCGCCTTCCGTTCTCCATGTCGTCCCATGCTTGTCCCATGCCTCACCCATGCCTCAGGCCCTAGTGCTTCCGTCGGCTGCCATATAACGTGTCTCTACTCGCGCTCATGCACATGCCTCCCGTCTCCAGATGATACCCTTGATCATCGACCAATGCGCAAACCTTTGACTGCTCGCCTCCACTTAAACGCTCGCCACCACGACTCAACCCCCATACACATCCCACTCACTCCATCTCCAACTCAGACCCTCAACGCTCCTGACACGCCGTCAAAGCAATCTGCCGCTTAATGCCCAAGCCCAACACACCCTCCTCAACCTGCCTGCCTCTCCTCCAACGATCACCACGAGCTCCAGTCCCTGACTAGCTCGAATGCAACCACCCACTCAACCTCGAATCGAACCTGTCGAGCGCATAACTCTAAGCCAGCTATAAGAACCCTCTCATTCCCTCACCCCGCATCGAAGCTTAGGCCACCAGCAACACCATCTGCCCCTCTCAACTCTCATCTAAGCCCAGACAACTCCCCTCCAGGCGACCTCAATATGCCTGCATTGACAAGAAGACCAAGCACGAGCCAGGCCTCCAGCCACGATTCTCACAGCCGGAGGAGCAATGACTCGTACGAGGCACATTCTACCACTCCGACTTCCATCTACACCTCCCCACGGCCATCAGATGCCAAGGCCCTGTCATCCTCAAGCAGCAGTGGAAGCTACACTTCGAGCACAAGCAAGCCCAGGCACCAGCGGTCGTATGGCAACTACCAAGAAGACATAAGCCCTGGTACATCTCTGTATCCGCGGTCATCGGTTGACACGTACGCTTCCACCACAGCTTCGGAGGAGGACCTAAAAGCTTTGGAACTCGACGCTACGGACGGCCCGATGGACTATGAGTACAGCAATATTCCTCCGCTGCCCATTTACCGTCGAGAAGTCATCGAACCCAACGTCCGCCCTTCCACACCGCCCGAGTTTGCGAAGCTGTTCCCATCCCTCAACAGATTCTCCATCCGCCACGATGAGCTGACCTCCGACGGCAACATGAACTTGCGCATAGACACTGTCGTGACTGGCCGGAGACGAACCGCCATCCAGCTCTTCCATCTGCGCATGTATGACCTGGCAAAGCGGGAGTTTTCGCTGCGACGCTACTGCCGTGACTCCGGCCGCGAGGTGTGTAACTCGAAGCGCAAGTACATTGAGCCCACAGCCCCAAAGCCGGCAAATGAGAGCGAGGGCGGTCGTCCGACTCTACAACGATCAGTGACGAGTGCCATAAAGACGTTGAGCGGTGGAGGTGGGAAACCCGGCTTTGGCAGGAGGAACTCGGGCGGTTCCATCTTTGGCCCTCGTTCACCACTCAGCAACACCAGCGTGAGGCCAGGAACCAGCAACAGCCATACCTCTTGTGATGGCGATGACGAGTACTTTGGAAATTCCACTTCGCGTTTGTCACTGACGAACAACCGACTCGGGCCCAAGGCGAAACCGCAGCGACCAATGCCCACCAACACCATCAAGCTCGAGTTCAGTAACTATGCCCGCGTCGATATCCACCGCCGCGGAAGCAGCAAGAACAAGCGATATGAGTTTGAGTGGTGGGGCCATGGCTACGCCTGGAAACGGTCTGTCGACAAGCAGCTTGGTTTGGTGTCGTTCCACCTCGTGCGTGACGCCAACGCCAACACCCCTGTCGCCCATATTGTGCCGGAGACAAGGTCGCCAAGTCAGGTGCTCGCCGATGAAAGCGCCGGTGGCTGGCTCCCTCCATGTTTCATGTGGTTCGCCGATGAGTCAATCCTCGATGCTATGACTGATGTTGCAGAGTAAGTACTTCTTCGCCCTTGTGACCACCCAAACGACTTCACCTCTTATTTCGGATGCTGATGTAGCCTCTGCAGTGTCATCATGGCAACCGGCCTCATGGCTCTGGTCGATAACTGTATCAAGGAGCGGTGGCAGACCAAGAAGATCCATCGCATCCCGGTGCCGTTGACCTCCAAGACAGTTGATGTTGCTCCCAAGGCGTTTATGCAGCACGTCTTTGGCCGCCGCAACTCGAACGAGGGGCATTATCACACGAATCCGCCCAGTGCTCTGCGCTTTATGTATCCCGTATCGGCCTACTAGAGACTGCAAACTCGACTTCTCTTATGACAGAGTGCCCTTTGATCGCCATTTCAAGGCGAGATGGGAGAAAAAGATCCAACCAACTTGGTCTATTTACGGAAAAGCTTGCCTGGAAGAGTCCAGGCGTCCTAGACTCCAGTCTTTCAGATACAGAAAGCGAAAAGCTGATCGTCTCGCTCCCCGGCTACGGACGCGTCGATTTTTGTTCCATATTGATCCTCATTTGGCTTCAAGCTGTTATACCTACTTTCGTGTCTCCATCTTCATCCTCGTCGCCACTGACGATTTTACTCACATATATCTATTCATGATATGTTTCATTTTTTGTCTTTTGTATGCTCTCGAGCTAATAGCATATTCGGGTTATTTATTGGGACTGGGACTGGGGTTTGGGGATGGATGGCACTGGCTAAGCATGGACATTCGGGAACTACATCATCATCATCATGGGAGATATGGAACACAGGACCGGAATGATTTATCTTTATTGGTGCATTGCGGGATGCGGAAGCATTGTACTGGCGATCGGGTATTTTTTGGGATGCTTGCGAATTGGGGGGAACCGGGGGTTTAACGAACACACTGGCATGTTGTACTACGACCTTACCTTTCTCCGCCAGGGTATCTTTTCTCTGTCCCATATCTGACATGGTAAATAAAATAAATAAAAAGCGATCCCGCTCTGATTTGAGATTTGAACATAAATGCACTTTTCATACCCTCGGAACGAACGCAACTGCTTGCTGGCCTTCGACTGAGGAGGAGTGAACGGAAACAGATGGGAGGCACATCTCTCAAACACAACGTTGTGCAAGGAGAAGCATCTCGACGCAGCCGTCCCGCGCTCAACCCCTCTCCTGTCTGTCCCACCCCCGATGTTTCCGAAGGTTCATCGTCCCCCTCTCTGCACGACCCGTTTCCCCACGGGAGGGTCTTGCCGTGAGTGGTCACGGCGGCCCGCTTGTGTAAATGGAACATGTTGTGGAATGTGGAATGCGACTTGCGGGGGGCGGGCGGGCAAGGAGACTATGGGGGAGGATAGGAACAGATTGTTGGAACGAGTCATTGCTTCTTTCTATCGAGACGTGACATCTATTATAGGGTACTCTATGGTGACGAGCTGGTTTGTATGGAAACCAAACGCGAAAAAAGGATTACTGAAAACAGTACACAGACATACAGGCCGGCAGGCAGGTAGGAAGGCCCGCCACCAAATTAACTCGCACTCTTTCTTGTGCGGGCAGTTTGACTCCTCGGGTTTAAAAAAACAGCCCACGCAGAAAAAGGAAAAAAAAGGGGGCGGAGCTCCCCGTTACACGATTAGCTCTTCCTTCCCCCCCAGGCCGGGAACCATCCTAACTATGGTCCACGCCATTGACGCCGTTGACACCGTTGACGCCGTTCACGAGATGCTCCCCATTGACGCCCTCGGACCCGTCCACGCTGCTGACCTCGCCGGTCCCATTAGCCAGGCCGCCGTCGCCGTTGGCCACGCCGCCGTCGCGCTGGTACTGGTCCCAGTTGGCCAGGACGTGGCCGATGCGGGGCGAGTTGGTGAGGCGGTAAACGTCCTCGAAGTACTCCCTCGTCAGCGCGAAGGGCTTGGCCGTGACGTTGGGGATGTACTTGCCGACCAGCTTGGCCGGGTCGATGGTCGTCTTGTTGATCTTCTTGAGCAGGAAGCTGCGGAAGGGCTTGACGCCCGACCGCAGGAAGGTCGAGTGGAAGGGCACGTCGATGCCGCGCAGCGGGATCGTCGCGAAGCCCCGCTCCAGCTCCAGCGGCGTCGGCTTGGTGTCCGTCTGGGCCGCGCAGCCCCGGATGATCTCCACGAGGTGCTCCTTCACCTCCTCGACGGTGAGGCTGGCCTTCATCTGCTCAATGTCGATCTTCTGCACCTTGAGGAAGTTGGTGACGCCTGTGAGGGTGTCGAGCGCGCGGAGGTCGCCGGCGCAGACGTACTGCATGTTGGCGATGTTGAAGTTGACGATCTCGAGCAGCCAGCCCGTTGTCTCGGCGATGTTGCCGACCACGAACCGGAGGGCCTCCTCGTTGAACGTCTTGGAGATGCGGCTAGGGTTGACGGCGCACATGCTGTAGTTGGAGCGCCCGGATGCGTCGCGCTCGACGGCCACCTGCATGGTCAGGCCGCGGTAGAAGACGACCGACACCAGCGACTCGATGGGCATGACGTCGGCCAGGGCTGCGAGCGCCGAGTACTCGCCGAGCGAATGGCCGGCAAAGGTGCTGTCCCGGGGGACAAGGCCCTTCGACTTCATGTCCTCGAAGCTGGCCTTCTCCATTAGCGTGAGAGCCGGCTGGGTGAACTGGGTGGCCGAGAGCAGGCCGGTTGGCGAGCGGTAAGTGTACGAGGTGGTGGTCTCGTTGATGTCCTTGAAAATGCGCTCCGACTTGATGGAGCCGTCGGCGGCAACGGTCTCGAAGGTCATGGCCATGTAATTCTGCCGGATGGCCTTGCCGCGGGGGCCGCCAAAGTGGATAGTAAGTTCCTTGGGGTTGTTCTTGACAATGTTGGTGATAGCAAAGCCTGTTCAAGAGTTAGCGGATTGCGGGGAGGCATGCTGTTATGACACACGACTGTGGACTTACCATAGGTATCCATGAGATACTTGTCTGCGCGATCCCACACTTCCTGGGCAACGGGGCTGCTGCCGTACAGCTCCATACCCATGCCCTGCTCCTGGGAGCCTTGACCAGTGAAGATATAGGCGGTGATGGGCTGCTCGATCTCTGCCTCGCCCTGGAGGACCGTTTCCTGCGTCTCCTTGTTGCTTGCCTCGACCTTGATGATCTTCCGGCCGGCAACCATGCCGACGTGCTGGAGCTTGACTTGGATGTCGTCATTGGGCAGAACCATGCCGACAAGTGATGCGTGGAAGCTACGGACACGACCAATGTTGTTCTCGGCGGCCCACGTCTCCACCAAGCTTCGAACAGCAGCGCTCGAATACATGCCGTGTGTGATTGTACCGGGCAGGGCAGCATAGCCTGCGAACACGCGGGAGACGTGGATAGGATTGAAGTCGCCCGATACGCGAGCATAAGTCTCGTTGGAGGCGGGCGCACGAAGGAGGAGGGGGGTCTTGCCGCTGAGAGGGATGGGGTTCTCAAAGTTGACGGGCTGTGCGATAGGAGTGCCGTACCGTTCGAGGTAGTCAATGACCGGGTTTCCGTGAGACTCTCCAGCCTCGTAGGTAACGCTGGCAACCTGGATCACCTCCTTGGTGGGAAGTTCCAGGAGGACCTGGCCTTGGGTCTCGACGCTGCTGAAGACGGTCCTGTTCTTGAAACGGACCAGGCTCTGCAGCTTGAAAGTCAGAGTCTGACCGAGCAGCTCCATTCCCAGGTTTGGCTGCTGGTCGAGGCAGAACCATTGCCTCGACAGGAGAACAGCAACGTCCTTGGAGGTGGCCAGATGCACCTGCATAGGCGTCTCCATCTTTCTCTGGAATGTGTTCTCGTAGTCGGTGTACACGCCACGGTAGAGGAACTGAGATGTGACCTCCATAACCGCCTCGCCATCACGCATGATCGTTCCGCAAACCTCAACCATCTTTCCGGATTCTTGGTTGATGACGGCGTTGATCTGTGCCGTGGTGGAAACCTCATCTCCCTTCTTCAAAGGCTCGGCGCCGGGCATCATGCGGAACTCGTTGGACAGATGAACAAGCTTCAGCAGGTCGCCGTCGATGGTCCGAGGGAAAATGGGCTTCGTGATGGCTTTCCATCCCACGACAATGGCGAAGTCCATTGGGGCATACATGACCTTGCCAGGGCGGTCAACGAATGCTTCGCCAGTATTTCCGACAGCATGGACGAATTCATTGATGGCTTCACTGGTAATAGTGGTCTTTCCTCCGTCGAACTTGCCGGCGAGAGGGGCATCCAGATCAAGGGGCTCATCGCCGAACCAGGCACGCCAGTAGAACTCTTTGATAGAATCATTCCGACCATCCATGATCTCGTGAATCGGCGCATAGCCGGCTTCCGGGTTGTACTTGAAGCGGAGGGGCAGAGGAACTGGCTTCCCGAGTGCTGTGCTGTCCTTGATCAGGTTCACCACAATTTCATCCTTGCCCACGAGCTTCGCCTCGATAACATCGACGTATTGGTTGTGTCGCGGCTGCTCCCTCACAATAATGACGGTATTGGCGGGATCATTCGGGTTCTGAATCTCAACAAAGAGACCGCGAGAAGGTGCAAAGATCCGCTTCATCGGGTTCGTCTGGTATTTTTGCCCTTGGACCAGGACGTCCGACATCAGCAGCGCATACCGCCAATTCCTGTTCGGTCCTGCCAAGAGCGACAACCACGACTCGACCGATGGGAGCTGGATGGCAGGAGACGAGGCAAGGCGGTAACTGTTCTTGTTCTCATCGTAAGACACAGTGAGGCCTTCGACATCATCCATGGGGATCTCGGGGTCACTGAGCCGGCCACCAAAGTACTCAACCGTGGGGATTGATGACTCCTGTCCAGAGTAGAAATCCCGGGCAAGGCCGGCAATGTGGGCATCATGAATGGCATCGAGAATGTCCTTGATGGGCTCGTCGACGACGGTCGAATACTTGGCCGCCATGGGTCCCTGGAGGATACATGTCCTGCCGACATCCTGGTCGATGACAGCCTCGAGATCTTCCGACTGCCAGAGGGAGTCCTTCTTGAAGAAGAACTCGAAGTTCTCATCTAGAGCAGGAATGAATGTCACAGGCTTCTGACCGGGGCGCTGGCAGAGGAGCAAGAAATGCTGGACATCCTGTGCGTTGATGATCTGGTTCTCCGCCTCAGGGTAGTGGGCCAAGATGCGCTCGACTGCCGAGTATGGCTCGTCGAGGTCAGCATAACTCTGGAGAAGGGATGGCTGGTTGGAGGCGGCCGTGAATCGCTCTTCCACCCGGTGAATAAAGTCTCCGGTGAGCTTGATGTAGGAAGGATCGATCCATCGAGACTCATGCTTGACATAGAGCAGGTCGGTCATCCTCCGCACGACCTCGCCGTACGTCATATCCTCGAGATCCACAGCCTGGCCGGCCTTGTTGCGCCCGAACCATACTTTCTGGAAGTCGTCGTTCAACTTCTTGATGATATAATCCCGGCTCTTCTTAAGCTCGGCCACCCGCTTCTCCTTGGGCAGGCTGAAGATCTTCTGGTCCATTTCGGCCCAGAACAGCACACCGCGGGTAGCAAGCTTGTGAATAGGCTCGCCCATTTCGGACCTGACAGTGATGACACCACCAGCCGGTCCCTTGTAGGTCTTCTCCCATTCGGAGTCGTCGAGACCCTCTGCCTCGACAATGGCCTTCTTGGCATTCTTGCTGGTGTGAGCCTCTTTGGCCACCATCATCCTGCTGCCAAACAGGCACCCGTCGAAGGGCATGGGAGGGTAGCCGTATTTGGTCGACCATTCACCCGTGATATACGGGTACGTGTCTGTGGCACCACCGAAGCCGCTTCCGGCCACAAGGATGATGTTCTCCTGTCGTCGGATACGACCGTACATGGCTAGGATTGGCGAGTGGAAGTCCTCAAACGAGTGATGACCACCACCACGACCACCGGTCCATTGGAGTATGACAGGGAATGTCGGGTTGGCTTTGGCAATGTTGATGACGGCTTGGATCGCTTCGCCGGAGCCAGGCTTGAAGGAGATGTGCTTCAGACCCAGGGTCTCGATGTATTCTTGAGCCACCTCGATAGACGGGACGCCGGCGCCGATGGTGAGGCCTTCGATGGGGACACCCTCGGCCCTCAACCGCCCGATCAGGGGGATCTGCCATCCCATGGCACGGGGGTTGACGTAGATCAGGTTGACAGAGATACCGCGGCCAGCAGGGATGGCTTTCTCGATCTTCTCGAGGGCAGCAGTCATGGTCTTGGCGTTGTAATAACCACCTCCGGCCAACTCGACGTGATAGCCAGCGTTCATGGTCGCAGCGACGAAGTCCCAGGGAACGGTCGCTGGAGTCATACCGGCAACCACTATTGGCGGGACTCCCAGCAGCCTGCTCATCTTTGTGTCCACATAGGTCCGTCCGCTGGCGGTCTTGACCAACCTCGGGCCATACTCCTTGACCCAGTCGATGGCATACTTGACCGCATGCTCCTCATCACGGTCGAAAAGCTCCGGCTTGTAGCCGACCTCGGTGACCGTCCCGTTCACTGTTCCGGCCAAGATCACTCGGACGCCCGTACCATCCTTGTTACGGCTGGTAAGTATTCCCAATCCGGAGATGCCGCCTGGGCCAAAGTCCAGCACGTGAGTGGCTCCAGGGAACACTGTGGCCTTCTCCCAGTGCACGGTGTCGCGGGTGATGAGCCGCACCAAGGTCGGGACGACATTGCCCTTGACCTCTTCTCTGAGGTCCTTGCCGGTATTGGTATCAAACACCGGGATCCCCAGACTCCGGGAATCGATGTGGATGTCCTTGACGTCCTCGTCGATCTGGACGGTAGCCTCGGCGAGGTATTTGCTGTGGAAAGGTGCTGTGATGGGCAGGAATCGGTTGACAAAACGGATTTTCCGCTCGGTAAAGGGGATTCTGGTCTGATCGAGACCCGTGGCCGCCTTGAGCTTCCGGAGCTGGAGGTTAAGACCATATAATGACATGGGAGGGCCGGTCACAACCAAGTTGCGTGGGCTGTTGATAAGGGAGATGGCGATGTGGCGGTCTGAAGGGAGGTACTGGTTCGTCTTGTCAATGTGCTTCTGAACTTCTGCTTGAGGAAGGTCCCGAATGCTAAGCATTGGCGTGGGGGTGCCCTCTCCATTGTCGATCGAATCCTGAAGCATCGTCGGAGTCATCGATGTGCGAGGGAACGTTTGCTGGCTGCGAGCGCCAATCCAGAAGAGGATCGTCAACGCCGACCTGGAAATCTCCGCATATGTGTCCCAAGAATCTGCTGCCGCGGTTACTGTCGCAAGCACGATTCCCTGAGAATGGCCGGTGGCGCCACTGATCCTGTCTCTCAGGATACCAGGGTGCAAGCCAAGTGATTTGCAGGTTACTTGGTAATGGGCGAGCTGAACCAGGCCGATCAAGGGGAAGCTGACCGGCGCCGAGACAAGATAGTCCACATCGGGAGTCGCATCAGGGCTTTGCAGCCAGGACATGACGTCCAAGCCCTTGGCGTAGAGCTTTTCAGCACTCGGGTGATTGGCGAGATTCTGGAGGAGGTCGGCGGCGTTAGAAATTAGGTCCCCAACAAAGGAGGGATACGTGTTGTAGAGCTCTCGCAGCTCCTCGAAGTATTCCTCGATGTTTCCCTGGCCTCCAAAGATATTGTAGATCTTGGCCGAGCCATCCTCGGCGGCGCGGAACAAGGCCGATTCGTGGGGCTTCATGGCACGGTTTGAGACTGAACGGGCAGCATAGTAGCTTCGGATGACCTCGAGCTTCTTCGCGTCGATTCCCGGGAGACTGGCTGCCAAGGTATGGACGTCGTTGCCTCTGAGGAAGGCTCGCTCAAACTCGTTAAGAATAAGCTTAAGCACCTCCTCGTATGAGCCCTGAGCATCGTCCTCGCCCTCGTCGACCTCATGGGCTACGAATCCCAGGTATCTGGCGACAAGCTCGGGAATGGATGAGGGCTCGTCATCCTGGGCAAGCTCGTCGGTTGGGGCGGGCAAGCTCGTGCTGAAGCGCTCTTTGAGCTGTGAGGCATGGAAGTGGAGGCCGGTAGGGATCAAGAACGACGTTTCGAGAGAGCCGTGGGAAATTGTGAGAGGCCGGAGCGAAGCCGAGGATCTAGGCGTAGAAACGCCCGTCTGAGGGCCAGTCCCGGAGCCGTACATATTTAAGGGGGTATTGTCCAAGAGAATACTGGCAGCTGGAGCAATAGTTAGCAATTGTGTTCCCTACCCTCAAATCCCCAACGTAGTGCTTGCTTACCAGAGCGACAATCGACCCTCGAGACTCAATCAAGAGCAGGAATCTGTAAGAATCGGCTCTAAGCTGCTAATTAGGGGTGTAGAGGGAGGAAGAGAGGGAGGTTCGGGGCAGGAGCTGTTCCAAGTGCCAGGTATCAAGCAAAGAGAGTCGCGGCGTGTGCCTTCTATCGTAGATGTTTAGTTTATTAGGCTGGCAAGGGTTGTTGGAAACAGACTCGCGTTGTGAAAGAGCGAAGCTCAAAAGTTCTTCTATCCTCTCTCTTGGGGTTTGCTCTTGATTGGTAGCTCGAAAACTGCCCAACAGTAAAATTACCTGGCGGACCCCTAGCGGACGAACGGTACTTTTCCCGATTGTCTCGCCAATTTTTTTTTAGTTCTTGTTGGGGCAAGGTCGAGGCCAACCGCCACGCGCGTCTCCCTGTCTGTGGCGACCCTGGCTTGGCAGGCCTTATGCAGCCGCTTACTGTGCAGTATGCACACCTCAGTCCAGGTCCGCTTCTGCAAAACGTGGCATCTCATTGGCTGGATACAGAGGTTTCTGGATGGTGGGGTGAGGTACCAATACTTTACGGGGAATTGGAGGGATTTAGCGTGCAGAAGTCTCTTCGGCATCCCAGGCGGATTCCCTCTGTCAATGTCAACGGGATAGTTACGGATTAGTAACGTAGGTAATGCAAGTTTAAGAATGTGCACCACGGAGCAAGCAATGGCCTCTCCGCAGTCCCTTTGAGGCTTGAAGACGGTCAGCAGAAGGCTTAAGGATGACCGTGACAGGTCTCCAACGCAGGCATCATCAAAGTCCAGGTTGCATGAGGCTTCATGTTGAACGATAAGATAAGGACCATATTCTGGCAGGAGTACGCGACGCGATGTGACATGCATGGCGTATTTGAACCGTTGCCACCCGCAGGAACTGGTGTGCTTTTTCTCGGGACCAGCAGTAAACCCTGAGATTGATATCGTTCCAATACCTACCCATCGCCTTGAAGTCATGGATACAAGGGTTTAAGTCCAGAATTGAATTTACGTCGGGAGAACGGAACACTGGACAGTCCCGTCTCTAACAGGGGACGACCTAATGGTGTTCACTGCCACGGCGGGATGTTGGGAGCCACGCGAGTTATTGTCATAGTTCTTCGGATAACCCTCCCAACGGTGCCCACAACGACGGGATCCAACGCAGAGGCTCCATGCTGCTGAACGTGTATTCAGCAGATGATAAACGTCATGTGTACTGATAGGAACTCCCCATGTACCTGAACAGTTATATGGGGGAAATACCTACCACGCCACCTATCCTATTTCGGCTAGTGCATTATGTTTGGTTGAGAAGCAAGGCGCGGCTTCGGCAAGGGTCAAGCTTGCGTGGAGCGACTGGCGGCCCCAAATTTCCAATTCAACAGTTGCGAATGACCTTTTTTTTCTTGCTGGTTGGCCCCCTTCACAGACACGACAACTTTAATCAACATCTCGGTCAAACAGGTGTTCGCCATCTGTTGAACGCTCCTTCATAGACACATCGGCTTCTTCCCGGACCTTCACTGCTCAATAATACACTTCCTCCCTTCCGTCCGGCGGTGTCTTGTCATTCATCCCCTTCTCGTCACGGTGTTTTCCCCCCCTTACCATCTACAATTATTTTCAACCATCCCTTCGACCTACCCTTCGATTTCGAGAGTTGGCACCTAACATCCCATGCCAACCATTGCCACTACTAATTAGACGATACCCGGCATTCTCCTCCTCCATATCATTTCCCCTGAACAGTGGTCGGTTGAACAACATCGACACCATGCGTCCCGAAGTCGAGCAGGAGCTTGCACACACGCTCCTCGTTGAGCTTCTCGCCTACCAATTCGCCTCACCGGTAAGATGGATCGAAACGCAAGATGTCTTCCTCGCCGAGAAGACAGCCGAGCGTATCGTCGAGATCGGTCCGGCCGACACTCTTGGCGTAATGGCAAAGAGAACACTTGCCTCGAAGTACGAAGCATACGACGCCGCGAAGTCCGTCCAACGACAGATTCTCTGCTACAACAAGGACGCAAAGGAGATCTACTACGATGTAGATCCGGTAGAGGACGAGCCAGAGCCCGCGGCTGCACCGGCTGCTAGCTCACCTGCCGCCCCTTCAGCCCAGGCTGGTGCTCCGGCGGCTGCCCCTCCCCCGAGTGCAGGCCCCGCTACCCAGGTCCCCGATGCTCCAGTCCCGGCCGTGGATATTGTCCGATCCCTCATCGCGCAGAAGCTGAAGAAGCCACTGCTTGAGGTCCCTTTGAGCAAGGCGATCAAGGACTTGGTTGGAGGTGAGTTGTGGTCAGGGCAGGACCTAGCATTGTCACGGAAGAAACTGACCACAATGTTCGATAGGCAAATCGACGTTACAGAACGAGATTCTTGGTGATCTCGGAAAGGAGTTCGGATCGACTCCTGAGAAGCCCGAAGACATCCCGCTTGACGAACTGGGTGCCTCGATGCAGGCCACCTTCGACGGCAACCTTGGCAAAACATCCCAGGGTCTAATCGCCCGCCTCATCTCCTCCAAGATGCCCGGAGGCTTCAACATCACAACTGCTCGGAAATACCTCGAGACACGATGGGGCCTGGCATCTGGCCGGCAGGATGGTGTTCTGCTGCTTGGCATAACGATGGAGCCGCCTGCTCGCCTTGGGTCCGAGAGTGACGCCAAGGCGTTCTTGGACGACGTCTCGCAGAAGTATGCCGTCAATGCCGGCATCAGTCTTTCCACTGCTGCGGCGGCTGGGCCGGCTGCTGGTGCCAGTGGCGGGATGATGATGGATCCGGCTGCCATTGACGCACTGACGAAGGATCAGAGAGCCCTGTTCAAGCAGCAGCTCGAGCTCTTGGCCAGGTATCTCAAGATGGACCTGCGTGCTGGAGACAAGGCCTTCCAGGCGTCCCAGGACTCGTCAAAGGTCCTCCAGTCGCAACTCGATCTCTGGATGGCCGAGCATGGTGATTTCTATGCTTCCGGCATCGAGCCAGTCTTCAGTCCTCTCAAAGCCCGTGTCTACGACTCGTCCTGGAACTGGGCAAGACAGGATGCACTCACCATGTATTTCGATATCATCTTCGGAAGGCTCCGGGCCGTTGATCGAGAGATCGTCAGCCAGTGCATCCGCATCATGAACCGGTCCAACCCGACTCTGCTGGAGTTTATGCAGTATCATATCGACAACTGCCCGACTGAGCGAGGCGAGACCTACAAGCTTGCCAAGGAACTCGGTGTTCAGCTAATTGAGAACTGCCGCGACGTTCTCGATATTCCTCCCGTCTACAAGGACGTCGCCGTCCCTACCGGCCCGCGGACGACGGTGGACGCGCGGGGCAATTTGAGCTACGAAGAAGTGCCCCGTGTCAGTTGCCGAAAGTTGGAGCATTATGTCCAGCAGATGGCAGAGGGCGGTAAGATCTCGGAATACGGCAATCGCACCAAGGTCCAGAATGATCTGTCCCGCATTTACAAGCTCATCAAGCAGCAACACAAGCTCTCCAAGACTTCTCACCTCGAGATCAAGAGCTTGTACGGCGAGGTCCTCCGGTCACTGGCCATGAACGAGAGCCAGATCCTCCCCAAGGACAACGGCAAGGCCAACGGCGTCGCGAAGAAGAATGGCCCCAAGACCAATGGCCACTCTAAGGGCAAGATCGAGACCATTCCCTTCCTTCACCTCCGGCGCAAGACGCGGCATGGCTGGGACTACAGCAAGAAGCTCACCGGCGTGTACTTGGACTGCTTGGAGCAGGCAGCGAGGGCCGGCATGACTTACACTGGCAAGTACGTCCTGATGACGGGTGCTGGTGCCGGGTCGATTGGTGCCGATGTCCTCCAAGGCCTCATCTCCGGTGGCGCCAACGTGGTGGTAACTACCAGCCGCTTTTCTCGGGAGGTTACCGAGTACTACCAGTCCATGTACGCGAGATACGGCTCTCGTGGGTCACAGCTCGTTGTCGTGCCCTTCAACCAGGGCAGCAAGCAGGATGTCGAGGCTCTCATCGACTACATCTACGACCCCAAGGCAGGCCTCGGATGGGATCTCGACTACATCGTGCCCTTCGCCGCCATCTCGGAAAATGGCCGCCAGATCGATGGTATCGACTCGAAGTCGGAGCTCGCCCATCGTATCATGCTCACCAACCTTCTCCGCCTCTTGGGCTGTGTTAAGACTCAGAAGTCCTCGCGCGGCTTCGAGACCCGTCCTGCACAGGTCATCCTGCCCCTTTCTCCCAACCACGGCACATTCGGCAACGACGGTCTTTACTCCGAGTCGAAGCTTGCGCTGGAGACCCTGTTCAACAGATGGCATGCCGAGGACTGGGCACAGTATTTGACCATCTGCGGCGCCATCATCGGCTGGACTCGAGGCACTGGTCTCATGTCTGGCAACAACGTTGTTGCCGAAGGCGTCGAGAGCCTTGGGGTTCGCACCTTCTCCCAGCAAGAGATGGCCTTCAACCTGTTGGGACTCATGTCTCCGACCATCGTGGATCTCTGTCAGAATGAGCCCGTCTTCGCCGATCTCAACGGCGGCCTGCAATTCCTTCCCAACTTGAATGAGACCATGACCAAGATTCGCAAGGACATTATGGAGACCAGCGACATCCGCAGAGCGATCAGCAAGGAGGCGGCCATTGACAACACCATTGTCAACGGCAAGCAATCCGAGGCCCTCTACCAGAAGAAGGTCGTTGAGCCTAGGGCCAACATCAAGTTTGAGTTCCCGAATCTACCCGATTGGAAGTCTGATGTCGCTCCGCTCAATGAGAGCCTCAAGGGAATGGTCGACCTTGAAAAGGTGATCGTCGTCACGGGCTTCGCCGAGGTTGGACCTTGGGGTAACTCCCGGACACGGTGGGAGATGGAGGCCAACGGCGAGTTCTCCATCGAAGGTTGCGTGGAGATGGCCTGGATCATGGGTCTGATCAAGAACCACAATGGCCCCATCAAAGGCAAGCAGTACTCTGGCTGGGTTGATGCCAAGACTGGCGAGCCAGTCGACGACAAGGATGTCAAGCCGAAGTATGAGAAGTACGTACTCGAGCATTCGGGCATCCGCTTGATCGAGCCAGAGCTGTTCGAGGGCTACGATCCCAACAAGAAGCAGCTGCTGCACGAGGTCGTCATTGAGGAGGACCTTGACCCCTTCGAGGCATCCAAGGAGACCGCCGAGGAGTTCAAGCGCGAACACGGTGACAAGGTTGAGATTTTTGAGATCCCGGAGAGCGGACAGTACACTGTTCGCCTAAAGAAGGGAGCGGCCCTCTGGATTCCCAAGGCCCTTCGCTTCGACCGCCTCGTGGCTGGTCAGATCCCTACGGGCTGGGACGCCAAGAGATACGGCATCCCCGAAGACATCATCTCTCAAGTTGACCCTGTGGCCCTCTTTGTTCTGGTCTCGACTGTCGAAGCACTCCTGTCGGCCGGTATCACGGATCCTTACGAATTCTACAAGTATGTCCACGTCTCCGAGGTTGGCAACTGTGTCGGTTCCGGAATGGGTGGTGCCGCCGCTCTTCGCGGGATGCATCGTGACCGCTTCCTAGACAAGCCTCTCCAGAACGATATCCTCCAGGAATCATTCATCAATACCATGAGCGCCTGGGTGAACATGCTCCTCATCTCGTCCTCTGGCCCCATCAAGACACCGGTCGGCGCTTGCGCTACTGCTGTCGAGTCTGTCGACATCGGCTATGAGACGATCATGGAGGGCAAGGCGCGGATCTGCTTCGTCGGTGGTTTCGATGACTTTGGCGAGGAGGGCTCGTATGAGTTCGCCAACATGAAGGCAACCAGCAATGCCGTCGACGAATTTGCGCACGGCCGCACACCAAAGGAGATGTCGCGCCCTACCACGACGACCCGGAACGGCTTCATGGAGTCCCAGGGCTGCGGTATCCAAGTCATCATGACGGCCAAGCTCGCGTTGGAGATGGGCGTGCCAATCTACAGCATTCTTGCCCTCACAACCACCGCGTCCGACAAGATTGGACGATCGGTTCCCGCCCCCGGCCAAGGTGTTCTCACCACTGCGCGGGAGCATGCTAGCAAGTTCCCCTCGCCTCTTCTTGATATCAAGTACCGCCGCCGCCAAATCGAGCTCCGCAAGAGGCAGGTCAATCAGTGGAAGGAGTCGGAGCTTGAATTCCTCTCAGACGAAGTCGAAGCCATGAGGGCCCAAGGAGCCAAGTTCGATGAGAAGGAGTACATGACCGACCGCGCGCACCACATTGAGAAGGAAGCTGCTCGGCAGGTGAAGGATGTCCTTCGTAGCCTTGGCAATAACTTCTGGAAGAACGACCCGTCCATTGCTCCTCTGCGTGGTGCTTTGGCGACCTGGGGCCTAACGATTGACGATCTCGGCGTCGCTTCTTTCCACGGAACATCCACCAAGGCCAACGACAAGAACGAGTCGTCGGTTGTCTGCCAACAGCTGGCCCACCTTGGGCGGCAGAAGGGCAACGCCGTCCTCGGCATTTTCCAGAAATACCTCACCGGTCACCCCAAGGGTGCTGCCGGTGCTTGGATGATGAACGGCTGCTTGCAGGTGCTCAACACCGGCCTCGTGCCTGGCAACCGCAACGCCGACAATGTCGATAAGGTGATGGAGCAGTTCGACTACATCGTCTATCCCAGCCGCAGCATCCAGACGGACGGCATCAAGGCATTCTCTGTCACGTCCTTCGGCTTCGGCCAGAAGGGTGCCCAGGCCATTGGCGTTCACCCGAAGTACTTGTACGCGACTCTGGACGAGGCGTCGTACAATGCGTACTGCGCCAAGGTCGAGTCCCGCCAGAAGAAGGCATACCGGTTCTTCCACAACGGCATGATCAACAACACCCTCTTCGTCGCCAAGACGCACGCGCCATACACTGATGAGCAGCTCAGCTCCGTCCTCCTCAACCCCGACGCCCGCGTTGTTGCAGACAAGAAGACGGCCGAGCTCACGTACCCGTCAAACTTTATGAAGTTGTCCGAGAAGAGCAACTCGTCCACTGCGACAAAGTCAACCATCCAGATGGTCGAGCAGTTGGCGCAGAAAATGGAGTCGAAGAACAACAAGGTCGGCGTCGATGTCGAGGACATTGCCTCGATCAATATCGACAATGAGACATTCGTGGAGCGCAACTTCACGGATCGGGAGATTGAGTATTGCCAGCAGGCGGCCAGCCCGCGGAGCTCGTTCGCTGGCCGCTGGAGTGCGAAGGAGGCCGTGTTCAAGTCGCTGGGCGTCGCAAGCAAGGGAGCAGGCGCGCCGCTGAAGGACATTGAGGTTCTCAGCGATGAGAAGGGTGCCCCCAAGGTTACTGTAAGCTTTTCCTCCCGTTTTCCGGGTTTCCGTGCGACTCGTTGCTAATACTCATGTTACAGCTTCACGGTGATGCTGCGGCCGCGGCCAAGCTGGTTGGGTTGAAGGAGATCAATGTCTCCATCTCTCACTCTGACAGCCAGGCTATTGCTATCGCAGTGGCTTCCTTCTAAGCAAGCTGGAAGCTCTTCAGGCCTTACACGTTCCTTTTCCCCATTTTATTGTTTGTACATCACCGTGTATATAAATACGGGTCCGCTAGGATTGGAAGGGTCCCTCTTTGTAATTCGAACGTGCCGCAGTTTTAGATAGAGAGTGGCCGCCACAGTAGAAGTAGAGATATCTTTCTGAGAACACGGAATACTTGTCGTTTACTGTTCTTCAAACTCGCGTCTCCGTACGTATGAAATCCAAGCATCCCCGTGTAGCACCTGCCGAAACTCCGTCCTCCCAGCAAACAGTCGGTAAGCGGGTAGGACGGGAGCGGGAGTCATGGACAGCGTGCCACATGCAGCAAGCTGTTCAACGGGGGTCTCCGCGGCGGACCGCCCGGATCCCGCCGCCTCCGCTACAGTGCTTCAATGGCAAATCACACGGAGTGTTAACTATGTACCGAGGTACTTCATGGCCTCTATCAGTCGTAGATAACGTCCACCCATACTGCCAGGCCAACCACTGATTGCGTCCAAGCAGAGAGCTGATCAGAATTGTTATCAAGGGCCTCCAGAACAGAACCGGGTCGCACTGCAACCTACGCAGTGACTGACGGGCTCAAAAAATGGCCGGCCAAAACCAAATCTTTCTCGGCACCTTCATCCACAGTAAGGCGCTGGATGAGCTCGAGTATTTTCACGAGACGGCAGTGCTCGTTGACAAGGAGGGCAAAATTGTTCGCATAGAGCGCGGTTATGATTTGGAGAAGGCCAGGGAGAACTTGTTCCCCGGCCTGGGCTGGTCGTCCGAGGATGTAGCTGTTCACGTTTGCAGGGATGGGCAGTTCTTCTTCCCCGGCTTTGTAGGTAGGTGACTCTAGTTGGGCCACTGGAGGCCGTGGCCGCTTACTCCTTATCCCTGGGGCACGAATGTGTCTGAGTTGATGTTCCCAACCCAGCGTCGGGCCTCCTTCAGGCTGCTGCGCCTCTGGTTCTTTCCCAGAGCCGTGACACGCCGACAGCTAACAAATCCCCCCCCCCCCAGACACCCACCTGCATGCTTCGCAGTATCCAAACGTCGGCATCTTCGGCAAGTCGACGCTCCTGGACTGGCTGATCACATACACGTTCCCGCTCGAGGCGTCGCTCTCGGACCCGGCCAAGGCGCGCAGCGTGTACACGCGGTGCATCCGCAAGACGCTGTCGCACGGGACGACGTGCGCGGCGTACTACGCGACCATCGACGTGGCGGGCACGAACCTCCTGGCGGACCTGTGCCTGGCGGCGGGCCAGCGCGCCCTGGTCGGCCGCGTGTGCATGGACCGCCTCAGCCCGGACTGGTACCGCGACGCCGACGCGGCCGGGGCGGTGGCGGCGGCGCGCGCCAGCATCGAGCACATCCGACGGCGGGACCCGTCGGGGACCCTCGTGCGGCCCGTCATCACGCCGCGGTTCGCGCCGGCCTGCTCCGAGGAGCTGCTCCGGGAGCTGGGCCGCCTCGCCGCGGAGACGGATCTGCCGGTGCAGACGCACATCTCGGAGACGGAGGCGGAGGTCGCGCTGGTGGGGCAGCTGTTCCCGGACGGCGGGTCGTACGCACAGGTGTACGACGGCTTCGGGCTGCTGACGCGGCGCACCATCCTCGCGCACGCGGTGCACCTGACCGACGACGAGGCGCGCCTCGTGGCGGCGCGCGGCGCGAAGGTCAGCCACTGCCCGTGCAGCAACAGCGCGATCACGTCGGGCGAGGCGCGCGTCCGCCGCCTGCTGGACCTCGGGGTGGCGTGCGGGCTCGGCACCGACGTCAGCGGCGGGTACAGCGCGTCGGTGCTGGAGGCGGCGAGGCTGGCCAGCCTGGTGAGCAGGCACGTGGCCATGGGGGGCGACGAGCGGGCCAAGCTGAGCGTCGAGGAGGTGCTGTTCCTCGCGACCAGGGGCGGCGCCGAGGTGGTCGGCCTGGAGGGGACGGTCGGCGCGTTCGAGGTCGGGATGGAGTGGGATGCGCAGCTGGTCGGGCTGGCGAGGGTCGACGCCGCGGGCGAGGTTGGGGACGAGGACGACGGGAATGTCGACGTGTTTGGGTGGGAGAAGTGGGACGAGAAGGTGGCGAAGTGGCTGTTTAACGGCGACGATAGGAACACGAAGAAAGTCTGGGTTAGGGGGCGGCTGGTTCATGAGAGGAAGTAAAGGTGCCCTTCATTCTTCCTTGGCCACCTTTAGACGGCTGGTGTGGCAGGCTGGAGTTGACAAGATAGATCGAGTTGGGCTTCACGGAGAGATGTTGCGTTCCATAGAGCAGAGGCATAGAGACAGAGCTCAGGCAGGTGTCCTTTGGGGTCTTGCTATCTAATCATGGAATTTCAGGGATATCGTTCCATATGACCGTCAAAGGCGAGGAGCAGCGAGGACGGCTCAACCACAAGTCCACCACATGTGTGCTCCTAGGATCTGACACTCGCCCCTCCCCCTCAGCTTCCATTATTTGTGATAGATCTAACTAAGATCTGAAAAGCGACCCTAATTGGGGCTGTGGGTAGGTAAATCAGCAATATTTTGGTAGACTTGTGATATCGTCTCTATTCTGTCACCGACCACAACCATGTGGTTCCTAGCTCTCCCCCAGCCACCCCGCAGCACAGCTCCCGATCATAGCTCTCGTCGGATAGGACTGGGATTATCGTTATGTTTTAAAAAGAATGGCATATCTATTATTGCTATTATTGGAATGCAGCCACTACTAGTTCTGGGGCTGAATTTGAAAAGGAGTCTGCTGGTGTCCCACGTTCTTGGCCAAGCAGCTCCGGCAATCGGTTACACTAGTGTACATAGAAGTACAGCCACACAGCATGGGCCAATGTGCCATCGATGGGAAATGAGGCACAGCCACGACGCCACAGAAGTGGTTCCCCGCCCGTGATAACAAGGGACTTCGGAATCATCATCGCCATCTCTTCCTCGGTGTGTCAAAATGGGCAAACGTTCAGTGCTCTATTTCGGGGATTCTCATTCGTGCATCCCATGGACCTTCAGCACCGTGGCTGTTGACCCCCATGGCTCGAATTTCTCCCCCCCCCTTTTCTGCGCAGCACAGCACCATGTCGATCGAGGTGCTTCACGCGTTGGAAGACGGGACAGCAAATCGCTTGCATGTTTACTAGCGTATTTCTCGCTTCAGCTCTCCTTTCCTAGCCACATGTCTGGCGAATGGGAAGGCGCGAAAATTCCATCAAGTGATGAACTCGCAGGGCTGGCCGCATTAAGCCTTGGGCTCAACCATCGACAACCCAGCATTCAAGCCATGGCGGCCTCAGCCCTTGGCAATGGCGCTGGTTGGCAACACTTTTGTGGCCATGGGTTGGCCATTCGCATTCCAGGGATCAAGTGATAAAAGGCCAGCCGTTTCCCCTTGGTGAATGAGAGAAGTTCGTGGCAACCCTGTCAATCCTAACTTTTCCCAGTCATCTTGCTTCGCTTCTCAGACTTCAGACTTCAGACTTCCTACGAAGATACTACCACTGCCTTGATCAAAGATGTCTTCAGCAAGGGGATTGCTAGCAACGGGAGTGCCTCCCGCCCCCGTCTGGCTCCTTTACATCAAGTATGCCATTCTTGGACTTGCGGTCGTCGTCCTGGCTCTTTCCGCCTACGCCTGCTCCTTCTTCGGTGGAGGCGCCGCCGGATTCTTGATCTTCATTGTAAGTGCGACACAAGGAATCGCGCCTCTAGCTACGAGGAGTGCGGCCTTGGGGAACCATGGCTAACAATCTCCTTCTCCGCAGGCCATCAAGACGATAATTATTTACGGCGGCGCCATCGCTCTCGAGATCTACGCGCCTCAGTACTACTTCCGTATTGGCCTCCTCATCGCGTATTGTCTGGGTGTCATCTTCTGGCTCAGCGCTTGGGCTTGGGCCGCGTCCACCGCTGCCTTCTGGCTCTCCTGGGCCGTCTACAGCCATGGCACAGGCGGGGCCTTGGCTGGCTGCGCTGCTCTCGGCGCTGTCGCTTGGTAAGTTATCCCACCAATCTTTGCCCTATTCAGCCTCCACAATCCGGTACGACGAGTGGCTGACATGTATCCCCCTCCTAGGATCCTGTCGATCGTCAACTTGGTCTTCTTCATCAAGGCCTGCCTCGCCGACGCGCCTCCTGCTACCGGCGCTCACCAGGCCGAGCTTGGCCAAGTGAAGCAGGACCCCATTTCGACCCCGTCCCCGGCCCCGGCTGCGGCCGCGACCGAATACCCTACCGGCCAGTACCCTCAGGCCGAGTATGCCCAGCCTAACCCGTACCCTGCCGAGCAGCAGTACCCAGTTCAACCAACCCAGCCAGCTCAGCATTATCCCGCTCAGCAGTAAACAGAGTGGCGCAGATTCCCCCGTCAATGGCCACTTGGTTGCTTCCACCACCTTTCTGATTTATAATTGATCTTGGGTCGCCTTTCATCTTCTCTTTTCTTTTCTTGTCTTTGGGTCAGGGGTTTGGTGGTCAAGTGTACGGGAAGAGCAAGCTGCTCACAATCTAAGATACCAATTTTCCTTGAGAACTACATGCACATACATACCTTGATATGCCTTAATACAGGGTATTTCTTTCAAATCTGTTGCCATTTCTGCAAGTACCTTTGAGCAATGAAGCCCCGACTTGGCGGCTTCGCTTCGCCTCCAGGCAGCCTGCTATCTGAAATGCTGAGCCAGCAATTCCCCACCCCTGCCGACCAAGACGAGTCGATATGGCCGGCCATCGTGTGTGTGCGGCGATTATATTCATTGATCAGTCATGCATTTGCACCTACTTTTCTGACAAGCTTTCTGTTAGGGTGGGGGATAAGGACGATCGCCCTTCTCAATGACGCCCTCTGGCAGCAGCTATTTCCCGTACAGACAACTGAGCCTTGCGCAATAACAAGGTGTGTTCATTACGAGCCATCCGATGGCTAGATGAATCTACCTTATGCTTCAAGAATGACACTGTTGAGGTGATCTACTATTCCAATGGCCTTACCTCCTGCGTGGCTTTGAGTGAAGACATTGCAACGAAGGTTTTCGACAAGGCAGGTAACAATGGGCCATCATTGAGTATTAATGAATCTTGACTTGCTATTCCCTAATCATTTCAACAGAGTAGGGTCACCGACTACTTGCAGACGACGAGGTGAGTCTACAATTTCTAGGTAGCAGCCTTCCATGGTGTTGCCTTTCAAGTGCATCACCACGACGCTTGCAATCCATAGCTTGCGATCTCATAGGCTAGCGCGCCCTTCTTCTGATCTCTGAAGTATCTGTGAAGGGCTGTCTGTCTGTTAATGGGGTGTGCTAGTGCCGGTTATCTCTGTGAGCAAGTTGTATCAGGTAGAGTATCACGATGATTCATCCAAGACAATCATTCAGAGCCACTTTCAAGTGGGGGCGCTCTGCTGTTCTGCGTAAACCTAGGAGGGACTCTCAGATATAAATACCTGCCTCTCCCCCTGCCTAGGTATGTTTCTCTTTTTTCCTCCAGGCTCAACCAGCTCTCGAGCCAGGCATTTAGGCCTGGCGGGCTGCCTGGGGATGTGAGCCCTGCCACTGCATCCTCAAGTGTTTCTACTTATACGCGCCTCTGCGCACCTGCTGGCTTCTTTTCCTTTGTCTTTCTAGTCTTCCCTTATTTCGCTAAGTTCTTAGCTATGGTTTCCGACCCCAAATGCTAGCTAAAAGAGCTGCCCTACCGCTCCCCAAGGCGTCGTCAATGTCAACAAAGCAACTGAGAACCTCTGCGCCTTTCTCTAGTTCGGCAATTTCCAGCACTTGGGATCCTGCTATTGTTTTGTCTTGGTTTCAACCAACCACCTCCCGATAGCCAGACGAACTGAGCAGCAGCAGCATGATTGCCAGGAACCTAACGCATGTGCTGTGCTTACAAGCCAGATACTCTCTCAACAGAGCTTGAGGGACTGCAAACCTCTGTCGACGACCTGTCAAGGGCTTTGCTAACTCAACATGCGAAATCAAGGCCGACATCTGGCAGGCAGGACCTACCTAGACTACGCAACCCCCTCCTGACCGACGACATGCTCGAAGCTGCCGGCCGCGCCGGCGCTCACAACACTTGCGAAATTGCAGCGAGAACAATGGACTACGCGCGATGCCCAACAATCATCGGCTCAGCGGGTGGACCCGGCATGCGCAAGCTGGCCACTGCTGTGTCGCTGTACCCTCGACGAGATACTCTGCCTGCGCGTTCTGTTCTGCAGGCCCGCGTCGAGACTGACCTGTGAAGAGGACCTTGAGTACCGTGCGGGACTTTCCTAGGGACTGACGACTAATCTCCCGCCCCGAAGCTGCGACTGCGCCGCGACCGCTTCGGTTCGCCCCCGCGTGATCAGCTGCCCTCGAGAGGCACTGGTACGCTGGGCGAGGTTGTGGATATGCGCTACGATGTTTGAAGAAGTATGCCCACATTGGAGTCCCTGCAAGACAGACATATGTCTTGAGCGTGGGGCATCTATGGGTGTGGCATTTTTGCTGGGTTAACTGTGGATGTGGAAACTTCACCATGGTGTTATTACGACTTTCGCATCAGACAAACCGGATATTGGCAAGCGGCATATCACGATCAAGTCGACAATTACAAAAGCAAGAAAGATTTACAAAAGCAAGTGAGTTATTTCAACCCTATCTGTCTCTCCATTAGGAGACCTGCTGACGAATAACTCCCCGACCAGTTCTCGTGAAATGCCGCCTTGATGTTTGCTGCGCAACTCCTGGGTATCATGGGAAAAGCACGCCCGTTTTACCCCTGGAACTCCCGAGCAAACGAGCAAACAAACCAATTAATTGCGAAAGGGAGAAGAGAAACTCCCGCCAAGAAAACCAAAGTGAAGTAACGCCGTCCACGACCCAGCCATCCACACCTATTTGGATGCCCACGCATTTCAATCCCTGGTTGAAGACCTTCCTTGAGAAGAAGAAAAAACCAGACAGTTATCTGCCTATTCCATGTCCGTGTCCTCTTCGTCGTTCGCGGCGGCTGCTCCCTCGCGCTGGTCCTCCTCGTCGTCCCCCGACAGGCTCTTCCTCACATGCGGGGGCAGGGCGGCCCGGATCTCGTCGCCGCGCTGGAGCACCGCCGCGATCTCGTCATGGAACTCCCGAGTGCAGATAGCGACAAGGTCTTCGCTGCGGACATACTCCTTTAAACATCGGCGCATGTCCGCGACCTCGTCCGCGTAGTGCCCCTCGAGGGGGTGCTGGCCATGCGGAGGCGTCCCGAGCGGGCTCGCGGCCCAGGAGCCGTCGCGGGCCGGGAGGGACGCCGACAGGCCCCGGACGTCCCGCTCGTACGCCAGGTCCCTCCACATGTCGGCCTCGGCGCGCGCGCGCGCGACCTCGCCGCGCAGGCGCAGGATCTCGTCGCCGAGCGACACCGCCGTGGCCATCTTGCGGATCCGCGCCCGCTTCGCCGACTGGTTGTTGCGGCGCCGCTCGTTGTCCTTGCGCTCCGCCGCCACGCGCGTGTTGTGCGCCCGCGCGCTCGCCAGCTCCGCCGCCGTCATCGTGTCCAGGAGCGGGATCAGCGGCTGCGTCGCCGTGAACGGCCGCGCCGGCGTCTGGCGCTCCTTGCGCCGCGCCCGCATCATCACCGCCGACTTGGCCGGCGTCCCCTGCGCCGCCGCCGCCTGCGCCCTCTCCCTCCCCTTCCCCTTACTACTGCTCCCCGCGCTCTTCGCTTTCCCCTTGCCCTTTCTCGTGGATGGTCCGGCATCTTCTTCGGCCTCCTCGCTCCCGGCCCCAGACAGCATGGGCGACGACGGCGCCGCTCCCCCGACAGCAGCCGCGGAGGAGGGGCCCGGGGAGAAATATGGCACCGTGCTCGGCCCGGCAACAGCGGAGGGGTCGGGGACGAAATACGACCCCGTGCTCGGTCCGGCTGCCGTGTTTGGGAGCACGTGCCCGCCCGGCAGGCCCCGGCTCGACGGGTTCTGCATCGCGTAGCCCGCGTACTGGGCGGGGGTCCCCATCGGCATTCCGAAATTGCGAGGATCCATCCCCATCGGCATATGGGCCGGCATGGGGCTGCCGCTTTGTCGATGCTGGTCGCCGGCCGGGGGGAAGGGGGAGCCGTGGTTGTGGTATGGATTCATGGTGGCTGCGTGCTTGCTGGAAATGAGATGTTAGTTTACTGTTGTGCAAAAACGAAGAGAGAAAATCAATAAAAAATATAAAACATGGCCCCTCGTGGCTAGGTGCTTGACAAGGTTGAGGAGGTCGGGTTGTCGCTGTCCTGGGGCCTCCGCCACGGCCATGGGCTCGTCGGCTGGGGACATTTTGGCGGATAGCTTACCTTGCTAAATAGCCGAGTATCAAATAAGATCCCGTTACTCTATGGTATCCGTTTCCAACGTCTACAGGCGATTAGCATAACTCCAACCGTTGGAACGACTCCCCATGCGTCACCACTTACACTCCTGAAGGTATTGATGCCAAGTGACTTCTTAGTTGCGCTGCTGGAGCTGTGCTGAGCTCTGTATTGTTCTGGTCCTTTTGATACTGCTGAGAGTGTGGCTGTTTGAGGCTGAGCTTGTCCAAACTGTGCGAGTCTTGTAGAGAATGCTAGTGCTGTGTTGAGGAGAGGCACAGCTTTCCTTTGAAATGCCCTGGCATTTATATTTTTCAGAAGGCCCTTCTTGTAGCACAGCCCCTTGTTTTCAAGAGACGCTCTCAGTGATTTCAGACACAGTCAAGGTGTCAGTAAGGATGTAACTGTTGTATGAGCTAGTAGAATAGGGGGATTCAGAGCCAGCAAGAGGTCGGACGATGGTCGAATGTGGCCCAATGCAAACGATATCAAGCGGCAGTTCTCGAGTAAGTCCCCTCCTGTTGAATGATCGCTCCTTGTCCGAACCAACAGCTTTGTGAATATGTGCCCTTTCAGGAGGTGGGTATACGAGTCAGGGTAGCACGCTTGCTAGTCGGAAGCGAATGTATGGTTGATTCGCTGTGTGAGTAGTGACTCTGGCCTGGGAGGACTCCGCTAGGGCTCGACGTGTGGCTAACAGCCTAGAGACAGTAAATCAGTTCCTCCCCTTAGGCCAGCCTGGCCCTGACCATGCCAGTCATGCAGTGCCAGTCATGTAGTCGTGGTGAATGCTTACCTGCTCTTATTCTCTTACTGTCTCACTGGTCTGTGCAAGACTTGACACTTGCATTCCCTGGCTCCAGGCCAGTGTTCTCAAGCAAAATCAGGCCAGGGGAAGCGAACAATGTGTCGCCGTCACAAAGGAAGCCACGACGGTGAATAAAGCCTAAGGCAAATAAGGAACCTTTCCCTGTGGGGAATGCCTGGGCAAGCGATGTTCGCCGTGAAGATCTAAAGAAGGAGATCTTCCACAGAATAAGGCGGTGAGCGCGGCGAGTCGGCGGACGGCGGATGGCGGATGGCGATATTATCCCAAGAGGAGCCTGAGGGCAGCACTTTTCCTTCAGGAATGCAAGGGTAAATGCAGTTGAAAATATTCGCCGTGCAAAAAAAGGGGGAGAAGCTATCGGCGAGATTCACGTAGTAAAAAAATCCCCTTGAAGTTTGTAGCGAGAGAGGTTTGGTGAGAAAAAAGTTGCGTCGGGGAAGAGGTTGCGGCGAGAAAGAGGCTGGGCAAGACAGAAATTCGTGGGGAGACAGATCTGCCCTACTGGCAGGCAGGGCGCTAGGGAGATATGGGAAGCAATATTTTCTACGTGAGGATGAGGTGAAAGAGATGTCGCCAGGAGACTGAGATTTTGCTGACACATTGAAATTTGCCTGTCGAGGCCTGTGGATGCGTGGCGGAGACGAGGTTTGTCGTGAGGTCTGGGAAGATTTTCTAAACCCGATCCTGTCTCATTCTGCCAGTGAATCACTGCGCCGTCGCCAGCGCTTACCCCTTAAGGACTGGACTAATGTATTGGTATTGGAATGCAGCAAGACTCTGAAGTGGTCGAACTTAGGATTTGCTGGAAATATACTGCTAAGCTGGCCAAGACGTAAATACCCTCAGTGGCAGAGAAATAGGCACGGAAGATGAGGCAGCAATGGCACAAGTGGAGAGACAGACATCAACTTCTCTAATCAATGATGCAATCAAATATTGGAAGTCCAAAACATAGTGTCTGAAGACATGATTACCCAGCGACCTTAAGCATCTGGACACACTTCCTGAGCTAGACGTACTGGGGAATACCTCAGGGGGCTATTATCTGCATGTTGAGAAAAGACAGAGGCCTGGACTCTGCCCCAGAACGGAATCAACAGATCACTAGAGTAATCTCATTTTAGGTTAATCAGTCAATAGGCAGCAATAGTGTGGTGTTATTCTCATATATCAGAAGGTGGTGGTGATGATGGCGATACTTGACCGACTGCACCTCACAGTTCGGGAAATAAGGAAGGCCTCACATAAATACCCAGGCAGAGGCCATCCCTTTTACCAATTTTTAGTATGCATGTTGTTTTGAAACCCTAAAAGATAAGGCCATATTCTTACCGAGGATTAGCAGCTGGATTACGGCAGGAACCACTAGGCCCCTGACTTCATCGTTGCATGGTCCATGAAGGCATACCTGAGGCATCCGACGCTGGATATGACTCCTTCATCTCCTGGAAGCCTATCACTGCTCTACAAGCACCGTATTCTACAAAATTGAGAGATACCTAGCGTTGTGTTGGTGGTAAAGCTGAAGGTGAGGTTGCGGGTTTCAAGGGTCGAGGTTAGGAAAGGAACCAGATCCGATCCGAGTAGCTCAGATAAGATTAGATTAGATTAGATCGATCTGTCAACCGAATGGCTCCAGTGAGATAACCTGCATTAGCGAGCTCCACTTGACCTGACGACAGACACCCCGTCTACACATTCTTTCTTCTCATCGTTGTTCTATCAGTATTCCTTGTAGTTAAATTAAACGGCGTTGAAAGGCAAAATGTAGGCAATTTGGCAGGAAGGGCACCTCGGCGTGTTTGGGCATCTTGGAGGTGACAGCTTATACACACAATTATACCTATACATGTGCATCCAAAAAAGAGAATCTCCTGATAAATACAACTTCTAGTGCCTCTCAGGTTGACGGGCGCTCTATCTCCCCAAATGAGAGAACAGATGGTGCCTTATTTACTCATGGTAAGGTCGGAGTTGATGCGACGCGGAAAATCTAGCTGATAAGGAAGTGCAAGCCTCGTCTCATACGATAACACAACACATCCGTCCTTTAGTTGTTTCCACCAAGATTCTCCAACGTTGTTGCGACTAGGTCAGTGACGATTTCCTGCAGCTGACCATCTCTCATCCAGACCACAACATCTCTGCCAGGTCTTGCATGCTCGGATAAAACACTGAGTTTATGAGCAACAATAATGACAGTGTGGCCCATACCAGTGAACTCCTGGTCGATGACTCGGTGTATGGTCGATTCCGTAGCAGGATCAAGGGCAGAAGTGACCTCATCCAAGAGAACCACAGGCAGCGCTCCCGCATCCCGGAGCACGCCGGCTCTGACCATAGCCCGGCACAGCGCAAAGAGCTGGCACTGCCCTACCGAGAGCTCCCGAAAAGAGGAGACCTCCCCATAGAGTATCGGATTCCCGCCAACGGTCTCCGCGCCCGCCCATCCCTGCCCCGCGGCGCCCCCCCGGGCAAAGTGCGGCCAGAGCCCCGTTGCCACGAGGGCGCCAACGACGGCGTCGTCCGACGCCGAGGAATCCGGGTCCAGGTTGAAGCGCAGGGTCTCGTTCGGCAGGAGCAGGGCATCCTGGGCCACGGTCACGAAGCAGCGCCGGCGGAGCAGATCTCGGGGGACTCGGCCGAGATCGACGCCGTCGACCTCGATGGTGCCCGAATGCGGCTCCAGCATTCGCAGGAGGGCTAGGAGCAGCGAGGTCTTGCCGCTATTAGGGCGCGGTGAGCTCGCTATTGCGGTGCCGTGTGCAGAGGGGAACTCTTACCTGCCTGTGCGCCCGCAGAGAATGATCTTTTGGCCTGCATTGATGCGCAAGCTCACGTCTCGTAAGGCGGTAGAATTGGTGCTTGATGTCCCGATTGTTAGCCGACCAGTCTGTTATTATCATTATTGCGTTGAGGTCTTGGATCGGTGCAGTGCCTTACCGATATGACGCAGTGAAACTCTTGAATTCGATCTGTCCCCTTGAAGGCCAGCTGCTGGGAGGCTCAAGATCCTCGTCGGCACTGATCTCGGACTGAGTATTCTTCTCGAGAACCCTGAGGCGGGAAACGGCGCCGAGGGAAACCTCCAGCGTGGTCCATGACTCCACCAGCCGCAGCAGCGTCGTGTTCGCTACGAGCATGATGTTGAGAGCAAGTCCCACCTGGCCACCGCTGATATAGTCTCGCAGAGCGACGGCGATCGCGATGACGCCCGTCGCGATGGCCGCAGCTATGAGGTCTAGGACAATGTTGAGCCACCTCTGGAGAGAAAGCAGAAGGAACTCGGGGCGCTGGGAGTCCTCGAGGCGAGTAATGTTTTCTTCCACGACCTCTCTGCGCCAGCCAAACGAGCGCATCGTCTCGAGGCCATCGACCTGGTGGGACTCAGTGAGTAATTACCTATTAGGGATCGGCAAGGATGGTACTGACTGATTCCAAAAAGCTTGAGAAGACTGCGGCGCGGGACTCCAGCTCGAGGAACCGAAGCTGTCGGGACGTCCTGAGGTAGACCTTCTGGATGACGTAGACCAAGGCGATGCAGGCTGGAAGGGATAATGCGAGCCATTTCTGAGCCGTGAACAAAAGAATGGCCTGCATGAAGAGCTTGAAGATTTCTGGCACCAGTAGTTGATTAATTACCATTTGGTAACTGGGCCGTTGGAAGAGACTCCGCTACTCACGGGTTCCCATATTTGCCAATGCTGATGGCAGCTGCTTGTCGATAAGCTGCATGTCTTGACTAAATCTAATGAACGGAAATTGTCAATTTAGAGCCCCAACTCGCAATTCCCTACGCGGGGAGCCTGACCGATTCAAGATCGAGCCAATGTCGGTTGTGGAGAAGAAGGATAAGGGTGCGCTTCAAATGCGTCAGCCAACGTATTGAACTAGTTTTGAAGAGACTGTTTGCCAACCTGGCCACAATATTTAGGAGGTGTTGATGGAGCCGCATCCCAGATTGTGGTGCGAGTCGGATGACCGTTGACCTGGGAAGTAATAAGTCTCAGTAATAAACCCTGCACCCTGCTGGGCTACTTGGATATATATTAGTGACCAGCTACTTACCACATGATGCCATTCGTCGACGTCCATGATATAAGCGAGAGAAGTAGGAAGCCGCAAATGTACCAGAAGACGGCGTCATTGCCACTCGACTCGGTCCACAGCCGAAGCCAGTATTGCGGGATGGTTATGAAGAGAGAGTAAGAGGCAGTACATCCAAAAACGAGGAGAAGATTGATCCAGCCGACAAAGCGGAAATAGTATTCTGCATGGAAGCTTGAAGTTAGCTTGACCCATTCGCTTCTAAGGGGAGAATATTGACTACCTACCGTAGAGAGCAAGGTCTCCGGTCTTCCTGGAAAGATCAACTTCAGCTTCGTCCCTTCCTCGAACCTGAGCGTGGAGTTTATCCAGGCCCGGTGACAGTGTGGTGTCTTTTTTGCTGCCATGGTGACTGTCTGAGACGAATTTTGCGATTGTAGCAGCTTTTACTTTGATATCTTCCCAGCTGCCTTGGTCTCTGACCCCATGGTTGCCGAGGATGACGATATGGTCAGCAGTTGGAAAGTAGTTGGCTATGTCCGTGTAAGTTTTCGGCCTTATTCGAGCTGGAAGCGATCAAGTATAGAAAGGCACCTTACTCGAGTTGCTAACAAGCACGACGGTTGATTTCAGTTTCCGAAATAGCCCCGTGGGCCCGAACAAGTTGTCACATACTTTGGCCTCGGTTTCACCGTCCAGCGCGCTGAAGCTGTCATCGAGCAGGACTATGGTGCATCTTGAAAATAAGGCACGCGCGAGCGCCTGTTTGAGCTATTAGCTTGATCATCATCATCATCATCGCAAACGGAGTGCCATCCTTACCACCCGCTGCCTCTGTCCTCCAGACAGGTTGAGCCCCCTACTCCCAACCTGAGTCTCATCCCCGTCTGGAAGTGAATTCAAGTCATGTGCGAGACAACATGCATCGACAACCTCACGATACCATCGGGAATCAACTTGGTCAGTGGGGCCATGTATTACCTCTCTGATACTGCCATCGGGGAGCCAGGGGGTTTGAGCGCAATACGCTATCCGCTTGGTCGACAACTTGACATGGCCTCGGGTAGGGGTTATCTCACCAAGCATGGCACGTAGCAAGGTCGACTTGCCGCTCCCCACCGGGCCCGAGATGATGGCGAGCGATCCGGGAGCCAGCTCGAGGCTTACACCCTCCAATATTGGCTGCTCTCCGCCGACCATTAGGTCTTGGATCAGGATGACTGGGCCAGGCTTCGCCAACTGGCCCGACGCTGGGCCACCAGACAAACTGCTTGAGGTGGTGGCTCCTTGCAGGGACCCTCGATGGTCATGTAAATGTGGCCGTAGAAGGTAGCTCTGGATTCTGTCGAACCCGGAGAATGCCGCCACTGCGCGTGGCACAATGGTCATGACCATGTTTGCGGGATGCGTAACCATACCAAGGATGGCAATCGTGGTAAAGGCAGTCTCGGTTTCGAAGTTGCGACCACGCGCAGCGGCAATGACGGCAAAGAGGGCCAACGTGATGGCCGGGGAGAAGATGCCGAGCGCATTAGCTACAAGAGATGCCAGTGGTTAGTTGGTGTTTTTGGAGATTCAGGGCAGACTCGAGTTCAGAACGGACCACTCGCATTGTAGTATACCATCATCCATCTGACTTCCGATGCAGCCGAGAGCTCCTCTTTCCGAACCTCCTGTATCCGGGTGGCGAGATGATGCTGAAAGCCAAGCATCTTGACTGCTTTCATTGAGCCTAGCGTGGATGTCGTAGCTGCTACGCGACTTTGAGTTGCTCTGTTCCAAGCCTTTTGGCGGGACTGCAAGTGTTTGGCAACGTAGCGGCTCACGCGGGAGCACACTGCAGATAACGACGTGTCAGATTTAGGTAGACGGAGCGAATGAACGAGGATGCGGCGAGCTTACGAAAGATGAGGAGGAGTGGGAGGGGCCAAATCCAGCCCACCTCTCCAGCCAGCAGGGCCAGGCCAACCATGACTTCCAGGACTTGTGCCCATGTTTCGTGGAACATCTCTGCTATGCCGTCGAGGCCATCTGCGTCGGTGCTCATAAGAGCGACCGCTTCGCCATTATCGTAGGTTATGTTATACGAGTTCATCGTCTTATCGTGAATGAGTCCTACGAGGGCACTCCTCGTCACAAGCTTGAGTGTGTTCAGCCGATACCAATATATCGCTGTCGATACCTGAGGGTTTGTTAGCGCGCTCCTAGACCCAAACAGGGAGCCGAAACGGACCGCAAGCCCGATGTAGATGGCCACGGCTGACACAATGAGCCAATAACCATAGGTGCTCGACGTGCCGGTGGAAGCCGTCGTGACATATTTGATGGACCGTTTGATCAGGAGAGGTTGGGAGTATCGGAAGACAATCAGAAACAATCGAGGCATGACAGGAGCAATGAGGGGTTGTTTGATGCACTCTAATAACGCCCGAGGCAATGTTCGTTTTGTCTCGGGCTTGACTGATTGTTTGTGTGAGTTAGATGACTTGGGGGAACTACGAGGCCATTGGACTAACCTCGCTGGTCCCACGCCTGGAGCACCGTCGTTCTGATGATTTTCGGTTTTACATCTCGGCTGAGAGGAGGTAGATCTTGAATGACAAGGGTGTTTTTGTAGCCGTGGAGAAGGATAGGATTCATCCAGTTGAAGAAGACCCTGCCCAGGACGCCATTGAGCTCCTCGGGGGGCTGCGCCGGGTCGAGAACAGTAGATGTCGGCTGCGTGCCGAAACACTCGAATATCAAGAGCGTCAAATGCAGGAGAAACCGAGCCAGCACAGGATGTGAGGTTCCGGCGTGTATGGTGGCCTCGCAGGGGATGGTCAGAAGCACGACGTCGCAGAGTGTGGATGCGACGAGGTACAGCGTTGCCAGATCTGATGGTTTGAGAGTCCGCTTTTGCTCAAGCCACAAAAGCAGAGTCAGGGCTAACGCCGCAACCAAGGAAACTGCAAGCGAGGCAACGAGAGTCATTTCCAGTTGTAATACGGATGGGGATGCGGTCATAAGTGTCACCAAGTATGCCAATAGGGTGATGGACAACAACGTCCCAATAGCCTATGGTCTGTATTAGCATCCACTCGCCATACATTGGGTGGGTGGGACTTTGGAAGAAGGAGTACTGACCGCTTTAAGCAGCCCTCGCCAGCCCTCGACATTTTTGATGCTCGAGGTACGAAGCTCCCGGAGCCTGACCGGCAGATATAACAGGAATATGGCGGCACAAATTGCAGACACCACGTGGACGACATCATCTTCGGACTCACAAGCCGCAGCTCCCTGCAGTGGGTGCGTCAGCCCAATACAGTTCTTGGCATTGGCTGTTTGCATCGCGACGCCGTGATGTGTGATTTGAGGGAGGGGCCTCACCATGCGGCTTATAAATCCCACTCCTCCAGCGCCCAGCGCCTGTTCGACGGAAACCTTGGTTGGGGCTTGTAATGCAACCTGAAATTCTTTCGACGTCATTTCTTCACCTATAATACGACGACGGCTAGAGATGTTTTGTAGTGCAGTGTGCAGATGAAGGAAGTCGGGGGAAATATCGACTCGGTGGCTGGGATTACGATTATTATCCTCCAATAGTTGGGACTACCACTGCGACGGGACCGTTGGCGTGATATTTTATCAGTGAAATAAACCGAACCAAGTTTTGCATACTACCTAGGAAAAATAACACAAACACAAGTCCACAATCTATCCAAGCGATATTAATTCCTATTCCTCCTCAACCTCCAACACACACAAAAGAAAAAGAAGAAAAAAGAGAAAGCAACCAGCACACCGCCCAGCAATCGTTTCCCCCGGATGATGGCGATTCAGAGAGTCCACGAGACTGAGCTTCAAAGCCCGTCTCCCTCTAGACATATGGCAGAGGCACTCCCTCCAAGGCGGCGCCTCGACAAACGGCCGTCCGCCTGGGGTTGGTTAGTCAGCGGAAGACACAGAGTGCGATGGCGGTAGGGGGTTAGACTTGCATGCCATGATTGTCACCGGTGACAATGTGGAGATTGTTGTTGCCCAGGCGTTGACGCAAGAGGGTTGTCACGCGGCCCTGGATGTAGTCAAGGCACGCCAATCCGCCAGTAAGGAAGATGTCCTGCCGATCTATGTCAGCTCCGCCAAAGGAGAATGCTGGATGGTGGGAGTGCCAAGACTGAACCGTACCTTGGGGTTGTCCGCCGTCGTCTGGGCGGCGTCTTCGTACAGGCCCACTATGGTCTGGACGATTTTGTGGACCACGTCGTCGAAAATCTTCATCATCTCGTCCCTGTCCACCGGTTAATTGGGGATGGCCCGACTCTATGCAGCAATGGCAGCACGGAAGGGTGATGGAATTTTATTTTTGGTTGGGACTGGGCATGTTATGTGCATGGTGCGCCCAGGTTGGACTCACCGATGAATATCGACCTCACGGCCGCCCGGAATTGGATACTTTTCATCCCCATCCAACAAGGTGGATGGGTCAAAGCGATTCTTGACTGTCCTATGCCAGTGCTCCAAGGCTGCCTCCTTCGCCAGCAGAATGGGGTTCGTAAACTCCGAGGCTTGGAGCCCGGTTGCCTTGTCGATCTTCCGCGAAAGTAGCTCTTCGAAGGCGGTATCCAGGGACGGAGCTCCAAAGAGGCAAGACTTGGCTTTGACAATGTCCCCAATCCCCGTATGCCTAGCGTTTGGGGCGTGAAACTTAAAGGTGGCGGCGTCCTGGCTGGTGTGTCAGCATAAATTAGTCATTACAGGTGTGATTGAGAGACTCACGATGGTGATCCCTCCACAATCAGCGACGATGATTGAATGTCCGTTCTATGAGCCGTTTGAGTGAGTATTCCTCATGTTATTGGGGAGACGGCGGGAGGGGACGGTTCGAAATGGAGAAGATCAAGAGCGAAAGTCACGCACTCACCTTGAATAGGCCACTCAAGCTACCTGCGTGGTCAAAGAGGATGGCCCGCACAGCAGCTTCGTGCTCCGTACGGTACAACACCTCGGAGGCCTGGGCAGTAATGCCCGCTTCCTCTACCGCCTGCTTCAGCCGGCCTAGGGTTTCCTCCTTCCAGCAGGCGGGCCAGGTAATCACTGCGTGCAGATGCACATTATCACAGCTTGAAAGTATCTTTCCAACAGCCATGTCCCACATGCCTCTGAGAAAGATCGAAACGACAGTTGAGGTCGAGTGGGGTACCTTGCATCAACCGAGTGTGTTTTGCACAAGTGACAAGACATTCGGATCCGCGATACTCTCAAACCACTCCGCCCGCTCCATAAGCGACACTTTGAAATATTTCAGCTTAATTTCTCCGGGCGCCGCGGTGGCAAGGGGGCGGATGAATTCGAGATCACCTGAATTGGGGTCCAGGCGGAGGACGGTCGGGAACTTAGTGGATTCAATGTGAGTCTGGAGGTAAGGGCAGCCGTTTGAGGGCTGGCAGTCGCCAGCCCAGAGTGTCTGCAAGACATGGTTCAGCAAATATTGCGGTGGACTGGATAGAGTTCATTATGAGGACTCACGTGGCTCCAAAATCGATACCTATGTAGAAATCCCGCTTGGGGCACATGGAGGCCGAGGCCATGGTTGCTTCTTGAGAGTTATCAGATCGGACGCGGGTTTGAGAAGGGAAGGTCAGGGAAGAACAACAAATGGCAATGAATGCTTGTCTGAAGTGATGGTGAAGCACGGATGCGGTGGGGAGACCGCTTGTCGTGCCTTTCTCTGCTATTCCTCAACTGAGGGCCAAGGGGTATATTTAAACCATTTGAAGAGCCATCGTCGGAGCCATCATGCGAAGGAGACGCTAGGAAGTCGGAGTTTCTTCGCCTCTCTTCTGCATCCATGTTCTCCTTCACTTCTCCCTCACCTTTCGCGAGGCTGAACCCGGATAGCATGTTTTCAACCAAGGCATTGAGCTCAGGCGCCTCGCTATCAGTTCTCAGCTGCCCATCTTTATCCCGCATAATTATTCTTCTTGTAAGCCTCAAACTTCATCGCAGGCATACGACAGTGGCGGTGAGTCAGCCACCAGGCTCTTAGGCTGGTGGCAACTAGCTAAGAGCCGATTAGCACCGGACTGTTTCTCATTCTGCATGGACCAAAATGACATAACCTACATTCACCACACCCCATGGTTCTCGATGGTTGGTTGTTGGTTGTTGGTTGCTGCTTACAAAAGTCAGACCTGGAATGGCATGTGATAGAAGGGAGATACTACTCGGTACATATGTTGTACATGCTCTATGGCAGCCACTCGGACCCGAAACGCCTCGACAGGATCGTCAGGCATGAGCTCGCCGAGCTCATCCAGATCAGGGGAGCGTCCCCTGCAGTCGTGGACAGATATCTCGCCAAGGTTCTCGACAGCGCGATGACGGTAGATATGTGGATTGAGTGTTGCAAAGAGAACGCATCAGTCGTGATGCACGACCCTGAGACGCGCAAGCGTTCCGGTTTCGCCTACAGAGAGGACCCCACCATGATGCAAGATATGGCGGCATTTCGCAACTTGGATACCTGGACGTCGGCTGATGGTCGTCCAGTCGAGTTCATCGCTCGACCCGCCCTGCAGATCTGGGGAGATTCAGTCCAGTCGGTTTATGAAATGAACGCCCGGGGTCAAGATGGAGCTCTCAGGAGATATGAGCACTCCACCAGCCCGGAAGCGATCTTCGTTCAAGATTACCAGGTGCTCCACTATGTCAGACCAATGTTGCTTTCTGTGGACCAGTTCCCGGATCAAGACAAGGAAGAGGCCGAGGATGAGGTCAAGAAGGACGAACAAAGCACGGAATAACACGGTGCCGAGAAGTTCTGTCTACTTACCCATGGACATGGGCCACCTCATGTGGAGCCGGAGAACGAGAAAGAAAAGGGGGGGTTGTCCCAGGATGGAAATATCCCGCCATGGAGAGGCCTGTTTTCAGTCTAATTGTGTGGTCTTTAAATCTATGTTAGGTTCCGTGTTTCGCAGATGTAGTCCAGTAGTCAAAATATTTCCCCAATCCCGTCCCCATGCCTTTCGTGTCAAATACCTTGGAGTCGAAAGTGCTTTGTGTCGAAAATCAATTCCGTTGCATCGTGTTTGTCCCAAAAACTAGCCTCGAGATTGAAGCTGTGAGCTAAATGTGCTGCTGATTGTTGTTTCGAGGCCTGCTAGAGCCTCTAGAATGGCACTCCCCACCTTGCGCAGATGCGATCGGCTTCTGTCCGGGCTCCTGAATGAGTGGCTTGTAAAGAAGGCACGGGATGGCGTGCGGGGGAGCTTGGTCGAGCATCTGGAACATGTTCGTGTATCAGTTGACCAGACTCTACGCGTCTGTCCGCCCTACATACTCTCAGCTGTCGGAAACCCGAATGGGATCGCGAATCAGGGGGTTGGACACACGTCGTACATACATTCGCCCCTTTGACTGTTGTTTCCGAGGTCTTCCTTGCATACGAGGAACCGCTTGCCGGAGTTCATGGCGCTGACAAAGACGCTGTGAGGGTAAGGGTGCTCGAGGATCGAGTAATCGGGATGGAAAACCTCTCTCGAGCATGAATTACCTATTAGGATGAGTCTGTTTGTGACGGCGCAGCCGGGGGACTTGGCTAAGGTTCTCATGAGAAGCGTTGAGCCGCTGCGAGGGCAAGCGATCAAGAACCGAATCTGGGGTTCCTTGCTAGGCGACTGTGGCTTGTCTATTTCCGTCGCGGTGGATTTTTGGCGTACGCGACGGGACTAGAGTTGCAGTATGTATGTACAGTACCTATGCTGGTTACCTACACTGGAAAGGGGAGGCGGCTGGTTGCGATTTTTTGAAAAAGCTCCTATGCGGCTACAGAAGGAAATTCTATTCATCATAGCTAAAGAATACAACTGTACATACAAAGACCTTCCAGTTCGGTGCCTCTAAGGTTGGGATCGCCAAGAGAGGTATTCCGGGTGAAACTGCACGCCTACAAACCAGAGGGGGTTGCGCAGCTTAATGATTTCCACGATTGCCCTTGACGTGGGGAGCTGGCGCAAAGTTGAGCCGGGGTTGAGCCGGAAGAGAGTAGAACCCTAACCCCGAAACAGGGGCATTGAGTGGGGAAAGACTTCGACGCGTCAAAGACGCGTGCCGCGAAAGCCACATCCCCAAATTGAATAGGCATCGCAACTGAATGCACGTATCCCCAGATCACCACATCGCCGAACACACACGCACTACAAACCACATGGGCTAGGAGTACACAAGTCTCGTCCCACTCCAAAGCCGGCACGACATGCCATCAGTGTCATCTCCAATCGCCTTCCCCCCGAGCTCCTCGCCCGTCGGTGGGAAACGGCCGAATCCGCACCATGCCGTCGACCGGCCGAAACCCCTCGTTGCCGGGGGCTTCCTGGTAGAGGACGAGTCCGACGATGACGAACCGACCGAGGAACCCCTACCCAAGAGGAGGATGCTCGATAACCTCGTGCAAGACAAAGAGAATGGCCTACTTGACCCTGTTGAGCCCCAGCGGATCCGGAAGCTGGACCTCGCTACAGCTGGCCCAGATGGCATTACAACCCCTCCCGATAGCCAGCCGAATGAGGAATCGCAGCGGGAAGAACACGACCGTTACGGTCGGCTGTTCGGGATCTCCCAGACGAGTCTGTTCACGAACCTGGGCCCCCAAACCAGACCGTCCTCTGAGATGTTGACGTGCTCGGGCAAATCGATCCCATTGCGCCAGAGGAAGGAAGCAACAATCTCGTCTTACGAGAGTATGGTTGCAGCAAGGTCCAGGACGAAAGAGGGGCGCGCGAAGCGAAGCTACTACGGTATTGACATCCACGAACTTGTCAGTGCCGCGTCGAAAGAGCTGTCGGAGAAGAAGCAATCCGCACCCACGACTCCAGCGACACCCCCGGCGAATGCCGAACAGCCTGTCCACTCGGTCGAGGACAACCATACCAATCTCAAGAAGCCGAAATGTTCCATGCTCTGGACTGAAAAGTACCGCGCGAGAACATTCATTGACCTTGTAGGGGATGACCTCACAAATCGCCAGGTCCTGCGGTGGCTGAAGCGATGGGATTCCATCGTCTTCCCTCACGCAGCCAAGTCGAGGCCCGTTGTCGCCAGGCGGCCCGGGAGGCAGATCCAGCCGGAGGAGGAGAAGCCACACCGCAAGATCCTGATGCTGACTGGCCCGCCAGGCCTGGGCAAGACCACCCTCGCCCATGTCTGCGCTCGGCAGGCAGGCTATGAGGTCATGGAGATCAACGCAAGTGATGAGCGAAGCCGAGACGTTGTCAAGGGCCGCATCAGGACGAGCTTGGGGACTGAGAGCGTCAAGACGGTCGAGTACAAGAAGCCGGGCCCGGGCAAGCAGGCCAAGATTGCCCGCCCTGTCTGCGTTGTCGTCGACGAAGTCGACGGCGTCGTTGGTGGCTCTGGCGGTTCTGGAGAAGGTGGCTTTGTCAAGGCCCTGATTGACCTGATCCTGACGGACCAAAGGAACAGTTCTGTCGCCGCCAGTTCCTCAAACGTTGGACGAAGAAAGAAGCGTGGGGACGATTTCCGGCAAATGAGACCCCTGATTCTAATTTGCAACGATGTGTACCATCCAGCCCTGCGTCCTCTCCGACACTCCGGCTTGGCGGAGATTGTTCATGTTGGGAAGCCTTCCATCGAAGCCGTTGTCACTCGGCTCAAGAGCGTCTTCGAGAAGGAGGGCATCCCCTGTGAAAAAGATGCCGCACGGAAGCTCTGCGAGGCTGCCTGGGGCATGACGAGCGGTATCGACGCCAAGAGAGGGGCTCAAAGCAATGCCGAGGGAGACTTGCGAGGAGTCATGGTTGTTGGCGAGTGGGTAGCTGGGCGACTGAAGGCTGCATCGACGACGTCGCCGCCGCAGCTCACCCGCCACTGGATCGAGCAGCATGTCGCCCATGATCTGGCACATGCTGGCGGCGGGGCAAGAGGATTGGGACGAGGGAGTACAAAGGAGATCGTCAATCGCGTTTTTCAAGAAGGAGCCGGGTTTCCCAAGCCAGCTGTCGCGACCACTAAGCCCAAGAACACCCTCCACGAGCAGCCCCAAGCTCAGCTCGGCTTCTCGGAACATCTGAAGAAGCATGCCACATCCCGGCTACGCGAGATGGTCGACACCAGCGGCGAGGTAGACCGGATTATGACCGAGATCTTTGCCGAATACCCAAACCACGAATTCAACGACGACTCCTACCTCACCAAACCCGACGCCGCGTACGAATGGATGTACTTCCACGACGCATGCTCCTCCCGGCTATTCTCCAGCCAGGATTGGGAGCTCGCCCCTTACCTCAGCCAGCCCGTCCTTGCCTGCCATCACCTATTCGCCTCTCCCGCCCGCCGATACATCCCCACGGGCTACGACAGGAAGTGGGGCGATGCCGCCGAGGAGGCCGCCGAGCAACCCCTGCCCTTCTCCGGGCCCCGCGCCGACTACGCGGCGTACGAGGCCCAGAAGGCCAACCGCGCCATCCTGCAGAGCATCCAGGGTGGGCTGCCGCCGTCCCTGACGCGCGCCTTCCGCAGCCCCGAACACGTCGCCACGGATTTCCTGCCGTACCTGGTCCGGCTGGTCTCGCCCGACGTCAAGCCGGTCGTGATCGGCGGCAGCGACAGGTTTGCCTCGGTGGCAAGCGTCCGGAGAGAGGGTGAGAAGGCCATGGTGAGGCGCGCGGCGCAGACCCTGGATGAGGTGGGCATCGCGCTCCACAAGGGGAAGATCGAGCCGGATGGCGATACGGGACCGGTGGCCATGGCCCAGTGGGTGTACCGGATGGAGCCGTAAGTCCCTTTACCCCGTTCCACATCATCCCCCCTCGCAAGACACCATAAATGCTGACCTTTTCTTCTTTTCCTTCACATCAGCGACATCGATGCACTCGCAACGTTCGAAACAGCGGGGGCGCACGTCCTATCAGTACAAGCCCCGACACGGTACGCCGTCCGCCAGGTCCTGGACCAGGAGCTGCAAAGGGCGGTCGCGTCACGCGAGAACGCCGCGCGGCAGGCTCGCTTCATGGGCGGCTCCGGCGCGGAGGGCCACGCGTTCGTCGACGGGCAGAACGGGGCCGGCTGGAACGCCGCGCGGGGACGGCAGGACAAGGCCGCCGGGGCCCCCGCCCTTCCCGTCCTCGGCGCGAAGAGGGACTTCTTCGGTCGGGTCATCGCTGATGCGCCGCGCCCGCTGGGGGAGGGGGCGCAGGAGGATGCAGGGGATAAGGGGCGCAAGGTGGATGAGGCGGAGGGGAGGAAGAAGGTCTGGGTTACCTTCCACGAAGGGTTGAATAACGCGGTCAGGAAACCGATATCCTTGGAGGAGTTCTTGACGGGGTTGTAGGTCTGTGGATTGGGGTCATGCTTGATCAGGTTATGCGGCTCTGGCGGCATTATTATTGATTTTGTGCATATGGCTTCCCTTGGCGTGCTCGCCTTGACGAGCTGGAAGTTCACGTGATATCCAACTATTCGATCCTTCCTTTTTGGGATGGCTGGGCTGCTAAACCCATGTTCTGATTGGCTGTACCTTTTTCTCTTGGCTTAGTCTTAGCTCCGGCTTGGCGCCGGCCCCATAGCTGTTCCATGGTGAGGCAGGAGACGGGAATATCCATCACGGCTAGCCCAACAGCTGGACAGTCTTCAAGAACATCGAAGAGGAGGAAAAACAAAACTAGTTCCTCGGCCGAAGAGGCCAAACCAAGTGGATATTTTGCCAATACTAGAACTAAACATAAGGTATTTCTAGGGAATTAAACAAATAACGACAACACAACGACACGGCGCAAGGCCGCAAACCCAGAATTTCCAAAAGCGACAACCCGTCTAAGACGCCCACGACAGGCCCCGCACGACGCCCTCGACGGCCGTCGCGACGTCGACGTGGAAGTACGGCCTGTTGACGCCGTACACGGGCACGAGCCTGCCCTCGTGGGTCCTCGCGCGGGCCGGCGTGACGACGGGGGAGATCTCCTCCTTGCCCGACTCGTCCGCGGCGGGGACGGCGGCGGCGGCCTTGGCCTCGACGCTGTGCGCCGCGCTGCCGGCGGATGCCCCCGCGACGGGCGCGACGGCCACGAGCGGCTCGGGCCGCGGATCCTTGCCGTCGCCGTCGGACCCGGCTTCCGAGTCGCCGCCGTCGCCGCCGCTGTTGTAGCCGAACCCCGAGGCGACGAGGGCGCGCCGCGTCCAGCGGTTGCCGATGCCGGCGAAGTGCCACTCGGCCCTGTTGGGCGCCGTGTAGCGGTCGAACTGGTTGCGCAGGTCGACCAGGGCCTGGGCGGCCGTGGTGTCGACGTGGTTGACGGCGGAGAAGTCGAAGATGATGGCACGGAGGAGCGGGCGTGCGGCGATCTCGTCCGAGTAGGCGGCTTGGCCGCGGCGCGGACCGGGGTCGTTCCAGGGGCGGTCCTGGGGGGGTGGAGTGTCAGTCAAGTCATTCAGAAGACAGGAAAGTGGGAAATTATGAATTGTTCGCTTACCCCGAGCTTGGCGAACTTGTCCAGTTCTGTTCGGCGCGTCTTGCTATAGATGTATTCGGTCAAGTAGTCCAGGTGGTAGGCCGAGTTGGCATAGTTGAAGCCGTCAGTGAACCGATAGACAAACACACCGGGGTACGGCTGCTGCACGTCGATATCCTTGTTCGAACCGTCCGTCCCGTCGAGGGCCACGAAGATTTCCCTGGGATTCCCCTCGCCGGTGACGGTACTGGTGGAACCGTGCGTGAGGGAGTCTCTGGGCGTGGTGAAGACCTTGACCTCACCAACGAACCTTCCCCTGCTCTTCGCCAGGCGGAAGAGTAGAACAGCCCCGGCCGCAGCCACGGTGAGGTAGATGCCGTTCTCGATGGTGGTGAAGACAGACAGCAAGACACCGCCAAAGTAGATTATGACCTCGACGGGTGACACTCTCCAGAACTGGTATACTTGCTTGGGGGGCGTGATCAGATCGCCGACCGCATGGATGATCAGTGCTGACAGAGAGGCCGATGGGATGTAGAAGAAGACAGATGTGAGGGCGTACAAGGCCAGGAGCACGAGGACAGCGGTGAAGACACCTGCCAGGGGCGTGCGCACACCGGCCTTGGACTTGATGGCCGTACGGGAGAAAGATCCGGTGGCGGGGTAGGCACCCAAGAAGGGGCCCAACAGGTTGGTGAAGCCGATCGCGACAAGCTCCTGCGAGGGATTGATGATGTAGTTGTTGACCCGGCCAAAGGACTTTGAGATGGCGATGTGCTCGATAATCAAGACGATGACAGTTGTTGGGATATCGCCGGCGATGGCGCCGAGGAGCTCTGTGTCGATCTTAGGAGCACCAGCGTGCCGGAATCCTATGTAATGCTTATCGTTAGGAGGACCCATTGCAGGCAAACCAAACTCGTGTGGAACGGCATCACTCACCACTCGGCACAGTGCCTAGAATCTTGAACTTGGCATCGGCAGCCTTATGGACGTGTCGATTGACAGCCCAGCTGATAATGATATAGATGATCATGATGAAGGCCATGCGCAATGTCGAGATGAAGAACCACAGTTTCTGATTCTTGGGATTCCTGCGACCCATGAAGTTGCAGAAAAAGCGGATGAAGTACAGAGCGAAAAGGGCGCTCAAGCCCATGGCGGCATCGAGCTTGGTGCGAGGAAGGCCCTTTAGGGTGTTGATGATGACCTTATACGTCGCCTCGCGAGTGTTGACGCCCTTGATGCCCATCAGGCCGGCGACCTGGCCAGAGCCGATGTTGAGGGCTGCGCCGGTCATGAAGGAGGCAATGGCGACCAAGGGAATGAACTCGACGATGAAGCCGAATCTGATCAATCCGATGAAGAGAAGGATCGCTCCGGATATGAGCGCAAGGCCTCGGGCAATTGTGTCGGCCTCCATTTCGGGGTGTTCTGCCTGGACTCGAAGAATGATCTTGCCCACGATGGTAGACATAACGGCCACGGTCTATTTTGACCAGTCAGCGCTGCCGCTTGCGGTTCCCGTTTGGGGGATGGGACTTACACCGATGGTGATGTCTTTTGACGTGGCAAAGGCCCAATACAAGAAGAAGCCGACGAACGACGTGTACAGGCCAAACTCGGGAGGGAGATTGGCAAGGAGGGCATACGCCATACCCTGAGGAACGACAACGAAGCCAACCGTGACACCTGTAGAAGGTCAGGAACACATTCTCTCTCCGTCCGGCAATGGTAATTGTGACAAGAGGCAAAGAGAGGGGGTAGGGGGGTGGGAGCATACCGGCAATGAAGTCACCCAACAGCCATGTGAGGTTGTAATGGGCAATCCAGCCCAAGAAGGGGAAGAGGCTGCGGATGTACCGACGTACGCCATCGGCAGTTGGCGCATGTTCGCGGAAGTAGTCCGCGGTTGTCGGCTCTACCTCAACGTAGGCGCCATCGTATTTGTCGGAGGTGACGACGCGCGGATTCTCGATGTCCTTGATGCCAAAGAGGCGATCTAGGGGACGTGTGGAAGACATGCTTTCAATTGTCGCGGCGATGCTTCCTGGTGTCGGATACAAGAACATCAGGTCAGGGCCAAGAGGCAGGCAGGGCTGGCTTTATATCTAGGGGCCCCCACATCGTAGATCAACATACACAGGACGGAGGGGACCGTGCCATGCAGCCTGTATTCTCGCCAAGATATATTGCAAGCTTGCTGGCTGCCTGTATATGCGGCTAGCTCCGCGGCAGAGAGTACCTAACCCCCAGCATCTAGCTCTAGAAGCCGCCACATAATGCTTCCAATGCCGCTCTTGGAAGAAGAGCGCGTGACTGTCCGGTTCTAGGCTCGATATTTGCGCATTGTCCCTACCGGAAGAGGTTTGGTTTCCCTTTGTTGGCTGTCTGCGGACTCGACCGCTTTCGCCTCGGCCAGGGCAGCTTGTTCCTCCCCAGCCATGTTGTTGGCTCCGTGGGCAAGTCATGACAAATGATAATGCGAGAAATCTGCGTTTGGGGGGTATGAGGAAATGGAGGAGGCGTTCTTTAGCGAGCCTTATTCCATACGAAGAGGTAGGATCGAGCGAAACCAGCATCCTGGTCATGGAGATCTCAAAGTGGGGGGAGGAAAGCGCGTGGTTAATTATGGGGTTTGTATGCACGCACATTCGGGGACACCGATATGAGCCCCCCGGAGACATCTGATAGACGGCTGAGCTATACGTTTGGGGAGCTATGTCCCGTTGCTGCACAACCCCAATTAAAAAGGAGCTTGTCTTTCCCAGAGCTGCCAAACGACGCGGTGATAGCAGGGGGGCTGACAAGGGTCGACGAAACATTGCGCTTGGCGCGGCCCGTGATTGGTGAGCTCCGCACTCGACTAGGACCCCTGGTCCGTAGCATGGATGGCTGAGGCGCCTCAAAAATGACGACATCCAAGGATGGGCTCGCGCAATGTCATCCACATATGAGGAGCTCGCAGATGGCGTCCATATCCAGGCATCCTCCCACGAATTTGGAGGGGGGGCAGCAGGGCCTAGATGTGCTCGAATTTTGGGGTTTCCAAGGATCCCCTTCGTCCTCGCTGTGTTCCTCCTCCCCTGGCTCTCCAGCCAAGACCATATGGCCTCCCAGTTGTTAATCGATTGGTGTCAAGCTTTCGCCGCTGTGGGCGCATTTAGGTCAACAAAAGGAAGATATATCACGACAGCCAGTTTGGTTGTGACGAGATTCGTGTGAACGAATGGCTGGTTCTTTTTTCTTTCTCCTTTTCTTCTGTTTTTCCTCGGCACGGCAGACAAACTCCGTGTGCTTGGTCGTGATTGGGGATAACCACACTGCCGGTAGCGAACAATCCTACAGCCCGAATGCAGAACCTTGCTTCCTCTCATCTCATGTGCCTCGATGATTCCCCACGATGCCTCATGTGGTCACAGTTACTTGGACCCCTGACTCATTACGCCGTGCAATATTGTAATTATACATTCATCATCATACCCGAGGGGCCTATCACCTGCAGAGAAGCATGAAAAGTCAATGCAGAAGCTGAGATATGCCTGCTCGACGCGTCCGCATCCGGGAACATGCGCATTAGTCTCGGCTACCCTATTACTCAAATATATTGGGACGGCAAGATCGTGGGGGGTCTCGGGGACTTCCCGGCTGACTGGGACAGGAGGAGGTAATTAAGGTAATTACCAGAACGAAGGATCGTCAAGGTTTGGCCAAGTTTGTGTACGCGACTTTTACACTAGGCCTTGTGGATCTATCCTAGTTCCACCCTCTCCCCACGGCGGTGACCAGGTTGTCAACCCACCGCAGCTGGGCAGGGTCTCCAGTTTCGCTGCAGATGTCAGACTATTCCAGAAACATCCCACCAAGCTTATGATCCTGCCGGTCGTACATACATGTCGCCATATTTTGGGTGTTCACACGTGCTTGTGGCGCTTCTTTTGCTGTCACTAGGTACCAACGTGATGTCTGATGAGATGACTGGCCATCTCTTTGATTATTTCGCATCCTCCACTATTCCCAGCGTTCCATTTGATCGCCTCTTCCACGCCTCCCACCCATCCTTCAATTACGAGACAATTCAAAGGGGGTGGTATCTTTGCGAGAAGCGGGGGTGCAAATGTTTGCCACAAGCATCATGCTTGCAGATCTGGCTAGTCACAAGTTTCGAAGATGAGGTCCCCGATCCCTGGTCCCCCGAGCCTCGTTGAATACCATGAGCCATGAGATTCACAATTAAGGTCACCAAATTAAGGAGACCGCTTAAGTTGAGTCAGTCAAGCAACCGGGGCTTCTTGCGACGTCTCTTTGGGAGTGATGGGTTCAGAAGAAGCTTGGTTTTATCCAACCGTAACACTTCAAGGTACGCATGCCCGGGAGGGACCGAAGGGCAGGACGCATCCGACAAAGTATGACGTCTGAGATCGGGCTCCACGTGCGTGGAAGCAATGTCAAGCTATGGCAAGCTATGGGTGTGGCAATATATCGATCACCTTCTGCATCCCATGGTGGCCAAAGAGGGTGGTCCAAATATGAATGCAACCCATGCAACCCTCGTAAAGGGTGCTGCATTTCTCCAGGGGTGCGGAAGCAAATACCTTGTTGAAAAGCTCTCGGGAAGGCCGTCCATACAACCCCACAACCCCACCCCTCTCTTGGGCTCTGCCTTGGAGACGGGCACACTTAGCTCGCGGGGGTTTGCTAAGAGTTAATTCTGGAGCTGTTTCTAGAAGCCGGCTGATCGGCATCCAAATGGGCTGTATCTTCTGCAGCCACGGATCCTCCCCCAAGCCTACCTAGTATTGAAATTAAAAATTCCCAGCTTCGGATTGGCTTTTATGTGAGCAAGCAGAATCCCAGGTTCCCATCTTCCAGATATTCTGCTGCAGTGTAAGTAGTTAAATGGGGAAAGGGGTGGTCCGTGCGCAATCCATGTAAAGGCGCCATTTCAAAAGCGCTTTGCTTTTACCTTCGACTCGCCTGTTAACTAATCATTCCAACTTATTGAGCCGCTCTCTCTCCAGTGATGTGTGGGCTTCCGTCTATTTCGTCTGCCTTGTTTGTTTCTTGATTGGGAATTTGGGGTGGGTTGCCAGCCAAACCCCACAGGTTCTAGCCGGGTGTGCTCTGGTAACTTCTCGACTCTGTCCCAAAGAAAAGACGACAAAAAAGCGGACAAAATCTAATTAAATTTGCACGCCACTGAAGAGGAGATATTCTGTAAATTGAAGCTATTGACAGCACTATTTTTCACTAGAAAAAATTTGGTGAGATGTAGAGCCCCAGTTGAACTTGGGCCAACCCCTTTTGTCCCTTTTCAGCACCAACTGTGAGGTTTGTTTGTAAAAGGGGGCTAGAAATGATGCTCCATATGGGAGAAAACAACACACAACAAGGCTTGCAGTCTGGCAGGCAGCTGATCAACGGTAAAAAGCTGGAAATAAAGTCGTGAATCGCATGAGGGAGGATGGATGAAGAGGATGAGATCGAGGGCTATATATGAAACTTTTTTAAGACTGACTGCAGAGCTCCCCAGCTCTTACGGAACTCTAATTTCTTTCCGGGACTTGTAATTCATTCTCCACAGCCTGATCCGAAGAACGTGTGGTCACGTATGAGCTGCAAAGAGGTGTATACAAGATTTGCGAGCCGGAATGCCTATTTACAAACTTCGTGGTATGTTAGGCCAGAGAGATTACAATTACAACACAAGAGCTAATGGACCCTCTTTGGTGAACGCGAAGTTCACCCATGCGCAAAGCAAAGATCGCGTTCTTGCGTGCGGGTAATCTCAACATATCAAATCATTAGACGACCTGCTAACACAGGATACGAAAGACGACGCAAATTTCCATGATAAACATCCAATGGTAGCAATAGCGGAATATCTCCAATCGAACGTCTATATCTCATATCGGAAGCGATTCCAGGGCTTGATATAGTTGGCAAATGCTGTGAATATCACGCTTTTGATGCAATTTCCCAGCCACTCGGATACAGCAAGATATGTCTATGAATACTAGACGAAGATGAAGGGCCCCCGGCGTCAACCCGACTTCGAACACTCAACGACATGGCCGCATCACATAAGGGTAGGGTCGCTACCCGCGCCAAACAGCCTCGATGACCACAATGAAGGTCAGCGGGTTGGCATTGACACGAACAATCTCGAACCGTTCGTCCGCAGCACGGAAGATGTCAGTCCAAGCATCGACAGGACGCTCTCTCGCATTGAAGAGCGCCATCATCCTAAGATCCGTCGCGGTGCCCATTTGCTGAATCGAGCGCGGCAGCGGCGGCCCATCTGCTTCGCCCTGCTTGCCGACGTAGTCGATGAAAAGGACGCGTGCGCCGGGCTTCATGGCCGGGACCAGACCCTGCAATATCTTGACGGCCTCACGGTCTGGCCAGTCGTGAAGGATCAACTTGATCAAGTAGATATCGGCCTGGACTGGTTGCGGCTCGAAGAAGTCATGTTCCATAAATGACACGCGAGATTTGAGTTCCGTGGGTACGTTGGCCTCAAACACGGGTTGGACCTTTGGCAAGTCCTGAACCGTGATGGTAAGGTCCGGGTACTGCTTTGCCAGCACGACGTCGTCGTGTCCGGCCGAGCCACCCACCTGGTTTGATGTCAGCTAATTAATTCCCAAGACGAATTTCAAAAAGGCGGCGAGCCCAGAACAGCAAGCGCCGAGGGGCACTCACGTCAACCACCGTTGCCTTCCCCGCCGCTTTCCAGTCGAGAGCCTCCGACACCACAGTTTCGAAATTGAAAATCTCCTTGATATAGCGCATAAACTCGACAAAGTTCTTCTGCCGCCACCCCTTCTCCTTCCCCTCGCCGTCGTTCTCGAGGAGATCCCACGAGTTGGCGTACTTGCCAAACGCGCCGCCGCCGTAAAACAGCGCAAAGGCCGTCTCGCCCATGTCCCGCGTCAGGGCGTCCTTCCCCCGGCTGTGCCGCCGCAGCGCCTCGTGAGCGACCGTCATGGGCGGGCCCGCGTCGTCCAGGAGCGTGGACACGAGGCCCCGCAGCCCCGAGGAGCGGGCCAGCGCCGCGGACCGGGACGTGTGCCGGACGACGCCCGATGACGGCTTGCCGGGCTCCGCCTCGGCGAAGATGCGGAGGGTCGTGGCGTGCTCCAGGACCCGCTGGACGACCTCCTCCGGCAGGGATGTGCGCTTCGCGATGTCGGCGTACGAGGCCGAGCCCTCTAGGGGCACGGCAGACCAGAAGTCGAAATGATTTAGGATGTTGAGGGCCGCGACGTCGGGCATGCACTGCGGAGGTTAGAGGATCCCAACTATGTCTTTACTCTCAGAGCATCGGAGAAAAGGACCCTTACAGTGTGGGCGTAGTTGAAGATGCTCTCACTCGGACCCTGTGTTAGATATGACAGATCCGCCAGAGTGTCAAGTAGCAGCTGCCGCGTCACGAAGATTTCCGGTGTCAAGTTGGTGTAGCTAGTGGGGCTGTCCGCGGCAAAGGTGGGCGCCGGGACGTTGTTCTCCTGGAGATAGCGGGTCAAGGTCTCTGAGAGCTCAGTAACCTTGGCCGCGAGGCTGTTCAGTGTGGGCTGAGAGTCTGCCATGGTTAGAAATACGGGAAATATTAATCTAAGGTGGAGAGTCGACAAGACAGAGGTTAACTTTGGATTCGAATACAAATTCTATGAGATCCACCACCTACTTATACGTACGCAGCCTCCGCTGTCGGACTTCGTGCGACCTGACGATCACTCAATGGAACCCAACTCCATGCTGGAAATCCTGGTAAACCGGGTCGCGATGGACGGTGTGATTCCAGAGAACGGCCTCACATTGATCAGATAAGATTATCTTAGAATCTGATACGACTTGAATCAGTTCTCCCCCCACTTGGCCAAGCCGCTAGAGCGCCGCCGATCTTACCCTGCCGGCTCTTGGAAGAACCTGAATTGAGTCTGCACCAACCCGGTATCACCAATTCGGCTTCCCCCGACTGTCAAGTCACGCGGCTTTTTGAGAAAGCTAGCTTCTGTGGAATGCGAATCCAGGCAATCCCTGCTTCTCTCGTCCGGACCGGGAAAACGACAGCGGACTCAATTGCTACCCAGCCATATCCGAGATAGTTGGTGTGGGTTGTCAGACGTGGGTGGTGGGGTTGGCCCTCTTTTCACCAGACGATCGTCAAGATCTTTCAATGTGGGTGCAAGGGGTTGCTGGCCAGACGTGGGGCTGCTTACGGCCCGGCTGCGGGACGGCCTACAGGGATGATTGGGGGAGCAGCTCGGTAGGCGCGGTACTGAATTGTTATGCAGCCGTTGTAGTAGTCTCTCGGGGCTCTCCTGCCTATCTGGGGCGCAGGCCGTTATACGGCAGTCAAGAGGCAAGTTCTGGGTTTTAGAATCGGTACTTGGCCGCACTTTTCTAGTTCCAATTACGTACACAAAGACGAGAAACACCCACCAGTTACCCCACCAGAATCAAGTACCTGCCTTAGTCTGACTAGAGTAGATTTTCAACGTGCCATTCTATGCTACATTACGGGAACGGAAGGGAGATAGACTTGTGGAGACGTTTAACCGTTGCCAAGACCTCATCTAGTTATATAACAGAAATGCCCCTCAAATCCCCCCCCCCCCCCAAGCTTCCGCTGTTCCCCCAGACAGGCACCGCTATCAGTAGGCAGTTAACGTTTCATAGGAGCAAAAACTAGAAAGACTATTTATCGAAGATTTGTTGTTTCCTAGTATCAATCTGTTCTATTATTCCCTTCAGCGTCATCCCCAACAGATGTATGGACCTTCAGTGTTCTAGCGTCCTTGGAGTTGGAAAGACAGTTAAGGCTGCTTGGTGAGAAACGTAAACCCGCCAAACTCTCCACCTACTAGTATCCCTCATTCTAGTCTCCATTTCTGGTATTCGAGCGACAATGTTTTCAGGTTTTCCTTTCCCATAGCAGCATCAGAATGAACGAGTAGAAAACACCCAATGTAATATGACTCAAGTCCACTAGGGTTACAGGTTGTTTTGGACCACATGTCGAGTACTGACGTGAGATCTCAATGCGCAATACGGCTCTTGGGCGTCTGTTTTATCACATTGTCCGCTGCCCTCTGATAACAGACTTCCCCTTCATTATTCCGCAGGGTCCCATTTATCTGGCATCAATATTACTGACGGAGCACTTCACCTCCCCTGAGCCTGACAGTGTGATGTTGGAATTTCCGCCTGTCTATCTCATAAAATATACTGCTGCGTTTGAAATACGTATCACAAAATAGCTGCATTTCCAAGCCAGGTCACAAGAGGGAGTCGAGGCGCTCAGGGCAGACCTGTGGGCTAGAGTGACCCATTGCCCCTACTCTTGGGGGAGTGAGCGTATATACATTAACTAAACTAGGTAGACTTCTGACTCAATTAGAATACCCGTCAAACTATATGTTGAGATACTTACAGCTGAAAGAGGCTACTAGTCGTTGTGTCCTTATCGCGAAGGAGCTAGTTAAATAAGGTGTTCGATACGTAGATGGACCGCAAATTTACTGCCGTTTTCGGCCGCCTTCTGCGACATCGGATGCAACCCCACCTCAGAATTTTCAACGATGACGGCAGCTTCAACAACCCAATACACAAACCCCTCCGAGTGAAGTTGCATCTACCACGGAGTCAACCCCCTCGTCATTGATCTCAGACGGACAATATTGGAGTCATCATCACAAATCTGCGAAATACACAGACAATGGCGCCCCACAAGTAAGGCACAACCTGTCCTGCATCGAGAACACACTCATACTCACCATGTACTCTCGTAGGGTGTTGATGCTCGGCGCTGGCTTCGTCACGAGACCGACCCTCGATATTCTCTCTGAATCGGGCATCTCCGTGACTGTTGGTATGGATTTCCCTCGGCCGAACGATGCTTCACGATTGGCCCACTGACGCTTCTGACGCTTCTGCAGCTTGCAGGACTCTTGAATCCGCCAAATCTCTCTCGGCCGGTGTCAAGAACGCCACCCCCATCTCGCTCGATGTTACCAACGACCAGGCCTTGGACGCCGAGCTCGCGAAGCACGACCTTGTCATCAGCTTGATCCCCTACACCTTCCACGCCGCCGTCATCAAATCTGCCATCCGACAAAAGAAGCATGTCGTCACCACAAGCTACGTTTCGCCGGCTATGATGGAGCTCGACCAACAGTGCAAGGATGCCGGCATCACCGTTATGAATGAGATCGGTTTGGGTGGGTGCCTTTCTCCAAGCTTGTTCCTCATATCCACTGCGAACTAACTGACTTTCCTACAGATCCGGGAATTGATCATCTATGTAAGAATCCACGCAGGATATGAACCGAGCGTGCGATACTGATCCTTTCAGACGCTGTCAAGGCCATCGAAGAAGTCCACAGAGAAGGAGGCCGCGTCACCTCCTTCTTAAGCTATTGCGGCGGTTTGACAGCGCCAGAGAACTCTGGAAACCCGTTGGGATACAAATTCTCATGGTAAGAACCCTTCCCGTTATTTATTGAAAAATGATTTGGCGCCATTGCGTTGTATTAGTTGCAACTTCCACCCATTTCAACACCCAGAACCCAGTCGCGGGTGCCTCGACAGTCTTTGAAATCATGATGCTAACACAGCAGGGCTCAAGGTCACCCCGCGGTGTTTTACTTGCGTTGCGAAATCCTGCCAGCTTTTATCAAGATGGCAAGGTTGTCAACGTAGCAGGCCCAGGTAAGAAACTTCATACCGGAACATCATGAGCGGAGGCAATGGGTCGACACTTTCCGGGAGGGGAGAACGCTAACATACCACGATCAAAGATCTAATGGCTACTGCTAAGCCATACCACATCTACCCAGGTAGGCAACCCCATACCCACAATGTGTCCGAAGACGTGGCCTCGCACCGGAGACCATGTTTCAACGCACGAACCTTTCTGTGATCTATAATACTAATACCCGAGGGTTAAAGGATTTGCTCTTGTTGCATATCCAAACAGAGATTCCACCGGATATAAGGAGCGCTACAACATCCCTGAGGCGCAGACCATCATCAGGTACACTTTTCAGATTAGATGCTTAGTGGCTACACAGTTACTAACATGTATCCAGAGGTACTCTGCGATACGCAGGTTTCCCAGAATTTGTCAAGGTTCTTGTCGATATAGGCTTCCTCAAAGACGAGGAACAAAGCTGTTGCAAGGAACCAATCCCTTGGAAGGAGGCCACGCAGCAGATCCTTGCTGCTCCATCATCAGATGAAAAGGACCTCATCGCTGCTATCTCCGCCAAGACCACTTTCAAGGACAACGAGCAACGAGAGCATATCTTGGCCGGCCTGAGATGGCTTGGAATATTTTCGTCAGAGAAAGTAAGTATTCATGTTTTCCGTTCCTGTTCGCTCGAGGTGCTGGCTGTGGCAGCCAGGTGGAAGTGTACATTCGGCGCGACCTTTTATCAGAAGATTTCACTAACACCGAGGGGCAAAAGATTTCCCCAGGAGGAAACCCGCTGGATACCATTTGCGCCACTCTCGAAAAGAAGATGCAATATGCCGAGGGAGAACGAGATCTTGTGATGTAAGTGGACAATCCCCAACACTGACATGATTGGAGTGTCAAGCCACCGTCCTGGGTGTAACACTCCAAAGCATGTAAATGTAGCATTTCTGGAAATGTAATGCTAACACTGCGAAGTCTGCAGCATAAGTTCGGGGTTGAGTTGAAGGATGGTACCAAGCAGACCAGACTTTCAACTCTTTGCGACTACGGTAGCACCGAACCAGGTGGTTACTCAGCAATGGCTAAACTTGGTGAGCATCCGCACTCGAATGGATAGTTGTTTGCATTGATTAATTGGACTCAGTTGGCATTCCATGCGCGGTTGCCGTCAAGCAAGTCTTGGATGGAACCCTCGCTGAGAGAGGTGTTCTCGCTCCGATGAGCAGCAAGATCAATGATCCTCTGATTGAGGAGCTCAAGGTAAGTAAAGCCACCCAAGCAAGCGTTCAACATGCTAATTTGTATTTCGTTTAGAAATACGGCATTTCATGCAAGGAGGAGATCGTCGCATAGAGCAGTAGGAAACAGGCAATCACTAAGTAGAGCAGTAGAAACAGACTGAATTGAAAAAGCTAAATCACACGCTATCTTCACCATCTCTTCAGTTTTGCCAGCGCGAATTTTGTTATTCATTGTTCACCAATGGCATTGCTACCTTATGCTAGACCTACACATTAAAAGACAAAGAATGCCTTGCTCTTTGATGGGTGGGACCCGGTAGGGTCCCAGGATAGTTGATAAGACGGTGTTATAAGAAGCGGAATGAATGCTTATTTAACGACCAATATTGATTTACCTGACTTTTTATCTCTCTGCCTCTCTCTTCCTTCCATTTTAATCGCTACCCTCATCGCTATCCTCAACGCTATCCTCAACGCTATCCTCATCGCTATTCTCATCGCTATCCTCATCGTCCGTCTCTTCACTATCTACATTAAGCCCGTCAATAGCCAGCCATTGATCTAGCGTCAACTTTGAAAGATTATCGAAGGAAAGCGTTGGTAGGTTTTCAAGCCCAGATAAAAGGCCGTCGGGCAGATTGCGATCCTGTGCTGGCTTACTTAGCTGAGCTATCAGGAGCATAATTTCAGCCAGTTGGATCGAGTCGACTGCCGCAGTATGGTTCTGGTCAACAAGGGGGGCTTTGCGGGTCCAGAATCCTGTAGAGTAATTGTTGACTCCACGTGGAAAGCTGGAAAACTTGACTGAGAACCTCCTTCAGAGCTATCTGTACGCAATAGGCCCGGCGAACAGGTAAAAGCGCCTCACTATTAAAGCCACCTGCTCGTAAGACGCTTTTGGCATACCCAAGGTCTAGGTCCGCATGCTTGCGATTGCTGTTCTCGACGAAGATATCGGTCGTCTGAACTTTTATAACCTCGATCTGTTTAGCAAGGTCGGAAACCGTGTATACCGTTGACACACTGTCTTTCGATAACCGGCCGGCTAAACGTGCAGCTGCCAATGAAGCCTGCCTACGGGGTTGGCCACGCTTGGTGTAGACTTCCTTCGGGGAGATGTAATCGGCAACAAGACGCCGTGATTTGATATCGGAAATGGCCACCTCTGTTACCCAGACGATGGTCCGTGTGCGAGCAAACTCGGTATCTATCGAGTAGAGATTCGGTGCCTGGGAAGAGTAGTCGAGGATGGTTTCGATAACGAGGTTGAGGTTAAGTGGCATTCGAAAGACGTTGTGCTTGAAGTGTTCCAGATATTTCGGTACTTTTGCAATGAATGCTGATGGTAAGTCCGGAACTGAACCGTGGTCTGCCGTTCCGGTTGGCATAGATGTACGATAGGTAGTGGCTGTCACAATACTTTCCGACGCCCTGCCACCTGGGTTGATCGCAGCTCCGTACCTCACAGTGTGGCCCATCTCGTTGAGGGATGCAACGATTTTCACACAGGATACTGAGCTCGCAGTGTAAACAGCGGCTCATTAAGTAGACGTAACCATAGAGAAAGTCCGCCGATTTCGGTGCTGAAACAAAGGGCTGAAGTCGTGAAGTTTCGAGATTTGAGGTCCTCTTCAAGGGACACGGTTCTCCGTCCTTTCTCATTCGCGCATTGCCCAGACCGACGCAATCATCTCCTGTATAAAACGAGCTAGAGCAGAGCCAATAATTAGGATTCTGAGCTATTCAAAAGATTAGTATCATGAAAATAGGGACTTCGAAAGGCTACTAACCGATGCAATCCTGATTGAAATCTCGGAGTCTCGTTGGAGCTGGCCACTTGAACTGTGGGATCCCCACTGGTCCCGATATGCTGCCAGATGACTCGGTGATCGCCGTGTTGCTCTGTTTGTCCAAGTGTGCGAGCATTTCAGTGAGTCTGTGGTGGTTGCGTGGAATCTCAATTCCTGGAGAGGGTGCGAGAAGAAGAAGATCGCAATCGGTTGAGGAACTTGGCATCTGTCAAAACGGGGCCGAGCTCATTTTGCAGGATGCGCAAGATGATGGGCCCTTCTCGCCCCACGAAGTGCCGAAAGACGAAGCGGGAGGTGGTGATCAAGTTGCTAAGGGTGCGCACCGAGTCCAAATGGGACAAAATATTTTCGAAGAGCTCTGGCGCGAGCGCGCTGAGATAGCAAGGTTTTTCTTCGTCGGGCATCTGAGGATGTCTTTCTAGGGTCATTTTGGCCCAAGATTGTGCTCCTGCACTTCGTCTGTTGGTGGGAAAGGTGGCCAGATTCTGCTCTGTTGATGTTGTGAGCAGGAGTATTTATGCGTCCGATTGGTGCTTACGCGCCGCACGGAAACTTCTTGGCTGCGCCTTAATTAGTTAGCACTGCATACCGACTTTATACCTACTGCACAGGTTAAAGCAGCAGCACCGGCTTACTCGCGAAGTTCTTAATGCCTCATGGGACCAATACACCTTCACACCTTGCTACAGATACGTTTGCAAGTCTTGGGGCCAATTAACCTGAATATCTCACCAACAAAATAAGAAATAGAATAAGGAGAGAAACACAGAAAGGAAATAAAAAAAGGGTTAGGGTGAGCTCTCTACCTACAGATCCACTGGACGCATGACTCTGTCCGTCTCAGGTTTCCCGCGAAACTGCCGCTTTGTAGCCCTCCTTCTCGACAACTTCAACGTCCGGCACATCAGAATGCTTGACGCCGTCCATGACGGCATCGATCTCCTCCAGGGTCAGGCCCTTGATCTCGACCCAGTACCACCAGACGAAGGCGAGGACCAGCACGTCCCACGTGCCGTTGATCATGTACGTCTTCCAGCCGATGTCCTCGAGGGAGAACGGGAAGGCGAAGACCCCCCATAGCGCCGTGGCATTGAGCACAAAGTTGAAAAACCCCATCCCCGTGGCCCGGATGCGGTAGTTGAGCACCTCGGCGGGGACCAGGTACAGTAGCGGCGTCCACCCGAAGCTGTACGCGCCCATGAAGATGAAGATCATGGCCACGGTCCCGTAGATCCCCGGGTTGTAGTTCGAGCTGCCGTAGATGCGGGTCAGGGCGCCCAGCAGGAAGATGGCGACGATCATGACGCCCGTGCTGACGAGCGCGGTGGCCTTGATGCCCAACTTGTCCGTGTAGAGGGTGCCGAATATTGACACGACGAGACACCAGGCATTTAGGATGATATTCTAGTAATATTTAGCACGAAATAGCAGATATAGAAGCCCTTGCCAGACATGGGTCTATCGGAGGAAGTAGACGCTCACGATTTGCAGTTGGGTGGTGACGTCCTTGATGCCAGCATTGTCAAGCATGGGCCCGAGATAGTAGCTAGCAATGATGTTCCCCGCAAGAGTCGAGAAGAAGGCGCACGTAGCCGAGATAACCAGTCTCTTCCTGGCCCCCCTGTTCCGCAGGATCTGCTTCAGCGACAGCTGCGCCTCGTCGTTCTTCTCGTACTCGAGCGTGTCGCAGATCTCCCTGAACTGCAGGAGCACCACCTCGTCGCTCTCGTCCCCCCCGGCGTTGGTCCGTGCTAGCACGCTGAGCGCCTCCTCCCGCCTGCCCCGACTGACCAGCCAGCGCGGTGACTCGGGAATGAAGGGAATGATGGCGATGCAGGCCAGGGAAAAGACCCCCTGGACCAGGCTGGGCAGGCGCCACGACCAATCGCCGTCGATCCCCGCCGTGCCGTAGGTGATCCCCGCCGCCACGAGCCCGCCCACGTAGTAGAAGTCGTTGAAGATTCCCAAGCCCCACGCCCGCCGCCGCCAGGGCAAGGTCTCGGCCAGGTATGCGGGGCCCGTGATGCCCGAGGCCGTGGTGCCGAAGCCGATGAGCACGCGCGCGAAGATGAACATGCCCACGTTCTGCGCGGCGGTCTGCAGCGCCACCGCGATGATGGTCAGCACCGCGGCCCAGAAGAGGGACGGCCGGCGGCCGATGGCGTCGGTCAGGGAGCCCCAGACGAAGCCGGCGATGCAGCCGCCCAGGTAGAGCGTGGCCGTGTTGAGGGCGGTCGTGGTGGTGTTGAGGTGGAAGTAGTCATTGTAGGACGGCAAGATATTCAGGCCATTTCTATGTAATTTTTGGGGGCTGCTGTTAGCCTACCTCCTCGTCGAATTTCGCAGAAATTTAACCAACTCATCTTATCACTGGCTCAACCTACATCATGGAGGCATCGTATCCGAACGTCTACGTCGTTGTCAGTTCCGCCAGCAGCTCTCCAGGCAAATGACTACGTAGTATACAAACTCACCGTCGAGGTGATCATGGAACATCCGATGAGGAGCACAGTGATGACGTTGGTAGACTCGGGCACCCACAGAGGGGCCCCGAAGGGAAGGATGTCGCCTTTTCTCATGATGATAATCCTAATAGACACAGCAATATGCACAGAGAATGGTAGGTTTGTTTGTTAATGCTTGGCTCGTCTCCTCCATGCAACGGCACGTCGTGATATGGAAGGGATCGTCCTTCTTGCTGAGATACGGAGGGATTCCCCCTCTCTGCCTGGCCGCGCATGACTGTCCGTAGGACGGGGTCGAATGAACACGTGCAGGGAGCCTGATAAGGAAGTTCGGCAAGTGGCTGAGATACCTAACGGTCACCTCGGGGCGGGGAAAAACATATTTATATAGGCATGGGTAAAGACAATATACCGTTGATGCATAAAACGATTAGAGGTCGGCAATCACAGCCGATAGGGGCGATGCTTTTACTTTCATACCACCCCCAAATCGATCACTCCAGTCCAGAACACACCGATGACGGTTTACTTCCATGTTCTTGCTCCATCACTTTACATCTGTGGTTGCCTTCCGGAGACAGAGTTCAGATAGCGATGGGGAATCGCTTCCTTCTGGACACAGTTCTATCTGTCTCAGCCCAGCACCTGGCACTGACAGGGGCTCAACCTGGCCAATCTGCATTGCCGTCGACTGTCAAACATTTCAACTTTGCCCAAGTTCACAGCTTTTACCTAGACCGCGCGATACGTGGCCAAGGGGAAGCGATATCATCCCAAGTCACCGCGGAGAACAGCCCGGCGGTTTTCTTTACTTTGTTGATGCTGTCCATCTCCAGCATTCGGGCCCCGCACGTAATCACGGCGAATGGCGACATGCCCGACAAGGGCAGCTACCCTCTACCCACCTCGTGGCTCTCCATATCCAACGCTGTCGCAGCAGTCTGCTCTTCTGCCGACTCATGTATTGACACTCATATTTCCGTTCGTCCTAGGAGCAGTCTAGACTGTGACACGCTGCTTTCCGCTGTAATGTTATGTACTGTTTCTTTTTCTTAGAAAACACCTTAAGCTAGGTAGGTACCTTATCAATTTGGCAGAGGTCCAATGTTAGCAGTTGGAGTATTTAGCTAGGGAAGGAATTTGCCCTTGATTATTCGCAAGAAAGAAAAGGTAATTAGTGGGTGGCACCTGCCATTAGCTAGCCTCCCTTTCCAAATCGAACCAACTCTATAATGTAATGACGCAGCAGGACGCTGCAAGCTAGAGACTGCACCCGCTACAGGAAGGAGCAAACTGGAGCAGCTGTATGCAACTAAGACCTGCTATAAATTAGGTAGGCACCACCACCCACACAAATCAGGGATGCACTTGCCGCAAGTGAAGGGAGCACCCGCCACAATCTTAGACTGCACCCGCCACAATCTTAGCCTGCACCCGCCACCCTTCAGGGGCGCACCTGCCACAAAACAAGGGAGCACCCGCCAGCACTAAAGGGAGCACCCGCCACAGCTAAGGGGAGCACCCGCCACAAATGAAGACTGCACAAAAGACAGGGGCAGACCAAGACAACAATGTGGAATCCCATGATGCATTGATGCTATTAATGCTAGTATGTGGCAGCCATACCTATCTTTCCGGGACCGGATGCAATATTATGTCCCGCCAGATCTCCGGGCTCCCGAATCGCGCAAACCCCAACCATAGGCCATCCTAGGCATCCTCCTCCGAAATCTCGCTCTCCACGCTCTCTTCTCTCTGCTCGACCGGCTCGCCCAAGACGTCCTCGGCGTCATAGTCGGAACCATGTTGGGAACCGTCTAGAGAGTCCTCGAAGGCGTCCTGAAAATCAAGCTGCTGACCATCCCAGATGTCCCCATTGTCCAGCTCATAGAGCTCACCAGTGTTTTGCTCGTAGAGCTCCCCAGCATCGTCCTCAACATGATCCCCAGCGACCTCCTCCCAGAGGTCCCCATTGACATCCTCCAAGAGGCCCGCATTGTCCTTGCGGGGGGCCCCACTGTCCTCCTCGTCGAGGTCCCCAATGTCCCCCCCAGCATCGTCCTCCTCCCCGCTCCCTACCTCCTCGCCGTGATCGTAGTCGTCATCCTCCCCGAGGTCTTCCCCGAGCTCATTCTCCATGGTGTGCCCAAACAGGCGCATAATCTCCTCCAGCTTCAGGGGCGGCTTATGCGCCTCGTCCTCCCGGAGCGTGGCCGCGATGGCCTTGTCCTTCTCGGCCTGCATGTCGGCGAGGCGCTCGTCGATCGTGTTCTTGGTCAGCATCTTGACGAAGTACGTGGGCTTCTTCTGCCCTATGCGGTGGACCCTCCCAAAGGCCTGGCGCTCGGCCGCGCTGTTCCACCACTGGTCGACCAGGATGACCCGGTTGGCGCACGTCAGGTTCAGGGCCACGCCACCGGCCTTCACCGATGCGATCTGTGTGTGGGGTGGGGGTTGAGGTTAGGAGGCCGTTTCGGAGAATTGGTGCAATGAGGGGTTTCATCGACTTACCATGACCCCGAATTCCTCCTGCGAGTGAAATGCTGTCACGGCCTTGTTGCGTGCCTCGAGAGTAGAACCGCCGAAGTAGTAAAGGAATTTGATGTTCTCCTCACTCAGCATCCGGCCGAGGATGCAGGCCACCTCCTTCCATTGAACAAAGACTATTCACAATCAGACCTAATGCTCTTGTACATCAACCACTAGAATCACAGTGGACAACTTACTGATGATCTTGTCCTTTGGGGCTTCCGCTTGCCATCTGAGAATTTGGCTCTTCACCGCGGTGGTCTTGGCGCTGGGAACAACAGCCTCCTTCGGCCATTTCTTGTCGCAGTCCTCAAGCCACTTCGATTTTCCCTTCGATCGCGGCTGGAACAGATGCTCGTCGTCTCCCAGCTTTCGCTCCCTCTTAGCCCTTTTCTCCTTCTTTTTGCCGGAAGATGGGCCAGGCACAGCAGGTTCGGGCTCGGGCTCGGGCTCGGGCTCGGGCTCGTCAACGGAGATCTGCTGCTGAGGCATATCAGGGGCTTCGACAAGGTCGGGCAGGGGTTCGGGGTTTTCCAATAGGGCTGGCTGGCCGTCGATGATGCATCCGCAAGTTGGGCAGTCGAATGTCGCCACGCGGGTTAACCCGTTCTGTCGGGCGCTCTCTCCGCGGGCTCGAATACACTCCCGGCAGAATACATGCCCACACTGTGGTTATTAGCATAGGCCCTTTCTGCATTGTAGTCCTGGGTGAGCTTAGAGGTTATTAATTAGCATCACATACCTCCGTTATCGATGCCTGCTGCGGGATTTCATAGCACAGTCGGCATAGGAGGTCCGCCGTGGTCTTGGACCTCTCTGCGTCCTCCAGCTGGGAGTTCATGTCGAACTCTTGGCCAAATCTCCCTTCGCCAAACTCTCCAGAGTCGTCGCGAGACTCAAATTCCGTATCCACCCATCGCCCAATCTGCTGATGAAGGGGTGTCTTGCCACCATGCTTCTTGAGCTGGTTCCTCAGCCACCGGAAGTCCTCGAGGGTGAAGTTTTCGGATAGGGCTCCTTCTAGGAGGAAAGGGTGGGCAATGGCTTGTCGAAGTCTCGTGAGATAAGCAAAGTATGTGCGGATCCTGGACTTTGCAGTCCCGGCTTTGATGTGCGACTTGATGTTGTCCGAGAAGCGGCTCTCGAGACGTCTTCTGGTGATCAGTATTGTGGAGTGCGAAGAGAAGGAAGGGGTAGGAGGCAATTATAAGTGGAAGCAAAGAGGGGGGGCAAAGGGGCTGGCTCCTCGGACTGTACACACCTATAGATCAATCTCTCTTCTACCGAGAGGTCAACCCAGACATTCTCGACAGAATGTGTCTTAGGAATCTCCAGAATCGGCCGTCCCATGAACTCGTCATTCACTCGCCTAGCATAGAAAAGTCAGGAGACATATCCATATGCTTCTGACTGAATCTAATCAGGCAGCACTTACCTCCGAAGCATTATGCTGGGCACGACTGCTGAGAGTCTCTCGAGAACGGTATCCTGTGGACTTGTTAGAAAGAGGCCGGAACGATTGGGCAAGAGGAGAGGGGTCGCCTACATCGTCTATATCGCCAAACTTCCTCTTGAACTCGTCGTAATCCCCTGCCCAATGTGCCCCAATGAACTTCATATATGGATATAGCTCTGCAAACTGTTAGATTCATATGTCACCCCCACAAATTTGTCATAACTCACCATCCACAGAATTGATAAGCGGAGTTCCCGTCACTGCCCAGCGGTATCTCGCACTGAGCTGCATGCAGGCTTTGGATGCTATGGGATTGTTAGCTGGGGAGGCATGATAAGGGAATGGAATCAATATATCCTTACTCCGAGTCAACTGGTTCTTGATGGCATGGGCTTCATCAAGGACCACCCTGAAGAATTCCGTCGAGAACAGTTCGCCAAGTGCGTGGTCGAATGCCTCAGTCCATTCCTCATCGTTAAGCTTCATGCCGGCAATTCTCTTCAATGTCTCATCCGAAGGGAATGCTGCTGCAACTTCATTGTAGCTGGTGATCCTGCGCAGAAACATTGTCAGTGAGGAACAGAGGGACAAAAAGTAATCAGCAAGGAACAGTCAGCAGTTGTTGAACTTACATGATGTCAGTATCCAGCCAAATAGACTTGTCCACACCCTTGGATGCCCTGTAATGCAAGATCTTTTTGGCCCATGAGCAGTGACGCCCAGCCTCGCTCATCCACTGGGCAATGGCAGATGCAGGAGCCACAATAAGAGTAGTCCTGCGGCCGGCCTTGATATCTTCGGGTGTTGGAAGGTTGGCCGACATTGTGGCCAGAACCTCAATGGTCTTTCCAAGGCCCATCTCGTCCGCCAAGATGCCTCCAAATGGACCATCCCGTGAGAATTCCTGGCCCAGCATCCATCTAACTCCCACCAGCTGGTGGTTGTAGAGGGCGGTCTTCATCCCAGCCAGGAGCCATTTCCCATCTTGTGCCGTGCACATGCCTGCACCAAATGACTTTGTAGCCTCTTCCAAGATCCTCTTGTCGACATTCGTGTCTCGCTTGTTAGGGTTGCTGGCAATGGTGACCAGCATCTGCTGCCACTGTTGGCCCTTGGTCTTGGCCTGGAGGGCACCTGGCATGGGGACTTCACCAAGAGCTGCTCTGGCCGTGAGAGGGTCACCGTCTCGAAGCATGCGCATGAGCTTGGCCTCCTCTGCCGTAGTTGAGGTGCCCTTTTTCTGCTTCTTCTTGTTGTTCCAGTAGTTGGGCCTCTTTGCTGCACGAGCTTTGGCAGGCCCATCAGCTGGTACAGGCCTCTTCCCATTGTTGTTCAGAGGCTCATTGTCTTGGGCTCCAAGCTCTGCATACTGCTGCTCCCAGTATTCTCTGGCCGATGAGACATACCCAGGGTGTTTCCCACTTGCTTCGGGTTCCCTTTCGTGTCTTGGCTGGTCCACTTCAGAAAGAGCTGTTCCCGGAGTCATGGATGCTTCACCATGTTCGTCGTGACTTTCGATATCTTCGATGTCTCCCATCTCTTCATCGCTGCTATCGATGTCAGCCAACCCAAGGTCCTCCATGATGACCTCAATCTCGGCCGTCCAACGGGCGCGCTTGTACACCTCCTGTTTGGATAGCTCCGTTGTCTTCCCTTTCCTTTCCAGTCGCCTGCGTCTGGCCATGAGATTCTGCAGCCTCTCAAGATCAGCTTGTCGAGCCCTGTCTTGCGCAGCAGGTTGCTCACTGCTCGGTAGATCTGGCACCACAGCCACAGACCCAGCATCAAGGTCAATGGCGTCTAGATCCGCCACAAGGCCTGAGCTGTGAGCTGGCTGGGCAGCGGTGGGAACAGCAGAGACAGTGGTCCTAGAGGCAGGGACTGCAATCGAAGCGGCGGTGGCGTGTCTGACAAAGTTGGGGTCCTTTACTTCATGCTTGACTTCTGGAGGTACAACTGCGTCGTATCCAGAGAGGTGGACGATTTTCGCTACTCTTACTCGTCTGGCCTCAGTTTCAGCATCTGTCTCCCCTGTGAGATCTATGCATGTCTCCTGCTTGACAAAGAGTCCCTCCTCTTCATTGTCGCCAAAGAGGTCGTCGCCAAAAAGGTCATCGTGGTTGGCGTTGGAGCCTGTATGGCTAGGAGGATAATTGTGGTTGTCTTCGTCTTCGCTATCGTCAACCACTATGATAGTGCGCTGGCTATTGTCTGTCTGGGGGTGATCAAGCTCAGGTCTGTTAATGTTCGATGTTTCGTCCCAATGGCCTTGTTCCTGGATATGGGGTGACTATGATTCAATGGCGTCAGCTTCTTTCCACCCAGGCCTATTTCTCCATACTATCGCTGTGAGAATACTGATAACTAGACTCACATGATGGTCGTGCTGCATGTGTTCGTTTTGATCGTAGGAGTAGGTATTCACGTGAACCTCACCCTGGGGCCAAGAACCCACCTCCTCAGATTCCCAATATCCCTGGTCGAAATTGTTATCTGACGACATGATGAAAATGTCAAAATACCATGGGATAAATGTCTCTAAGGTCCGGTAAAGCTGAGATAGCGTTTGCGGTTGGCAAACGGCATGGGTTATTGTGAGCTCTTTGATATTTGCTTGAGAGTGGCGTTAGTAGGGTGAAGTCAAAGGCGAATAAATGTAAAGATCAAGATTGTAAATTGTGTATGAGGGATATCCATTGAGGCGGGGTGGGAATTTGAAGATGGAGCCCTTGTTAGATGTATAGCAGAAGCTGACGAAGTGGATGGGAGATCAAATATCAAGGTTGGGTCGGATGTATGGCAGAGGCCGACAACTGGGAATGGGAAGGCAAAAGTCGATGGTTATATCAGATGTATGATAGAAGCCCACGACTGGCGTATGCGAATGCAAATATAAGATGCAGGTTGTGTTGGGTGTCGGGAGAAGCTACCAACTGGAGACTAGAAATGAAAAGATCGACATGTTTGGGCAGAACAGGGAGAAACCCACGAATGGGGAATGCAATGTAAATATCGAGATGCTGCCAGTTATACCAGAGGAGCTTACGATTAGGGAGTCCGACCCAGTGCAGAGGGTGTTATAAAATTGTAGGAGGATTCTGGAGGTGGAAAGAGGGAGCAGGTTGGAAATATTGGTTATGGTAAAGAACCTGACGACGAAGTTCGTAATAAAGGCGGTGGAGGAGGCCGACGAGGCCGATCGGGAAGGAGGTAGGGAGAGAAGGAGCGAGAGAAAATGGGGGTGAAGGTCGGGATGGTGGTCTCGGTGAAGGATGAAATGTGAGTCACCAAAGAAACGAACCACGATTATGCCATGCTACGCACAGTACTGATAGAAGTTGCGACGTGGGGAGCTGAAGATCAATGGGAGTTTGAAGATCAGTTTCCAGTTTCCAGGTACGAAAGAGATATCAAATGGTGTGGAGGTTGTGAGGTCTCCAGGATGTGGAGACAGGATGTTGAGAGAGAAAGGCGTACCGGTCTCACCGACAGCGAGATGAAGATGGGTGCCCTAAGAAGAAAAAATATAGGAGGCGGAAATGTAGAGAACATGCCATACCTGAAGGTGTCCTCCAATTCTAGATGTACGAGTTGAGGTGTAGGTCAACTAGCGGGTGGTTGGCGAGGCTGTCCTGGATATCGCCGGCGAAGGCTACGTTGGTTGTTGCGAGAGGAAAGGAGTTTCGGCAACGGCCTTCGAAAGGATATGGTGCAGAAATGTACCCGGAGCCAAGACAGGGGACTGGTTGGCTGTAACGTAGTTAGGTAGTTAGTTGAGAGAGGTTGGTCGAGGAATAATGGGCCGGATCTTCGAGTCGGTTGATCGAGGAAATATCTGCCGTGGATTATCTTGGAAGGAGCGAGCCAGTAGGGCAAGTACGGTTCCGAGTCAGTCGGCGTTCGTTTACCTTGGCCGGTTCCGTAAGGTGACCACAATGGAAGTTGAGTGGGCAGGTCGGAAAGAAAGGATGATCAGGGGTAAAAACATCATCAACAAATTGGCTCTGTGGGATGTAGGCTGACAGACCTTGATGATGTTCAAGCAAGGGGAGAGAAAGGAGAGGAAGTAATAAAAGCAGTGGAAAAGGTTGGATTCTCTAAGGCAAGGGGGCTGGTGTGAGCTCAATAACATCTAGGGCCAGTGTAGGGTCTACGGATAATGATCATTGATTGGTATCCCCTTAATGCCGGCACCACGATGCTCACATTCTGTACCTGCAGGAAACGCACAATATTCCTTCTTACTGGCCAAGTCTGTTCTTTGCCTGTACATGTGACGATTCCCTGTGTCCTGATATGCATATTGTATCTCCTTTGACGGCATCTTCGAAGAACATCGATAGAGACATGTAGGAATGGAAGGGATCGGCGCCAGCATGGAGAGAGAGAAGCAGCCATTGCCATGGTCAAGCACCAGAGAGCCATTGTAGCCTTTGAGCCATCGCCATTGCATTGCTGTTGTCCCTACCCATTACCCCTGAACCATCTACATTGAAACTGACTAATCCGTACCAATAAAGGAGATCGCTAGAAGAGTCATCAGCATATACCAAGCCCCCTTTAGTCCAGCTCCCCAGTAATATACCCAATCTGCCTCCGCCCATTAGCCCCCGAAGCGGTGAGCTTCCCAGCCAGGCTATTCTGGCTATCAACCAACCTCCTCTGCTCCGCGATCCTCCCCAGCACCCTCGCCTCATTCGCCGCATCAAGCCTTTCGACCTCCTCCCTCTCCCTGACCCGCACGGCGCTCAGCTCTTTCGCGTTCCGCACCTGCTCGGCCCCGACCCGGCGCTCCCACTCCAGCATCCTGGCCCGCCCGCCCTCCTCGACCTCCATGCGCGCCTCGGCGATCAGCCTCGTCCTCGCCAGCCCCGCCTCGGCCAGCGCCCTCTCGTGCCCGAGCGCCTCCTCGCGCTCCGCCCTCGCCCGCCGCAGCTGCGCCGCGAACACCTCGTCCTGCACCGCGCTCGCCTCCCGCACCCGCCCCAGCTCCTCCGCATGCCGCCGCCGCGCCCGCGCCTCCTCGAGCTCCGCCCGCTCCGCCAGGAGCCGGTTCTGCACGGCCGCCATGTCGCGCTGCCGCGCCGCCGCGAGCGCCTGGTCCTCCGATTCCAGCGCGAGCCGCTCGAGCCGCGCTCGGCGCATTCGCTCGGCGTGGAGTAGGTCCTCGGGCAGGTTGACCGCGCCCTCGGGCTGGGGCCCGTCGTTGGCGTAGAAAATGTCCCGCGCCCGGTTGGCCTTGAGAAGCCCGAGGAGGGCGGGCTTGATGGGGGACTCGGAGAGGACGCGGGTGACGTATTGGGTCGGCGAGTATGTGTAGGTGTTGTCGACGTAGTTGTTGAAAGGCTCGTTGATGTGCTTCCACATCCCGGCCTTGAGGAGCGCGCGTGTCGTTGCCAGGGCATCGGGCGACTCGAGGGCTAGGAGGAGGGCGGATTTCCCGTCCGAGTGGAGGCTGAGGTCTGTCCCCTGCTCGACGAGGTAGGCCATGACCTTCGCCATCTGCTTCTCTTGGGCCGCGGTGAGAGCACCGGCATGCGCAGCATTGAGGCACAACTCGGCCAAGGCGCTTCGTCCACCATGTATCGGACTGGGGAAGTCCAGATCATGGCCAAAGTCAACGAGAACCTGGACGGCGCGGAGGTTAAGCTCGCGAGCAGCATTGTGCAGCGAACCATCATTCTTGCTGGGTTCCGCAGCCAGGATATTCGACATCATACTGGTACCCAGATCACCCCCAACCCGAGTTGCCATTGTCAAGGGCGTGTTGCCAGTAGCATCAATAACGTCAACCTCTGCCCCAGCTAGGATAAGACACTTGACGATGTTCTGTCGCCGGTTCTGCACAGCCAGCATGAGGGGCGTGGTCTTTGATAGGCGCGTCTCAAAGTTGACGTTCGCGCCGCTGCTAATCAGCAATTCGACGACCCCGTCGCTCACCCTCTTTTGTGGCTGCAGGAGCGCCCAAAGCAAGAGGCTGACCGGCTCCTCTTCCTCGACCTCGGCCATGACCAGGGCCATTTCCATCTGGTCGCGGTAGAACCCTGCTTCGAGCAGGGCTTGCACAACCTTGACCGACCGCGGAAACTGGGAGACGGCTCGGAAAAGGACCGGACCGGACTCGGCGTGCGCAGACACCACATCCAGTCTTTCCTCTCCGTCGTGGTAGTTAGTGAAGAGGGCTATGAGAGGGAGGATCCTATCCTCGTCAAGATCAGAGTCGAATATGTACGGGAAGGCTAGGGAGATAGTGTGAGAGCCTGGTTTTTGCTTCAAGATCTGCTCGACGAGTTCGGGATCAGCCAGCCTCGCTGCTTTCTGAAGCACCAAGCCATCCTCGCTGTTGACATCGGCATGGAGCACTAGAAGATCGATGAATCGACGGGTGAGGGCATCCATGTTGGGATCGGAGACGTAGATGTCAACAGCAGTGCTCAGGGCAGTCGCGACAGCCCCTCCTTGGGCTCCCTTTTCTAAAAGTCGCTTCGCGATCTGGTAGCCCTGTTCCGAGAGCCATACATCAGCAGCTGCGGGTGTGAATGTCTCTTTGAAGGTCCAAGACAGGTCAGACTGTGGGGTTTCAGCCTCAAGAAAGACATCCACCACATCCACCAACAGGCTTTGCGCAGCATCGATCAGGCTCTGACACCCATTCGTCAGCGGCGATGCCCCCTTGCCGAGTAGCAACCTGATGAGGCGCAGATCAGGCTCATTCTTGACAGCTTTGCTCAGCGTCATATGGATCTCGTCTTGCGACACGGGCTGGCCAGCTGCAAAGACCCACTCGATGACTTGATACCGCGGATCCCGACTCAGTCTCCAGCTTGCCTTCAGAGCCTTGGCCAATGTCGCCGTCGACGGCTTCTGCTGCCGCTCTCCGGCCTTCTCGATGCCGAGCATTAGGGCGAGATTGCCCATCATCGCGCTGCGGGTCGCCGTCCAGACCGCGTCGCCATTGTTGTAGTTGACGTTGGCGCCGAACTCGAGAAGCAGCCTCACCAGCGGCGTCCCGTCGTCCCCGAACCTCGCGGAAGACACGAGCTGCGCGTCGACCACCTCGCCGCCGACGCCCTTCTCCAGCAGCAGGCGGAAGACGTCGGCCCGCTTCTTGAGGTCGCCGGCCTCGGTCGCGGCCTGGAACCCCTTCGCCAGCACGGGCTTCTTCACCTCGTCTCTGCTCCCCAGCAGCATCCGGAGCACATCGGCCGCGCCGGCCCGGCAGGCCTCCACGATTGCCTGTCCCTCCTTATGGTCTGCGCTGGCGCCTCGGTCCAAGAGCATCTTCCCGAGGGCCAGGTCGCCATCGGCCGCGGCGGCCAGCAGTGCGTCGGAGACGACAGGTTCGGAGGCGCCCGCCCCGAGCAACAGCTCGCAGATGCGCAGGCGCTTCTCCTTGTGCGCGACCTTGGCCGCCTCCTCGAACTTGGCGTTGAAGAGAGCGGCGACATACTTCTTGGACGCGTCTCGGAGGAGGACCTCAACGACGTCGGCATTCTCCCTCCGTATCGCGCAGCTGAGGGCCTCGCCGTCGCCCAGCTCCGCACGAGCCCCAAGAATCTTGATTAGCGAGATGTCGTCGGGATATGTGTTGACAGCGTGGACCAGGGCGCGATTGGCCTCCCCGGCAGGCGCGCCGGCGTCGATTAGCTTCTTAGTAAAGGTGAGACGGTCCATGGGATCCGCAATGTGAAGGGCATGGGGGAGGCCTGCCGCTAGGCACATGGGATTTGGGCGGGCGGCGAAAAGGAGGTCGGATACCGGGGCATTGGCCGCAGAAACGGCGATGCAGAGTCCTGCCCCCTTGTGAAAATTAACATCGGCTCCTGATGACAGGAGCGACTTGACGACAGTTAGGAGTTGCTTCTCGTTCGTCGTCTTGACCAACGTCTGGACCTCCTTGACTAGAAGATGGCTGAGAAAAGCTTTGTCATTGCTGCGCTGTAGAATGGATTCGAATTTTGCTGCCTTGGCTGCGTCGGTGGGCATTTCGGTCAACGCATCGAGACCGCGATTGAGCGTCTCAGGGGTGGGCTTCCCTTTCTGAAGTAGAAGCTCGAGAATCGCCGAGTTGCCATTATGAACCGCTGCAAGATGTCATGTGAGTGGGTGGACGAGGACGAGGATTTGGGGGCCGGAAAGATGGAAGACATACCATGTACGACGGGGATGCCTTGCAGGAAGTTGACATCGCCTTTCCCATGTTCTAGCAGAAGGTTCAAAAGCTCGGCATCGATCGGCTTCGATTGGAGGACCTGCACCATGGCGGCCGATATTTCCTTGGCCTCCCGCGCGGCTCCTGCTTGTGTGAGTAGGGTTATCATTTTGTACCGCTTCGGGCGGTCTTCAATAGCCAGTGCCTTGGGTATCCCTGCTGCAGCAGTCTCGGCTGTTGGACCGTTATTGAGCAAGGTTTCCAGAAGGTTGGTATCTTGGTGGGAAATGGCCGACAGGATTCCCGCTCCGGCGTTGAAGTTGACATCGGCATTGCAACTGAGAAGTAAGCCGATGAGATGCTCATCCCTCCGTGGTGGTTCCTCCTCGATGGCTTCCTGGAGAACCTGTGAGACGCAGGGACCTCTTAAGCCGGTAGCTAGGAAGGACTGAGCAACTTCATATCTGGCGACAGGAGAGAGGGGCAATATCTGTGGGAAGATCTCGGCTAAGGTCTCCAAGGTTGGCTTGCCAGCTAGGAGCAGTTTGACCAAGGGGATATTGCTAGCTTTAACGGCGATTTGCAGAGCCAGACCCCCTCGATGGTCGACGGATGCGGTCTCGTGTCGTCCATCGTAAACAATTCCTCGGGTGTCGTTCCGTAGATCGTGGCCGAGAACGAGTCGTCCAACGGGGAAGTGTTGTGTGAGGAGAAGGTTCACGGATTCTATATCCCCAGCCTCCACTGCATCGACCAGCGCATCGTGTACTGGTGGGCCGCCTGCACCTTTGCGCAACAGCATACTTAGAAGGTTCTGTCGATCCTCTGGCACGATCTCCTTGGGGATTTGCGATACGCATTGGGAGGCGTTCGCCCGGCTCAATGTTGTGTTGTCCGTCAATAACAACTGGACAAGATGAGTCTTACCACTTGAGATGGCGGCCTGCAGAACCATTGCGTCCTGATACTCGACAGACGCTCCGTACGAGACGAGCAAGTCGACCATTTCATAAAACCCTACCGAGGAGGCTTGCACCAAGGCTTCTGAGACCACGTCCCCCGATGCGCCCGCACACAAGAGACCGTGTGCGAGAGCCAGCTTCTCATTCGGCCCGATCTTCGTGTTAGCGAACAAACTTCCAAAAGCTTCATCGAGGCCTGGCCCGGTCGGCGGCTTCGCCCCTGTCAGAATTGCAAGCACGATGTCCACCCGACACAGGATGATGGCCTCCTTCAGCACCTGCGCGTTGTTATAGTTCCCATCTGCAGTCGATCGACTGAGGCGGAGGACCGTGTCGAGGCATCCCCTCCGTACCGCATCCACCATCGATTGCGAAACCCAGCTCGAGGAAGGGCGGCCGTCGGACTGGAGAATGAGTCCTACGAGGTCCGCTTGGCCGCCGGTAATGCATAACTGCCGGAAAGCGTCCTGGCCATCTGCTGTCTGAGAGGCATTTGCGCCACAGCGAAGCAATAGTTCCACGATCGCAACATCACCAGAACGGATGGCCACGGGGAGTGCGCTGTCGAGGGTCACGCGATCGGCGTACTGCACTAGGGCGGCGACCATGTCCGCCTGGCGATTCCCGATGGCCTTCTGCAGGACTCGGCTGCGCTCGAGCGACTCAAGGCTCTTCCTCCGGGTGAGCAGGTTAGTCCGACGCTTGGTGTTTGCAACATTCAAGTCCCCGCCGGCCGCCATCAGCTTAGAGATGAGAGCCTCAGCCACCCCAGGTGAGCCACCATTTTCGACATGAGCATCAAGAGCCTTGAAGACCTCTTGCGATTCCCAGCCCTTCTTCTTGCCCGTGAAAGCCCGCCGGATGCCGCCCTGGGAGTTCTTATCATGGCCGGCATCTATTCGGCGGCGTTTGAGAAGTTCCTCGGCAAGGAAGTCATCATTAGGGGCCTGGAAGCCCGCGGATTGTTGTGAGGGGTCGGGCCGGGTTAGCGACGATAACGGAGCAAGGCTGGCAATGCCCCATGCCGCTGCGAGTTGTTGGAGCACCTGATGGCGATCATCTTGACTCGGTGACAAAGCCATCGTAGCTTAGGCGTAGGATGAGAAGCAACATGGGCTTCGATCGGCAATGCCCAAGTTGCCCTTCGTTTCTAGGGAGTTTTACAGGCGAGGCTGGAAGTAGAACCCATTCAAGGCAGGGGAGTGCAGTCGAGAGAACCCGTAACGCTGTCTAGGTACGGGCCCGAAAGGTATGTCTCAGGAGAGGAATGCCCCAGCCTCGCACGAGCCCGCAGATCCGGGGTAGTTCGCGCGGGCAGAAATTCAAGGAAACAAGAGACAGTGCGTTAGAAGCTTCAGGATGGTTGACTATTGGGCTTCTAGAAGCCGATTCGAAGCGACAGAACTTAATGAGAAGGCAAAGGGAAGAGGAAGAAGCGGAGGATCTGTTTCACACCATGACAGTAATGGGACGAAAACGGGTGCATTAAATCCATCCCCTGCGCCTTCTCGAAGGTTGAGAATCGAGTCTAAATTCCATCAATCTTTGTGCACAGCCTCGTGTTACCCACACCACACACATCAAGAAGGTCTGCATTTTGGCCAGAGGAACACAAGGAACAAGCCCATGACGCGCCCTGCTTTACGTGGCCTGCGAGCATTGATCATTTGGCGACCTGTTCGGGGCACAGAAGAGCTGGGGTGGAGTAATGTTACGTAATGAGGCTCGTGTAAGACTGCAGGGGTGACGGCACTGACGGAAACATTTTCTGGACTTCCTACCTAGCTATGTACCCAGCGCAGAACTTGACGAAAAATATGTCGAGACGGGTGGGAAAGGGAAGGGAAAGGGGAATCGGAGAGAGATGGGATTGCTGAAGAGAGCGAAGTCCCCAACTTTTGTCACGAGAGAGGGCAAGTCGAGAACTTGATACGCGCAAGACCGCCTGTCGTCCCTCCTCCTAAGCCAACAATGTCTGTGCTAAGAGCCATGTAATACCTGAGATGAGCTATATGTTGACGAATGTGCGCCGAGCCCGCATGCCTGATTGGTTTTGGTTGTCTTTCGCGAGGGACAATTGCAAGGTGGTCCTAATCTGTGGCTCCGATAAAGCGGTAATGCAAGGGCCCCTAGAAATGAAGCCATATACGGAGGGAGTGGCTCGAACTGCGAGTCTTGATCCAAATGCCCAGGGCGCGCTGATTCAGGTAAGCCTTTCCGCCACGGAAAATTGAAGGTCTACGGGATCTGCACTGGAGAAGTGTAAGTCGTGAGTAGGTATGTTATTCGCAAACACGCAACCCAGGTAGTTGACCAGCTTACAGCTCACCAGTAACAGATTACGAAGAGGTACCTAGTGGTCTGTTATTGGCCATCGAAAGCTCCCCAATAAATTACGTCATTATCATACAGATCGGACTTAACAACAGCAACCACTTCCCATGCCCTATCCCCAAGTCAATGCCCACTTCACAAGATCGGGCCTCACTCTTGATGTCTCTCCGCGTTGTACCGACGATATCACGGTTTCGAGCGTGCAGAAATAATCCCATATCTAGGCCACACCTCAAAATAGCTTCGGCTAGAACAAGCTCTTACACCGTCGCTCTCCATCCAACCCCGCACCGCGCAGCCCCGCACCCAACCCCAACTATGGCCCCAATCCCGAAGACCATGTCCGGCATCGTCATCGACGAGCCCGGCGGTGTCGAGGCGCTCAAGTGGAAGACGGACATCCCTGTGCCCGAGCTCAAGGAAGGCGACGTCCTAATCAAGAACGAGTTCATTGGCGTCAATTACATTGACACGTACGACCCACGCTTCTAAATTCCCCTCATCCCCACCCGTAGACAACAAGTTCTACTCCATTACCGACCATGTCGGGGCATTTAGATCTATCTAGCTGACACGCCATTAACCTCCCGGCCCAACCAACAGCTACTTCCGCACAGGCCTCTACAAAGCCCCCCTCCCGCTGATAACCGGCCGCGAAGCCGCCGGCACCGTCGTCGCGGCCCACCCCTCGGTGACGGACTTCAAGGAGGGCGACCGGGTCACCTACCTAGACCACCACGCCTACGCGCAGCTGACCGCTGTGGCCGCCTCCAAGGTCCTCCGCCTGCCCGACGGGCTCGCCTCCGACCTCGCCGCCGCCTCCATGCTGCAGGGGCTGACGGCGCTGACCCTCATCCGCGAGGCCGCGGGCATCGGCTCCAACCTCGGCGTCTCCGAGGGGCCGTGGGCGCTGGTCCACGCCGCCGCCGGGGGGGTCGGGTCCCAGCTGGTGCAGATGCTGGCCGCGCGGGGCGTAAAGGTCATCGGCACGGCGGGCTCCGCGGACAAGTGCGAGCTGGCGCGGAAGCTCGGGGCGAAGTGGGTGGTTAACAGCCGGGACGGGGATTTAGTGGGCCGCGTCAAGGAGATCACGTCCGGGAACGGCGTGGATGTTATCTTTGACGGGGTCGGTAAGGCTACCTTCGACAGCGATCTGGAGATGGTGGCGAGGAAGGGGACAGTTGTCATGTTTGGCAATGCCGTGAGTCTCTCCCGGTGATGCATTTTCTTTCGATTCGGCCCTGTGTGACCCCAGTGACCGCTAACTTGTCTACGTGCCTAGTCTGGACCTGTCCCGCCCGTCGACCTTCTCAAACTTGGGGCCAAGAACATCAAGCTCATGCGGCCTACGCTCTTCAACTACCTCGTCACGCGGGAGGAGCTGGAGACGAACACAAACGAACTCTTCGATTTGCTCCTGTCTGGAAAGGTTACAGTGGATGTCCACAAAGTTTACCCGCTGAAGGAGGTCGGTCAGGCACATTCGGACCTGGAGGGGAGGAAGACGACTGGGAAATTGCTTTTGAAGCCTTGAAAGTGCAGACCATACGTGGCTCTCATGACCGACAGTGTGCAGCAAACAGAGAGAGAGAAACAGGCTTGCTCGCAACCTGTATAGTAAATTAAAACAAGCTAATACCGAACACCGCCTAGTCAAGCCTTTTGGCCCGCCTTCAGGGCTTCGAGGAACTCCGCTGGTGGCTCCTGGCGGTAGCCTTTCGGATTGTTGTTTACCCATCGCCACAGATCGGCACAGGCATCCTCCATCCTGAGCTCTGTCTTCCATTGAAGCTCCTTGTTAGCAAGTGACGGATTTGCCGTTAGGTCTAGCACGTCTCCCGGCCTCCGGTCGACAACCTCGTAAGGGAGATCCCGTCCAACGACGTGACTGAAGGCATTTATCATCTCGAAGACGGTGCTGCCCCGGCCCGAGCCCAGGTTCCATGCCCGGACCCCGGGCTTCTGCTCGCGGACATAGTTCAGCGCTGCCAAGTGCCCCTTGGCAAGATCCAGAACGTGAATGTAGTCTCGGATCGCGGTACCATCTCTCGATGAGTAGTCTGAGGACGGCCGTTAGCTCCCCATGCCCAAAGGTTCCAGAGCAGCTGGTTCCTCCTACCTTTGCCAAAGACTAGCAACTTTTCCCGCTCTCCAGTAGCGACCTTGCCTAGCAGAGGTAGCAGGTTAAAAGGCACCCCTTGTGGGTCCTCGCCCATAATGCCACTGGGATGGGCACCGCACGGATTGAAGTACCGCAGCAGCGCTCCGTTCCACTGCTCGAATGACTTGTTCGCCTTCTTGGCGTTGTTGCGCTGCGCCTCCACATGGTCGGTGATGACGCTCTCGATCATAGACTTGGTGCGACCGTATGTGTTTGTGGGGCCGATGGGGCAATGTTCGGGGATCGGAATCATGTTAGGGAAGCGGGTCGCATCGCCATACACCGTTGCCGAGGACGAGAAGACTATGTTCGTAACATTGTGCTTGGTCATTGAGCGCAGCAGCGAGATACTGCCACCGACGTTCACTCGATAGTACTCCAGCGGGATTTCGCCGGATTCACCAACAGCCTGTTTCCAATTCCTCACCGTCAGCACCGAACCATGCGCAGTCGTCCTGTCAGTAGACCGAAGAAGGGAACAGAACAGACTTTGAGGGCAGCGAAGTGGATGACGCTGTCAATTTCAGGATGCTTGGCGAAGACATCGTCCAGCGCAGCCTCGTTGGTGACATCGATCTCGTAGAAGCGCGGCCGCTTGCCGCAGATCAGTTCGATGCGGTCAACGGCAACCTTGGAGGAGTTGTAGAGATTATCCACAATGATGACCTCGTATCCATTCTCAAGCAGGGCCAGCGCTGTGAACGAGCCGATGTAGCCGGTGCCACTGCAAGCCACAAGCCAAGTCAGTTTCGTTTCCCATCTACGTGCGGGGTTGTTGGGGCTCCTTTTTGGCGCGACAACTTTACTTACCCGGTGACCAGAACAGTACCGACCGCCATTTTTGGTTGCAGCCTTATTCGAGGTGGAAGACTTGAAGAGGCAGGACAAAGAGCACCAACGGATATCAAAGAAGCGATGGCTTTCTTAAATGCTGTTACTGGGCGCTGATGATGCACATCGAAATCTCGCTAGTCCCACAGTTTGCCGTGGGGCTGGGGACATCCGAACGTTGCAGAATACGAGACCCAAAGAAACGTGCCACTCAAACTCACCTATCCAGTCCGTAAACCTGATACCTGGCAGGACCAATTGGGCAGGTAGCTCCCGTCCTTCCCTCGCCAATTTAGCAACCAAATCGACTCTTTCCTTTCCCCTTCATGCTACATGGCGACGTAATCACATGAGCGCCTCGCCTTCAAAGTGGCGTGGGAGGATGTAGGTACCTGGAAGCGGGTCTAGATCGTTTTCTATAACAGAAGTGGCTTGTTTCACTAACCTCGTTCCCCACAGCATGTTTTCAACTGGCTCGTGCATTTCTCGATGCGCTTCCAAGTTCCACAACAGACAAACGCGCAAACGGACCGCCGCTTCTGATCCTCGAGACAAAGAAACAAAGCCACCACAGTCAGCGGTCTAAATGCCAGAAAGCCTCAGATTTGAACCGATTCTTATCCTCGTAGTCCGTATGCGTCGACTGGTTGAATTAGGTAGCCAAGTAAGGTACCTACTGTATAGGTAGAATGCAGCCATTTGCAACCAACCAATCTTGCATGCGCTGAATCGATGCATGGGCTGTTTAGTCAGCAGACGACTGTTTTCCTGAGGCTCTGGCTCCCGCCTGGCACGACACGTCCTCGGAGCCGAATTTACCAACCACCGGAACCGTCGAAAACGCGTTAATTGGATGCCAATCCAACAATCCAACAATGGGAGACAAAATATGCCAGGCGCCATATCCTCATGAAAACGGAATCATTTATGAATGGCATGGGACCAACAGGTTGGCTGAGAAATAATTAATGCACTCGTCTCGGGTTTCTAAAGGGTTCATTGCGCCCTGTAAATTCGCATCTCACCCGCCTTGATCCTCAAAAGCCCTCCCTCCGCTTCGTCTCTGCGGACCTTGCCAACGCCACTCATCAAGCAGAGAACCTCGGCCATTTTGTCGAGCGGTTAGTGCTTATTCAAACTTTGCGCGGATAGATCATTGCGGTGAGTAGATTTCCTGGCATTCCCTAAACCAACCCTTGTACGTCTCACCAGCGGCGCGGTTGAAGCAAAATCTCAGACCGGCTCAGCCAAGCATGTCCAAATTCGCCGGTTGCTCTCTTTCTCTCCTTGAAGTAAATCGCATTGCTTGGCGAAATCGGCCAGTCTTGCATGCCTTCGTCCCTTTTATTTCTCAGTTCATCTCACCCATCACAACCCACCTTCACTACTCCTTCACCCTTTTTGCCTCATTTTCATGTGCTGATCCTTTGCTAGAAGCTAATCCCAGCATCCCTAGCCAGACTCTGGGAGATATCGTGGGATCTATCGAGTCTTGGAACGCGAGCGCAGACCCGTCAAGATGCCTCCCAAACGGCGCAGGCCTACGGCCGATGATGGTGCTGAGCGGTCAGATGACCCTCCCCAGACCCGGAGCGCAGCCATCACGTCGCGGTTAACGCCGCTGCAAGCGAAGCACAGCACTTCGTATGGCTCTCCTGCACCTGTATTGCCCCTGCGAGATTCAGGCAAATACGGGGCAAATCTCAAAGGCGCCACGCGCGATATCTTTGCGGCCGTGCGCAAAGAGAACAAGCAGGCCAAACTAGATCAGGGACTCACCCATGGAGAGGTAGTAAGGGAATCCGAGTCCCCTGCTCCTCCGAGTGAGCCGGTAGATGAGGCTGATACCTTGAAGCGCCAACAAGAGGAAGAGGAGGCTATTCGACTACAGGAGGCTGAAGAGGCTGCTCGACAACGTGTGCTTGAAGAAAGGGCCGTTCGCCGGCGGGACCTTGCAGATAAAGTCGCTCGCCGAGAGGCTGCCCGAAAACAGGAGGCTGAAGAAGAGGCTGCTCGACAACGCGAAGCAGAAGAAGAGGCCGTTCGACAACGCGAGGCAGAAGCTGAGGCCGCCCAGCAACAACAGGCTGAAGAAGAGGCAGCTCGGCAACAGGCAGAAGTCGACATGGAGAACCGGCTGCAAGAGGCTGAAGCAGCGAGACGAACGGAACAGGAACGAGAAGTGAAGCGGAAATCCATGCTTCGCGACATCCAGGAAGAGGAAGGGTACGATGAGCAAGAAGATGGAGGGTACGATGAGCAGGAAGACGAGCAGGAACAAGACCAAGGAGTGCACCTTCCGGACGACGTGCAGCGCTTTGCCAGGTCGGAGATATGGGAAGCAGCAGCTGGCGGCTCCAGACTTGGAGCATTTCGGAAGCGTCCTACGCCCGAATCCGCGCCAACTTCCTCTCCGAAGCGAGCGAAAAAAGACCATACACCGTCGCACAACCCCACAGACGACAGGCGCGGTCCTGGCAACCTGTCAGACCCTTCTGAGTTCCTCGGGCTGACGGGCCGGAGCTTCATTGAGGAGAGCAATGTTTTCAAGGACGCTGAGCTGCAAACTCCGGCAGGTTCGTCAGTCATGGGCGATACTCCAACCCGAAACAGACAGACAGCTATTCCAGTGGCGGGGCCAAGAGACGGTGGCCTCGCTTCTAACATACTCCCTGTCTCGAGGGAGTCGAGGCCGAGGCTGCGATCTTCCGCCTTCCCTGCACAACTTCCCCAGCCTGCAACAGACGCGTCTGTGGCAAGTAGTGGGAAGCCGGTGACAATGGAGCACGAGGCTGAGACTGGACATCCTGCCGCTCAACGCCGACCTTCAGCTCCAACCGGAAATAGGCCGACCGAGAACAATGGCCCAATTTTGCATCGGCGCGGCCGCTCAAAACGTGCTGAACCGGGTATAACGCAGAACTCCCGAGAAGAGGACCCAGTCGCGGCGTCTCCAGGCCGCGGCAGGCCGCTCCCGGCCTCTGGCGACTTGCTTTCCAACCGTCCAGTGTTTCCCCCCCCTGCGACGGGCGGCGGAGAAACCGAGTCTCAAGCAGCCAGCAGCTCGGGCGTCCGCTTGCAACAATCAAGTCCACGTAGGCGAGATAAAGATCAGGCTTCGCCAGCGCCTCCATCTCCACGGATACCGAATCCTCTCCATGCCAGCAAGGCAATATCGGGCGTTGATTCCGTCCAGGAGTCTGATCCCCTCCCCGCTCTCTACTCGCGTCAGTGGTACCTCTACTACGCGAAACATGTCTCCCGGATACTTCTTAGCACGGCGCACAATTTCCTTTACTGGGTCGCGTGCCTTGTGCTGACACTCTTCGTCCTCCGTCTGTGGTACCGGGTGGGCAGCCCAGAACTCGAGAATTCTCGCGTCAACAATACCCTTGAATGGCGTGGATGGACGGACTGGAAACACAATTTCGCTCAGTTTGTGCCGTACACGCTTAGCCACCCCCTCGGCTGTATCACGGATGACGAGTATAATGTCCTCAATTACTTCGTCAAGTCCCAAAGCGACCAATTATCGGAGCTCTCAAAGACCAGCCAAGTCACCAGTCTGGCGATCGAAAAACTGGAGAGCATCCTGCCCCAGACTGTCTTGGTCAAGCAGGACAAGAAGACCAAGAAGCTCATCATTTCCCAAGATTTTTGGCATGCCCTTAAAGATGAAATCCAAAAGGAACAGTCAATTTTGACTCTGCAGACAAGCAAGGACGGCACCGACGACATATCCGACCACCATTGGTCGGCTCTGTTAAAGCGGTTCAAGGTGCATGGAGTTCCTGGCCAAGACCGTTCTGCCGACGACGTCACCAGCATCGTTGAGCGAACGCTCTCGAGTTCGTGGGAGACGTGGCTGAAGAACAACCACGAGAAAGTCAATGAGATTCTCGAACCTTCTTCCCTCAAAGACTTCTCCGCGGCCACAGAGCAAAAGGTGCTCTCGCATGCTGAGGAGCTCATTCAGGAGAGACTGTCTGCCAAGGGCCTCAAGGACGTCGTCGTAACCAAGGACGAGTTTGTACGGGAAGTGGAACGGAATCTCGAGGCATACAAGGGTGGGATTGAAGCAGAGCTAGAAGACTTACGGGACAAACTCGGAGACATGGTCGAGAACGCCGTTAAACCTTCCGAGCCGGCCAGCAACAGCGCAGGGTTGTCAAGGAGCGAGGTCATCGCCCTCACCAATGATATCGTCCGCAAGGCCATAGGCGACGTACATCTCGAGGCAGCCGCGAAAGGCAACATCGGGACCAATTTCGAGGCGGAACTGGGTCGACGCGTGAATTACTTCGGACTCGGCAACGGCGCTAGCATTGATGTGTCATTGACGTCGCCGACGTACCAGCCTCCGACAAAACCACCCATAGGCTCGTCTTCATGGCTGAAGTTCAAGTCGCCATCATTTCGACCCGAGAAGTCAGCCGCACTGACGAGCTGGGAAGAAGCTGGTCACTGCTGGTGCGCCGCAAACAGGTTCAAGGACAGCATTACTCACCCCGCCGACATCTCCATCAAGCTCCCGGAGTCCATCATCCCCGAGAACGTTGTTATCGAGCACATCGACCCTTCGGCGACTCTTGACCCCAAGGCCATGCCTAAGAAGATCGAGGTCTGGGCTATCATCGACGAACACAGTCGCCGCGAGAAGGCGTACAATTTCATGATGGCGCAGTATCCAGACACGAAAAGTGACCACCCCCTTATCAGGAGAGGGTTCCTGAAGATCGGAGAGTTTACCTACGAGCACAACAGTGCTACAAACGGGGTCCAGGTCTACAGGGTCTCTTCCGAGTTCGCCAAGATGGATTCCATGACCGACCACGTCCTGATCCGCGCCGTGAGCAATTACGGCGCAGACCATACCTGCTTCTACCGGGTGCGGCTGTACGGGGAACCGCGAGATCTCGAGGATACGGAGCATATCCCTGCGTAATGGAATCATTTTTACAGACACCACTTGGTCTGCGATGGGAGTAGAGCCAGTCATTGCTTCGCTTGGAGTCAGGGGACGGCCAAGGGGGATCAAATGGCGTTTCGTGTTGTGATACCCTCGGAAATTATCATTTTTGTCATTGTTGGCCCTTTTCTCTTGGTTTTCGTTTTCGTTTTCGTTCTTTTTTGGGCCTGGATTGTCGATTAGCCGTGTCAAATGTCATGCAGGACAGCCGCTGAGTTGTATGATAGGCTCGATGATGAAGCATCAAGTGTTTACTTCTGCAAAACCAAGTATTGACCTCACATGGGCTTGTCTTGCCACGTAGTTCCATTACCGGGGGCATTTTCTAAGTCTCCCTACTGTTCTCCCCAGGGTATTTATGACTACACGAGGCAACCAAGACACCGATATACTACCTAGATAGAAAAAGACATGTCTAGACACCAAGCTCAGTCGTCCAGCAGGCCCGTTGCCAGAGCCTCGAGATCCTCCAGCGTATCCGGCTCGCGATCCATATCGATAACCCTAGATCCTCCCTTCTTCTTCGCCCTAGTCTCATCATCCGAGTCGTCCTGGAACCACTTCTTGGCCTTCTTCCTCGGCCGCGTCTCCTCACCCTCGCTGCCATCCCCTTCCTCCTCCTCCTCCTCCTCCGACGCGCCACCCGCCACCGGCAAGGACCGCAGGAGCGCCAGCGGATCCTGCTCCGCGGCATCGTCGGCCCCGGCGAGCTCCGCGGGGCGCGGCGCTCCGCCGCGGCGCGTGGCTGCCTCCTCCTCCCTCTCGCGCTCCTTGCGCTTGTCGCGCCTCTCCCTGCGCCTCTCCTTGGCGAGCTGCTTGTCCTCGACGTCGGCCTCGCGGGCGCGCGCGGCCTCAGCCTCGACGAAGCGCTCGCGCAGCCTCTCGGCGGGCGCCCGGTCGCGGAACTCGTCGTCGTCGCCAAACTCGTACAGGGCGTGCGGGTTGCCGTCGTCGTCGAAGACGGTCTTGGTGCCGGCGCCGCGGAACTTGAGGAGCTTCTTGCGCGACGTGAGCAGCTTCTCGCGCCGGTTGGAGTCGACGATGAACTCCTGGGACCCGAGGTTGATGACCTTGGGGGCCGCGGCCCGCTCGGCCCGGGCGGCCTCGTCCAGGTCGTCGTCGTCGAGGACGCGCTTCACGGAGAGGAAGTCCTGGTCGTCTTCGTCATTGTCGTCCTCGGCATCGCCGATGAGCTTCCTGTAGTGGCTTGACAGCACGTCCTGGTTGGTCCTGCCCTCCATCTTCTCGAATTTGGTGCGGACCTCGTCTTTCTTCTTCAACTTGCCCTTCTCACCGTCCGAGTCCGTGTCCGAGCCGCTAGACATAGCTGCCCGCGAGGCGTTCTTTAACCGCTTGATATCCTCGCCCCTCTGGAACTTGATCTGGGGCGTGCCCGGCAGGCCAAGTTTCGCCGCGAATCCATCCAGATCGAGCTCATTGAATTTGAAGACCTCCTTGTCCTTCTGTAAATGCACCGATCGTGTATAACTCATGAAGGCCTTCTGTGCGAGATACTTCAGATCCGGACGCTGGAAGCACAGGCTCTGCAGCTGGTCCGTTATGCTCTTCTTCTTATTCTCCCGGACATTGAGCTTCAGTATGGGCACCTTCTTCTGCTGCAGTCTCTTCAGCATGCCCTCCTCCTCGCTCGGGTCAAGGAACAAGACGGCACGCCCGTTGCTCTCGTAACGCGCTGTCCGGCCCACCCTGTGAATGTACGTGTCGGCATCTTCGGGGCAGTCCGCCTGGATGACCCAGTCCACGGCGGGGAAGTCGACACCGCGCGCAACCACGTCGGTGGCGAAGAGGCACGCATTCTTGGAGGCAGCAAATCTCCTCGTGATTTCGAGTCTCGCAACTTGTTTTTGCCGCCCGTGCAGGTGCAGCAGTGGGATACCCGGTTGTAGGTTCCTGAAACTTTCGTAGACGAACCGCACCTGCTTTCCGGACGACAGGAAGACAATGATCTTGCTTTTAAGATTGGTCTTGATGAACCCAAACAGCGTGTCGACCTTCTCTGGCAGCGGCGTGATGATATAATGTTGCTGCAAGGTACTCGGGGTCGCCGAAGCAGCGGCCTCGTGGACCGAGACGTACTCGGGATCTTTCAGACTCAGCCTCGCCAGGTCGGACACCTTCTTGCTCTGCGTCGCGCTGAACAGCATCGTCTGCCTGTTCTTGGGCAAGTGCTCCACCAAGGCGTCCACCGCCGACTGAAACCCCATATCCATGATGCGGTCTGCCTCATCCAGTACCAGCACCTGCAGGTTGTCGACGTCGAACCTCGCCGTCTGGTCCAGGTGCTGCAACATGCGGCCCGGGGTGCACACCAGGATATTCATCCTCCCCAGTCGCTCGGCCTCCTCGCGCAGATTCTTGCCGCCAATGACCAGACCGGCCGAGAAGGAGTGGTTGCGGCCAATTTTGCGCAGCACCTCGAAGATCTGCACGGCCAGCTCGCGGGTGGGCGAGATGATGAGGGCGCCGAGCCCGTCATATTCGGTCCATTGTTCGCGGTAGAGCTTCTCGAGGACGGGGATGAGGAAGGCCAGCGTCTTACCGCTGCCCGTCTTGGCGGCGCCGAGGATGTCGCGGCCCTTCAGGGCAAGGGGGATGGCGCGGGATTGGATGTCGGTCAGGACCTCGAAATGGGAGGCCCGTAGACCGGATGCGGTGGGGACTGAGAGGGGAAGGTCGGCGAAGTTCTTGATCTCGGTGGATTTCAGATCCTGCAAATTGGGAAAGCTTCATGTTAGACTCCTAGCAGCGGTTTGACAGTCTTGATCTGTTAGACCCCACTTACCAGCTCATCGACACTCTGTTGCAATTTTCCCAAGTTTTCTTGTTCCCGCTTTCTCTTCAGAGTCCGAGATTCTGGGTTTGACGGACGCTTCTTTTGCGCCTTTGCGCCGCCTTTCGCGCCCCCCTTCGTACCGGTTGCCATTTCGCTGAAATGCGGGCTGCGTTGTGGAGGAATGCAGGCTCACATCGTCGAAGATCTTCCTGGAAATTTTAGGCGGACAAGGATTTTACCGTGTCTCACCGCTTTAAATTGCCAGACCCCACCGTGCCCACCAAGCTTAGTCTTGACCCACTATATTTCTGAAGCCCTCACGGGAATATTTACCCCTTTTGATCAACGAGCGGAGCTCGACGAACCTCGCAAATACGGTCCTTGACCCTCATCGAGGAAGTTATCCTCTTCTTGGGCGTTTCTTGCTAGTGGGCTGGAATGACATCACAAGCTTCTTGTTCACTTCGTCGTCCTCATTGCTTTCGCTGTTGCCTTTGTCCTTGCTGTTTTAAGCTTCCACAGTCATGTAGAGACCGTTTTCCTCTGGGTTTGGGCAGTTGCTTCCTATCTCGTCTTCATCTGAGTTGCCAAGTGCGCTTTCTCTCCAATCGGCGATGCGGCTCGCTCCTCTATCTCGATATAGGCTACCAGCTTCGCTATCTATGCTAGTTTATTTGGGTTTCTAGTTGATGGCTGAGTGTTGAGGTGCCGTCTTATGAGTCTGCCGCTTGTTGGTTTGATCCTGTCTCGGTCTCCTCCCATGTTTTCCCCAAGAGTGTTCAGTTCATGGCCAAGGAATGTTCGGTCCCGGGTGTTTGCTTTGTCCCCCGGGGCCGGCGGCCGAGCTCAACTTTTTCCCTTGTAACATTTTGTGGGAGTCAATGGAGCCCTTCGACGACCTCGACTCCTGATTTCGCCGTGTTCCTAAGTGGTCGGTGACGCAACTTTCCTTTTGGTTTGTTTCACTCCGGCGCCGGCCGCTTTTGGCCCGCATTCCGTTCTCGGCGCTCTACTATGTACATCCTGGGTTGGCCTTCTTTGTCCTTCTAGCAATAAACCCGCCTTGTATATGACGAATAAGGCCTTTGTCCCTATTCAAGCCCTGGGGGGGGGGGGGGGGGGGGGGGGGGGGGGGGGGGGGCGGGCGGGGGGCGCGGGGGGGGGGGGGTGGGGGTTGGGGCGG